CCATTCATGATGGGAATATTGCCGAAGACCAGGTGGAATATTTGATATGTTAGTTTACGTCGGGCATCAGCTTGGGGCTGTGATTTCTGGTTGGGCGTTGTGGGGGGCGGGGTGCCACGGTGTCGTCTGGAAAGAAATGCATTATACGTGCCCTTACGCTCGGGAAAGACATAGAAGGCTCCTTAGGTAGGTGCCGTGTGTACTTTAGGGGCCATGTTAGGTACATACAATTACACACATGAGTGGTCAGAGGGCTTACACGTCTCGGTAGGTACATACCAAAGTCCTAAGCAAAAGAGCAATTTCGTGAGAACCTCATGACTAAGAAAAGCAATTGCTCATCTCCTAATCTCGTGAGAACATATCCTGATTGGGAAACCAACCTAGTCCTTTACAAGGATGTAAGAACGTAAATGGATGATTAATGGGGAAGATTTCCATGGCTCGGGATCAATAACCCATGCTCAGATCGTCGATCTTACTACCCCGTCTTGGTTATCAACTCCGATGAAATTTACTGTACTAGATTCTGGAAGAATTATCATAGCCGCAGGTAGCTTCAAATCCAGTGCAACGCAATGACATAGAGGAAATTAGATAGTTCCTAATATGCCTCAGAACTTTCCTTGCACTTAGACTTTGGAGGGAACTTGAGTCCTAGAAAATTAAGTTCTAATAAATGAAATTGATAGGGCTGACCGGAGATCCTGTTTTCTGTATTTCATGTACCTAGTTATTAAACAGGTTGATCTTCAACTTCGCACGTCCTTCCTCAAAACGACCAAGCCTCTCTACGCCTCATATTACAAGGAACTTGCTAAACGAGACCTCAAAACTTAAGACTATGGAATTCTCAAGTAACATCATTCCCAAACAAAATAAACGAGATAGGTGGGGGTAGATTCATATCTAACCAACTATGCAATATATGTGGTTAGTAAAGAAGTAATTATCCGGGATGGTTGTGAATATTTTTGTATTTCATATACTTCACCTTCATCTTTATGAGTGGTATTGACTATCAAGTTGCTATGTTATGTCTACCGTCGAAGTGTAGTATCTTGGAAGACAGTTTAAATACCTAAGTAACCTACGTTCTGAGATATGCGTAACGACTTCTTGAACTGGAAAGACTCGGCCTCTGTCAAGCTCATAAAAAGGCTCGAGTGTCCCCGATAGGATCGGGAATAGGCGATGATAAATATCATAATATCGATGTTATTGGAAGTGATGACATCGATCAAGGAAGGTGACCCGAAAAACGTTACTGTTCATTAAAAAAGCTTGGATTAGGGGTCGAGATCAACATAGGCGGCGTGGGTTTAGGGCGCCGTCGGGGGAGTAGCTTGCGGGAGCCGGGTGACATGAGATCAGCATTGTGCCTTAGCGCTCATCGCTTAGGGAAAATCCCCAGGTATTCCATGTCAGATGAGGGTGGGGTGGATTATAATATCTCAAAGAAAAATAAACGAGTGGATAGCATAATTTTACACGCTCTCCCCGCGAACTGCTTGGTGCAAAAATTATTCTGTCACCCACCTTTAACCAACAACATCACATCACTATCGACAAGGATTAAGCCAGAGCCTCCGAAGTAGCCCCGTCTTTTGATACCCATTCTAGTTAGTTTGAATATGCTTGATCTCCCTTATATCTCAGTATGTAGTAGATTACACGTACTTACATACACGTAACAACCCGACGTTCTGTTAAAGTATAGAGCATCTTTTCCAAGTTGACTTAAATTTGATCTACGATTAGTATGATATGGATTGGGATTTTCGATTTACCCAGGTACCGTGAGATATGTTTACCAAAGTGGATGTTGAATATTACAAAACAAAAATTTCATATTTGAGAGAAAAAATTGTGGAAGGACAAATCCTTCTAATTATACCAGGTATTATCTACGTAATGCAAGTAATAGCTTCATTAAAATTATATTAAAGATAAATGTAGGTACGTCAAATACGATGTACCCCTTTTCATCAAAACCCTTTCCACGTGTAGTAAGATTATTATCATTATTTACAGGCACTGGCAAATGCCGATTGGTACGAAGACCGAAGCGATAATAGCTCCTTCTAAGCTCTAATAAGCATTAGATTCAATTCATCTGACCAACCCGTCATGTTGGGTGTATGTACGTATGATTGGACCCGAATATGTCATAGATAGGCGGGGATGGAGGGAATAATAAGAGGCAAAAACCATAGAGGTACCGATAGGTCACTTAACGCAGCATTGTATTAGGTATATACTACGTAGTTAGCTACTTGCTAACACGTTCTGGTGTTGTTCTGGCGCTCATCTAGCGTGCCGCTATGCAAGCCTCAATCCTTTTCCATGATCTGGAGTCTCGAGCGATCTGTACATCGTGGACGAAGCTAAGTGATAAAAAAGCAATTTACTTCTAGGATTCACGTGGCTTTTAGCTTCTCCATCGCTTGGACTTGACTTGCTAATTTCACTTGTTGCCTCTTCGTTAATAGTTGCAAAGTACAGAGGCTAGAAGCAGAGACTAGAAGGCGACGCAATGATTGTGGGGGCTATTTCTTTTCTTATTCTTGTATTCTCTTCTGCGCCTAATAAAAATCAAGAACAAAAGCATTATTGAGAATTATCTATAAGAGATTATTGGAGAAATGTTGCTTCTGTTCCGACATCCGATCTTAAAATATCATAGTATCAGACGAAGGGTCGAATCCGACTGCAGATGTCTCAACATAATCTGCTATTAGGTGTCAATTAACCCCAATCTAGCGGTACATAGTGCAGGGCAGGACAGCATGCTGAAGCAAGCGGAGTTGTATGGTGACTTGGCTCGTGCCAGATAGCTCGGAACTTGTTTGTCCCTTCAATGCCTTTCCTCACGGGGTTGTCTCGCTTTGGGAGCTAAGGTGTCAGGGAGGCAGGGGTTTTATAGGGTAAGCAAAATAGCTACCATCCCGAAGGAGAGCCCACCATCCTTGTTCGAGTTCTAGGCTGTCGATCACAGACCACGTTAAGGGGTAGAGCCCGCAGCGAAGACCAAGGACATGACCAAAAAGATACACTAAAAAGAGCACTTAAGTCCCAGGGCAAAATAAACCCTTGTTAGTCACAGACCACCCTGCCTAAGCGAGCAGATTCCTGGCGCCAAGTTGACGATCATATGAGATTGGCATTCGTTTCTGAAAAAGCCTCCGAATGTTTCTTATAAGAAACATTTTAACTAACAGACTAATAAAGAGACCCACGTCTTTATGACGCCTATATTATTATGAGGACTGCGTATTAGCTGATCATATAGTCATACCTAGGTATCATCATAGGAGATAGGTATCTATGAAATTTTATTACTCTGGCCAGTATGTGTAACCTATCTTTGCTTCACCCAATTGACATTATAAAAATTGAGCCAGCGCCATGGATATGAAATTATTACGTATGAGAGCATAAGTTTCGTTTAATAAGGCTATCTCCTAAGTATCGCCAAGCATTGGGGGTTCCTTTCTCTGGGGCTGGTCGTGGACCCGTCTCGTAGGACTGCGGTGCGGAGCTTGATATGCAAAGACCCTTTCCTTCACCTCGGATATTCCCATCCCACAGGCACTTTGCTGCATGAGCTGGTAGGGCTCATGTACTTCAAAATGTATGAGGACTATTTAGATCAATGCGGACAGCTGCGGCTCTCTTTCGTAACTCGATCTAGTCTTCAACGAATACGATGTCTTAATATTAAAACTCTACAAGATTTACGAGCAGCTCACGAACCATGGCTCACTTAGGCCTCTTAGCTTACTTCCGCTTCGTCTAGAGGCGAGCCGTAGGAGAATCAACTATGCAAATAAATAGAGAAAATAAACAAATAAACATCAACAAACAGACGCATGGACTACCTAACCTTATTAAGCACGGTAACTGACGATACCGAACAACTCCTTGTTGCAGGTCTTGATCAATGCTGTTGCCGTAAGTCCCGAATAAGCCGGATTATAACTCACGGATAGATCTGAGAATCTGCAGCATGGTCTGAACAGATCAAAACATTTTGGGATAGAAAGCAGCAGTCATCCGAAAGATTGACAGATGCGCGGAGAACCATTGCAGCATGCGTTGTCAGGACTCGTGGGGAGGGACGGCATAAGATCAGCTTGACAATCCGGTCACAGCACAGGCTCGGCAGGGCTTAAAAGACCTCTACGACGCTAACCTCGAGTCCGTTGTCGTCTCAAGTCCCCTACTCTCCACATGAACTAAACCGGGTCCCTTGTCCGAAGTGTACCAAGACAAGGGTCACAGACCAACTATCCGGACGGCAGTATACCCCTAAGGGGAAATCGTGGCCCGGATATGCCATGCACCCAGCAATACCACAACCGCATATTCAGCGAGGATTTCCTATGCTTGGCTTTAGCCAAGACTTTGGAGTGAGGAGGAGGAAGCAGCAGAAGATGAACAAGAAGGGATGAGCTTAAACGGTCCACCGGGGATGTCTAGAGTGCAGAAGACCACGCACACGGACGTCTTTATTGGACCCTTGTTGGTGCATAGGCGTAATAGCCAGTAGCTGTTTGACCTTGAGCGATCCCACGAGAATCCCAGCGGAGCCGTTCTCTTATGCCCATCCTTTCGATCTCACCCACATGCACAGCTTCTCCCATAACACATACTGTATGTACTGCGGTACTCTTTGCATCAGCCCATGCTCTAGGGACCACTAAAAAGAGGCGGCGACCATAAGCAGTTCCAGAGACCCCATCGCCGCACATGGATTTCCAATACATCACCGCTCACCCATTAATAAGGGGCGCTATAAGTACTTTGCCGATGATGCAGGAGGTACCTTCGATACCGGCGATCTACTGTTGATTTTCAACCCAGGTCTGCCGTGACCCACACCAATTTGTGACAGTTGTTCTCCAGGGTTTATGTATGGATTGACGCTTGATCGTCGTTTATATTATACTTGCCGGGAAGATCTGATAGATACATCGTCAACCCTCGTCGTCCGCCCACCATCTACCGCATATACTTAAGTATCCACACTCCCCGTACATATTTCCCAACTGTCGTCTTCAGAATCATTAATCGCCTCTTAAAAAATACCGAGGATCCACGAGTGTCACTTCCTACCAGTAACGCACAAAAGCCTTTCAGCAACTAATATCTACGACTATCGTCGACAAGAAACACTAGTGTTAATATCGTCAACTATATATATTCATCTTAACCTAATACATATACAATGGCCACCGCCATGTACGCAACGCAGCCTGGTGCTCAGTACGGATATCCGCAACCGCCTCCATCACCTCCAATGGACGAAACATCGAAATGTTCACTACCCTCTATTTCCAACTTACTAGTAATGGCCGATGCTGGATCACCGACGACCGAGCAGTCTCCGCAGTCTCAACAAGGTATGAGCGAATTACAACATTTAGAATGTCGACGGCGAAGTACTAAGACTCACAGCAGCTCCATCAGTAAAAGCAGAGACTCGACCAAATTCGTCTCACTGTGTGGGTAACGGACTTTCTCGAGCTGCTTTACCTCCTACGCCTCCTATGAGCTCGGATGCCTCCTTCGAGGGCTACAACTCACCCTCGACGAGATCAGTTTCCGTAGTATCAGCACCAAACTATTATTACGAGACCACCCCGCCTCTAGAGGATGTTCATCGTCAACAAATGTCGGCTGCCGCGCCTCGTATGCCCGTCCAGGCTCCAGCATTCCCACAACCCGCCTTTACCGCGCCAACATATCTTGGCCAGGCGCCAATGCCATCTTACTATCCTGCTACCCTTCCTGGAGCCCAACCAGCGCAACCACAGATCTCAGGGCTTTACTACCAGAGACCACTACCACAGGTTGGTTTAATCATATCGTCCAGCAGTTTCAACTGGGTACTAATTTGCCTATAGACCTTTCCTCCCTTACCAGTGACAGTTTCTCTAGCACCAGCTCCAGGTGGCAACCCATGGCAACACCATCACTACATCTCTCCATCTTCAGCGGCTTCTTTCCCCCAGTCGCAGGACCGTTACATTTGCCAGACTTGCAACAAAGCATTTTCGAGACCGAGCTCTCTACGGATCCATAGCCACTCACATACAGGCGAGAAGCCCTTCAAGTGCCCACACGCGGGTTGCGGGAAAGCATTTAGTGTGCGAAGCAACATGAAGAGACACGAACGGGGATGCCACGACAACGGCAGTTCGTCCCACCATCGCTAGGCCGATATCGAATCGATAATTCATTATTTTTACTGTTTATTCCTAATACGACTTAATCCGGCGCTGCTGTCCTAAAGAGGAGGTCTGCAAAGAGCCGAGAGGGTTACGGATATGAAGGATGCATTTGATACCCATGTGCGCGCGCGGGTTACGCTACGATCTTGAACGGCCGCCTTCTTTTTCTCCAAAAAAGCACTCGCTGATTTTCTGTCTATTTTTATTTTTACCTGCCCGACTATCCAAAGTCACGATGCCTATTTATTTTCGACCGTTCGGGCCGTTTTAAGGGGAGGCGGTCTACCTTTATTTGCTTACTGGGATGGGAATGGCGGGATAGGTAACCGGTTGCATTTCACTGCGCAGGATGTGACTGTTCATTGATGAGGAGCATCGGACTACCAACTTGGGGCATTTACACCGGCGTTTTACACAAATCATTTTGGGAGGGACATTTGTTTGGAACATCCAAAAACAAGAGCAGTCTTACCTCTCGTTTTACGGTATATGAAGCATTTTCTACAGTATTTATTTCTGTCTAGTCCTAATGTATAGAACAAGGACTGCAAAGGGAGGGATGAGAAACTGTACCAATAGGGCCGAAAGGGTCGGGCATTCAAAGGAGAGTTTATGTATGATGGGAGGGGAGATGAATCTGGTTGGGTTAAAACAAAGTAGCTTTGCTATAGGCAGAGCTATGAGAATCAAAATCTTACGAATATTTCAAAAATACTATTTACAAAGCCTCACTTTTCGCATTCTACAGTGATTTATTCCGCTACATTATCCACATATTTTCTGCATGAAGACGTAAGTAACAAATAGGGTTTGTTACCAAACGACACATTATATTAAGCTTGTTTCCCCAGTACTCGAGTAGGCAGGGAGAAGAAACGTCGCTATGCAGGTAACCTTGTTTCGATGGCTGGATGGTAAGGAATTTGCCCCTGCATGGGGAAGTTTGCTCTACGCTGTGTTTCGAGATTCACGTAGGGGTCAAGCCTCGAAAATTTTGTTGAGTCAGAAACAACTTTATTATCTTTTTGAGGTATTATCAAAAGTAGGACTTCATCGTATTATTCAAAGAGATCGCAACATTGCCTTGGATGGAAGGTTAACGACGCCCGTAAACTTGAAGATTCGGTGATTTGAACAGAAGAACCCTTACCTATAATAGGGCCTGCTATTAGATGGATTGTTCCGATACTTCGGTAGTTTCGTTTACGTATATCACTGTGTAGTAGATTAAGATGGAAGATTTAGTAAGTTGCTAAGAAGGTATAGCGGTGCTTATCACTTTACTTTGTAGGGCCGAAGTCAACCTAGGAGGCATACGAGACGTAATGCTAATAATTAGTATATTAAGTCTATTTTCCTGCGCGGCTATGATGTTTGAGAGTGTAGTAGTCACATCTATTACTTCATCTGGCATTTTGTTGATCTCGATATCACCTAAGTACTATACACTAGGTATGTTGTACCTACATTAAGGACGCAAGGTAACAACAAGGAAGGCCTCTTCCAGTTTACTAGATCACCAGTTTCTCGTTCCTCTTGGCGCTGCGACACTATCACGTTCTGTAGGTTATAAACGCACACATACACGCATTGTTACCGCGTTATGACCCGGCCCGCACAGATTCCAAGAATATGTAACCAACTAACCCGCAATATGTAACCTTATGATTACCACAAGCGGATATACCAAATTGCCTCATAACCCACAACTAGTTTCTACGAGACTAATTCTATCGGTACGATTTGGAAGGGAGGGGAGAAGAGGAACGATACTACCCAACCGTCGTCATCATCATTTTCTAGCTTGCCTACTTTACTTACATTGCAGACTTCCTATTGCATAGTAATACGGCGCTACGGAGCTAGGCGAACTGGGTAATACGTAGTTGAGTACCTATTTCATAATAGCGTTTCGTAGATCACAGGCCTGGCCCTGGTAAGTCGCGTGGTAGATGGAGTCAAGATGGGGGCTTGGCAATGCCAGGCATTTGAGGCTTTGTGTGGGGGCATTGTTGTAATAAGGAAGATGAGAATTCCTTTTCCGTCGGGGACTTTCAAGGACTGGCCCGAATTGGGCGGGGGGCAGCCAGTTGATGATTTTCATCAGCAATGCTGATCACGATGAGATTGGATACGCTACCTACTTGGTATTGCCTGTTAATGCTTCATACTGGACCCTCGTATTGTCTACTAGTACCTTTAATTACAGAGATATTCCCTACTTTAGTTATGTATTTACTTGTCTCCTTATTCCATAGGTCATACTATTAGCATGATACATGTACGTTTGCCATTCGTCCTTGCGTTACCGTACCCCCCCTTAAGGTAACAGACGCCCCATTTCTCTTAGTACATGTAAAAATACCTAGGTAATTAACCCCTTTTTCTATCGTGTTACTCGATATGTATGGTAAAAAGCAATTATGACTTGGTAACAGCATCATTTTCCCATTATTACAGCAACATCTTGCAGGCCTGGGTCACGAATTGATTTCCTATCGTGAATCAAGCTGCATTTTGTGCCCCCTTCCAACCCCAGGAAAACCGTTGCACACTTCCCAAAGCGTCGGGGCTTCGCGGCAATGTAATGAGCAATAGTAAGCTCTGTTGATCAGATCCTACAGATCATACCCTGGTGCACCGCAGCCTCGGCCCTCGAATCCTATTCGATCTTATCCGTAATCCATTAACCCGTCGCCAATGAAGCGGTACCCTTCCCACCACTACTGCTGCTACTGCTACCACACACCACAGTTCGCAACCCACACCCTCCCTAGGCTACAGAATGGTCGGTTGCCTATCTTAGACATCGGACGTATGCCTCTTCGGCTGTCCGCATCACCTGTTCATTGGGATCCGAAATCATTGGATCTTACCACGCACCACGCACATCTCCATCGGCGATAAACCAATAGGTGTTGCTATCGAAATCATCCAGCATTCCAAAGAGGCAAATCTGTCCGGCGGGACGCAGCAGGGCGGCGAACACATACATGTATATGTATCGCGAGTTACATTATCCAACTTACACGACATATCACCTGATGTGAATAATTCGCATCTTCCTGCATACCGAAGTTTTCCATATCCCTATACACCCAAGGATCTAAGCTTTTTTTTAAGGTCGGGTTCCCAAGGCTGTAACTTGAGCATTGCATAGGGTCGTAGTAGGCGTACATCCGCGGTATTACGCCTTCTTTATTTTTTATTATTTTTTAATTGTCATTTTTCAATTGTCACGATTAGTTATTTAGCACGGCGCCGAAACTGACTGATCTTCCCTTCCCATGCCATGCATTTGAATTATCCGCCTTTCCCGTTCCTCTGGGACGAGGGCCATGTCGTAATCCCAGCGTCGGGTCACCATTGGGTCGGCTACAATTCCGCTGACACCGCCTCCTGCTGCATACATTCTGTAGTGCGTATTATTCTCACCACTTCTTACCTTCAACAACGTATTCCTGCGGTCAACAACACCCATTAATGATTTATTAAAATCTATTAAGGGGGTTTATGTGAGGAACTCAAGGTTATGTTGCATCTGACTTAATTAAATACCCCCCTTGCTTCTGTTCTTTCATACGAATTCTTCCCCGGGATCAAGGTGACGGATTTAATAATAGTATATTGCCCTATGTATGTCATTAATATACCGGAGGTGTCACCAACCACCACTCTTGAAGTTGTTATGCAGTGTATCTCAAACACTCCTTTGCCTTTTACAGGTATTACAAAAGGACATGTTCCTTTTTGTTCGGCAGCATGACCTACATAGCTACATAGAAAATCCTTTGGAGCCGCAGTTTCGAACTTCCAGCAAACTTCTTCGGCCCCCATGATCCACCGCTTCTTCTGCAAGGGGTCTTCTGAGGTTAGGGTGTTGATGCTGCCCTGCATCGGGAACTACTCTCGGTTGAGATGATCGTCAGGATCCTCTCATCCTGCCCATATTTTTTCGACATCGCTTAATACAGTATGTAGATGGCTAACATAGAGATCCGATGGCCATTGCAAGCGAAGACCGGGCAATTTAATGACCGTTATGCCCAAGTTGATTTAAGGGAACTTTGTAGTCACCGCTTTATTACAACGTGATCACATATGACACATGTATTGCCTTATAGGCCAAGCTTTCGGATAGTAATCTTCAACACATGCCTAGGCACCTATTCATATGTTTCTATTCGCACGGGGTTTGCCTAGGCTCGTTATACCAATTCTACCCAATTCGGACTATCTATCCGTTGTTGAGGTAGCATTTATTCCAAGGACATGGCTAAAAACCAAGATAATAGATTTATTCCTATGCTAACCCTCCACATGGGTTAGTCGTGGCGTACGTCACCCGAAGATCGGACGGAACAAGACGAAGTTCCTGTTTGTATATTTAGTGATCTGCGTTGAATAGATTAGGGGTGTTGCCGAAGAAAGTAGTGATACCATGGCGTTTTAGAAGTTGATCCCACACTACAGTACAGTATCTGGTACATCATTTTTCTATGCCTCTAATCTTTAGTCAGCTATTGACGATCCTTCTTGTCAGCTTCATCTTGTATTTTGTATTAAGTATTTATGCAAAACATGATGTAGGTGAAAGAAAGGTATAAGATTATAAGATTAATTAAAATTAATTATTATGTAAGTACCTACATAAGTACTTATGTATAGACAGGATGTGCATGTAAGATATGCATTCTGCACCGGTGAGGAAACTTACATAAGCGAGCACACATACATATACAACCTGTAAGACTGCAACAACCTTTAAGGTTCGGTACGATACAGCAGTTAGGTACGTACTTACCCAGTGGTACACTTTTTTAGGTACTTATTGCATGTATTAGCAGGTATAATCCTTGTCTCATAATCATATAATCCCTGCAACACATCCCCCGACGCAGCAAGCAGCGCGGATCGTAAGGAGGATCCACACCACCGATACATACGCTTGGGACTTCTTGTGGTCCCAGCGTTCATCCCGTTTACCTCTAGCTGCCCATTCATTCGTCCATATCCCTTTGGGTGTACATACTTTAGGTACGTACCTAAAGCAATGGGTCCCCCCATTTCGGAAGCTCGACAAGCTTTCGACTACGAACACAAACCATGCAACACATTTTTTCTCTCCATCTCTCCATCTCCATGGATTGTATGCACCTCTCAACCTCCGCGTCACACGTCACCAACAAAAAAAGAAAGACACGCTGGCGTTTCTCGGCGCGAACGACGCTATTCTCGGCCGATTCCTTCTAAGAAGCCGCCCTTCTTTTTTTACAACTCCCGGTCAAACGCGGGAGAACTTATGTCAAGCTAAGAGCACATGGTTGACAACTTGGACTGACTCAAGTCACGAAGACACTATTATAGTAAGGTAGGTAATTTCAAGATGGCATCGTGAACTAACCTAGCCTCATAATCTTAACCCATATTCTAACGGCAGATGCCGATACTCTTTTACTTTCTCTACCGCGACTTCGGCAACACATTCTATTCTCTTCATCTCTAGACCAAAAAAAGATGCCCCGTTGCTCGGCTAGGTCTCCACTGCTTAGACGCGGCCGCTCCAACGGATATCCGGCCCTGCCGTCGGCTACATTAGCGCTGTTCTGTGAGATAACACATCATATCGGTCGGTAAGCCCTTTTTTAGGTAGCTTCGATCTAATCTGTTCAAATCGTACGTTTTCTGCAGAGTTAGCCTTGGGACCATTGAAATTGGTCCCGTCGGCAACAGCACAGCAGTAGTAGCAGCAGCAGCATGAATGGAAGAAATGTGGATGACGAAGCTACGAGGTCCAGTTCTAGTCCCGCCTACGACTTTTTTCACACTACACTACGCTACACACATAATGGCGCAAAAAGAGCGGTCACTATAAGCTTCAAGATCTGCAACCCCATCTCGGTTTCAAAGTCTTAGTACATACATTACATACTCGCATATTAGTACATACCTACCTAGGTACATAACCCTCTCCCTACCTACCTAGGTATAGGTATCTCACAGGGGCAAGGGAGGAGTAGGAGGAGTTTTCTCCGTTCCCCCACGGGTCGGCCGCCTAGGTTCCGACGAATGCATCCAGTCAGCGTTGTAGCCGATGCCACTGAGTGTTTTGTGTTTCGTCCGGTCGTTGCCAACGTGGCTCGCGGGAGACAGCACTACCAGCCCGTGATCTTTTCTACAGTCACAAGACTCGTGCGTGCTGCTCCGTTCTGCAACCCGATCAGCTAGAAGGACCGACTCTCAAAATTACCACCGCCCGAAACAAACCGTAGAGCCTCCAAATCGAGTAATGTGTACCTGTACAGAAGGGTCCCTAGATCTTCTAGATCTTCAAAAGATTCGCAAATAGGGAGATTCATCCCCGTGGCAGGTTTCCTTCTCGAAGCCCATCCTTCGCCATTCTCCGACATCCTGATTTGGTGTCCCGTAACCACTGAGTCGGCGACGTGGTGGCTTATGACGATCATAACCTACTTGTCTGTCTACTTTCTAGTTAACTAAGACCGGCCATAACTCCGGAGCTGGTTCATGTTGCCCAGGACAGGAAAGGAAGGACAAGGGGGTATCGTGGCCAAGTGTTTCGTCATCCACGGCTTGAGATCTACCCGTGGCCAGGATTATCTAGACCAGGTCATCTGGCGTAGAGCGGTCTGGCACTGCGCAGGATTTGCTTCTCGGAAACTTCCACCACCACTACTGCACTTTAGTAATATCCGCACTATTATTTGCATTGACGGTGAGAGATCGCTAGTGTGTTGTCCAAACCTCTGAGGAAGTTTCTAGTGCCGAAAAGCGCTGTTTTAGAAAATGAAATAGGCGATTAGCAGAGGACAAGCGGAGGGAGAGGAAATGCCTAGTTTCTCATCGGCGATATGGGATCGTAAATCTAAAGGACACATAGTCCGCGCATGAGATTATTCCCCATTTTGCTGCCTTCGAAACACCCAGATTTCCACTACTTTCCTAGTTTCGCAAGTGCCTAACTATTACCTTTTGATGGTTTTCACCCTCACCCATCAAGTCCACATCGAAATATGAAATCATCATTTTTACTTCTCTTCGGATTATAAGCTTATTTCATGCGATTCATACATTTCAATCGCTGATTGTTAGACAGTTCACCATCCGAATTATGGTAGACAAGAACAATGGTTGAGCCCCAAAAGATGCGATGGATCCTAGTCTTTCGGCCGCCGTTTCAGCCCTGCTAATCATCTGCCCCTGGCTCAGATCAATGCGCGCATCCGTCTTCCCTCTCCCAGCCAGACCAGGACTCGCTCGCTTAGCTTCGAGAAATGCCCAATTGAGGCCAGACCATTCTTTCGAGCGCATGAATTCCGAGTCTTTCAATCCGTTCGCTACCTAATTCTAACTCTAATTAACGAAAGAAAAGAACACAGGGAATGGAACTTACCGTTAATGCTCGTGAGGATTATCGCATTCGTTGACGATCATTAAACGAGACGAGGGGGCACACCCCTGCCTTAGATCTTAGAACCCCGGAATGCGGCGGATAAACTCATACTTCGGGTGTCGCAGACGTCACGGATCGCCAGATGTCCGGAGGCGCCGTGTTTCTAACTTTACCTTGATGCTGGGGTGTTGTCTCGCGGGCGAAGAGCCGCATCGCATGCTTGTTGATGGTGTCGGAATATAATCGATCCGTGAGATGGTTACGGGTTACGTGAGGTGAGGTGAGGTAACGAGTGTTAGCTCAGGACTCGCATGAATGAATTCGATTATAGTTCTCGGATGCCGTCGGGTCAGCATTCTGAGAATGTTCATGAGCGTGGTAAGGTAGGTTGGTGGGATGATGGGCGGTTGTGGTGATACGATATCAGTTGCTTCCCGGTTTTGCTCGGCTTTCGCATCGGCTGCTTCGTATATACAAATACTAGAGATCCAAAAGGCAACTAGGTATGCGTCGATGCCATAGTTAGGGTCCCAGTAGATTTTCGTTTATTATTTATACCTAAAATGGGTTATCGAATCAATTAGACATCCATCGATCTAAGCTTCTTTTTTCTAATCTCTAGCAACGCAGCCTTTCCCATAGATATTATGACTAATTAACCCTAGATCTTTCGTAGTCTAGTAGTACATCTCGTCATTCCAATATGTCGTGTCGTGGAATATCCTATGTCAAGTCAGTCATTGTTTCCTTGGAGTTTTGCCCAATGTTGATGCGGGTACTTTAAAGGCCTAGGAAAGCTGGTTTGTAGGGATAAGAATAAGGAGTAGGGAGACATACTCAGGACCTGTAGCAACTAAATCCCAGCCAAATGTCAGCTTAATGAATTGACTGAGATGGCTCGCCACTTTGATGGCGCCCACGTCTGTTGGGTGAAATTGGGGACCAATGTCGTTGTGCTGTACTGTAGTTCATTAAGTTAGCTAAGGGCTCCATCATTACCTTCACCTCCTCGAGCATAATAGAAGTAGATAGGAAAGCTAGAACTTTGGGAACCTACATATGCCCCTGGTGCTGAAGTAATGCACGAACTTCTCGCTAGGCGCATCGAGTGTCGCAGTGGTGTTCGTCGTACCGTCCCAGGTCTTCGGTGCGGAGAGGTACTCGTCGGAGTTAAAGTAGGCGACGATGTCCTTAAGTTCTTGCTCGTACCCTAGGTCTTGCGTATAGCTGTTGCCTGTGCGGCTAAAGCCCATCCATAGTTGCTGGGGGACTGTTAATTAAGTACATAGGAGACGAATGTTACTGCTTAAAGGGGGGTAGAGACCATACCATCACTATGACCTGCGCTTTGGGATATTTTCCATGCACGCCTTCGATGAGCTTTGTGTAAGCATCAACGTAGGTCGCAGTGGTTACATTGTTATGGGCGTTGTTGTCGTTGGTTCCGAGGTTGATGACCACTATGTTAGGGGTTGTTTCTTGCTTGCTGAAGTCCCATTGCTCTGGCTCATCTGTGAAGTAAAAGGGGTGAAGTTAGTCGTTTTCCTCGATAAAAATTCCTGACTGCCACCCAACTAAACTTTCCCCTCAACTCTCGATGACCTACCTCCATAGATACTCAAAGCCCGCGAACTCATATCAGACGTATAAAACCACTGATGAACCTGCCCACGCGCATGGCCCCAGCAATTCTGATCCGAGACGCATATCCCGGGGAACGCGATGACCGAGTACTCCGTGTCTCCCAGCCCAGCGCCCACGCCATATGCAAAACTCGACAGACCCTCGTAGCTTGTGTACATACCAGCCGAGAGGCTATCACCGATAAACTCAATCGTCCGGTTGTACGCCGGGATCTTGACCAACGATTCACCCGCACCTACATGGACCTTGTCGATCTGCACACCGTACTCCCAGTTTGTGACGCGCAGTTCAAAAGTTAGGGGGTTGATGGGCTGCGTCTCGTTTACGCCGGGTGTCTCGGGCGAAACGAGGAGGTGAGTGGCACCCGCTGTCACGTTGGTGAAGGTCCAGTCTAATCCCGCGATTCGGTATCCGATGAGCGTGCTGTTGATGGTGTGTTCGCCGAACGTTATGGCGACGGTTTGGCCTGTGAAGCCGAAGACGAGGCCTGGGGCTCTAGTTTGGTGTTAAGTTCCATTTCGCTTATACTATATATGATGGTCACTTACGACCACCAGGAGATCTTCTTAGAGTCCCATCTCCCCTTATACGACAGCTCGGTGGCATCCGCATCGTATGTGCGGAAGTCATATGAAGATATGTTTATCTTAGTATCGGGGTAATTTGTAATCCTCACTTGTCCATTCTGAAGAATCGTCCCTACGGCCAAGGAACATATGCCTAGTAAAAACGATAACTTCCCAGCTAACATGATGATCAACAGGCGAGCTCGTTCGTGGAGTATTATTCATTAATTCGTCCGAGACATTTTCTCCATTTCCAAGGCTGAATGTATATAGGCGCGATGGGATAAGACAATTATATATAGTTATTGTTCATTCATTTATGACATCGCGATGGGAGCTCTACCAAATGACAGGGTTTCATTTCGTTAAGTAATTCTGGGCAGTGAGCTCCGAAACAAAGAATGGAAATACCTCTGAATCTATCCATTTGGAATGCCGGGGTAAACGGATGATATACGAAGACGGAAGAGTCATCCTTATAGCAGTCTTCTTTCAGTCTACCCAAGGCCGCGATTTATGGTAGAGCGGGCGAGTTCGTCCAAATTTGAATAGCTTTCAGCACGCCTTGACTGTACTGATGATGAACATGGCGGAGGGGCGTCTTCCGCATCTTAATTGAGCGATATTGAGACATCCCGAGCGGGCAGGCTGCAATGCACTGTAGATCTCGGGTCAAGGTAGAGTACCATGCAGCGGAACTGCAGCTGGTATGCATGCCCTATCCTATCCTACCTATCCTATCATTCACGACAGCGTAGCCAAGTCAGTCTAAGCCTTATATGCTGTAGCATGGAAAGATAGAGAGAAAATAACCTTAGATCGCGGTGACGAGTTAGCTAGGGAATATATATATGGTAGTATGCAATGTATGTTGATGAGATGCGGCTCAAGCTAGTTATATAGATGTAGATGTATGAAGATGGTACGTAGGTACTTGTTCATATTTAAGAGTTGAAGAGGATTGAAGAGGATTGAAGAGAAGGAATGCGATGACGTCGGTAAGGTTTAGTTATGCTGTAGGTTTATTTAGTTGATAGGATTATGGCGATTGCTCCTACCACGCTATCATTAGCGGCATAGACCTAAGATCTACTGTACCTCACTAAATTATTATCCCGATCTCTCCAGGGCTCTATCTTTAACTTCTTTAACCTTTCAACTTCATTCCTTTCCATATACCGACAAATGGGTATATTACAACAACAAACTCCCCATTCAAACCAACATCAATAAATTGAGTCAATAAGAACGAATAAAATCTTATCGCTAGGTCCAAATGTCTTCACCAATCTAGTACAAAACCCGAAGCTATGTTTTTCCAACAACATACGTAAGCGCTAGAGCATTTAAAGCGACCTTCGATCGCCCTTCGATCCATACCTTTCGACGCAGGGGAACGTGCTACATAAACCTGCTAGGTACCCGTATCAATTGGCGCGCGTTGTAACAATAAAAGGAAACCAGCAATTCGGCTCGGGTGGGCCATTAGGTCCTGAAATATTCATTCTCTCATACCTGTCTTGACCTATCTTGCTACCCTTAGAGATGCTAATCTGAAAAAGTCGATTGTATATATTACTACGACCTATGATATCCTCGAGATATTCACTACCCTGGTTGCAATTAGCCCCGCCGGTTCCCCAGGATAATTTTCTCGGTGACCAACCAACTTACATTACCAGACCCTAGTCCCCAGTTTCCTAGTGTGCGGCATTCCCATCTATGTACGAAGGTAGCTTTGAATGCTTTGACTGCCCCAATTCACAAGCTCATCCTTCTAAATTACCTCACCGGCCTGCCTCTTTCTCACCCAGCCCTCACCTACTCGAGGTAACACAAGGAGTGAAGCCGGACGGACCACCGCCTACTGATAACTGATGACGCTTTTCTTTCTTCTGCGGGGAAAAAAAGAAACTACTGCAGCTGACCGCCATACCGCAGCTTGTTCCCCATCCCGCGAAGGATTCGCAGATTGCGCCGAGGAAACCAGCAGGTCCTTGTATGGGTGTGGTAGATAGTAGGACGAAGACGGAGTAGGTCGGTTGCCGGTTGTATCACAAATTTCAAAAGAACCTGGATTACACAGGGTGCCGTCCTAATTCAGCCGTCCATCTCCCCTCCATCTTTTTCTGCGAACCCTGCCAGGCCCTTATCCATCTTCGAAAACCTCGAGCGAGCCCGTCCGTCCGAGTTCCTCCAAGACTCCTCCCCTCACCCTCATCCTCGCCCTCACCGTCTGCTATGTGGCCATTGCACCAAGCCTTGCCTTGTCAACGCGCCTCCTCTCAATTTCCTTTGCAAACCCATACCTCGAGACAATGAAGCCGCGCGCCGCGGCCGACACGACGCTTGACCAAAGGGTGTCGCAACCTCTTTTGTACCAGAAGTACACGACGTTGCATCCGAATCCGCCCCGCTTACCGCCGTCGTCCTCTTACCCCCTGCTTTACCGACGCTGCACAACGCTCGATTCCTAGCAAAGTTGCAGACGCAGACGCAGAAGCACCCGCAGGAACAAGAAAAAAAAAAATAGTGCCTCTTACGGGCAGAGCCATGCCGACCACAGAGCCCAGTACCGTCGAGGACACGCAATTGGGCTTGACCGAAGAGGAAATCAATCTCCTTCGATACCACCAAGCTCAGGCCGGTTCTTCTTCCTCGCGCGCCGCCAGCCGCGCTTCTTCCCAGGGTCGCCTACTCCTCGATGGTTCTAGCCTTGCCGCGTTGTCACGACATCTCGACCGCCTAATGCAACAAATTCAACAGCGCATCGAGTACCTTAGCGAGCAAAGCTCCGTCGTGACTATGCAGCAGTATGACAATGCAGGCAATCTGGTGGACAATGCCGATGCTGAAATTGCGCGCTTCCAGGGTATAATGGCTCAAATCGACGAGCTTGAGCTCGATTTTGATCGCATTGCACATATAAGAGACATTGTAAGGGATTATCGTCAACGGGTCGAAAATTTAGAACGTGAACTCGACAATTCAAGCTCATCACGGCGCGAACATACTCACCGACATAGTCATTCGCATCGACACGAGGGTGGCTCTTCCGGTCGCAGACATCGACATTAAAATTTAATTACAAAACGGGGAGAATAAAATTTGTTATCGCTCTGTGGATCAGGGCATCGGGAAGCAACCTCGCATTAGGATGAAAAAGAAATTATGCGTTCAGCATATACCAAATTTATAATGAAAAGTCCCCGCTGAGTCGAGAACAAAAGGAGGTGGAAAAGCTATTGATCGGATGGATAGAAACACAAGGTCACACGACCGCGGGAAAAACGGCCGGAGGCATTCAAGTGATTTCTGCCTTAGGCACATCGGCGGGCAAGTACGGCACCGCCCCATGGAGGAGACATTGAGGCTTGGAGCTTCACGAGACTGAAAGTTATCCTCCATGGCTAACGGGTGCGGTTCGGGGGATAACAAAATTCCACAACTTTCTCATACCATATCATATTATCGAAGATGAATGGAGCCTCACGGCTGGACAAGAAGGGGATAGCCTCGCGGCTTAACTTTTTTCTTATTTTTGGGAACCTTTTAAGGCGTTGGTGTTTCTTTTCGAATTTTTGGCCTAAATACCCCTTCCCCACGAGATTGGATGATCTATTTCGAATGAGCGAGCAAGTTTGCTTACCTTATAGGTATATTGTCTATCATTGTTATATTATTACTATTTTTCTGTGTTTCGCTAAAAAGATACCTCTTGGGTTGGATACTCTATTTTGGAATATGTTTTATACAGCTATTATTCTTGTCTGAAAACAGATTTGTTGGTGGACTTATCACCAAATTGGCTTCAATGGCGAGCATTGTTCAGGAGCAGATACAGATTGGTGTACATCATCAACAGAATGACTTCAAGCATACAAATTTACATGTGCCTTACTACTAATCTTTCTTCCCAGCTGTTCCGGTATAATATTCATGTTTTCAACCATGGATGACGCCATTATATGTCGAGATGGCTAGGATCCGGATCTTTATGGGTGTGATGGAAGTTGGTTGGTAAGCTTGCCTCTGCGGGAATTTCAACGATATGAGGATTTCGAATTCGGCACCCCTACTGCGGTGAGATGGATATACGGAGGACAGGGATGCGATGTGATACGAATTGACATGGTGGTCGACTGCTATCCCCGTGGTTTTATGACTAGGTTTGTAAGTGAGTAGGTTAGATTCTCGACAAGTCCATGGGTTTTCAAGGTACCTAGATTGATATTGCTCTAATGGATTTAGAGGGACGTAACAACAACTGGTACTGCAGCGCATTGTTCTATTTACATACGTGGCGAATATTAGGCTTTTCACCTATTATTGCTCGGGAAGATCGAAACCTCCCCATCAGACTATGGTCAAGAATAGACAATCCAGCATACATGCGGCTACTAAAGACATTGAAATCTTTCTCAATCGACAGAAATTGATTTGGACGAGGGATATTACATAGTTCGGTATGAAAAATACCCGGTGCAGACATAACACGGACCTCCGTGTTGGTGATATCTTCATCCCAGAAACGGCATAGTTGACCTTATCAAACAGCATCATGAGTCAGACCGCGTAAGGTGAGAGATAAACCTGAAACGACTCAAATTCGAGTTGGAGAGTAGGTGTCATAAATGGCGACGAGGGTGATGATGTAGTATATTCCTTTCGCAGAAGATTGCTTGACACTGTATCCGAGCTTGGTGGCACAAGCCCTACCTAGGTGAGTAACCGTCTCACCTTGGAAAGCATCAAGGACACAATAAACCATAACATTGAAAACAACATGATAGTACACTACCGCATCGGATGAAGTCCATTTTGTCTCTTATTATCCACTACCAGCTACCTGAAGCTGTACACTTCCATACTCCCCGGTGTGAGAAGAGATCGACCTCGTAGTCTCATAATACACGTAGATTCCACGTTAATATTCGATGATACGTCACTCTTCTCTGCCTCTCCTCACATGCTCCCTCCCGTGTTCCCTCGCCAGTAACTGCAGCATCATCACAACCTAGCGACGAGAACATCTCAATAATCCACAAACGTCAACTTCCCCCTAATCCCCTCCGGCAAATCCTCCACCCTGACCAACCCCAGCAGGACACAATCACCCAAAAAGAACATCGCGCGATCCTGAGCATAAGCCAAGTAATCAAACTCTTCCGCCGCCTCCGCCTCTTCTTCCTCACCCTTATTCCCATCAACCGCATCTGCATCTCCATCCCCATCAAACCCAGGAATCTTAGCCTGCAACACCCCCCACGCAATCCAAAAAGCACTATTCGCAACCCTCCAAATCCGCGCCTCCTCCACAAGCGCCTCAACCTGGGATTCCGCCTGTTCCTCACGTCGTTTCTCCTCCTCCTTCCACCCCCCGGGGGGCGCGCGCGAGTCTAACATGAACTCCTTGATCGAGCTCGTAGATCCCAGACTCGTGGCTCCGAGGCCGGGTGTACTTGGTCCTTGCGTAGGCGTCGCTAGGGGTGTAAGATTCGGAGTCGACGCGCCGGGGTGTGGGAACTCGGGGCGGTGGTTTACGTAGGCGCGGATAAAACGGCGTTGCTCGTCGGGAGTTGGGTAGGCGCGCGTGTCGCAGGCGAAGGGTGCGTCTTCGTTGTGGTAATTGTAGCACCACTCTGTGAAGTGGTTTGCGAATTCGAGACCCCGGGTATTAGCAGCCGAGTACTCGAAGTCTATGACTACGAGTTGTTTGTGCTCGTAGTTCGGTTGGAGGAGGGGCGATTTTTTGTCGTCGGGGACTACGCGGAGGATGTTTCCGTATTGAGTCTGATAGGAGTCAGTATGGTGTTTAGTGTTTGTTTAGAGGATATATAATGAGGAGGGTACTTACATCACTATGGGCGAAGACGAGATGCTCCCTTAATATACTGGGACCGCCATAGTGATCGTTCAGGAATCTCCGGTACTTGTTAACAAGCTCCGTAAACGTACCCCATTCGACACCGCAGACGAGACCTCGCTGTTTCCATGTATCTGCTGGACTCCTGATGGGACCAGGGTCGCCGGAAAGGATTTTTTGATCCAGGTATGTGACCACTCGCGTTGCTCTCTCAAGCCAGTTATCCCAGTTCCTAAGCACCTTAGGTCCATCATCCCTTTCTTCATCTAGCAGCTCGATACCGTCGTGAAGCTCCCTCATTCTCTTCGCAATCTGCTTCGACGTATCTGGATCCCTAAGGTCGGCCGCCGTAAGAGTGACTGCGTTAAGGTATTGCTCGAAGCGACCGTTGGTGAATGTCCCTAGTAGTCGAGGCCCAATTCTCTTCCTGGCTAACCGTCTCAGTACACTCAGTTCGTTCTCCCTATCGATAATGTGGTCGGCTTGAGGGCCGTAAACTCTTAGGAGTAACTTAGCCGGCGTTCTCTTGTTTCCTTCCCCCCTAGTTACCATCCCCTCCGGTGGAGATACGACGTAAACAGCATTTGTTAAAGCCCCGCTAAGGCGTGTCACATCCATGCTCTCGCCGCTGTCTAATGGGACACGCCTCCATCCCTTCAGTCTTAGAGTATGCGCCAACTTGATAATTTCGTTCTTGAACGTAATCCACGCTCTGCGTTCCTTCTCTTTCCTACTCGAAAGCGAAGTGCCGTCCTCCACCGAAGGCTTCCCCCCAGAATAACCCAACGTCTTGGAATTATCGAGTACCGCATCACAAGACGGGACCAAAACATCGCCATCATGCCACTCCGTATCAGACGAAGCCGTTCGTTGCATAGTAATAGACCGCCTCCGTTGAGATTTCTTCCCAAGTTTTGGGCTATAGTGCGGAATCCCGCGAAGACCTAAGGTACCCATGCCGTCATCGATGATCTTCTGCAACCTATCTAACGACACGTCACTGGACTGGGAGTCGATCGAATACGCCCTATGCCTCTCGGGTTGTTGATGGGTATCAGTTTTATCGGAATCATCCTTAGTGGGTTTCCGTTTACTCGAATGGACTTTCCTCGATCGTCTGTTTTGCTTCTTGACTCGTTCACGCTCCAACCAATCAGCAACTTGGGCAACAAACCTATCTAATTGGTGGTGGTGATGATGATGGGGAGAAGAATGTGGCCGAGCACCGTCTGGTTGTGAATTATGAAGAGATTGGCTACTGGTATGGCTACTCAAGGCCTCCAGACTGGTCTGTGTTAGGATGGAGGTCCTAGAAGACCCGAGTTCCGGCATGGGTGGACGACCGCTTAAGCGTCTTGCAACTCCGGCGGAGTATTGCCTTTTAGGAAGTAAATCTTCTATACTAGTAGGATCTGGCTCGGGCTCGGCTATCTGAACAGCTAAGATAGTGTAAGTATTGATGCCTAGGTGGTGACTATTTGATAAGGAGGGGAAGGTTGTGGGCTAGTAAGAGGTGATAGATTATATGCTTCGAAAAGTGAGCACGTGGGCTTCCACAGATAGATCTATTGAACTTGTGTTTGTTCTAGCTTGGAAGTAGTTCGGTAGAAATGGTGAATATGAATGGTTTGGTCCTTTTTATCTGATTATATATACACTTGTTCGGTAAACCACGGCAAACTCACAGTGTACTTGATGATGCTGCCTGTTATGATTAGGTAAAGACAATCACAATAAGGTGAATCTACGTGGGTAGAAGAAGTGATATAAGCCACCCGCTAAGTCTCACGCGACCACGCGACCATCTTTGGTTTGGGGTAAGATAGAGCTGGTGTATGAATGTGGCGGTTCTAGATCGTGGAAAGTGAAGAAAAGAAGATAAGCAAACCAACCTTTAGCGCTCGCAGGGGTGTTTTGAGAAGATAATCTTTCCATATCATCGTCCTGTTTTAAAACAGATCGGAGTGGATGACCGTCTCCGGTCAGATTTGGTGTAGATGTAGACATATTTGATAGATATCCCCCGCTGAACGAGGAGGGGCAGAGAAGAGGTAACCACCTAGACCGCTTCCGATACTATGAGAAACAGTTAGACAAGATTGTGTTACCGCCCTTTTAGTAAGGGAGTAACTAGGTTTGTAGTATTGTAGTAGTTCATGTGAATAAGAGTAGATAGTAGAAAGGGAGATAATGGTGAAGGATTGCCTGATAAGAGTCGCAGATCCAAAAAGACAAAGATTAAAGAAAAAAGATGCATACAAAAATATTATTGTCGAATAGGGTAAGTACAATTCCTATCGGACGGTCGCTAAACTGCAATGGCGGGGGGTCCCTTGCAGGAGGTTACAGGGAATGTACCCTCGCGATAACCTTAAAAAAATTACTCGGGATAGTGTAGATGGTTGCTTTTTATTCCTAATGCGGTATACTGATATTAATTATGTCTCAAGTCTGTATTCCGACTAGAATGCGAAAGCGAAGCGATAGTGAAATGATGCATTATTACGCTATTCACGCACAAAATTCGAAGAAATGCTGTTAAAATTGAAAATCCTTATCATTAAACCAAGTTTGAAATAAATGTCGCTAAATTTTCAATAATTTTATTTGGGTTGACCTCTTAGATGTTGAGTTCAATAGCACGTGCCTTTCTCCATGACGTAAAGTATGTCACCTCGTCACCTTGAAGGCAGTGGGACTTAGGCGCCTACGCAGCTAACCTTAACTTATTATTTTCGTTTGCAAGACCAGAAATTGATGGTTTTTAATTAAACTGTAACACCTACATATGTCATAATGAGAGAGCTATATAAAAACCAATGATACTAACCCAAATACTCACCTAAACATTTTACCTTGTGTAACACTACAACTACAAAGAGACCTGAATAGATCACGATTATTAAGTATTTTATATAATCACAATAGAATAGATGAATGAAAATGAAACTGAGGACTACGATGCCTCGAATTTGGTAAATGTATTCGCATATTACATAATGTGCATGAACTATACCGCTGTTCTGGACTGTACGTAAACTACCTCAAGACTGCTTCACAGTACTACGAGAGGTAAATCATACCTGGGTAACATTATCTTCTCAAGGCACTTTGACATCGTAATTAACCCTTTAGCCCCTTACCATCCCACCCCTCCTTCTCCAACGCCCACTGCACCGCTGCTTGGACATCATCCATAATCGTCTTAGGCTTATACTTCGGATCCCCTCCCCTCTCAGGACTCCAAACTCCTGTCCTCACCAATATCGAGTCCCATGGCGTGCCAACGGGACTTTTATAGTCATTCGCGCCGCGAATATCGCTCGCTGGGTTATCCCCTACCATATACACACGGCCTAGTGGCTCCAACCCCTTCGAATCAACCCCTAATACTTTCGCGCGGTGTGAGTTCAGCACTCGTTCCGCAAAGCTGTAAGTCCTTGCATGCGGCTTCCCAATCGCTGTGCGTTGAAGCTCTGTTGTACCACCGGTGATTTCGGCCCATATACCTGCGATTGCTGCTTGGAAGGCACCTTGACCGAATCGTGGTACTGTAGTAGTGAATATCAGCAATGGCTCCCAACATAAACCCGACGTAGTTTGAGAAAAAATGGTAGGTTCCAAGATGAAAGGTAAAAAGTAGAAAGAAGCCACATACAATGATACGCCGCACTCCAAAACAAATCCGGATTACTAAAAAACAACGGCGGCTGCCCATCACCCTGCCACCCACAGTTCTCCAAGTCCGCTCTTCCATTCCTACTAGAATAAGTCCCTAATTCACCACCACGTGAGAGTAGCAAATCAGTGATGATCTGTATATCCAAAGCCCAATCCCTCGGATCATTGAACACGAAAATGGCGGATATGACTGGGTTTGGAGAAGGCAAGGGACGCGCGGTAGAAGCGTAGAGTTCCTGCATTAAGGGGTCGAAAGGCCAGATCGTGGGCTGTGCGACTAGGATATCGGCGGGTGTGATAACGTGTCGGAAACCGTAGCGCTCGGCGATGGCGCGGCAGCGCGCTGCGTCGGAACCGGTTACGAGGATGTTCTTATCGCGCAGTCCCCCCTCGTCTTCAGCGTCATCCGGGAAACGGTGCACGAGTTCCTGGAACGGTGTATGTGATTGAATGAAGTTATCCGTGGTAAGTTGAACACCGAGCTTATCGCTTAGATCCGCCACGCGGTCAGTTTCATGCTTCCCGCCGCCGTTGGTGAGTAGGATAAACGGGATATTGTGCCGCTGGAGAAACTCCAACGTGCGCGTGGCACCGGGAATCGGCTTGGCGACGTGTAGGAGTACACCATCGATGCTATAAATTTTGTAAGCACTGTACACTGGATTGCGGACTCCTCCCCTTTCCTGAGGGGGAATGTTCTACGGACTTACTCAAAAGCAAAAGCGAAGGGTGGGGGCTTTGCTTTATGACTTATGCTGTATGATCGGGAGAGCGAGATCCCGCGCCATGTGCTACACAATGGCGTCTGTACATGACCCCCAACGACGCCTCTTCTCTTTGCCAAATAGCTAATCGGACTGGATGGCGGTAATGTGTGGTGGGGCCTAACAATGCTGGCCGACACCGCGCGAGGGGCTCGAATAGCCTTCATGATGAAGGATAGAAAGAGGGAAGAAAAAAAGGGAAATATCTATCTAGATATCCACCATGTATTGACCTCCGATCATGCTTCGCCCGGACGACGGATGTCGTCGGAAGTTAGTGCTTCATTCCCTTGTTGTTGTTATTGTGGAGAGTTCCGGATTTAAGCCAAGTCAAAGTGGTTAATAATTGATAAATTGATTGACTTAATAAACTGGGTTTATGTAGGGTTCCATTTATCTGGAATCTTGGCCGGATCTTATCGGAGAATTCCAGAGCCGGTGCGACTTGATATATAAACGTAGAAAATCCAATGCTGAATATGATATCATTTTTAGAATACATGCATGATAATATCAAATAGAATAGTCACTACTCTACGTTATTTAATCAGTACTTGAGCAATTAGTAGAAGTACTATCTCTTTGTTTGGCACATTATGTGATGCCAGTATCAAGATATCTTATACGGAAGGTTGACTTTAATTCTTTATATACAATAGCCATGTCTTGTCAGTTGATACCAAGTATCAATTATAATATCACAATTCGAGTAGGAGAGTGCCAACCCGCATCATCGCATATATACACCCCAACCTCTTTTTATTCTCCTATTAGCTCAACCCCCTACTTCCTCAAAGGACCCCTCCAATCCTTCATATGATCCAGGATAACCTTCGCTGCTTGATCTGGGCTATGCTGCCGTCCCAACGCCTCCACGAAATCACCCTCCGGATCCATAAGGTAAAAGTAAATACTATGATCGACCAAATAATCCTGCCCCGGTTTCACATCACGGGGTGTACTAAAGTAAACTCGATACGCCTTACACACATCGCGAATCTGTTCATACCCTCCCGTCAACCCAATAAAACTCGGATGAAACTCCTTTAAATACGACTTCAACACCTTCGGATCATCACGCGCTGGATCGCAAGTAATAAACACAGGCGTAAGCGCATCGGGCGCTTTCTCCTGTACGAGATCGAACATACGCGCCATCTTATCGAGTTCCTCGGGACATATATCGGGACAATGTGTGAAGCCGAAGTACACCTAGCCACCACCACCACACATACAAATTAGCCTCCCACGCCAAACGCCAAACACCAAACCAGTGAGTTCGCAGGACAACTTACCAAACTATACCTCCCCTTCAAATCCTCACTACCAAACACCCTCCCCTCCTGATCCACAAGCTCAAACCTGCCCCCAACCTTCGGCTTGCCAACCCCCTTCGTCGCAGCAGCAACCCGTTTCCTCTGCATACGCTCCTTCTCGCGCTCGAAATACCACATTAACCCCCCACCCGCAATCACAAACAACAACCCCGCTTTCCATGAAAACGGACCCGTGCGGTATCGACTCCGTGCCTCCTCGACGGTTTTCGCTTTATATCTGCGTTGTTCTTTGTGGGGGCTGGCAGTATTTTGTGGAGAGGAGAGGGGGGTTATTCGTGGTCTAGAGGATGTTGTGGATGTAGATGTAGATGTAGGTGTAGATGTAGAGATGAACCGCCGACATAGCTGCTGCTGCTGCGATTGCGCGCACGATCGGGCTCGACTCTGGTTTTGTATGAGAGATCGGAGGAGAGGTTTCGGATTCGGTATTGATCGCGACATCTTGCCAATTGCCTTCAACCCCCAAGACTAAACTCGAGTTTTGTAATTCCAAGTATCTGCGATTGGATCTTTCGGAGCTAAAAATTATGATAATAGAGCTTCGATAAATGGTCAGTTTTTTTTTTTTGTTTGCTGGATAGTGCTTAGGTAAATGCGGGGAGCTCCGGCGGGTGAAAAATGTCTTGGCACACGCCACAAGGTGTGGTAGCTACAGCCACACACATATCAGAGATGGATGGGATACAAAAAATTATGTACCTAAAATAGGCGCCGAGAATCAAATGACCCTTTCATCGTAATGGATTCGCGTTCTTACATAGTGCCACTTATACACCCTTTAAAAAGAGAATCTTATTTCTTAAATCTTGCTAAACTCGAGTCCGAATACACTGTTTTAAGTCAAGTCAACCTCGTCACTTAAAGAATACAATCTGCCTTGCCATGCTTAGGAATGAGGGCGAATCGGAACAGCGAATTACATTCCTTTGTCACGATGTATTATTATAACTACAGTGCTCTGCGTACAGTTTTCCTCATCTGCGCAGAGTGTCAGAGTTGATGCAATCCTATCGCCTTATCACCATGACCTCCCCTCTCCTTCATCCAGCAAAAAAGCAAAAGACCCAAGCTCAGTTCCATTATGCACAAGTCGATCGGAAGGGGACGAGACCCAAAATGTTCATCGAATACCTCTTTGACAAGGTCGGTGGTTGAGAAAGGGAATAGGGTGTGGAGATGAGAAAACGCCCAATGCCGGATATTTTTCTTAATTTTCGGAAATGCCATCAGAATGCCCGCCCCGCCAGACCAAGTACCGCCGTTCCCTTACAATAACCTCACACCGTATCAGCGGCGCCGTGCCGAATAAAACGAAAACAATGCAGCTCATGCAGCTCCATCTATCTTTTGTCGTCAATGCCCTTGAATACGCCGTAGGAAAAAAAAGCTTCGCCCGTCTGTCCGTAGAGGGATGAAGCAAAGAGATGGATTCTCTAGGCAAAATATCGACGAATAAAGTATCACCGCCGAACTATTAGGGCACTCTTATCTCTGGGTGCCAACGATATGCAACACAACAAAACGACCCAAAGCCGTTATCCGGAGAAATTTCGTAGTCTGGATTTCAAATGTCTTTACAATAACAAAGACTCGATACTGTTGCCTCGGTCTCTAGAACCCTAAAGGGTATATCATGGTCTGAGCTTGTATGGTAGTAAGGCCGCAGAACCATTAGGGTCGGCTGACCTGACTCTGGCTTGCGCTTGTTCGGCTACGCTCCTCCTCCTCCTCAAGCACATCACTCAGACGTGTCGGGTGGTGGTGGCGAGGACCCTGGCCTAAATCATCCCAAGGTGCCGAGTATCCCGAACCGCTATAATCGGGCGCTGCAGAGTATTGCGGCTGGTGCGCACCAGCGCCGGTCGGTTGGTAGACGTTCGGCTGAGGCGGCGCTTGCGGCTGCGTTGCGGGCGTCTCGAACTCTTCTGCTGGGATGTCAGAATGATTTAAATTGTAGGATTGACCTTGGGCAGTGAAGTTTCGGGGGTCTCGAACGGGGCTGGTGGTACGATCAATAGTACCATTGATGTACTGACCTTCGCTGTAAGTTCCCTCGGAACCATAGCTTTGTTGGTGATGAACAGATGAGGGAGTCTGGAAGTCCTGTCTTCCACCCGAGGCCGGAGTAGGCTTAACTGCAGGTGCCTGTGAATATTGAGATCGAGCAGCGCTGGGCGAAGTGGGCGATTGGGCATAATCGGCAGGGTCCGTCTGGCTATAATGAGGCTCCCGCTGGGTGTTGCTGCGACCGACACCTTGAGTCATCGGGACGACTTGTACTCCACCGACTATGGTGGGCTGTCCAAGTTGTAGTGACATGGTACGATCTCGCTCCTCTTGCTCACGTCGACCAAGCTCCTCCCATGCGCGGCGGGCTTCCTCCTTGGAGATAGTTAATTCCTTGCGCAGTTCGCTTATCTGCTTCTGCATCTTGGAGGAGCCCTGCTCGCGATCGACCGCCTCACGAATCGCGTCCGCTCGGCTTCGTCGCTCTTCTTCTAGAGCTGCTTCGAGCATAGCGGTAACCTCCTGGGAACGCTCGATCTCGGCGCGGGTCTCGAAGAACCAACGTTGGAACTTGCGCTCCGATGAAGCCCGGAGGCGCTGTAGCTCGACAACGGCATGGAATAGGTTTGCGCCAGCGGAGGAAAGGTCAGTGACCTGTCGCGACAACTGTGCGGAGATAGGATCTTGGTTAATCTCTTGCGCGCTCTGTTCCAGTCTACGGATCCAGAAGCTCGTAAGGCCTTCCCAGTGGGCAGATAGAGTCTCCCAACGTTCAAAAGCATGAGGGAACGAGTTTCTTCCTCGTCCGATGGCTGTGGAAGTCTCGCCCATCTGAGGCGGAGGCTGCTGTTGAGCACCACCAGAAGGACCAGCTAATCCAGGGCCAGAAGATGAGGCGCCAGGAATTCCTTGGGTACCGGAGGTACCTCGTGCATGTCGCGCTGACGACGACGGCTGGGCTTGGCCTGTAGTAGGGATGCGGGGCTGTCCCGCTGGGCGCGCATTAGCATCTGTGGTTGCGCGACCTGATGTAGTTTGTTGCGCCGGTCTTCGTGTGTTATCGGCGCCAGCAGGAACAGTGCCGGCTCCGAAGTTGCCAGCGCCAGCAGCGGCGGAAGCAGCAGCAGCAGCAGCTCGACGTTCCGCCTCGTTACGCTCGGACTCTCTTCGCAATGCCTCTTCTTGTAGTCGCGCCTCGTTTTCAGCGTGTTCTCTCTCCGCTCGCTCCCGTTCCTGTTCTTCTCGTTGTCGGTTTCGTGCGGCTTCTCGCGCAGCTCTTTCTTGCATGATCACACGGGGACCTCTAATCCCAGAGGGAGAGCCGACAGCTGCTCGGGCCGTGGTTGGTCGCGCCGGAGAGGCGCCATTACCATTCGAGGTCGCAGGACCTCTTCCTCCCATGAGATCAGCCATTGGGGCGTATAACTCGACGGGATCGTCGGAGATTTGTTTGGGTCCGCGCAGGGTTTGCTCGAGTGCATATAATATGGCACTATGGGTTTGCTTCGAGATACGAAGGGCTGGGTGCGGCTCGGGTTTATTAGGGTCGGAAGCAGGAGGAGCTGTCCCGCGGTTGGGTGAGGCGGTACTACTAGTTGTTGTCGCTTCAGAGCCGTCGCTCAAATTCCCTTGCGAGAGTTGGCGTCTAGGTGGCTTCGGGCGTTCTCTTCGAACTTGTCGCTCGGTACCCGCTAGAACGTACTGTCCTTTAGGTCCAAGAGTGACGGTAACTCGGCCAATTGACTGTTGACGCGTTGGCTGCGGTTGCGCCTCCGGTTGAGAAATAGGAGAGGCTGAGAAGCGCGGGGTTCTTCGAAGTCTATGAATGGAGGAAGGGGTTGCTACCGATCTTCGTTCGGGCGTAGTTAATTGAGGGGATTGCTGGTGTAGCCCGCGCTGCTGCTGGCGCTGGATTGGGGTTGTAGAAAATTCGTAACGGTCGTGACGGTCGTAAGAGGGCGTAGTGGGTTTTTGTTCTGTCAACTTTGCTGTCGTTTCTCTAACCGCGCGATATGAAGTTTGAGTCGACAACTTGAGTAGCTATCACCACTTCTAGTGGTGAGACAACCCTGGAAAACAAGAAATGGTAGGTGCTAGAAGTACACCAAAAAATCGGTGACGAGCAGAATTAAAGCTTGGCTGAGACTTTGAGAGGTGTAGAAATGACAGTAAAAATGTAGATGTGGATTTGTTGCGCGTATGTACGTGAAGTAGAGGTGCAGGTATGGGTATGTTCAAGGGTTGGTGCAATTTGGTGGACGGGTATCCTCTAGTTGCGCTCAACCTCTCGAGAAAGGCGAGGGAACCAAAAGAAAGTGGAATTGATGGAGTAGGTATCTTTGGGTGAAAAGATGTAGGAAATAGTACATCTAATCAATCAAGGGAAAAAATAAAGTGGTTTGTGTTGTAATTAGATAGGGATCGTAGAACGCGGTACTGGTAAGTAAAGTAGGTGGTTGGACCAATATGCGAAATCCAGTGGCTGGTAATTTTTTGCTGGGAACTGGGAGAGAGAGAGGATGCAATCACGAAAAAAAAAAAAGCCTGGAACATTGAACCAATTCGGCTGGGTTTACCGGGGCGCAAGGACGAAGAACCGCAATTCATGAAATTGAAATATAAAAATGTTTGCGCGTGCTTATTTTGTCGTTTTTCGCGTCGCCTTTTCTTCTATCCTTCTGTGCTGTTTATCTTTTTGGTCTCGTGTCTTTTTTACCAGCGTGTCTCTTGACCTGGTGCCCGATGCACCACTTATACTACCATGCGAACCCAGCGGCGACAGCAGCGCCAGCGCTGCCTTGTCGCTGGACACAATCAGGCGCGTAGAGAATTAGAATTGAGGAAATTGAATTTTGTAAAAAGAAGCTTGTTGTTGCGATCATATTCGCATTTCAATGGCTCTTTGAACGACGGTGCCTTCTCTTTTTTTTTGCAGAGAAACAAGATGATGCTAAGATGGGAAGAAATAGGTACTGTACTTCATTGAAACTACATGGGAAGCTGGTAACCTAAGGAACATGGAAGGTACAATACGTAGGATTAATTATTACACTCTCGCACGGTCCACCTCATTCAATGAATGCGTGTGTTGAATGTTCTTACCAGATTTGCATCATTATCAGTGCCGTATTAAGAGATGGAAAGAGTGACACGGAGATTATTCTGGTACTTTAGGTAGGAGGTATCCAGTTGTTTCCTTGATATAAGGCTTCGTTATTGCTTCATACCTAAGAGATCAACATTTCTTGGTGTCAACCTTACTTGAAAGAACCAATACCCACCCGGTAACTAAAGTTAAAAGCCGGCCAACTCAGCAGTGACCTTGGGATTACATGCATCTGCTTTGATTTGCGTCGTTGCAGTTTCTACAGAGTACACGACTCTGTTGCTTGACTTATATTAGACGAACATTCTAGCAAATTACCTTATTACTCGACAAATGACTAGTCACAAACATCTAATATCTTACAATGGCACAGCCGAAGGTCCCGTTTTAGAGTCGATAAGGTTTATCGGGGCTCAACCGTCTTCTCCAATGACCAGCCTTGAGCTCGGTATCCATCCATGACTGACAGCTGTGATACTTTGATAGGGGCCAAGCTAGAGTTCCCAAGTTTCGCTTGACGCCCGCAATCATGTAGATCCGCCCAACTTTTTTTTGCTTACGCTGTTCACACCACAATCCCCCCTCCCAAAATCGCAGGTGCGAGTATTGCTGGCGCACAACGCATACCTATACACAAGGAAAATGGTGGGGGGTCGATTAAATATCTTGGAAATTGTGGCATCCATCACACAGAACACATAGAAGAAATTATAAGTAGAATAAAATAGAAAAAGGTGCTAAAAAGTGTGCGTTGGCAACTCAGTGACGAAACATTCATGATTAGCGTCATGCAGGCACTGCAGAAGGAGGGTCCACTCCTAATCCACTCCCTAAACTCTGACAGGCTCAGGGCCGTCCCAAAAAGCTGGAAGCACACCAACCCTGGAGCTCTTGTTCGCAGGGATCTTTGGAGTAGTTTATCCTAGGTTTTTCCCATTTGTCTCGGATCGTTCCTGAAGATCTAAAGGTGTTCTAAGACATGGGAACTTATTATGGGCAATTATTTATTATTTAAATTGTTTAAATCGCAATCATAAAAGCCATTAATATTGAGCCGTATAGCCGGTATGAGTGTATTTTATTAATCCTAAACAAAATCTCTTATTGCCGAATCACTTCAGGAAATGTGCGCTAACAATCAACGTTAGCTATCGCCATATCATTAATTATTAGCGCACATATCTAGCAAGGGAGGGAGCTGAAAGTCGCAGAAGCATAAAATAGTGCATAGGTGCTAATGTCTATGGGGCGCATCGATACTAAATACTATTTAGGACTTTCGAAGTAAATAAAACTTGGAATAGCGACATTTATACGAACACCTATGAGCTCATAGCCAAGAAAATCATAAAACGGCCTGGTATCCAATCCGCACCGACAGACGAAACGAACGTTAGGGAAACCACATGGGACGACCCGTCCCTCCACCTAGATTTATTCAGGTAGGTAGCTTCGAGGAATTGACCAATCAGAAGCTTTAGTCGGGCTATCAACTCTCTCTTTCGCAGCTCTATCCATGGATTGTCAAGGCGTGGCCAATAGTGGTGGGGTAGCACTCGAGGGCTCCTTTTTCGACTCGAGAAAAGTGAGTCGTCATCTGACTTCTTCGACTTCGATCTATCGAATCTCTAAGGGTTACTAATTACCTATTCGCATGTTAAGTTACCAGCTGAAGGTATATACAACTTCGGATAGTCCGACTTCTAGAACGTCATATAAGTATCCGCCTGATCGTACTAAAGTCGACTAGAAAGCTTAGCTAGTATTTTTCACGATCGCAACTAAGTGGAATAGACCTCGGCAGTACCATCTCTTTATGTGTAAGCGTGAATTATCTAAATAGGTAGGAGTTGCGCGCGCTTAGTTTGTATTCATATCCGATGCGCGACTACGTAGTTACGTGCTGAAATCAATACTACCAAAATTTAGGCATTTCCCCCTTTTATTAGTACGATGGATAGAACACGAAGTGTAAAAAATCCTCAAAATGCACATTGAAGAAACCCGAGTTAGTAATTGCAGTACGAATAGAAAACTACCTGCTATGATTTATAAGTAAGGAATAGGAATATGTGTAATTTAAATTAAAGTGTTGTCACCGCCGTTTCTTATCGTTCCTACGAGTGTGATCCTTCCTATATGCCCAATACGGTAGGAGTAGTACACGGCGTTAATGTTGTGTAAGCTAGGACAACCCTAAAAATAACCACTACATTTTCTTGTCCAACAGTTCATGATAGAGCCGTATCCAGGTCGTACCTTGTAGGAAGCATCGGTTTGCTGCCTGTGGAGTAGAAAATGCGATTTCGGTGAATCTTGATGGTCCTTCACCGTAAACACTTTCGTCCATGAGCTGCGCTTATTCTCGCGATCGGAAGTTTAGTATATTAATTGAGTGCAGGTTACCTTCACAGCATGTCGGTAGAGGTAGAAAATTCATATATCATCGTGAGTTGTCGCGGTTACATACAGCGATTGTGTCACGTCACCGGAGATAGCTATGTACATTGGAGGCGAACAGACAAATTGAAACGAATGTAAGGGTTATGGCTTCTTGTTGGGTTTTCTTTCTAATTACAAAGACATTAATGACTAGGATATATACTTGTCGTTGTGACTCTATACATAATGAAGGTGTCCGATTCCCGTCGCATCATAAGGTACGTCCGTCTCTAGTAGTCGTACCGGTAGCAGAGGTGGCCCTGAAGAGTGTTAAGGATGTCGCGGACCTTAAGGTCAGGGCACTTGGCACCGCAAATGTTACCCATGTAGACCATGGTGTCGAGGGTCAGGGGCGAGCAGTTAACGTTGTCGGCGCAACCGCTGATGGTGGTGCGTCGGCTGACGTCGTCAATCTGCCACTTGCGGAAAGCGTAGTCAACGAATAGGTGGTGCATGAAGAATGCCGGGTCACCAGGAGAGGCAATGGCATCGGCCATGATACCACCCATACCGTTGTGGCCTTGAGCGTGGAAACTGTACAAATTGTTAAAATAGGGGGCATGGTAGTCACAAATACATGTAGACTTACGTGAACTCAACGCAACTGTGGAAGTCGGGGTAAGAAGTACGCGACATGCACGTGTTCCAGGAATCGATACCGGTCTGAGCAGTAGTCTGCTCGTTAACAGCACGCTGGAGGCAGTGGGGGTTGTTGGTAGTCATGCCAGGTCCGAGACTGAGTTGCATTCCAGAGAATCGCTATCCCGATTGTTAGTTTTCTTGACTCCTAGAATAGCTCTAGGCTAGTAAGAGACTTACGCCGCTGTTGATGCAAGTAGCAGCACCATTGGTAGCACCGGGCAGGTTACCGAAGTACTGGTTGGTGAAGATGGTGGCCTGGGAGAACTTGCCGGCCCACTTCTTCTCGTCCCACCATGGGAAAGCCCTGTTGAAGCCGCATTCGTCGCGCATAACCTGTTCTAGGGCCCAGACATAGTAACGGTGCCACAGCAGGAACTTGTGAGTCTGCTGGCTGGTGCTCTTGCTGTGAATGTTGGGCGAGTACGACTGGTGTAGACGCACGAAGTCCTCGTACCGGTTCTTAGAGGGCGAGAAGTTTCCGGATGGCGGCTTATTGATCAAGCACTGGATGGCGTCCACGAAGGCCTGCTTGTCCGAGGCCGAATAATGGTCCCATTCGTAGCGAACGTTCGGGTTGGCGCAGTCGCCCGTGTCGGCAGCGGCGTTCGTGCTGGCCGTGCTAGCTGTAGCTTTCTCTTCGGCGAGCGAGAAGAGAGGTTCTCCGTCGAACGAGATGGGTAGGGCGCTGAAGTTGGTACCTAGCAAGTCCAACTTGTTGATGGCATCCTCAATCGAGATGGCATGGACACCTCCGAACTGAGACAAAGGCAGACCTTGAATCTGCGGGACGGATGGGATCGACGCGGCAGAGACCGCCGAAGCGAATAAAACGGCGGAGGCCTTCATATTAACGGTTGGGTTGGTTACCGTGTATGTATATACATATATATATACAGTCAAAAATAGGCAAACGAGCGGCAGACGATCGAAATCGTTAAGGGAACAAGAACCCAAGAAAGATCGCCATCGCGGCGCCTTACCAGGTTATATAGGCCCCTCGGTCAGCCGAACCGTTGCGGGTCCTCCTTTTGTCTTTCCAACTCCCATTGTGGAGTGGGCTGGCGTTCCCGACTACTACAACGTAGTATAAAGAATTGACCCCCGGTTCCTCTCAAATGCGGGTGTGGTCATCCGTGCACGCTCTCCTCTGCCCTAACCTATCCAGCTTCTGCCGGGCCAAGGTATTGCCCCTAGACGCTGTGTTAGGCGTCTAGCTATTGGTTAATTTAGGTAATACGACAGCCGGCCGATGACCACGAGGTATGAAAACGGCGAAAACAGCTTAGAAGCTGACGGGTTTGAATGCCGCATACGAGACTTTTGCGAGATTAAGCTATTACTATTATTGTGTGGCGCTGTTGACGGGGGGCTAGCTAGTGGTCCTTTCGTCCTTTTCGTACAGAAAAAACAGAAAAAACAAGGGGGGGACGTTAGGTTCCTAAGTCCGATCTGGGTTGTCTGGCACGATAGGTAAGCTTACCAGTACAGATTGGGGAGCTGACAGCTTGGTGACAGCGCAATACAGCACAATCCAGCCCTATTTCTGACCAATTAGACAAGCTATCGTTCGACGAACTACATGGGCCAGGCTCTGTTAGCGGCTCCGCTAGTTATGATAAAACCCGGCTTCTTTGATCATCTATACGAAGGAATAGCCTATCAGAGTCAGCTCGGTTACATATGAAGAATTCCATTGATCGTTCGAGATTTATTATGACGCTTGTATATATCTCGCAGATTAGATGAATGATCCATCACGCTATTATGTAGGGTGCATTCCGAGTAGCTTATTGTAAGCGATTGAACAGATGCGACCGTTCATCATTATAGTCACTATAGTTGTCGAGATAAGTTGTATCGTGTTGGTAGAAGCTTGTAAAAAGTGCAAGACAAGGTTAACTGAAAATAGTTCTAGTTCAGGGGCTAAGATCCAAATCTACTCAAGGTTTTGATTTCTGATACATAGGTACCTTCCTGAAATTACCACAGTTACCCCGAATGCCCCGATATTCGGGACCTGGAAGCCAGGCAGCCAACCAAAAGATAGGATTTGTCAGGGGTTATTTAACTTAAAAATCTTAACTGGGTTAACTGTGCCGTGGCCCATATTTGCACCATGTGGTATCCAAGAAAAGTGCAAGAATTCCTACCGTTCTTGCCGTGCATGAGGTGGGCTGATTCACAGAATGACATATTCGTATTCGACCGCATTTTCTTATTAGCATTGAAGGGGTCGTACCAAAGTATGTAAGCGCAAGAAGGCAATTATATAGGATATTGTCAAATGAAATACAAAAGTAGGTGTAGGCGGGTTTATGTAAGTCCAATGCGACATATGACCGAATTAATTTGTATGCGATTACGCGCGCTATTATCGACCGAGCACAAAAATCCTATCCAACATCTTGTACTTCATGTGAATTCCCAGAACGTAACTCCAAAAAGGGAATATCTACCAGATATCTATCGGATTTATGTGGCGGTGCAGGCGGACATCTGACCAATTGAGTATGCAGATGTGCATTTAATATTAAGGATATTTGCATACGTATGCGATGGATTTGGAGATGCCTTTCGCGGTATAGGGCGGGAATAAATAGGGGAACATACAGCCTTTTCTTTACAAGGAAGACGGAGAGGGATCATTCTGCCTGTATTTGCTATCGCCTATAACACATATTAGGTAAGTAAAGAGCTGATCTTGCGGATTTTAAGGACTTGGTTAATAATTACGAATTGTAAGCATCTAATAGGGATAATAGGGATGTTCTCAGTTTACTGATAGCCTATATAAGACCTGATCGTATTGTTTAAATTGACTGTAAGTCATAGGCTTTCATATTATGTGATATTCGAGCAAACACTGTAAGTATCATTTTTCTTTCTTTCATGCTTCCCCGTGTTTTGTCTCGTACAATATGAATTGAAGCAACTCGGAACGAAATCACCGAAAAACAAGCAAGAGCCTACACATCGCCATATATTCCCCGATGCTGTCTTGTAATAATAAATTTAGCATCGGCCTAGACCAGGTTGAGCCTTCGGGTATGAGTAAATATTCAAATATTGACCATTAGGCGGACAACAAATTATCAAACAACACCTCCCGAGGCTTCTTGATGTGAAGTGCCATGCAGCTAGTTATGGACACTATCCTATAACCAGTTATTTTCCTGTTGGTATTCGGCGGAAAGAGGCATAGCCCCGAGACTTTAGATATATCGAATGCATATGTTGAGAAACCGCATGGAAGGCTGCAGTAATCGGTATTCTCTTCTATTCCTCGATACCGGATAGCCAACCGATCAATCAGGATCGATTCCGGAAGGTTGGAGGCGTGGACCCCTATGGACCCTACAGAACGCCATTGCCGATCCACGACATGGAATTGTAATGGTATTTCGTGAATTTACGCGTTCTATAGTCGGAATTCAAAGACGAAGAGATGGGAAAACCCCGAAACTCCTCACCACATTTGTGGGGTGGTACGGGGAAGAGGTTGACTCAAGTATCTTTGATATCTTTCTCTTATATCACCTCTCATATCTCGATATCATCCCTCAAATTACGTACCGAATGGCAATGCAAACGACTCTAGACTCGATAAATTTGTACACCATGATAGTATTCGTGCATTAGGAGACATGCAAGATAATCTACTTCGAGGTTAGGCCAACTTTGATTGAGATGGATTTGTGTAAATGCATGCATAAAGTGTAGACTAAAGCATCTGCAGGTTCTCCGAGTACACAGTTTGAATAGATATCGGGGATGTTCCGACCTTCAGTGGGTTTCAGCCACTGTGGATAGATTTGCCGTGCGGGCGCAGGCTTTTTTAACTTTCATGGTTTTCAACAAGTGGCAGAGTGGATGCAGCAATGAATGTAGGAGGCCGGCGCGGATGGGAAAGCAGGGGGGTGGCACCGGAGGCCGAACTCTTTCAGCTTCCCGTGTCTCTTCCCCACCTCTTCCTCTTTTTCTTCCTCCACACCACCATCATCGCGGCATTCTCCCTTTCTCAGTTATCAATTATTCAACACTTATTATGTGTTACCAACATAAGTGAAATACCATTTTCTAGACATTCAATTACGCACATATCCGTATGAAAACTGATATCAATTTTTCTCCTCTTCAACAATATACGCGGTTGATTTAAGAGACGCGTCTACTCCTAATTGTTTCACGGGATTATGCCGACTATTCCGCTGCAAGATGCTTAATGCAGGTTGAGGCGTTCGTTTTTTTTTTCTTTACTCCCAAACCCGAGACATAAGACGCGATGTACAATCAGAGTATGCGAACTGATTGCTCAATCTTGTAAAAGCCTAAGTTAGGTACATAATGGGGACGAAAGACCCGAACTATTGGACGATCGGCGAGACCTAATACCGCAATACTGTCGATCTCCCGGAGCCTCACGAAAAAAAAAAAAAATACAAAGAGAGAAAACAAAAAGGAGGAAGGACACATATCTACCAAGTATTATTAATTCCTACCAACCCTTTAACTCGGAGAACCCAACTACAATCATCTCCTTATATGAGGGAGCTCGATGCCTCTAGGAGGTAATGACGTCGATGCCGTGATCGTGTCTCGGCGTATGGTTTGGTAGACCCACGGACAATACCTCCGTAACATGTACCTTGGGATGGGCGGTGGATTTTTTGCGGCTTTTCACTAGCTGAAAAAACAGCGGCACTAAAGTCAGCACCAACGCAACCACAATTTGAAAAATTTAGGTCAATACCCGCCGCTCGCTAGATATTGACAAAATTGAGGCGGGAACGGCTTATAAGCCAATCAGTCAATTTGGCTATGCTACCGTATTAATGGCTTCTACATGCAAAGTCCAAGTTTGGCCATGCAGGGAGGATCGAAGGAAGTGCAAGCGCGTTTCCGAGCAAGCAGAATCGGCAATACTTACACTCCCTACGCGTCTCCCTTCTCTTTCTGGCCTATCTGATCCGTCACTTTTGAGGTCTGAGCTGCATAGTAGTTCTGCTACAGAGCTCGATGAAAGGCCCGAGTTCCCTCGTGGGGATTGGAATGGTAGCACCCGATACATTCTTTCCGCCATTCGGGAGAGTTCCCTACCTTTTTTTGTGCTCTCCCTCCTGCTGTTTGTCCACCCATCCTAGGTAACTTGAGGTGTGACTTGGAAGGATGTGGCTCCCCTCCTCTTTGAGTGCTAACAGCCATGTATTGCCTCCTATTCGACCACTTCCATGCAACTTTGGGACTTTGTGGAAGAGGCGAAAGGCAATATGCATAAGTCTATCTATCTATCTATCTATTTCCCTATCTACTTCTTAATACATAAGTATTTGCTTTCTTTTTGATTCCCCGCCACCAACTTACGGATGTGGGACCATTTTCATATCTGATCAATACTACAACACTTACAATCCCCAATCCCGATACCCTACCGTTTGCTCGCTCTTCCATGTACCAAGTTCCAAGGTTGTTGGTTTTTCTTTATCCTGTTATGCCTGTATGTCTAATCGCATTCCGCCTTCCCCAGTCCGTGACGTAAGGTGCCGTACGATTGGAACAGCATGAATAAGACCCCCATATGCAAGACGGATCTCACACACAAGGTATTTGAAGTCTCCCTTGCCTGTTATGCATTCTGCACTCTGCACAAACAATCCCACTTGTCTCCTAGGTGCAGCAGCTTAGTTTAAGACGCGAGCCAAGGAGCGTACACTGCCCAGGTGCCTTACTATGTCAATCGTTGATAAATAAGGTATCCCTATCGACCATAAGCGTTGTGGATTGATTCACATTCTGGTCTCCTTACTAGCTTGTAGCTTTTTCCTTATCCTTATTGTATTATTTACTTTACTCCAGTCCTCGACCGCCCGGATCTACAAACTAGGGCTTTATTCTTTCGGCCCGTGCTGTCTTGGGAGGACACCAACTCCCCCTCGACATACTCTATAAACTCTGCGTATCCGTCGTAAGGACTCAGAGTTGGCCTTCGATCTTGATCGATTTCTCAGATTCATCGTGATCATGGAGTTCGCCAACCACTTGTATCAAGAGGAGGCTATCATGGACGGGGGGAAGCTCTCGCCAGACGTCATCGCACCCAGGAAGTCCAGCCTCGCCAATAACTTCTCCTACCCTAGGCCAGAGCCAGAAAGACAACTACGTCGTCATGAATCAAGTGAGAGCCGATCATCGTTGACGTCCGATGGCTCTATGCCGGGTATGACAGACTCATCCGACTCGGAAACATCTTTCGAAGAAGACATCAACTATAACACATCGGCTAGCGAACTATGGGACAGTTTTTGGCCGGATAACACCACAACTCCTGGGGAGCAGTACCCTGTGCTCCTACGAGCATCACAAGCACCTAATTATTTCACTAAAAGCTTCCCGAAGCACCAGTCGCAAGAGACGGATGACACGATTACAATATCAAAAATCGAGCTAGATTCTAAACTCACTGCGGGTTCATCATGTGGGACCTTGGTACCTCAACCATCGCCTCCGCGCCCGGCGACGAGGAACGGCCCGCCTACCTACTCTGTCTACCCTAAGCTGGAACCTCCTAAGTTGCATCGAGTCCCTCTTCCACCACGAACATCGTCACTGCTTCCAGCACCGGTCTCACCACCCCGGCGCCAAGTAGTCAAGCCGGCCAAGTCGAGCGCTCAGCTTAGACAGAGCAAGTCATCTCACAGCCTTAAACGCAACGCCATGTCTTCGGTTGCCAAGATTCCTATGCCCCCGATGACATCCAACTCAGTGCCCGTGTCACCCGCCTACCCTCCACCCCCACCACCTAGGGCTCTCCGCTCTACTTCTTCGGCTATCAATCTGCGCGATAAGAAAAGCTCACCCAACCAAAATCAACACAACACAGCAGTGCCTCTGTCGCCACTCAGCACTATGATTGCAACTCCACTACCAGAACCCCGATCGTCTTCGCGACCCGAGTTTGAACGCTATGTATCAGTTTTTGAGATCGATTCAGATCACGAGTCACATGTGGGAAGTAGTAGCTTCACTAAACGTATTGCACGTGGTTTCCACAAGAAAAGCGCGAGCGAGAAGCGGAGTGGCAACGACCGACGCGGAAGTGAGGACTCCAACGCCCATGATTCAGAAAAGGAGAAGGAGAAGGAGAGTCCAAGTCGCAAACGTGGTGGTAGCTTAGGTCGAATCCTCGGACTCAGAAGTCGATAAGCGTTGATCTAATCAACGCCACCACTGTCACAATTTTTAATGATTTTTTTCCACGTCATTCACTTTATTGAAGTTTATTCGGGGATAGTCTGTCCGCATTTTACAACTCTTGTACGAAGACACTTTTGTACGAGCTGGTTACGCGTCGATTTTTTCCTATGTTACGGTTGCATTTCCTGGTCGGCACGGCTGGCACGAGATCGGTTCATGAGGCGAACAACGGATGATGAGAAAAAGGTGCTACGACCGACACAGCAATAAGGGTACGATACTGGTGACTACGAATCTGATACGCTACTACGTGTAGATAGAACATACAACTCGCTCAGGCGAGAGGGGCGCAAAAAGGGGAAAGACTAAAATGGGGTTTGTAAGATCCATTAATGTTACCAACGTCGGTATGATTTGACGACGACGAGAGGAAGTATGGCGGCGGGCAACCGCAGCGCTTCAACGACGAGCATCGAGCTCAGTCCAATCTGTTTGTTTGTTTACTTATTTTTTCTCTACAATGAGACTCGGGATGTCTCTGGTTGTTTATTGGGTCTGTTATTACTCTGTGTACAATACTGCTATCTATTTTTTACCATAGCAGAGACCGATATCTGAAACATAAGCTAGTTAGCTACATTACATATAAACGAACATACATAATTTGTCTATGATCTATTCCATCTTAATATCCTCTGTTTCGACTGCACGTGTCTGCTAAGAAGTATCCGCATATAGCACTGCTATAGTCTACGTTATACCAAGTAGTTTGAAGATATCATGAGCAAGTTATTTCTTTTCTACACGAAGCTTCTCCTCTATCATACATCATATTCAGACAGCATCGAATATCGCAATTACCTATGCATAGTCCTCTAAGTCTATCGTAAACACCATGCGTAATGAAACACTCCGCCTCGCATCAATACGCAGGTCTACGATCCAAACCTCCCCACTCCGTCCAGCTAAGAAAACAATGGATATCCACCTAACTGCATACCCAGCTCGATGGATAGATAAGTGTAGCAGCTAACATTAATAATACAATAATACATAACCCTACCTAAATATGGAATTTTTGGAATATTTCCCCACATTCTTGATCGCAGATCGATGCATCGATCGGGAAAGCGACCGAACCGTTGGAATCTATTAGCGTTAGACCGGCCTAGAATTGTCTCCCTTCGTAGCCTTCTACTTACCAAAATAACTCCTAGTCAAAAATTTTTCCTTACCTACGTTCCTACACACCGGGCCTACTTACAGAAAATTCTCCCTGTGCTAGGACTTTTAAAAATTACTTGGAATTCAAGAGCCGCCGACAAACGACGTACGCTCGGGCCCATGGTTCGTCGCTCTCTGGTCCGGTCTAGGAGATCAGGTACCTAGAATATCGAATATCTCCCTACCCAGCCGTTCAGGCACATACTATCGGTGTGGTTGAAGAAGCGGTAGTTCACACCGATACCATCGGCATACCGACTATCAACTCTCCAACTAGCCACTCCTATACCGCCACAGTTACCCAAGTCTAAATACCTAAACTAGTCCGTTACCAACAGAAAGGTAACCACGGGAATTGCACCGATAGCTTCGACCCCTGGCCCTAAGTTATAGTCAGTCCACTTCTGAATCTATTGTTTAGTATCCGGCTAAATCTGTATTTGGGTACCTCACCGCTTTTGAGTCAAGCTGAGTTTCCACACAACTAGTATACTGCCATATCGTTACTTACCTAGGTAAAGACGTATGATCATTGCTATTGAGACTTACGCAGCTGCTAAACTAGCTGGTTGGTTGATCTAGACTCGACCCTCGAGTCTGATCTCGAGTGCCGATATAACCGTTTAACCTAACAATGGCGAGTCCGTGTGCGGCCCCCTTGAAGCGGCATAACTCGACTGCACCTATGTCGCCGTCTAATCTCATGCAGTACGGTATTCACTAATTCACCAATGAAGAAAATCAAAACAGTTTTTAACCCCCAATCAAAACTCCCATACTCAATTCTCAATAGTCGCCTACTATGCAATCTCTATAAAGATAATGGCAAAAATAAAGGTATCGCTCCAAAATAGCAAAAGGTATCAACCTCGCTTTTCATAAGAATCATAGCTTTTTTCGACCCTTTTCGAGGGTCTCGTAACCTTCATCGCAATCAATCTGTTGCTGTCGCGCATTTCGCTCATTTGCGCGCCCAATGACTATAAACCGTATTCCATATACCATAAACCGTTACCATGAACCCATAACCATGAACCATAAACACCATAACTTCCATAATATCTCGTGGAGATCGTACTTGTACATCTACTTCGTAGTTCATCAATCTGTTGCAATCGCTCGATATGCAAAACTCGCTCAAACCAAAAACCAAAAATAAGGTAAAAAATACAATAACAAGAAGTAAAAATAAATATCAATATATAAAGCCCAACCTAACGGTTGAGAAACGGGCCGTTGCCGCGAGACAAAGGCAGGGAAATTAGCTGGCCTCTAGCCCTCTTGTCATACGTCCGGAGTTTCTTGGGGTTGACCGTGTACTTGCTGTAGCGCTTGACTCCGAGCTGCTGATCGTTGTTTCGTCCGGCGTTGAATGCCCACCTGCCCTGTCTGTGCCAATCTTTGCCAGTATCTAGCCTATTGGCCAGATCCTTAGATTCTAACATTAGGTGCAGGTCGAACGCCTGGTCTGAACGTAGTTGCTCGTCGTGGCAAAAGCTAATGATTTCAGCTAGACAGGTCACTGCGTGAGGTAGACGGAATTGTTGTCTATTGGGTACCAAGCAGATGATACCGGCGACGTATAGAAACAGGAGGGTGAGAATGATGGCGAAGGCGGGGAAGTTCGGATACATGCGCACAACCCCAGAGGGAGGAGTCAATGCGAGAAATAATCCGCCACCCAAGACTGGTATAAGTGCGAATAATGGGGCAAGAAGAGACACGAAGGCCACCCTCCAGTGTTTGTTCCCCAAAGCCCTGAATGTGGATTCGAAAGGTAGGCAAGTCGCATAGTCCAGAAGGAGCGAGGTCTCCGCTCGTGAACCTTCTGCACGCGCAAGCTCGCCCCAAGGGGTGAGAATGCGTAGCGTTAGATCTAGAGGTTGGAACAGGAGGAATAGTATCATGCCGATTAGCGAAGGGATGAACGAATAGAGGAAGTCGGCGGCTGAGAAAGCACCTGGCGCGGGAGCAGCGCTCAATAGAGGGAGGAAACCATTGCGCAGATCTGTGGAACGAAGAAAGGAGACGACGATCAAAGCAATTAGGAGGATGGAAGACGCTACTGCGAATAGAGCGATTTGGCTATCCCGGAGACACCAGGGGAGATAACGGGAGCGAACGCGAGGACCTCCGGTCTGTTGGCCTGCTTCCAGTGATACTCCTTGCTGTTGATTCGCCCATTGCGGGTTACCCGTCTTCTCAGTTGCGAGATTTTCTTCGCCAGTAGGTACTCCGATGCCGTACCACGTTCCGATCTCCGGTGCTTCGGGGGCGAACCAGAATCCGAGCCTCTCAGCACTGCTTGCGAGTTTCTCCTTCATACTTCTCCGTGTTCCTGCTGTCTCAAGTCCACGGTATTGCGCCACGGAGTTACTCTGTGATACCAAGAAAATGATATCCGCCACAGTCCGAATGCCCCATTTTTGCATCATCCCGGTTCTTCGTTGACGCCAATAGACGTAAATCACAACTAATGCCGACATAAACGACACATAAAGTGCCACCAACGTCCACGCCACACCCTGAACAGTTGCCCAGGTCCAGTTTCCGTCCACTAAAATGACAGTAAACAGACTGCTTTGCAATGGTATCGTGAAATTCAAAAGCCAAACATTGAGTATGGGTATCCAGATATTCCAGGTGCCAATAAGCTCTGGCCAAAGAAACGATTTTGGGTATAAGGGCAAAAACACAGCATTGCGTCGCTCGTTACGATCTTCTGAAGCCATTCGCGAAAATGGCAAAACCCAAAACGCCGCGGAAATGATACATTGCGCATATATCAAAATGATAATCGCCAATAATTGTGGTAACATGCGGAAAACAAAGTACTGACCACCATAAATCGTACCAGCATAAGGCGTTAAACCGTTGTGGCCCATGGAGTAGACAGCGGAAAATATCAGGGCCACAACCATCAATAAACATAACGTCGCTAAAAGCAATAATGATTGGGAACGTAAAACCCAAGGCTTCAACGTAAGAGGCGCCTCCGAATTCAAGGCCTTCCCGCGATTATGTAGGCCCATTTCAGGGTCTATGACGAGATCTGACCGTGTTTGCCAATGATGCATAGCCCTGGGTATGTTGGGTTGGGTCTGTATCCGAGGTGGCTGTCCCCGCTCATTGTATAGTTCATCCTGTCCAGATGGACCATCCTCTTGAAGATCAACTGCAGGTACAGCAGTAACCAGGCCCGAGTTCCAAGGATCTTCCACAAATTGCCTTGTTCCCTCTCGACGCAGCCGTCGCCTTTGCTGAAGTTCTTCCTCGGCGGTAGAGGCTGAAGGTGAAGCGATGGGACCAGGAGGCGGCGCCATAGGCCAATTCCGGGGGACATTGTCGTTCCTAAATGTCTCGGGCGGCATAAACGACGAGTGCGTTCTGAGTGGACTCGGCACGGTCGTAGGCGTGAAGTGGTACGCAGGTTGGTAAGATGATTCGCTATCGGATTCGGGGTATCCTGATAGTCCTCGACCATCATCGCGAACTTGGGTCATAGCATCTAGAGCATACCGAATGTAAGGCCCATCGTCAACGCCGGGAGTCACGACTCCTGCAGCTCTTGCCAAATCATCCTTGAAATCCCTCGATTGCGAGGGATCTCGTAATACAGCCATGAGTGGGAATTGGGATTGGTCGAAGCGTACTCCGGGACTTGGGGCTATCGCACGACCAACATTCTCACTTGGTGGAGGCCGGTTACCGAAAAGTCTGTCCGGACCGTAGATTTCTGATTCGGATGGTATTGAAGGCGGCGTAGGAGCTGGGGGAGGTGTCGGCGCATAAGGTACGACGGTTGATTGGGGAGAGGGAGATGGAATTTGCTGATAAGTCCTTGAATTAGACTCGGACTCGGACTCGGATGACGGCGGTTGGTTGTGAAGGATGGTAACTTGGGACGCCGTTGTGGTAGTATTGGTGGATGGAGGATTTATGATTGGACGAGAAGTGTTTGCTGTGTATATCGGATTTGGCCCTAAGAAAAACTAATGTGAGCTAGAGATCGTAATGAATACAGCTGAATAGTTGCACATACGATTTGGTTCGACGTAGTCTGAGTCGAAGTTGTGAGAGCTCATCCTTCGTTTCGTTAGGCTGTCGTACTAAGGTGAGCGGCCACAATCCACTTGGATAACGATGGCCAATTAATTGAAAGTAACGATTAAATTTTTTTCTTGATTGCAAACATTAGGTAGGAAGGAGAGCTGCATGAGAAGAGAGATAGAGAATGAAATATGGTTGGAGGCTGGTTATTGGTGGTGCATAATGAGAGGCTGGCTTCGCGAGGTTGGGCTGCCCAACCACCGAAAACCCGCAAACCTGCAACCCATCACCGACAATACTCCCATCATAAAAGTTGAAACTGTAGCTCCGTCTTAGGAAAGACATGGGGCTACGTGTACGAGATGAACTCTCACCTTTAATTACCTACCCTTTTTGTTTTATATTTCCCATGATGATTTACACTTTGACGATGCAACTGATGATGCCCAATTGTATTTAAATTGGTGAAGGATTTGAGTAAGTCGAGGGGCAGCACTAGTACCCAGAGAGCGGGAAGGGTGGAGATGAGTGGAGCTTGGGCCATCTCAAGGGCTACAAATATTATGGACCCTTCTTTCCGACTCTTAGTGTGTGGGTCGCTTACATAATACGGATTTATCTCTTCTGTTATAAAGCAATCTGCAATTCGCATCTCAACCTTAAATCTTCACCCTTTTAATGTTAAAACTCATAGAAATGCTCTGCTATATGTACTGACCTGGTTTCATGCCATCTCTCAACTCTTTGTACAATCAATGGGAAAAACACATTCGAAATCAAAGATACGCTTAATCCCGAGCTCAATTGAACGAAGCGCACTGTCTCTTGAATAGCACACGGGCTACTATAACTCCGAGTACAATCTGCCCTCGCTATCAATTGGATCTGGGCTTCGACTCGTAATTGTCTTCATTCAGTTCCAGCTCTTAGTAAAAAGGCTCGAAAAATACTTCCGAATTAATAATTCAAACGATACTTGTTGAATATCGCGGCTATCTCATCGCGTTCTAGCTGTTTAGAGACCTCCATGGAATGACAGATTTCAAGGCGAAGTTCTCATCATGGCTGCTAATGTGTAGCTAAATCGTGAAATACAAGACAAGCGTTCGATTAGGCTACATAAATTCGACAACGCAATCTGCGACCAACTAGACATCTGCTCTTCGACATGAGCTCCTATTTTTATAACCTACGAGGTCTACGGCGAAAGACTCGAATGACTTATATGCTAGTTGTTATCTTGAGTTACCTCTTTGTGAATAAGAAACTCCGACCGAAAGGGAGACACAGTTCGCTAGAGGTCGAGTTCATTCCGTCTCAACATAAAACCGTACAGCGAGGGAAGCCTTAGATCATCCCTAGCAAGTTGCGCTCGGAAGACGGCACTCTGAATCCGCCCTGTGAAATCTGAAGCTATGCAAGATAATTTTACAGTACTACACTGGGCCCTTTGAATTCGCAACTTTAAGGGTCGAATGTTTGTTTTATTATTGTTTATTTGGCCCGGAGCTTGAAGTAATTTTGGGGGTGATACTTACTGAATTTGCTTTTAGGTCATTAGCGAAAGAATGCTCCTTCAGGCTACTATCGAGCGTAAAGCACGCACCTGACGCCGTCAACACTCATCAAGAGTATTGACATTTTACACAAACCCTTGATTTTTACGGCAATGGAATGGGTTGTATGAGAAGTCATGTATATTTTGGCAGGGTGTGCTCGGCGTACCTGACTATCTCTGCCGGCTGAGACAAGGTGATTTCCCGACGGCAATGGAGCAAGCCACATGTTGAATATTTCACTTGTCTCAGGGAAGAATTTGTCACTCCTAATATGAAGCCATTTCAGTACCAATGGCATTTCCCCTTGTCCTAGGGGGCGTTTTGATCGACACGCCTCAGGTACACCGTGTTCTGGAGAATACTCAAGCGCGTCTAATACAATCTCTTCTAGAATTCCCCTGGATCGATAGACTTATATAAACCCGTCAGTCGGTCTTAGCATGTCGTGGTTCAGCCAAGTTGCTTGCGCAATAGTGGTAGGCCGAAGTATAACGTTCAGTAGTAACGAGGGAATCACTTTGATACCTACACGACGACTGAGCTACTAATCGGATCAGCCAAAGTCATCGCTTCGGATCGACCAAGATGTTGAACCGCATTGTACTTGCGGCCCTTGTGCCGGCCATTATGGCCAAGCCTATCGCGTGAGTTTCCATAACCGATTCATATTTGGGCATACTCTAACAAGACCAGGCAACCGAGCGAACAGACGGCAACAAACGCAGCTCGTGCAACCACTGGAAGCGTCATATACCACGACAATGCACCCAGGGTTATAGCCAATATTGCGGACTACAACACAACCGGTATGATAGACGCCGCAGTTGAAAGCCACAAGGCTGGAATGGCAAACAACGACGAGCCTGTACCTAGAATAAATGACCCAGTGATGAGGGCCACGCGAACGCGGATGGCTAATCACCAACACACCCGACCGACCGCGATCAACGCTGTACCGCACGTGGTCGAGAGACAGATCGCTTTCAATTCTACCAAGGCATCTTCACTGTTCGGCAACCCACACCCAGGTTCTTCCTCCGCCAACTGGGCCGCTTCTTCGGCCGCTGCAGTAGCTTACGCAAGCGATCTTGCTAACGCCATAGCCGAGGATCTCGCATTATTTCCCCCTCAAAAAAGGGAGCCCACGGTAACACCTACATCTAGTATGCGCCCAAGCACCAGCGGTTCTCCAACACACAGCTCGGCCAAGCCTGCGCGAACTTTTGCGAGCTGTGACTGCATCAGCGAATGCGCCGATGAAGATGGAAAAGCCACACAGATGATGTGCATGGAAGACTGTTCCAAGTCATGCGATGGCGACGATGACGGCAAAAATAACAACTTGTTCACTTCTCTCCAAACAACTCTCAACCAAACGCTCGGCCTTAGAGATATCACTCCGATCACCCACACCCATGTTCACGAACCCAAGCCTGTCCACGAGGTCGCCGCAGGCGAAGAAGAGGATTATGAAGCCTGCATGAACAGCTGCAAAACCCACAACTGTCAGCACTCCGAAGTTGGAATTTCTCTATCGCAATGCGGCGATACTTCCTGCGAAGATGCATGCGCAAAGCACAAGAAGGGCGGCGCTGACAAGGTTATCTACAAGAAACACGTCGAACCCGTCCCTCACCGCACAGCCAAGACTCACCCTCCACCCAAAGCCGTCGCACCAGTTGAGGCCGGCGCAAAGGGAGATGAAGAATACGAAGCATGCATGAGCAAGTGCAGCACCCACAACTGCCAGAACTCTCAAGTCGGAATTGACATCTCCCAATGTGGTGATACATCTTGCGCGGACTCTTGCGCCCAGTACAAAAAGACCAAGTCGATGGAAGCTCACACCGCCAACGTATTCGACAAGAAGAACGTCGTGCCCGTCGCCAACCACGTCCCACAAAGCCGCAAGCCAGTTCCCGCTAAAGCACACGCCCATGCCCATGCCCCCGCTGTCGAAGGTGCCGCCCATAGCGAGGAAGACTACGAAGCCTGCGTGAGTAAATGCAAGACGCACAACTGCCAACACTCCGAAGTCAGCATCCGTTTATCGCAATGCGGTGACACCTCATGCCACGATTCCTGCGCAAAGAAACACAAATCCGGTGCCGCCCAGATCCACTCTGGCCCCAAAAACCCTGCACACGCTCCAGCCCACGCCCCCGTCCACGCGCGTGGCCGCGTCGGCGATGACGTCAAAGCTGAAGCTAAGGGCGTGAAACCCGTTGCCGCTGGTGGCCACAAGGAAGACTATCAATCCTGCATGTCTAAGTGCAGCACGCACAACTGCCAGCACTCTGAGGTCGGAATCGACATCTCGCAGTGCGGAAAGACGTCTTGCGAGGATGACTGCGCTAAGTACAAGAACGAAGGAGAATTCGAGGTCGATGTTAAGAAGGAGCACCCACCGCCTGATCCGCATCTAAACATCCCCGTCGACGCACCTATCCCGGGACCGCACTCACGAACCAAGGCGAACACGGGTAATGTACCTGCTGTAGCTGCGGTGCCCGAGGTCCCGCCTGTTAGAGATCTGCCTAGTACCGAGGCGCATAAGAGCACTGAGTACGATAACTGCATGCAGAAGTGCAAGACGCATAACTGCCAGAAAGCGGATATCGGACTTGAGGTCTCGCAGTGTGGTGATACGACTTGTGAATCTGCTTGTGTCCAGTACAAAGCTGATGCCGGTGGACATGTTGGGCCTAGGGCGTAGGCTGCTTGAGCGTTTTGATTCACGCTTTTTGTAAGTCTTATCATTTCTCATCCTACATGCCAAGTTTCTAACGATATTTCAGGATTTCCACCCGTGTTTTACTACGTTTAAGCACCACCGTTGCTGGTAGCATTGTTCCTTTTTGATTCATCAGCCATGTGATTTTGGAAAATAATATTTTTAGTCTCAAAAGCCACCATATCGGTCCCTTTCTTCATGACTGATGAATCAACCGGACGAAATAACGGAATTCTATCTTGTCGTTTAAACTTATTAGGAATTTGTAACCGCATAGTAGTAGATGTACGTTGGGAAGCCTTGCATTATTCATTACATGTAATTCTAGTTAGCTTCTTTCAATGTTAACAATATGTTTCTTTTGCTCAATCAACCATTATCAAAGCATTAATTATCAAATCGGGTTTCTTCATTTTGTCGGCAAATGATCGCCTATATATCAATATCTATCCCCTTTTCATTTGCCCAGCCATCTCATCTCATCCCTAGCCGAGAGTAGTCTCCTCCAGGCTCTTCCCCGTCAATCTCTGGAACACCTCCAGGTACCTCTTACTAGTCGCCTCCAACACGTCCTGCGGAACCTCAACACCCTCCTTCCCCTGCAGCCCATTCTCCGTCAACCAGTTCCTCAAAAACTGCTTATCAAAACTCTCCTGGTCCCTCCCGGGTTCATACCTATCCTTCGGCCACATCCGCGACGAATCCGGGGTCAACACCTCATCCACAAGCACAACCTCATCCGTGACCTCATCAAGGCCAAACTCGAACTTCGTATCCGCGATAATAATCCCTCGTTCCGTAGCGTACTCCTGTCCCGCGATAAAGATCTTCAACGCCAATTCCTCGATCCGCTTCGCGTACCTATCACCCACAATCTTCGCAGCTTCTTCTTTACTTATATTCTCATCATGTTGACCAGCCGGCGCTTTAGTGCTAGGAGTATAAATCGGACCACCGGGTACCGCATCGCACTGCTTCAACCCCGGCGGGAGCCGCATACCATGCACCGTGCCCTGGTCTTTATACTCCTTCCAAGCACCCCCCGTAACATACCCCCGAACAATCGCCTCCAGCGGGAAAACCTTTAATTTCCGAACCTGCATACTGCGATTCCGAATCACCCTAGCCTCTTCGATTGTAACGTTGGACGGTACATCCGTAGCCAAGAAATGGGTGCGTAGCCCCGGTACCCGTTTCGGTAGTTCATTGAACCAGTGTGCGGAGAGTAAGGTCAGGATCTCGCCTTTATGCGGGATTCCGTTCTTCATAATAACATCGTAGGCGGAGATGCGGTCCGATGTTACGAAGAGCAGGGTGTTGTCGTCGACGTCGTAGAGATCGCGCACTTTGCCTGTCGCGAGCTTGGGGAGTGAGGTTAGTATCACTTCTGCGAGGGCTTGGTTGCTCATTTTCGCTTCTTTTTGTTTCTTGAGCGTTCTTAGATGTTATGCGACTAATTTTATTCCCGAGGATTGAGTGTTTAAAATAGTGACGAGTTTTGCGATATGATGCGACAGTCGGATGATTAAATACTTGTATGAGAAAAAAAAAAAAAAAGTTTCGCTAAGACCCTTCACTGGGTTAAATGGATCGGAGTAAATCGGAGTCTGTTTTTCAACTTTGACTTTGTACTTATTGGAATAAGAAATTAAAAATGAATTAAATAATGATTATATACCTAGGTAATTTTATACTAAATGCAATCGTACAAATCAGTCAAACATGGAAATATTTGCTCTCGAACAAGCTCGAACGAGCCCCGTCGCAAATGTATATCGAGATTCTTCGTCCCCACATTGTGTATCCTACTTCGCAAATATGACGTATCGTATATATTAGGTAAGCCAGGTATGAACGGGCTTGAGCAGATATTCTGTGTGACTTCGACGCCGACGTTTTTTACCTCGATTTCTAGGAAGAAAAATCCCATCCATGAGTGAACAATCGTATGCATTCATAACTACAAACTACAAACTACGGCTGGTAGTCTCACTCACCTTAGGGTTACGGATGAGATGATAGCTCATACCGAACACTACAGACAATGACTACACGGTAACTTACTAGGAATAATACACTTCCCACTGACTTCAGTAGAAGCGCAAACTGGGAGCACCAGGCCGAAGGACTAATAATTGAAGTGTGAAAAAGAAATGAATTCCAATGTCGAGATGAACTTGACCAATACACCATAACATAGACGCCAAACTCCATGCAAAAAAAACCAATAACCAGAACAAAACCAAAAACCATAGCCAGACACAAAAAAAATCCCAGAACCGAGCACAAGAACCAGACACCATAGCCAAAAAACCAAGAACCAGAAACCCGGAAACCAAAAATCTGCATCCAAAAAACCAAGAAACAAGACCAAAATCCACAACCAAAACACAACACCAATACCCAATACCATACATCCCCTCCCATAAACCACCTCCAAATACAAACAAACGAACGAACAAACATGTATCCCAAAAGAGCGTACCATCTAAACAGATAACCAAGCATAAGCGAGACCAGCGCCAACAGTCGCAGCCGCGACGGCAACACAAGCGAGTGACTTCCAGCCGAATCCAGATCCTTGTGATTGCTGGGGCTCCGCGACAGTAGCTGATGGCAATTGACGAGCAGCGTACAAGTGTTGAGGAGCAGGTAATGAGTGCAATTGCCGACAAGCAGTGGATAGAGAAGACTGTTGTAGAGAATGGAAGTGCTGACGAGCGGCTGAAGGAGTGTCGGATGTAGGATGAATGAAGTCGGTAGAGTCAGAACCAGGTCTTGCCATCAATTGCCCCACGACGTCTTGAATATCGGCGGAGGAATTGTCAGAAGAGCCAGGACCAGGTTTCTTGGGATTTGGTCTCAACCGCCTCATTATTTCTTGAATCTCGCCAGTGGAACCAGTAGAGGAATCGGAAGAGGAATCGGACGAGGAAGAAGAGTCGGGATCAGGGTTTGGCATCAGGCTCTTCATGATATCTTGAATCTCGGCAGCGGCATCGGCAGGGTGATTGGCAGAGGGGCCGGTAGGAGAGTCGGAGCGGAGATTTGGCCTCAATCGGTTCATAATGTCTTCAATATCTGTCGAGGAATCGTCGGAACAATTGTCGCCAATAGCATGATCAGTTCCATCGTTACTATCGCGGTCGGTGTAAAGCCGAAGGAGAGAAGATAGCTCCGCGGATTGGTTGGCAGACTGGTTGGCAGATTGATCGGCAGGTTGATCGGTAGGCTCATCGGCGGGTTGAGAATGAACGGACGCGTCCTTACCGGGCGCAGAAAGAGGGGGCAGATTCAATTTAGTGTATTCATAACCCCGGGCACGTCTCGCTTGAAACTTTTGAAGGAGAAGCCAGCGTTCGAGGAGTGTATCATCCCAAGGGATATCATTCAGTTCAACCCACGAAGAAAAGGAATCTGAGCTCCTTGAGCGAGTGGAGTCCCCCGAAGAAGATGAAGAGAATGAAGATACAATGTCAACGTATTCGTAGCGAACGGTATCAGCAGTGTCACTGTCTGTTGAAAGAGTGGAAGTGGGGGATAGTGAAGGTTTCATATTGAGGATTGCTCTGAGCTTCGCTTGGAGTTCTGGAGGGCAATGCTTGAATGGATCATGTCTTGGCAAGTCTTCACTCTCGTATGTAACGTCTTCAATTTCCTGAGAAGGAGAGTCCCAATCGGACCAGGTCCAATTGTGGCGATCCATCTGAGGTTTGAACATGCGTGGTGACCAATGAAGGGGTTGATCTTTCAAGTGCGGGTTTTTAAAAGGAGTGTGAGGGGGACCAAAGGGGTCAGGAAGAGCGAAGGAAGAACGAGTGTTGGTAGAATGAGTGTGAGTAGAACGAAGGTGATCAGACTGGGTTGGTGTAGAGAGAATGTGGGTAGCTAATGGACTGGCAATGGTCTGCTTGGGAGTAGGTTCAGTTACCAACGGGACAGTGGCGACTGGCTTTGCCTCAGCTTGGCCAGTACGTCTACTGCGTCGTGGTTTCTGTTCCGTCTTGTTAGCTGTTCGGGGTTTGGGAGGGAAGAGGCGAACAACGCGCAAGCCGTTCTTCATGCGAGATGCTATTGGTGTGTTAGCATAGGGGGTTACGCGGGGCCGAGAGAAGGAGTGAGCAAAAGAAAGGGTAAAGACTTACGAGTAACTTGATGTCCACACCATTTGGCAGGAAGAAGCATCTTGGCTCTATCGCACTCCGGACAGTCTGAGCGACGAGGGGGCTTAGGGGTAGCCTCGAGGCGCGAATCCCGTCTCATATCACGGGCACCAGCTTTGGCAATGGCAGCGAAATGGGAGAGGGGTGATTCCTGGCGTACTTCCCGTTTTTTTTCACGGGCACCAAGAGCGAGAAGAGTAGGGGAGACAAAGTGATCCATGGGGGGAGTGGAAGGAGTACAAGGAGATGGACCAGGGATTGAAAAGGGGGAACGGATAGGAAAGTGGATGGGAGTGCGGATGGGAGTCGGGTTGCGAAGGAGAGGTGATGGAGAAGGGATGGGGGTACGGGCGGGACGCGTAGGAGTGGTGATTGAAGATGGACTCGGACGCGAATGAATAGGGGTAAGAGGAGGTGGGAGGTGAAAAGGGGGGATATCATTGTGGGACCTAGTTAGCCCACGACTGCAAGCAGCCGACGCTTTGGTAGGAGTGAATTGGCACATTGTGGTAGAGTAGTAGCAGTGTGAAGAGTAGTGTGTGTATGGGAAGAGTGATGGTGATGAAGAAAAAAAAAGGAGAAGGAAGAGGAGAGGCAGAGCACCAGGCGCGAGAGGACGCGGTTTGGGGAAACGGTCTCAAACTCTATCACTATAAACGTAAAATGATGATATAACCACTGATAGGGGCATAATCAGTAAAGTGTTACTGTGCTTATGTGCATTTATTCCTGGTACTAATGTGGTTAGTTACATTTTAGATACTTCTTATATACATATTCTCATACTGAGGATCGACGAGGAGAATCACTGCCAGCAGCCATTGACAGGTGCGTAGTAAGAATAGTATTATAATAACTAAGTCATGATGTAGCCAGAATCATATTAAATTATATATCAAGTTTCTGTGAAGCTGTTTGTGTTGGTGATGGAGATATCGATGAAAATCCGATCGTGGAGGTCGAGGGGGCGCTCGAAGGACGCGACTTGGGATCTCAGGCTCAGAATACCTATCAATTGTATGTCAGCGCGCGAATTAAATAGATTGAAACCTGGTAAGATAAATATACAGGTTATTTATATTCGATTAATGATATAAATGTCTTGTGTAAGGATGTACGCGCGGTGACCTAAATAGGGGGTGTGTTGGCTAGGGTCGACAATTAAGGATGAAGTTTTCAACATGTTCAATCGGGACTGGGTATTTTAGCATTACCAAAATTCAAATTATGGATCCTAGCACCGTCTAGATTGCATGGGAGAAGAAGGGTAGGCACATCTTGATGGCGCGGCTTTCTAAGGGGGTGACTACCTCTGGGCCTTGTTAGTGATGACTTCCTTTTTTCAACGACTTCACAACAGCCCGCGATGGTGGCTGTACCTTATACAATATTATTATCTGGCATATCAATTGTACCTAGGTACCTATAACAATAAACCCTAAGAAACCAAACAAGTCAACATCTCTCGACATTCGTCATTCACAACGAGACACTGTTGAAATCCGAGTATGGGATCTCTCGTTGCCGCAACTCCCAACATACCTTAGTCCGAGCAGGGCTTGATATTCGACCAGCCGATCCTCTATTATCGCTGCGAAAACATATCCCATCCGTCGGACGACGCTCGTACATCACCTACGACATATCCCGATCCAACCCACTTGGAATATCACGATATTTGGAACATATCAAAGAGAAGTCGACCAATACACCGAAAAGGGCCCTGGCTTTCAAGAAAAGTGTGGTATTTAAAGAAGCAATATTTTAGGAACTGAATGATCGAGCCACGTTAGAACAGGATACTCGCACGTCAGTCGAACATCCTAGTTCTAGTTCATAATCAGGACAATGATGTTACAGAACCTTTGCTAGACCCAGCTCCTACAAGTAGCAGGGTATATCGAGCAATGACTTTCCATCCTTCATTCAAGCCAATAGTTAAACCATGGCCGGACTTATCAACCAACCAACCGTTCCAACCTCACAATCAGTTTCGATTTTATCCATCCAAGTATTCCACCGAATTTTTTTCGATCTGGCGTCGTTCGAATCGCGCTTCGGCCGCTTGTCGCATGTCGTCCTCTGCATTCAACTTATCTGCCGCGGCAGTCGCCGTCTCCTTGATTAGGATTCGTACTGCACTCATGAGTAATTTATACCATCCGTTGTGGGGCTTACAGCGCTTTTTCTCGCACATGCCGCGAGTAGCCGAGTCTCCCTGGAGATTGGGGTCAAGAGGGGTGTCAAGCTTGCCGGCCTTAAAAGTAGCTTGGCCTTCGGGGGTCTCGAGCCACTCTCCAAATTGGTGGCGGACGGAGACAGTGTCAAGTCGCCAGTCGTAACCGCAGCTCTCTTTAGTAAATTTGCCGGCTTCGATGGCGAGCTGTCGGCGATGATTGGCCCAATCTATGAGCTGCATCATCTTCTTGTACTGCACGATCTCGTTGCCGAGGGCTAGGCGTTCAGCCGCGGAGTTCTTTAGGAAGGTCTGTTCTTCCTCACTGAGAACGCCTTCCTGGGTCGGAAGTCCGTTAGACCAAAGACTCTGTATGTTACCTGTGTGGAAAATATTAGAATTCGATTCGATTTCAATTTTATTAAAAACATAAAGACAGAATTAAGACGGGGATGGGATGAAAAAATAATAAGAACGTTAACATACCAAAGGGCTTGTCACCTAATTTCCAACCACCTTGTTCAGCTGTGTTGGTGAGAAGACCGACGAAATCTCCCTGGGTAAGAACTTCTATGGCCTTCGCCGAGGCAGCTTTGGTAGGTAGAGTGCTGATCATGGAGATCCACCATGTGTCACAGTGGTCGTTGCAGCAGAAAACACTTCGCTCTTTTGTCGATTTAGTGTATAATCGAGCCGCATTTCTGCAGCCCTCCAGGGAACAAGTCTTCTTGTACTTGGTGTAGTTTCGAATCCCATCCGTACAGTTAGGGCAAACAAAGCGCTCTACTAGCTTCTCACCAACCTCCTTGTCGAGGTGGACGCACTCGCCATGGAACCAGTCTTCGCAGACGTCGCAACTTATCATCCATCTGTGATCGTCTGGTCCGCGGCAGATACAGTACGGACCATTGTCGGTTTCGTCATCTGAGCTTTGGTCTTGAGCAGCACCGTTGGAAGATGCATCCTTCTTCGAATTCAGCTTTGGCTTAGAAGCCCTGGCCTTTTTGGGTCCTTTCTTGGCGGCTGTGCCTTTCTTTTTTCCCTTCATCCTATTCGAATCTCCTTGTGTTGGGGAAGAGGAGGGTGGTTGTTTCTCTTCTGAATCCGATTTGGATTGGCCGTGTTTTGTTTGTTCTAAATGTTGCTCCGATTTTGTATGCGCGTCTCCGTTTCCGTTGGCGTTGGCGATGTCACCACCAAACCCATTGCCAGAATGCATGTCCGTGCCCCCCATATCAACGTCGTCACTAGGCATCCCATCCGCCGTTATGCGAGGATCCGCCATTGTGAAAGAATATGACTGGTCAATTTCTCACAGGGTACCGGGCAGCTGAATAAAATGGCCGAGTTGATAGGCTGCAGCCTACGATACTGAATACGGGCCGTATATAGGTATTTCAAAGTATCCTTCCTTAAAAAGCGTCGCGGCCTCACTCATCAAGACCATCACCTTCGAGTTTTGATGACACCAGCATTTTCTTTTGTACTATATGAATGGTTGTGATTTGAATAGCAGGCGTTGAAGTTATTCACAGCAAGCTTATGAAATTCGTAACTTCCAGTTAATTGCGTCTCAGTCCATGATTAGACCAAAAAGGGATATCAAGCATTGTATTCAACAAGGGGGAAGTTCCAAGGTTGTGGACGATGCTTTAGAGGGAGTACATGTACAGGTTATGTGAAGGTACGCTAATTGGGGGCTGGTAAGTACCTCCATGTGGCGTTTAGCCACCGTTATCGTATTAGCGATAACGATAATACTTGCACTGTATTCATGGACTTAATACGCTAAAACTCCACTGCCCCTCCACTAAAGTAACGCCTTCAATCTTATCTAAAATACATGCTTGAATACGGGCTTAAGAATATTTAGGAGTGAGAAGCCATGATCGTGAAAAGGATTTATCTAGTTATTAGAGATCTAATTTTGCTTTCTGTATTGTGTTCGCGTTAGGATGCCCTCGTTTTATTCCTTGAATAGTAGATCATTCTTGCTATTGAAGACTGGTTGCTTCGCTGTTGTCTTAGTGTGACTACCAACTCAGAACACCAACTTTCCCAATAGATATCCGTTTTGATGCATCAGTATCGAAATGTATTTCCATTAATATTTTAGTTACACACCCAGCAGCGTACTAGTAGCCCCATACATTAAACTTCTTCTTCATGTCCATGCAACAAAACACGGAGCACAACGAAAAAGAGGTGGGAAGAAGGTTCCAAAGATTTGCCGGTCAGTTCCGCCCCTGGACTGAAGCTTGAAGATACCTCCGAAATGGCAAGCATCAAGCTCATCCTCGAGAATTCTTGAGCTCTCGAGGATACCGGTCGCTCGGCCCGCCGTGCCCCCGCCACGACCAGAAAAGTTCAGGGGAAGAGGTGAGAGGACGAGGGAGAGCGGCCTTTTATAATGCTTCGAGACAGGGGGTGCTTGGTAGATATCCGTAGCACTTACCTTAAGTGAAGGCGCTTTTGGGAGGAACGACGTTATTGAAGTTTAAAAATTTGCGTAATTGCCTGGCTTTTGGCTGTGCGGCCTGATAATATGGTCACACGAGACGAGGGGGAGTAGGCGCTACTTCAGAGGGTGGCAAGTACCCTAAAGAAAGGGATGTATAATACGAACTAGAGGAAAGTGCTCCTGGAAGAGAAGAGTATTAAGTTCTAGCTCCACAGCGACTGAGAATTTAAAAAGGAGAGATTATCGCGATACCATATACCAACCCATTGTTGTAGGAAAGTACTGGTATCGAAATCTACAAGTGCGTTTGGTTCTCATAAAAACTGCACAAAAACTTGCACTATGCGACGTGGCTTGAGTGGTAATATCGCTCATTGGAATTAATTAGGTTAAGCAACTGTAAGAAATATTTGTGTCCTTGAGTTCGATGCGAACACCAAGGAAGTATCGTCAATCCCTTCGACCATCCATTTATATATAATAGGTACACACCTGGAACACCATCCGAGGTTTGGTATATGCGCCCGAATTAGTAGTGGTATCTTCCGTCCCAAAACGCCGCCCATCGTCATATTTTTGCATCATTTCGTCGCATGTCCCCCACATACCGAATTTACATATATACAACTTCTTTTTCTTTATAATACTCCCCGATTTAATTTATAGTGCATAATTCTCGGTATGTAAGAAGATCTCCTCTAGTTGAGGATCACCCCAGATCTCTGCTTGTAACCTTGCGACCGTGTTGGCGACACCGACACGCATGCTTGGCGGCCCACAGACAAACACCGCTGTTCTCCTACCCAAGATACCACGGCCATCTGGACCACCCATCGTCCATTCCCGTAACATGTACCCAAGGTCCGGGCGACCATACTCAACACTCCAACCTCCGTCAATCTGATGCGGCACGGGAAATGCGAAGCGCATAAGACTCTTTTGAAACTCGGTCGGCGTCTCTGGGAATCCAAAATCGAAACCTGAAGGTGGACCAAATGTCGATGTAGGTCTTCCACTTGGTTGTTGGTTTGGCAAATTTGTTGTACAGAGATGAGCGAACTCGGGTGGCCTGATCACGTTCTCTTGAGAGCCATCTTGGGCATCTTCAGCATTAGGAGGAACCCTTCGTGGTGATGGAGGTGCCAAGTTGAAATGCGGTTGTTGTTCGGGTCGTGTGTGGAGTGGTGGAAAATGGAATTCTCGTTTCGGCTTATCTTCAGGATAACCATTCGTTGTGTCCGGGACAACTGCTTGTTCGCGATCTTCGGTATCACTTTGATCTCGACCTTCGAGCCTACGGAGCGACTCCTCTTGAGCCGACAAGCGATTCGAAGGTGGCGGGCCTTGTGGTGGTATATGATGCGGTTGCAGGTACTTCTGTTGAGGAAGGGCGGTGATTCTGTCCTCGTCCTCTGCTCGCAGCTGGCGCTCGTAATCTACATTGCCTTGCGCTTCATCCCGGATTAATTGGGAATTACGTTTTGCGGCAACGTTTGTTACGAAACCATCCAATTTGTCGTGGAACATATTACTGAGTGGCCGCGGTCCTCGTTCTCGGGGGGCTGGCATATGAGACTGTCTCTTAGCAGCAGTAACGAAGAACTTGCAAGTCACGCTCTCTGGTGGTGCGGAATCTCGGCAAATACGTAGCTCTTCTCGAAACCAATCCATCGCCTCGAGTCGCTTCAGGGCCCATACAACAACCACCTTCTTAGTGATAGCCTTGCCATCGCGCATTCGTTTGATCAAGTTTAATAGCTGCGACATCAACGCTGTCACACCACTCCCACCAGCAATCAAGATACATGTGTCGAACGCGGCGAGTTCACGACGCATACCACCATATGGCCCGTCGAGATATGCCCGATATGTGTGGAATGGTCCTTTCTCAATAGCTGTCTCAAGAACTCGTCGAGTGAATCCACCGTACGGCTTGAATACTAGAGTGCAGTCCCTATACTGCTCGCCATATTCTGATGGGAAATCCTCGCTACAGAGTGACGAGATGGTGAACGGATGGTTGTCGAAAAATGAGATACCAGGCATTCGCAGATATACATACTGCCCAGGTGTCCACTTCATTTGTGTGGGGATTGTGATTTTTATGGCATTTTCAGTCATGAGGGTGATTGCCGCTTCGTCTCCTACCAAGAACGACATTCGCCATGGCTTAACCCAATTGAGCTTGAAAATTCGGAGAAAATAGCAGAGTACCCAAATAGCTATCGTGGCATATAGATAATCCCATGATGCCAGATAGTTTTTGGTGTGCCAGAAGAGGCAACCGAGGTACACGAACCCAACGGGCACGTGAAGCGTGACGAAGACTTCATACGCCATCCTGCGAATAAAAGGGAGGGAAGCAACACATAACCAAATCAGAGGTACTAGGCACGCGATACCAGTGCCATAGATAACACCACTTCCTTGGGGAAACAACTTAGAAAAAACAGCCATACCACCGTCGTCCCACACCGGCTGGATATAAAACGGGATAGTATGAACGAGGACGAGGAAAAGGCAGAGATAACCTGCCCATCGGTGGAACACGTTAAGTCGCTCAGGTCCGATTCCCGTGATGAGTGTGAGCAAATTGGCCTTCATGCTCGTCGCAACAATCCAAGGGGTCATGGCAACGGCTATCATACCCGCTCGGATCGCTACCGGAGGTGAACCATATTGGATGCTATCCCAATATAGGGGTTGCTTAAGGAAGACATATATCGACACGAACGCCAATGCGACGAAACCGACCGTCAACACAGCAAGCGATGAAAATGTGAATCGGTGTTTTCGCCATACGATATCTGGTATCGGTCGGTAAAATACCCATCTGAATAACGCGAGCGCATCCAAAATTGGGCCAACGGCAGAGAAATCGGATTTTGGCTTGAAGTCTTTCTTCTCTCCTCCGGCGCCTTCTTCGGGAAAGAATTGTCTTCCAGTTTGGCCAGTGTGCATGCCTGTTGCCAACGCGTATTCGGGATCGAGGGTGTACAAATCCCGATAGTGTTGTTCCACCTCCTGCTTATATATTGCCTGTCTGATCTTGTCTTGCCACCAATGCCATATTCGTACCAGCAACACCAATCCCATCAACGCCAAACTGAAATATGTCCACCCCAAACCATATTTCCCCGATTGACTCCATGGATCGACTGTGTTCGCTTCTACCAGGCCTGGTGGGCTTGTTGCTGTCAATGGGATGTATATTCGTTTCGCTAGCTCGGAAAGCGTCCTTGTTGCCCCAGCCATGGCTGACGTGACTTCGGGAGCCATGGTTAGGGTTGATAGATGAATGGTATCGACGCGTTTACTGATGTCGGACGTCTAATGCCTACTGCACCAACCGAGTCCGGTCCTTAAGCGTGTGAGAATGCTTGAATCTCACAAAACTTTGAGTCGCCCTTATTTTCGACTGAACTACCTTCTCGTGCTACATGAGTTAGGATTGATGGATATATTTTTTACGTATGGTTACTGTGAGAAAGTATTATGGAAGGAATTGGAACGAATGAAGCCTTATCACGCGATGGGGAATACCAGACTCCCCAATTCACCGGATTAAGAGGCTAGGAAAGACAATAATATCGGCCATTGAATAGATCGCGAAGATCTGACGACGACGAAGAGAGAGAGTAGAAGAGACCGGGCCGATACAGAGATGGGCGCCGGAACGCCAGGTATATATCGGTGCAGACCAGGATCGTCGAGGTAGGGTGGGGAACTTGTTCCCTTTTTGCCAGGTACAACGTGCGGCGGGTTGACAGTCTCGTCACACAACTACTACATTCGGGTTTGCGATCTCCTTGCAGCATACCCAATAGGAGTTTTGCGAGATTGACCTCGTGGAAAAGCAGGCGGGGCTAATTCGACCTCCTACCGGGGCCGCCAGACCGTTCAATCAGGAACCAGTACGGGCTGGTATGGATAGTAGTCGGTTGAGAGGTTAGACCCAGCGGTTGGCCGTCCTTCGATATTGGCTGGTCTGGAAAATGAGATTTGTTCCCCCGCAGAATGCAGGTCGCACGGAATAAGCGTGGGCGCTAGAGCTTTGAACAATTGTTTGAAGCTTGGCGGACCGTTCTACGCTACCTTTGCTACCTTGACTACCCTATCTCAATCACCAGGGTCCTACCTATCTAGTGTAGTGTAGGCGACGGGAAGATTGCCGTGCCGATACGTTGGCAAGGATCCATTGTTCTGTGCTAAGTTGTGCAGTGCATATGCAGCTTTCGCAGAATGCAGATCCATCCACGAACTAGGTGGCGCTTCTCTTACCTTGTCGCTTACAGGCAATGACCGAACCGAAATATGGGCGGTCAGGGAGGTCAAAAGATACCGCCTAGGGGGCTCATTTCCCCAGTCTTCACATGGCTGTACGTCTATTAGTGGAGGTATGCATGTTGGTGAGAACAACATGTTGAGATTTCATCGATCTTGACCCGTTCAGACAGCACACCCCAAATTTCCCCCAATTCTCCTCCGACGAAGTGTTACACGAAGAGGATTCGCCCTCGAGATAAGCTTTCATCCTAGGAAATCCTTGCTGTAGCTCACGACAGGGTAGTAATTCGGCGATTCGATTACTCTCCGAATATTCGAGTTGGTCTACCGATGAGCCGCTGTAGCCAGATGGCCACCTCAAAATGGCCGTGTTGGTTCCATTGATTGATTTGATGATTTGGCAACCGAACGAGTTCTGTCAAATGGCGTGCGAAAACAGCCATATTTTCCCCTAGGGCTCAGTGATATGAACAGGGGATACCGTCCTGGGGTGGCTTGGGATGACGAAGCAATCGGATTGGAGTAAAAGGAACGAACAAGTGTCAGGCGCTTAACGGCGCGTCCTGATTTGCTCAATCGCTCACCACACAACCCCACCCTGGTGCCAATAGCATAATACTGGCAGATGAAAGATTTGGAAATCAATCAAGCAAACTTGTCTTCTTTCGGATCCGACCACGTAAGGTGACGACTTTCTTCCCTATGGTGTCTGTGATTGTGTGATGAGACTATTAACTCACACTGATGCGTACCAGACTGTCGGAAACGTACAGCGGTAAAATTTGGGCGATGCTCGTCCATACATCGAGGATATTGGGGGCTGCCCAAAAAATCCTGTACTTCCGAAGGTGGAGGCCGGAAAGATGATGACCTCAGAATTAATATGCCGGATCGCGAGCAGAACCAACTGGAATTCGAGCTTTGATTAAGCTGAAAGGGAAGGCTTGACGCCCCCAATTACCCATCCTCTGGTATCGAAAACGCATCGAGATTATTGGCGAATATGACTTACATAGCGTGGTGAATTTCAGGTAAGGAAGAAGGAATACACGTAGGATCCCGCCCGAGCCGAGCCAACCGATGCGATTTTACCGTGAAGATCAATTGGGCATTACAGTGCGGCATAAGTATGAAATTTCGCCATGCTATGCAGATCATTCAAGATTCCAGGCGAGTACCAACACTGGCATAACTTACATATAATAAGGGAACAAGTTATGCACCGGATGAATATCGGATCGGGGGTAAGTACCAAGTACATATATTGAGGGTACGTGATGTTCAACTTGCACTAGAGTCTGTTCATAATTATGAGATTCAACTACTTTGAGTGGCTAGGGGGAAAACGATGATGAAGGCATCTTCAGAGAGAAGATCTAATTGTGCTTATGCGTGGGAATCGACATAGTACGTATCATATTTCACATCTCGTCATTCACCCGAGTCAGATAGATAGCTAGTTGAGTACGGGTTGTTGCCATATTCATTCAGTAAACCAAAGTCCTACATTATGCACCCGATCGTGGTAAAGTTGTATATTTTCTCTTTACTCCAAACTCATGTTCAGCTCCGTGCCTTTCTCGCTCGCTTTCCTCTCATGGGGATATTGTGGTCTCCAAGTCGAGCTCATGTAGATTGCCGTACTGGCCAGTTACCACGCGCCTATATACCGAGTTCGACGTGGTTTTGTTGGTCTTCATATGCCTTCCAAGCCCATCTAGAGCTAAAGGACTACTACCACCAAGAACCTAGGCATTTAGGGTGCAAGAGTTCGCATAGGAGTTCCCACCCGTGCTGTATCGTCGTGGACTGCGGCGGCGTTGTATGTGCTGTTAGGGACGCTATCTCGACATCCCTGATGTGGTCAAGAGCTCTGGAGCCTTATCACGTCAGAGCATATTCGCTTAGGCTCGTAACTGGTATCCGGGTTCTCCGTGTAGAATGACAGCTCAATGCTAAAGATAGACGTGCTGCGATGACGGTGGAGGAAAACATGTCCGGTATGTCCTCGTCGGATACAACTCTCGGCTGCAGCAGCAGGTCGGGTTTTCCGAGGATGCACACGACTTTGTCGTGATTAGTTGGGACGTTCAGGGAAGGTAGCTAAGTATGTTGCCTTGCCCGGAAGTCGGTTTAGAATGAGGAAAAGAATTAATGTGGATAAGGTATGTGTCGTATACATAGTAGTGGATAGCGAGGATGAGATGGCGGTTGTTTCTTGTCAAAAAAATTGCGTACTCTCGGCGATGCTGCCAGTCGGTGTGATATAGGCTGATTTGCGCGCATTAGGCAGAGCACGAACAGTTCTTCAACATTAACCTGTAGGGGCTACAGTGGGTGGGTTCTGTGGTAGGAGTGAGAGTTGAGGTTGTCTCAACGGTCTCCTCCGATGTCGTGGTTGATGCGTCCGTGGTAGGAATTGAGGACATATAGGTGCCAGTGGGGGTCGACCGAGGCTTCAGCGAGTTGAAGACTAGGTTATACCCAACGAAGCCGAGACTCCCACCGACCTGTGCGCAGTAATTAGTTACCTCAAGAAAAAAGAGTCTCGCAATTGGGAAAGGCGTTATGTAGACGTACATGTCTGAATGGTGTAGACGCTTGTGTCAGTAGTTAAAGCCATACGAAGGGATACATCCTGGGAAGTATCGGAGGAACTCCTTATCGCCGATATGGAGGCATGGGAATCCTTAGAACAAAGAAGTCATTCTTGTATGTATACGATAGCTTCCGTAGCAGTTACTTGCGATCTCCTCGCGCAACAACAGAGTTATTAACCCCCTCATATGGTTAGTGTCATGATAGTCTGGTTAAGTCTTTGATAAAAGAAGAATTATTATCCCAATTCGTGGTCCTTGTGTAGTATGATAAAAAAAGAAACAATAGTAAAAGAAAAGTAACAAGGACCTAAGAAGGTGCCTGAATTAGTATGTTGTAGTCGTACGTATATATTCTACTCTTGGTAGATGGTAGGATAGATGATTATGAATTCTTGTCTATTTGAGGTGAAAACCGAGAGCTAACTACCTATCTACCATAAAAGTATCAATTATATATCCTCAAGTAAGAATCATTATTATAGTTACCGAAGTATAGAAAAAGATTGCGTATATGTAAAACTGCGTTGTTATACGTGAAATTTGAGTACAAGCAGGAAACATTATAACTAAATGCAGAACCAAATAAGAAATAAGGGGGTAAATGCGTATTCGAATAATCAAGTGGAATAACCAGCAAAGAATACGTACCTGATCAAGTGATAACGACGATAGCAGAGAGTTTCTCCTACGATTGAGTTTATGTCTCCCGGTGAAGAGCACCTTCCTTCTCGAACACGTCTTCTGCAATTTCAGACGCGTCCCTCGTTTTTGCCGCGTCTGTACCCTGAACCTTTCTCAATTTCTTTTTTCCTCTTTTTTATTTTCCTGTAAACCGATGATGACCTTATAGCCCTAGTTCTTTCAATTCTCCCCAGTATCGTTAAAGATTCGATGCGCACCTTAGAGAATCTTGAGACCAGATAATTTTTATTCTCATCTTCGTCCCGAACCCCATCCATTGTTTGATTCCAGCCTTAGGATTCATTCGATACTGCCAGGGCGTGTAATGAGCCCACTATTTTCTCATCATGTTTTATAGTCACGAGAGTATGTTCCACCTCTTCTGAAACTGATACCTCTTGCTAATGTGGTGCCTCTAGTCCTGACTAATCACCAATATGGTGTTTCCACCATTTGGTAAGTACATACTTGACTTTGAACATTTGGTCTTCGCATCTCCCATTCGCTGGTTTAGAAAATGACGTATTGCCTGTAGCTAACTCTGCCAAGGCTCATCGCCACCGTTGGGACAGGCACGAGCGCAAGGAGAGTATCGAAGAAGGCTATCCAAGCAGTCGATGTAGAGAAGGCATGCGGAAAGATCATCGAGCCAGGAGCACCGGTCGCCCTACGACTTCAGGGACAGCTCCTCTATGGTGTGTCGCGCGTTTATAATGAGCAGTGTAGGTACATGTTGTCAGACCTACAAAAGGTTCAGATGCACATGCATATGCTGTTCAAGAGGCTCAATGGAAATCAGCTGGATCCCGACGCTGGCAAGACAAGGTAAGAACCTTCTATGGCTTTCGAGGTAGGAAACAAGCAAACAAAGACATTGTTGACTTCCTTTTTAGACCCGAGAACCTTTTAATTATGAACGATCCTGACTTTGTTCCGGATATGCAACTTCCCCAATTTGATCTCGATGCGATACTCGCTGGCAGCCAAGCAACTCAATTGACCAACAAGACGTCTTCTCAGATGTCCCCTCTTGATAGATCTTTCCTTTCAGTCTCGGACAGTCCCGCGCAAGGATTTGACCTTCGATTCGAACTCGGTCGCTCAGAGTCTCCCTCCCAACATAACTCGCCGTTTGGTGTTTCCTCTTCACACAAACCGGGAAGCGCGCAGCACTTACTTCTCGATCAGGACGACGTATTTGCCGAACCGGTAGATTGGGGAATGGAAATTGACGAGGACGGAAACATCATTGAGAGAGCGGAACCTGTCATAGTCCAAGACGAGTTTGACTTGCCCCCTCTACCGCTAATGGATGACGAAGCTCAGGGAAGAGCGCTTCCAGATCAGCAGGATCAACCAAACGTTGACGAGCAAGGCAACGTCATCATGGAAGACGCACAGCCAGAGCAGGCCGGACCCGTTCTAGAGCAACGACCTCGATTCAATCAGATCGCCTTCCTCTCCGATGATCAGCAGCAGCAGAATCAGCAGGCACCTTCGCGACGAAAGAGAAAGCCTCGCGGGATGAAGATTGATGAACGAACGCAAATTTCGAGAACTGAAATGAAAGGTTTGCAAGACAAATACCTGGAGAATTGCGGTATGAAGAAAGTACGACCGACTACTGCGGCACAGGCAAAAGCAAACGCGATGCTCTTGACGTTTGGCCTTGGTCTGGCAAATATTGGCCAGAATATTGGTGTCCCCAGGATGGTACACCCCCTCGCCCTTGACTTCTCTGGCGATTCGCTCTTCACTGCGTTTACTGGACTCCAGGTACCGGACCCATCCCGCGGTAAGCGCCGATCCGCATCCGAAGCCATTGAGGACGACGGAGAAGAGGCACGACGAGTTAGACCGCGACTCGAAGGCGGAGTCGACGAGAACCAGCTGGGTCACGATTTGGAGAATGCCGACGTCTTCGACCAAGATGCACCGGCCATCCACAGTTCCCCCGAAGTCGGCCGAGAAGCTCAAGCGGCCATGTCCGACCACCTATCATCTGCTCTACGCATGCCTTGGAACCGAGGTTCCTCCGCCATCCCAGGCTCTTCCATTCGCGGTTCCGCCCAGAAGGGCCGTATCCCATCTAGTCCTTTAGGAGGTCGCCGCGCTGGCCAAGATGCCGTGCGCTTCAGTGACGACATGAATTTCGCTGCTGGCCTACGTTCAGACGACGATCCTTTTGACGGCTATGAACCCGTAGATGCACCCGCGGAACCGCCTACGGACGAGGCGCAGAAGCAGAGCGGATGGAAACCGGTCGATATTGAAGGACATAACTTCTTTTCATTCATGGGTTCCGCTGTCCGTGAAAACGGCGAGCGTCGCCAAGACGATGACTTCGATGTAGACCGACGATGGGTCGCATTTGAAGATGTATTCGAGCCTCGAGAGACACCGCGCGACACTGCCGCCCATGCCTTCTACAACGCTCTGTGCCTCGCGAATAAGGGCAAGATTGAGCTCGACCAAGACGTCAACCCTAAGGAATCGTTTGGCGGAATTTGGGTTGGTATGAAGATGGCGGAGATTGATGCTCCAGCTGCGGGTGCCGAGTAACACAAAGATTCATGCGAATATCGGCTCATTTACTTCGTCTAAGAATTTTCGGTGGTATTTTATGGTTGATGGCTTCACCAACATCACACTTGCGACTCTTTTCGACTAAAACTCCGATTTCCTATCTGCATTGCCATCGGAGTTTCCGGGGAGGATTTAAGAGGGAACTAAAGCAAGGAAGAAAAAAGACGGATTTGTGTTGTACGATATAAACGGCTCCTCAAAGCTAACTTTGCTTACGAGCTAAGCTTAGGGGAGTACGATGAATGGATGTAAGAATTGCTGTATGTTGGACTCAAAAACAGGAGATGGATGGATGGATATTGCGATGCTTATTCGCAATTCTCATTTCGAGATAGATAAATACCCACTAGGGAAAGATCTGCTTTTTTAAGCGCTGATGTACATATGCTGCGGTACATGGCCTGAATGCACCGAAATGATTTACAAATGGTATATCAATCTTATTACCTATGATTTGTGTGATGTCTTGGCTACCTACATTCTAATTCGCAACCTAACTCCTAAATGCATATAGACAACTTAATCATAGGCGTCATCATCTTCAGCCATACCCTCGCGGTCTTCGAAGATCATGTACTCGTCTTCTGGAGTCTCATCGCCCATAACTAGCTTCCATGCGTCTTTGACTGCGGCTAGACAACTATCATCGAACGCAAGGCTTAGAGACCGAGAGGGAAACGCGAAGGTACGAACGCTCCCATTTGTTGTGCAAGACGGTTCTCGCGCACTCAGAGATTGCTCGTATTGCACTTTATACAAGCAAATAGGCGTTGAGCCCTTTGCATGAGCAGCAGCAGCGAGAAGAGAGTTTAACGCTGTCTCGAGCTGCTGTGCGGACTGAGATGTTGAGAGACTGGTCAAGTAGATTACACCTATAAAGATAGCGATGGTTAGCTAGGCTATTCCACTATGGATTTTTCATAGAATATTAGATGATGGAATTTGGTGCAATCAGTTTGTCAGAGGTTGTATTCGTCAAAGCATAGCTCAGACAATGTAGATAAGTATTCGTATTTGTTGGATCATCATAACACCATTATAGTAAGGGAAATAATCGGAGAAGAGGAAGTGTGAACTTACTTTGACCAACAGGACATTCTCCTGTTTCGCTGGAATGTACCAGCGCGTAAATCGGATTATTTGAAGATGTGGAGTCTTCAGCACCCGTGGATGAGCCAGCTGGAAAGGCTACAACGGCTACTGCTGGGCTCGGTCCACCCTCTGTGGTGACCTCAAATAAAGTCTGTAGAGGTGAGTTGACCACTGCGATCAACCTCGTGCTAGTCTGTGAGCCGGGCGCAGCCTCACTTTGCGACTTCACCAGTTTTGTCGTCTTAACAGACAGATCGTTTGATAAGTCAAGAGTGATTTCATTGCCATCAGAACCATCCTTGACCTTAGCCTTGGTATCAAGCATGTAAATGCCGCCACCAACGGCACCAGCACGGCACGCCACTTGCGCAATCTCCGAGGAGCCACCCCACTTGGGATACACGGCACAGAATCCAGGACCAAACAAGCCCATGGAAGTGAGATGACGATGGATAGTAGCCAAACCATCTGCAACCGTCACATTGCCATCTAGCGTCAAAGTGAGAGCGAGGATATACTTTTGCAGATTCTCATCTAGCTTGAATTCGCTCGCCAAGAACTCTGAAAGCGGTTTACTCTCCTGACCCTGCCAAACCGACTTCTGTTCATCAGAGTCGTATTCGATGACGAACTTGAGGAATTTCATCAATGACCGCTTCGACTTGACCGGTATGGAGCGCGTAGCGAATACGTCTTCGCGACTGCTAGGTATTCGGGCTAGCTTCGGACTGGCATTTTCGTCGTAGACAAAGAACGAGCCGACGGCTAAGAACTCGACTTGTCTGTAGGCTCTCGATGATACTAGCTGCTCCAATAACTTAGAGCGGGTGTGTATGATTTGAGGCGCTAGGGCAAGTGAATATGCTCGAGGGAAGGATAAACCATGGTCTGCAGCTTCGGGATGCTTCCAAACGCTAGCGTTCTTGAAGATGTTCTGTGTTTCCTTCGTCGACTCATCCCCGGTAGTCAATCCAGCATTAGCGGCTGCCCAATTGTCCGCCTCTTGAAGACTAAAAGCTGCTTCATGCTCGCCATAGAAATCATTCGGGTCGAGATGAAGGATACGTTTCTTGGATCTCGAGAGGGCTCTTCATGGATCGCCGGAAAGCGGGCTGGGTCAGTCAGATCAAGCTCCCATTATTGCCACTCATGTAGGAATACATATTAGAGAAGGATTTGCTTACAGAGCCAGTAGCGACTGCGACAAACCTGTGCCGCAGATCACTACGTCCCATGGCTCTTCTCCCAAGGATTCCATCGTGGATAAAAAGGGAAGAAGATTAGAAAGGGTGTTTGGGTTCGCCGAAAAATTGTTGCAGGAGAAAATGGAGCTACGAAGTGGAGCTTGGTTTATCTAGATCGGCACACAAACGCCGAGGTTCCGATAATCCGTGCACGGACCTCTACGACACCTAAAATTAAATGGCTGTGATTTTTTTGCTCTTCTTTCTTTTTCTTTAACAAACCACCGCCTGCCAGTATCCAACGCTCAACTATCTCGAAGCGCTACGATGCTGGTTTAAGAGTGGCCTTTCAGTAGGCTGCTCGTCTTTTATGAGCGGAAGACCAAAATCGTCGTCCCGTATCTACTATCCTGGATTCTTTGGCCTGATAGGATGGTTCGAAGGGTTGATACATCTCACTTCGAATAGTTACTGCGTACTTGTGATAAAGATATTTCATTCATGCTCAAAGTAAACATTAAGATACTAGAATAAATGAATTAGGGGCATTTAGAACATGTATGCAACTACATGTACTCTTCTCGGCACTTAAGTTATTCACATCAGAATCATCATAGGGATCAATGGTAAATTCACCGGAATCAGTGCAAATTCTTAGTTCCTCATAAGCCTGTACGAATCTGCCTTTTTATTCCAGGATTCCGGGTATCAAGTGACTACTCCTACCGCCTCCCTGCTCTACTGCAACACAGCACGGAATTCCTTCCACCGTTCTGCCGCAACCTTAGCAAACTCCCTCATAATCGCCGGTCCAACAACCGTGCCACCACTTTTCGATATGGCCAGGATCTTTGTTTCTCCCTTTGTGTTATCAACCACCATCGTGACAGTCTCATCACATAAACTCTCCTCGAGTCTATCCGGATCCACCAAGATCCAAAACTGACCACTGCCCTTCTTCTGCTGCCTCTCCTTCGCCGTAAACACAGCCACCGTACAAGCAACCGGTAATCCATGTATACTCAACGGCACAGCCGGCTTCTCAGTAGTCGGTCGGGAACATAACACCATCTCGCGATCCACATCCCAATACGCGTACGGTAACTTCGTATCCCTCAACGCAGCCAGGATCGCAGCCCAAGCCACATCAAACGGGTTTCCATCGAACGAAATAAACAGGACGTCGATGTAAAGTACCCAATATGCCTTAACCTCCTTCACCGCATCTTCCTCGTCATTATTATCTTCCTCCATCCCCCCCTCGGCCGATGTTGTAGTAAGAGCTCCATCGCGATTATATATCCTCAACCCCTCCGCACTCAAAACCTTCGCACTATGAAGTAGTGAGTATAAACGCGTACTCAGCGTCTGCGCGAGGGTGGTCGGGGGTACGCCGGGGAGGAAGTTTGGTGCGCAGCCTGTTGCTAACTCCACATTCGGAACAAGTAAATCGTAATCTCGTAGTTCGTCTGTTCTCGCTATACTACTATTGGGGGAGGAGGAGGTTGGCGTGACGCGGTAATTTGGGATTTGGGATGTGAGGAGAGTTTCGCCGCGTACACCGCATATTACGGTGGTGTCGCCGGATCGCACGACGGCGCTGCCGTGGGCGTGTGATAGGGAGGATGTGTTTATACTATAGGGACGCGGTTGGCGGGGTTGGCGGCCGTTGGTTCGTGAGGAGGGAGGTGTGGTTGCCGAGGTAGGGCCGCTTGGTGGTTGGAGGTTTGCGAGGAGGAATGGGTGTGGTGAGAGTTTTGCGAAGGTTGTGCTTGACAGCGTCAAGGAGCTTGACGTTGCCATTTTTCTTGTGTATTCTTGGATATACCGGTGGCTTTGTAAGAATACAAGTTCAAAGGTGGGTTTTGGAGTGGAAATTATGAATTATGGTTCGTCAATGCTTCGTGAACGTCGTGGTGAAGGTGTTTGTGGTGATGGTTTGAAATTTTGGGAAAAGGCTACAGCAAGCCTCGCGGGGTCCATTGAAGCTACAGCCAATCAATGATAATCGATACCCAAAGCTATCTCTTATCGTATTCAATCCTAGGTGGTTATCAGAAGCGAGCTAATCCATTATGGGTAATACCTGTTTTGGTAGGTGGGGTTCATGTATTTTTATACAAGTCGCCGAGAATGTAGAACTCAACTTCTTCTACATCATGGCCGGGGACTTTACAGGAAATCCGAAACATTATGCACATAATATCTATTCGGAGTTACTCAACTTCTCGGGGCGTTTTTTTCTTAAATCACTCAGACCAATACCATCCCCAGTTTACGCCACATCCTATAGTATCAAGCCGTCAAGCAGCCACTATCACAAACTTCCAACAACAATACTTGGCTTCTATTTTTCTAGTGTACAACCTGTTCCTCTATCCCCAAATTCAAGGCGATCGTTTAAGTGCGGCGTTCAACGGAGCTCCGTCCATGTAGTACGCAGCATGGCTAACGAGACCCTTCTCCTCGCCAGTCGTGGCCAAGTGCAGAACTGCAATAGCTGAGAGAACAATAGTCTCCTTCTCCGGGTCATTCTTGACCTTCCACGTTACACGGCATTCCTGGTAAATTCTATTGTCGATCATGTCTAGATAGTGGACTTGTCAGCATTGAGGCTTCCAAAATGAGGTAAGTGGACTTAAGCTTAGGACGTACCGAAGCTGTCGACATCGTGATGCATCAGCTCTTCTCTACTCCAAGTTGGAACGAAGAAGTTTTGGATGTTTTCGAGTCCCTGTATGATAGGTCGGTTGCCGAACTTCACCGTTGCGTTCTTCGTATACACGGTATCGAGCTTAGACACATCGAGCGTATCGTTGATGGCAAGAAACTGAAGATGATGAGTTCTGGTAAGTTTGATCTAGACGGGTTTAACTTACTCTGTCCAGCCACGTTTGGACTTCGGATCTGGATGTCGGTACGAAAGCCATTGTCTTGATTCGATTCAAATTCCTCAAGGTCCTCAGGGCCATAACAGTTCTTAAGATGCTATAGTAAGAACGTTTAAAGTATTTCAATCTTGTTCTTATATATATAATTCTTTAAACCCTCCGCGCATTGTTTCATAATATCCTTCTTATTAATCTGACCGCATAAGCAACAATCGTCACCATTTTCCTATTTAGGAAATCATGGATCTAGACGACTAGACGGCGAGTTTACTAGTGAGGCACTACAGCTACAGACAGGCGATACCAAGAAGACTAAACGGAGCCTTGTTGGTTTCTGGGCAAGTTTATAGTACGTTCGTGATTTGCATTTGTCACCACGGCTTCTCTGCTTTGAAATAGATATAGGATCAAGATACTCTGCAGTTTTGTTACGAATACCTACGGACACGTACATAGTCTCAGAGATTCATCAATTGATATCCGCCGAACTACAAGCCACATAGAAATCCCTTTAAATTTCGATCAACCCAATTGGTCGGAGTTGGTCACTGTGTTTTCCCACGAATATAGAGGTATTGCTCTGGCTAATTTTTGATTGGTCATGTCCCCTATCCGACGATGGGATTCCCGTGTAACACATGCTCGGGGAATAAGTAAGTTGCGTGCAGACAGATATATATTAAGCCTGTATCACCTCCATTATATTAAAAGACTTTCCCTGTCCTCTATATTCTGAAATTCGTAGGCCTAGTGGAATCATAACGAGCTGTAACACATTATGAAGTAGGTGAAATCAAGTCACCATTAGCTTCTTTAAATTCCCCAAACCCCTATGTACATACCTAGGTAGGACGGATCTTCCCGGCAGATCTGATAAGAAACACTCTATAAAACGTATTATCTGGGTTGATGTATATCTCTAACTACTAAATACATATCAAAATACATCAATAGGATTATTGCGAGTTTTCTAGTAACAAAATGAGGTATTTCGAGCCAAGTGGGTTAGACAATGGTAGTGTGCCATCCAGATAAACCAATCACAAGCGTCGCCGATGACGAAGATCTAAAGAAATGCAAGCCAAGACATCATTGATATGTCGAAGTTTTGAAATTTTTAGAAGCGTTCTAGAATCTTTGATGTCTCATCACCTCGTTTGCTTTGATAATATTCTACCTAGGAATGCAAGGCTAATGAATTCGTCATGTTGACTCATGTCGATCGCCTTCGCACCTCGTTACGGTGATTGAGGAACAACTTGGAAGCAATTGGACATCCGTGCGATATCTGTGCTTGGTTTGGATACCCCGCCGCTTTGTCAAAGGAAGACCCTGAAAATCATACGGTTAATATTCCGAGTGGATGCGCTCAACGTAGTCGCATAATTGCCGCATTTGATACTACGTCGTCGATATCACTATTGACCTGCGAATCATGGATCCTCTGATCGCTTCCGAGCTTGCCAGAAGCGCTGATGGCATTCCCTTACGCGCGAAGGAGAATCATGTCCACAGCACTTGGGCCAAGACTTTCTTGTCACGACCTGAACTGTATTTCCAACCGGAGACGCTGCCTGAGATTGAAAAGATCGTAAGGTTGGCGCACAAATGTCGTCGCCGTATCACGACTACCGGCTGCGGCCATTCGCCCAGCTCACTGACTTGTACTTCATCTTGGTTGGTCAACCTTGATAAGTATAATCGCATCCTTTCCGTGGACGCTTCTACAGGAGTCGTCGTTATGCAGTCGGGCATCAGGTTATATGCGCTTTGCGAGGAACTTGAGAAGTATGGGTTTGCGATGCCAAACCTGGGTAGCATCAATCAGCAATCTATCGCCGGCGCTATCTCTACCGGCACCCATGGATCAAGTCTTAGGCATGGCTTGATGTCCGAGGATATTCTATCTTTGCGCATAACCGTCGCAGATGGCACTACCAAGTTCTGTTCGCCTGAGAAAAACCCAGAGTTGTTCCGCGCCTCTATTCTTTCTTTAGGCGCTCTCGGTATCATAACTGAAATTACATTCCGGGCCGTGCCTGAGTTCACCTTGCGTTGGCAGCAAGTTATCGATACTGATGTGAAGATGCTAGATGCATGGGAGAAGGACCTCTGGACACAGACCGAGTTCGTCAGAGTTTGGTGGTATCCGTATACACGGCGTGCAGTGGTGTGGACGGCAGAGAAGACCGATGAACCACTCGTACCTCCACCAATATCATACTATGACGGCACACTTGGCTACTACGTCTACCACAACCTACTATACGTCTCACAATTCTTCCCACGAATCCTCCCTTGGGTTGAGTGGTTCGTATTCGGCATGCAATACGGCTTCCGCAACGGCACAACCAGCCAAGCCGTGCAACCCAGCCGTAAAGCACTATTAATGAACTGCCTGTACTCACAATTCGTCAACGAATGGGCCATCCCCCTACACAAAGGCCCCGAAGCTCTCCGACGGCTAAGTAGTTGGTTAAACCAACTTCCACCTTCGGATCCCGATTACGTTCCACATAATATCCCCTTCTCAGCAGAAGGGCTTTACGTTCACGCTCCGGTCGAAGTACGCGTTTCTAATACTTCGCCTTCTAACCCGAAGTCGCAAATCCCGAATACTAGACCGTTTCTCGATCCAACGGTTGAGGATGGCCCGACGTTGTATCTTAATGCTACGCTTTATCGACCGTATTTTAGTGACCCCCCGTGTCGCGATAGGTATTATGAGGCGTTTGAGTGGTTGATGAGGGAGTTGGGTGGCCGACCGCATTGGGCGAAGAATTTTGAGACGGATGGGGTGGAGATTGAGGGTATGTATGGTAGTAATCTACGGGAATGGCGGAAGGTTAGGGAAAGTGTTGATCCGGATGGGTTGTTTGCTGGGGCTTGGCATAGGAGGTTTGTACTTGAGGGTGGTCCTGTTCTTCCGCTGGAGGAGGCGGAGATTGGTAGGAAACCAAATCCTACCGGAGGTGTTGTGTTTGAGGGCGATGTTGGAACGGCGCGGTAGTGATTGGATATGATACGGTGTATGAGAGATGGAGCTTATGGCAACTCCGACATTAGGCTAGATATTTGGATGGAGGCGCCTTCTAGATATGTAAAGTTAATGGAAGCATGGTTGAGGCTTGCATGGGTAAGGGCTACCTGGATGCCTACCCCTATTTGTGATAAAAGGAAAGGTAGACGGCTACTACCACTGATGGTTAAGCTAGCTATGAAGAAGGTGGGATGATATGCGCTGTATCACTGGCGCAGCTTAAACATACTGCCCTTTATAATTGCACAGGCTTTCTCTTCCTTGCAATATTTTCTTGTCTACTACATATATATTGACGTCTGGAGTCGACATCCAACTTTGACTCTAGCTCGAATCGATTCTAATAAAGATATTTAGAATACACTATCGACAGGGTAACCTGTACTAACGAAATGGATTCACACTTTGTTCTTAACCCACAAGAGCCGGCGTCGAAACCGGGAAAATCAGAAGCGACACAAACAAGCCCCGGGCCGATAGTGACGCTACCGTCCATAGAATCAATCCAGCAGCCATCGCGATTTGACTTTTCATTTGAACTACCACCCATCAGAACTCCCGGTGAAATATCATCGACAACTGAGTACCCAGCTTCGCTGACAACTCGCACGCTATACCCACCATCGCCAGAAAAACAACCCAATCCCCACACCGAACCAGATTTCAGCGATGTGAATCAGTTAGTTGCGCTAATAAGGGAAAATCCGGGTTTTTTCAAGCCTATACCTAGTTCAGGAGATAGGCGGTCCGTCGTAGAGACCTGGTACGCATTTTTAAAATGTCCTATGCATGTCTCTAACAACGATCTGGAGCGAGTTATCCGCATGGAGCACTTCGTGGATAATGTGTATCCTCGGAGGTTCTTCTACTTGAAATCATGGGCGCTTCGGATATGTGATCTCGTTGTTTTGGAGAATTATCTGAAGAACCAGGAGAAGACGTTTGAAGAGTTACGAGTTTGGTATCTGATCTGTCGGGCTGAAGGACTAGGAGTATCTGATCGACTCATCGTCCGATATATTGGTTACTGCGAGTACGAAGACGGGCAGGTTCCACCTTCTCATCCACGATACGAACACCTTCATACGCCTTTGAAAGGTGTACTCCCAGAATTCCTAACGGGAATAGAAGCTGTGCTACCAGAAGTCGCAGAGTCGGTTCAAACTCACTTACTTCCGCATCATTATGGAGAGAAGACACCACTAAAACGTATAGGCGCCGCCTGGATTGAGTTCTTCGGTGTTGCATCTCTTATCAATCGCCTTGGAGATGAGAGCCCAGGACTGCTTCCGGGGGAAGTCAGAATGTCAAAACACGGATCTCTTGACTTTGACCCTGTTTCTTTAGCTATTCTCCCCAGGACCTTATCAAATACACTAGAAGATTTGTTTGCGAAAATGTGCGCGAAAGTTCAACCAAGCTCAATACCATGCCCACGAATCCCGCAGTTGGAAATGAGGCCTTCGAGGATTCCAGTCCTCCAAACCCAGTCAACACCTTTACTCTACAAGGGACTAAAGACACTGGTAGTGCTCGCCGGGAGAGATACGTACTAGAACGACTTTGCCTCTTGTCGGCCATTTTGGAGGGGCGAGAATAGTGAGGCAGACTTGATGAAAGACGTACTCAAGTCTATGCCTTCTATCGGGGGAATTGAAACTACTGACTCTAGTTTATACGCCTACTATTGCTTTACACCGTCACCTCAACTTTCCGGCAATGGATTAGCTAAAGTAAGTTTCCCCTATTACCTTAAGATCTACGTCTGTTATTAATATGGTATTTTCAGTACATGTGGCACTACATCGAGATCGTACAACCTATGATTTAGGTGACTATGGGAAGGCGAATGTTCGCAACCGTTTTGAAGGACGCCAGATGTGAAATGGGCCTGGATCGACCTAACGGGCCATTACATTCCCCCGAGAACTTCGCGCGGCCTTACGTAGTAGGTCTACACAAACACAAAGGGCACGAACCACTCTACTTCGTATATATCCCTCTACTAGACCCAGCAAGACAGCGGTTCACAGCTTCCCCGAGAACTACAAAACTTATACAGCACTTCATCAAACTATCAATGCAGCTAGTAGTTCTGGCTATAGAGGCTACTGTCGACGTTTTGGGTTCTGGCGATTTGCTCTACGAACCGGCTGATAAGGAAACGTGTATACAAATATGCAATAAGACGATAGTGCTGGCGCAGACGAGGAAATGTCTGCCTTCGACAGCGATTCATAGTTCGTTGAAGAAAACGCATTCTCTGTGGGTGGAATTGAAGGTGCTAAGGACGCTGTTGGACAGGATGGGGAAGGGGGATCATTTGCTTTTCCCGAGGGGTGATGAGAGTGGGTATATTGTGTAGTATGCCCTCTTTTTCATTGTGGTTGGGTGTCTGTTTATGGTACGCTTAAAGAGAAGCTATGGCATTCATTGCCTCTCTAAAAATGCTCTAGTATATGAAGGAGGGCTGGTAGTAACAGGTATGGTGACGTTAGTATGCTGTTACGGATATAGTTCGCTTTTATTCTAGACATTCGTTTTCTTCGGGTTATCATCATGAAAAGTCTTCAGTGTCGTGTTATACTTGACGACCTAGTATTTGCTAGAACTGTGCGAGAGTGCTTGCTTGAACATGGCGGAATATAGATACCTAGTAGGCATCCGATTCGGATGCGAACTCAAACAACAGACGGGCCCTTACATCGGATACACACAGGAACCGGGCGGAAACAGCAAACATACTAGGTGCCTATCCGAGAGTGAGGGGGTATAACTGCGGGGAATGCGTATACATTTCGAAATTTGTGGAAACCGTCATAAGGCGTGACACTTTGAGGAGAATGAATGGGCTTGTGACCTGGACTACCAGAGGTGGGAAACGTGACTAATGGTAGGAGATCAAAACCACCTAGGTAGGATGTAATTTCATGGTTCGCTACCTATTGAATCTGGATGTTGGGTAGAAAGGTTCCCGGACGCTTGATTCGGCGCACCGCAAATCCCATGGAAATACGTATACACAAGCGCCATGGGTAGAGTAGTTTAGGTACTATCTCGCGTCCCGGGAAACGTGGCCATGATGAAAGGGCTGAAAAACGAGAGAAAAAACCTAATGCTAACAAATAACCGGTCTCTAGTATAGTACGGTTTAGTCTGCCTGCCCGTTCTGGGCTACTGGAATATTGGACTAGATTAGGTTTGCCAGCGGACGCAGGAACAGAACTAACCCAGCGCCCACGTGTAAAAAAACCTAAGAAGCGCGGTAGGTGATGTGGCCTGGCTGGTATGCGGTATGCGAAACCAATGCGTTGTATGGCACTAGGGCAGGCGATGGGGTAGTGGCATTTCGGTGTGCTACTGAGATTTTAGTTACTTGTATGACTTCCTGTCTCAAACTTGCAGAGAAGCAAAGAGAAGAATATCGATGAGAGGCGTTGTTTGGTGACGGAGAAGAAAATAGTTGGTTGCCAAATCTGTTGTGATATGAGATGTAGGTCTCAGGTTGTAGATGAATATCGCCAAGCTTGTGCTTGCGTCTAGAAATAGGTTATAAGCCTGTTGAAACGCTTCGGGCACGAGCACATGGGGCGCGGGGATGCTATCCGCTCAATGCCTTCAATGCCCGCATCGTGGTTGGAGGCTACTATTTGTCCGGGCGGGCTAGGTTTTACTTGTCACTTGCAGACGGCACGGACAGATGGTGCTATAATTATTGTTGTTGTGCTTTTGCTGACGCTTTTACTGTTGCTGACGTAGCATTGATACTGCTGGTTCACACAGTGAGACTGCAGGCTGCCGCTCTGCCATTCCCATCATGGTGCCTGAATTACAGAAAATTGATTGCGTGCAGCGGACTACTACCTAACATCTCGTCTTGCTGCGCGGATGATTGGACGGGAGACAAATCGAAAAGGGGCCATAATATTTATAGTCATTTAGGGCCTCGTTCCTTGTTGTATTTGGGGGCGCAGTTGAATAGTGTGTTCAAATAAAAGTAATTCAATGTATTTAGAACTGTTTCTTTTGACGAAAAATGAAAACGATCATGATTCGTACTTCAGGCGAAAATAAGGGAAAAATGCAGACGGACCCGGAGATCAGGCGGGATGGAGACGCATCATGACCGGGCTAGAATCATGCGTTTCGGTCGAGCCTCTCGCCTCTTCTCTTAGCTTCGATGCTCAAAGGGCTTCAAGGGCTCGCTCGGCTCTCTCCTCACCTGAAGGATGGGTGGGAGCGCTATTGGAGACCCCTGGTCCCCCGGATGACTTTGCGAAGGATGTACCGCAAAAGTTTTGCAAAGTACCGATACTTGATTGTCTCTGTAGTTTGTCAAACCTCCTGAAGATCGGTTGCTAGAGCTTACTGCAACACGTAAATAAAAAGAGGAGAATAGAGCTGATAAGGGGAATATGGAGGACCTTGACCTCGCCATATTGTCGTATCAAAGGGATTTTGTTCCCCTCATTTGAATTGCGGTCGTATTGTAGTCTCTTACCCTTGTTTGATTGACGGCCGACTTTAGAAGGCGAACGGAGTTGAGAGTGGGAACACGAAGTAAAGAGCATCAGATGAGAGCGAATCTGTAAGCGCTTCTTGACACAAATGACAGGGGTCGATACGATAGCTCGATGGCCAATCCTAGAAATCCTAGAATCCCAGAGATCTCACAAATTCCGAGGTCCAACTGCATTCGTCAAGCAGAAAAGACATCCTAAGCTTACTGCGGGGGGCGATTAGTTGGCTAACATTTTAGACCTTTTGGACGGACCTGGAAGTGATCCACTCGGGCGGGAACAGAATCTCACTCACAACCTATACTTTTTAGGATGAGGCCGAGGAGACAGACCTTTTTTTTCTTTGATGGGTCAGGGGATGTTTCCTCTTTAGCCTCGGAGCTCGCTGAGTCAGTCAAGACTGAAAGAAAAGAATTTTAAGGATCGCCAAGGCACAGCATACTGTGTATTAATTGTTGATCAAAGACGAAATTGCTAACAAATTGAAGGGATAAGACAGTGAATGGAAATGACATCTTAACTGTGTGGTTCAACGTTTGCTGGTAGCTACCTTTTTTGGTTGTGAGATTATGGGGGAGGGAAAGAATACGACAAGACGAAACCTTGGAAGAAAAACGGGCTAATAACGGTTAGGACGATGATGACGACGATGGCACGAAACAAGGTTTCCATCGTCAATTTTAGGGCGTTCAAGTTAGGACATTACAATGATGTATTTAGTAGATTTAGTAGGGTCGAAAAAGTACATCACAACAAGTACATTCATAAACCTAGTAATGGTCGGCCTGATCCAATGCCCCGTCGCAAATACATAGTAGACGCCAACAAGAACATGGATCTTATTTGCTTGTGGAAGAACAATGACGACATGGACCGATTGTTCCCGTCCATGAAGAATAGTGTAATGCAGGATTCCCATATAACTTATACCATGTGCATAGTGGATTAAATATCCCAATATTCATTCATGGATCCCTTTTTAAGTTAAGAACTTGCATTGGAATACTGCGCTGAATACTGCACATGTGCACTGACGATTCCGATAGGTTATTCCGTTTGTTGATTTCAGACCCCCCCCGACCCTGGTCAAGCTTTCCAGGTCTACGGGTTGCTCTCTCCTCAACGACTTAACTTTCCAGGAGATTTAATTTGCAGCTTCCTTTTGAGAGCAACATCCTCCAAGGCCTTACTAAAGGCTAGACAAAATAAACATCATTTTAGAGCGAAGGTGTGTGACGGGTCGCAGCTACAGCCTACCATCTAACCTACCTCATCACCTTCCTTACTACCTAATTCAACGCACTCATTTAATTAAATTACCTTATTATCAATTATTTATCCTTTTTTTCACCACGTTTTTGTCTCGTACCATCCCTCTTCATCCCTAACACCACTAAATCATCATCACCCAACCAAAAACATTGAACAATCTAGTCTGGTCCTAGTTGCTTCCCCCTACCTATCTCGCTACAACTCGCAATTCTTTTCACCTTCGTCTTTGTCTAGCTATTCTGTTGCTGCTCAATCGGTCGGCAAAATCAATTCAAATTTCTCTTCCTAAAACTGTTCGGACATTCTCGACTTCATTCCATTGGCATACAAAGAATAGACGGGAATAATACCTTACTTACCTAGGTACCTCGCGATCACAGTCTCTAGACCACTCAAAAAAGGTATTGTACAATTTACTTCACACAAGTACTGTTACTTCGATGTCCCTAGACAATACAGCCGCCACTTAGTCTTGCTTTAGGCTGGTGTTACCCTTGTCAAGCCTACATGGATAGGTCGGTCGGGTGCTTCGAGCGAGCGCCTAGGCCTGTCATTGATTACATACTACCTGCAATCCTTCCCACTCTTGCAGCACCTCTATCTGCGCTCTACGTACCTAATCTCTAATTCCTCTTTGGCCCTACATTGCTCTCTCTCTTCGCCGAGCCTACCGAGAAAGACATTCATCTTTTCTTTCTATTGTCCTGACTCAGGAACTACAACAAAACGACTGACTGGCTCATAGTCAGCTCCGTCTAATAGACAATCGACGTGCTGATTCAACCATCCTAGTTTTTGGCCTGTGTGCCCTCACGCCAATAATACGCCCATATCTACCCTTCTATTGCCGATGGTCAGCTGGTCTTAGGTTCTACGACATAGGTCTCACCATAACACCAACGATAGCGTGATATCGGCTCGATGAACAGCCCTTCCACCTTTCGAAAATCATTTTATTAATCTTTTAAATCATTAATTATATTACCTCTTTGTAATATCTGCCCATTCCATACAAAATACGAGAGCGGGTTGCAACATCTTTTGGACCTCTTGGTCCGCCAGCCGTCAAGCTGGATTCGTAAGTGCAGTCTATTTTCTAGGCCGCTTTATACCACAACACCCGCGATTTATACCTGTAGCAATTGGTTTAGACCTTTGTATTCTATTATACTCAATTAGAACCGAAATTATACAATATCCGGTATCTCCATTCCAGGTTAATATGTACTAACATGGGTTGGGTCAGCTTCATCCACGTCGCTGCTTGGTCGCAGCACCGGAGCCCAAGTCCCGGTCCGCAGCGTACCTTAGGCCATCTCCGATCCCTCTCCAGCATGTCACCGTCCGCTATTTCCCGGTCAAGGTCGCCGGTAAAGTCACAGTCCTCGTCGAACATAGCTACCGAGATGATGGTTCCACCCAAAACCGATTCTCTCAACGCCCCGCAACCTAAGAGGATGCCGTCACAAAATTCTTTAATGGAAGACCAAGATCATAGTACAATCCCCGACCCTCGAATACGCGTAGTAAGCCCTGCGAACGGCGACAACCTTCACCCCGACTTAGACCAGGAAGTAGCCGCGCTTAGCACGAAGCTCATCAACGCGATCAACCATCAGACGAGTCTTGACGACACACTTTCGGCGACAAGGCAGGATTTAGAAGCTTCTCGAGAACGAGTACGGGAACTTGAGGAACAAGTAGCACGTCAACAAGAAACTCTATCCGGCGATGTCTGGGTCAAGCGCAAAAGTGTTGAGGCCGAGAAGAGTAAACTTTTGAACCGGATTGTCGAAGAAAAGAAATTGCGTGCTGAAGTTGAAAAGGACAAGAAGAAAATAGAACAGGAACTGGAGACATTGACAGTTTCGCTATTTGAAGAGGCAAACAAGATGGTTATCACAGCCAAAGAGGATGCAAAAAGGGATCAGGAGGCACTTCACCGGAAAAATGAACAATTAAAGGCTCAATTGGCTGATACCGAAAGTCTCTTGAAGTCTCAACAAGAACAACTGGCTGAGTTAAAGATAGTCATGGAACAAATAACAGCTGAACGCGACGATCATAGTGGTACCGCTCCTTCATCTCCAGGGTTTAGCAAATTTGATTCAAGAGATGACGATACCCAAATCTCCGAAGGCATATCACATTCCGGCCCCGTGGAGTCGTTTCCTCCTACGTATCCCACCAATCTAGGTCATCTTATCCATCCTGTACTACGAACCGATCTTTCCGCCTACGACGACTTCGTGTCACTCATCCAGACGTCGAAGAAAGTGTCCAATAGCCGAGCTTCGTCAGGGTCGTATAGTGGACTAAACCCTCTTCTTAGCTTTACTGGTTCTGGACATGCTTCAGCTCCATCGAATTCGTCGACAGCTTCTCTTTCTACCCTTGCAACTCACAGCCCGAACGTTTCTCCGCAAACGCCGAACACACCAGCTTCAGTACTTAGCTCAGGGTCTACTGCTTCATCCGCCCCATTGCCGCCTTTGAAAGACACCAAATTTTACAAGAGGGTGCTAGCTGAGGATATCGAACCTACGCTCCGCCTTGATATTGCACCGGGTTTGTCATGGTTAGCCCGCCGATCTGTGCTGAACGCAATGATGGAAGGAACTCTTGTTGTGGACCCGGTCCCAACAACTTCTCCTTTCCAGGCAATTAGTAAACCTCAGTTCTATCCTTGTTCACTTTGCGGTGAGGCACGTAAGGATACGCCACATCTACGCAACCATCGCTTCCGAACGAGCGAGTCGGACTCTGCCCAGCGATATCCCCTTTGCAAGTACTGCCTCGATCGCGTGAGATCGACCTGCGACTTCCTCGGATTTCTACGTCTAGTAAAAGATGGGCATTGGCGTGCCGAGGATGCTGAATCCGAGCGAGCTGCCTGGGAAGAGAGCGTTCGGTTGCGAGACCAAATGTTTTGGAGCCGCATAGGTGGCGGAGTTGTTCCAATAAGTAGCCATGGCCATGGTCATTCCGTCAGCATTAGCGAAAGATCTGTCCGGAATAGTCAGGATGCCAACGGGGCTCCAGCCGATGTTCAAAAAGAAGACGAGGCTAAGGGCCCTGCTAATGAATCCGGCGAATCTGAGTCAACCCTGAAGCGGGATGAGCCCCAGCAAGTTGGCACGCAGTCAGAGAAGGCAGTTATTAATCCTGACGGCCAGACCGCAACTGAAACAGAATCTACTGCCATAGAAACGGCAAACGAGAAAAGCGAAAGGCTTTCCCTCGCAATTCCCGATGCTTCTACCAAAGAAGCGTCTGATTAACTTTTACAATTATTATGACATCAACCTAATAACCCCCTTCGAATTTCACGCACAAAAGTTTCATTAGAAGTCATATCGTTTCCGCGCGTACATACTTCGCTACGCTGGCCCTTAGAGCAACATTGTGTATAATAGCTAGTCATTAGAGAACCAGTTGCGAGTGAGCGACCCGAGGTGGCATGGGTCGTGTGATATTGGCATTGGAGCATTTAGCGGGCCGGCGTTTTTTCAGGAGTTTGTTGTTTGCCGTTTTACCAGTTGTCCCTCGACAGGGACAAGTAGAAAGTGTGTCGGAACTGAGAGGATTTCCCTCTCCGGGGTACTTAGGGTCGGGTTGGGGCCATGGGTGCTCTATGGGTGTGCTGCAAGCCCTCACCCCAAAAGGGATTTGTGGCGCTTGAGACAGCAGACAGTCTTATCATAAGTCTACGAGGATGCGTCTACGGCTACGGAGACCCGAAGAGAAGTGAAGAGAAGGTCGAATCATACATATAATAGGATGGTTAGCAATATGATGTTGCACTGAAATGCTGTCGTGTTAGATATTCTACCCTAATGTGTCTACTAGTGATACGTGTTTGTTGTGATAGATATTCGTTGTTAGGTTACTTAATGTGCTGTTCTGAGGGTCAAAAGCTACGAATCCTGACTGCCATGTAATATCTACTTCGATGTATGTAATTGTACAGGAATTAATTCCAAAGATATTTACTTCTTTCTACCTCTCATTGGTTAACTTTTGACTCAGACTAGGTATCTACACATCTAGAAACCATCACGGAGGAGGCCGAATTAGTAATTGCAATTTCATAACCACCCGATGCCAGGGCGGGACGATAGGAAATCTGATGACCACGGAATAAACCGTCCGATTGCAGCCGTGTATTCCTTCACCGGCCGAGTCAACCTAGATTCGGTAACCAGGGGAGTGATCTGCCTGTCTACTTAAAGTCCTATGTTATTGATTTATGTGATATTTAAACAGGCCACAACTCATTGATAGCCCCCGGGTTAGTTTGCATTTTTCCATGCCGGTTGTCTTCGGATTGCTTTCCTGTCCTCGCAGAAACTGGGCAGGCAAGGACGCAGAAATGATAGATAGAATTGCCCCCATGGGGCCAAGAGCTACTATCCCTTGCCTCCAGCAGAAAACTTGCCGGCTGGGCTGCTGGGTTGAGTGGCTGGATGGGGGATCATCGAGAGAAAAAGCAAGTCATCTACACCGGTCGTGATCGGGGAGTAACAAGGTTGCAGTGGGAAACGCCCAGATAGGAAGAGGCTTGACAGGCATTATTGTTTCGGGTTGTGCGTACATATACCCATTGGTGGTAAGGTATGCGTGGCGTAGTGTCCTAACGATTGGATTGGTGTAGTCCTAGGAATATTGTTATAATATTAACTTGCTGCAGACTTTCACCGAGTCTGCATAAAAATCGAATCGATCTACATAACTGCAAAAGTAAAAAGTGCAGGCTTCGATCCTTCTTCAGAAACCTTCAAATCTCCCCTCCCCCCACTGAATGCTTCCAAGCTTCCGATGTACATACATACATCTGTAATAGCGGGCCGAATCCTTGTCCCGCGTCTCCCAACCCCATGCCGGGTATGCAAGTTGTAACTTTGTATGTATGTAAGTACTATGTAGTGCAGTATAATCAGAGCATAATCTTATGTCTCATGAAAGTCTAATATCTCAAGTACTTTTTACATTGATTGGTGATTTCAACTTTTCATCTTTCCTCCTATTACATCACCGGATCATCTCTCCTCGAATCCTTCCCTCGATTCAACCCTTCCTTTCCGTACATGGGATCGACTCACCGCGTTACAACGCTGGTCTTCCCGCGGCTCGCTTAAGTATCTCTAAACGGCCAAGGCTAAGCTGAGCTAGGTCTAGGGTGGGCGATGAGGTGGTATCAGGAAAGAGAAAGATGCCTGCGAACAATTCGCCCTCCTCCAGGGAGGGAGATCGCTTGGCCTGCATTAAAATAATAGGGTATCATAAGGCTATTTCTCTAACATAACTATCTTCGTTGTTACTCGAACCTTTTTTTATTCTCTCCTATTTTTATTTAATATTCTCGTGTTACCTTACGTATATCCCCCAAGTTTACTTGATACAACACCGATGTGAACCTCAAATACCACCGTAGCGTTCTTACGACTTGCGACATTTATCTCCATAGTATCGGATAACTTCCCCGGATACTAGCTGCTGGCTACACCCAAGATTCTCTTCCATATGGGGGTGGATACAGCTAGTTGTTACCCAAGTAGTGACACGACAGGAGACACAATACCCAATTTTGGGGATTAGCTGTGTGACTTCGAACACGATCCGAACCCGTTCCCGTAATGGCTACGGTGCCGGATCCCGAGACTAAACCCGCTTCTTCGTCTCCACCAGCATCAGCTTTATCCACCGTTACCGTTAACCCGGATCCGAGTATACCACCTATTAAACGGCGTGCTCCTATTGCTTGCCGAAGGTATAGTGGTAATATAGAGGTCACCGTGGTGTTTAGCTCTAATCGACTTCTTAGATGCCGACGAATGCGTAGCAAATGTATTCATGAAAAGGCAGCTCCTTGCAAGTCATGCCTAGAAGCGAATGTGCCCGAAGAATGGTACATTTTATCTTTGATGCCAATTATCATTAGCATTTCCATGGCTTACTCTACTTCAGCGTATTCCCAGCACGTGGTGCCTTAGATCATGATCGCTCGTTTCGACACCCACGCCAGAGAGCCGACAAGAGACTTAAAAGCGACATCAAAGTCAAGAAAGAGTCTTCCTCGCCAGGTTTTGTACGCGATGTTCTCGCCGACTACAACCCCCCAAAGCTAGAAAACGAATGGGATCTGCTCCCAAGCATCGAAGTTGTAGTGGACGGCATCAATGCCTTCACGAATAACTTCTTCCAACTAGGGTTCATCCCTAAAAAGTATTTTCCTAAGATGGTACAGGAAAATCCATCGTCCGTGAGTGCATTCCTCCTATTGAGTATTCTCGCAATCTCAGCTAGGTTCAGCAAGGCTTTGGCGGAAGACTACGGTAGTGGACTCAAAGCGGCGACTGAGTTCATGCATAAGGCGCAATGCCTTGCCACCCACGAGCTTTACCAACAGCCCACCCTCGAGAGGTGCCAGGCGTTTTACCTGTTGAGTATTGCGGAGCAAGGAAGTGGGAAATCAAACACAAGCTATGTAAGATGATACTCTGATCAAGGAGTTGATAGGTCCAGTCTTCTCATTTGCAAAAAAAGATCAGCGCAGGCATTGCTTTTAGGATGGCTGCGCTTATGCGACTTCATCGGGAAGAAGCCTATGGTCCTATTACATGCAATTCGCCCATAGAGCACCGGTTACGAGCCGAGTCCGCTCGACGTACATTTGTAAGCCAGGCATTTCGAGATATGTTACACTACCTCTACATCTTCACGTATTCTACGACTATAACTAAATATCGCTCTACTGACTTCGAAATCTAGTGGATGCTCCACAGTACGTTGAGCTAAGAATTATGATTTCCTCTACCCCTAACTGATTACTAGGCCAAGATAACCTTCATTCAGGTCCCTATAAACCCCTATCACTGGCACCCGGCGACATAACCGCTCTTCTCCCTAGCGATGAAACAGAATTCGAGAATGGCAAGATTCCTGAGCGCCGCGCTGCCCTCGATGGAACCCCTCCAGCTATTCAAGATCCGGGTCTCACGATACTCAGGCCAAGATCTCTATTTGCGTCGTTGATGCAAGCGCATAATCTATGGGGAATCATCGCTCGACGACTCCTTTTTAATAGGAAATCTGGTCGGCCTAATGATGGCTGTAGTGAATACGCGAAATTGAACCGGAGGCTTATGGACTTCGAACAGAATCTTCCGAGTGACCATACGTTTGGTAAGATCCTGCTTGGTGGTTATAGACACTATGGCGAAGATCTCGTAAGAATAATTGTTTCCTCTCAAATCGCTTAGGATGTCGCTAATACTCAACTCGTAGGCGTATCTCGGCTTGACTGGTTGTGTTCGACTTTGTCATATTATTCTCCGTAAAGAGTATATGGAAGAGTATGCGACCCCCCTTAGTTCGATCGAATTTTGCTAAGTTAGGTATTAGCATGATTCGGCATGCTGATGGGAACCCTTCGAACCCCGAGGTAACCTTTTATAAAGGCATGGCTAGAGAATTGTTCTTCAACGTTAGAAAGTTGTACTCGCAAATTGAGGCCCATTACGAAGATGGCGTTGAAGGGAAAAGAGTTGGTTCTCAGATGGCTGTAAGCAAAGCTAACAAACATTATAGTCGAAGTAATTACTAAATGTTTCTAGGGGTTCATTATATACGGTTGTGGATTATTGGCTTCATATTTATGCAAATTTCCTCAACGTAAGAGTTCTTCGTTTTAGAAAGTCGTCGAACATGCTGACCAAGCTTACTTAGTGGATGTCCATCACGTAGGGCAAAATCTCGAAGACATAAAAGCTGAAGGTCGCGCCATGTATACTCGCATCGTATCCGTACTAAGGGAATGCCAGAAGGCGTGGCCTCTGGCTGAAACTTGGTGTAACGGCCTAGAGAAATGGTATGCGGACTCGAATCCTGAGCGAAGGACATTCCAAGGCGGTACAATGACTGATGGGGTAAGCCTGCTGCCAAATGAATAACTATGATGTCAAGGTTAACTTCGTGTATAGAAAGAACCTCAACCTTACGCCCTCACTGTCATGCATCCCCGGACTACCACGAGTCTTCAATCCGAAGCTCTTAACCCTACTCGACTACGTACCACACCTCCGACAGCTTTTGCAGATGAGCAACGACAAGCAGTAGTCAGCAAGGTTACTGAGCCACACCGACTCGCGCCGTTACAACAATCACCGCCCGGCTACGCCCAACCAGTGTGCCTACCACCGTTATCGCAAACCCCGTACGGGGCACAATATCAACAATCAGTTCCCCCTCCACTGACACTGCCTCCTCCACCATCACCACAACAGCCCTCTCACCCGCCAAACTACACTCAACAATTATATACAAGCTCCGGTCTCGATATGCTAGCCCAAGCATCCCACCAGCCGTCAACACAAACGGGAATAAATCCATACCAACAACACCAGAGCACCGGATATTACCCCGAATACCCAACATCTGCCACCCTCAACGACGGCTTCGACAGTAACTTACAGATTCTCGTCGATGGCGCAAGAAGCCAATGGCCCGGGACGGACACCGATGCCACGGGCGTTATGTATGACACATACGACATACCGAGTTATCTACCCCAGCGGTGAGAATAACCGAAATTTCCTTCGCTTCGTAACAAATGTCACGGCGGCTTTTGTCATTCAATTGTATGAATCTCACCACTCTCAGGCCGACCACGGCCACAAGCATTTAGTCGTGGTTTTCAACACACCCACTTATCACTTCACGAATATATAATGATATAACACAGGGTTTCAAAGTGTGCATTATAATTGTTTCACTTATCCTTCATCTGTCTTTCTACCTACTATGTACTTATGTATTTTAAAAATTTTCACTTTCTTCCAGCTTGTCCAATCTAGGTAATCTAGGGGAATCTACGACGTTATGATATTGGATGTAAAAGGGACGGAGTATTGGGAAGAAAATTGTTTGATTTACAGTTATACTCGGAACTTATATATGTTACCTGCCCTTCTATGAATAAATATCAAACCTTAAATCCATTCTTACGTTGTTCAAATAGTTCTGGATTCGATCGATGGGGGTGAGCCTGCTTGAGAAGATAAATTTGTAGAGTATTAGATCACGTCATAATTCGCTCCGTTTGTCGTAAACATGTCAAGCTTGCGAGAAACCGTAATATAGGTACTCTAATATCAAGCCCGTTCACAACATGCCCTAGTTTTATGATAATCAGTTTTTAGCTTACTTTGCCCTTGCTAGCAAAAGGCATACATATGATAACCTCATGACACTCATCGTTTCTGCAATTCTGAAGGCCACTTCACTACGGGATTCCCTTAGCATAAATATCACATCAAATACTACGTTATCAGCTTCCACACGTCACAACTATCGTAAGTTGCCAAGCGTAACTGTAAACTAATATGGGGTAGAAAGGGGCTTTATTTTGTTGATATCAGCTCTCCACTACCAAACCATTCTCATCGCGCGCTCTCGTTATTTAGGGGGTAAAAGGGGAATTAGGCAAGCCAGAAAGCCGAGATTAGGATCGAGCCATCGTGCTTCACCTAAAAGCTTGGCGTTATAGTCACGACCCCTTGCAATTCGTCGGAGCAATCGAGTGAACCGTTCATCCTGGCTATGTCCCAATCTCCCGGCGCCACTTGACGAACCTGGGAATCAACCAGTGGAACTTCCAACTGGTGTTATATCTAATTCACTTGAACCAGATAAAAGCCCGGGCCGACTGCGTTGGGCCTGATGTCCCTTGACATCCTTTATCTATCCATTCCTTCGCCCCCCTTACATGAATTCATAACCCTATTCGAGGTAGGGCGTACATGACGTTATCTTCTCTCTAAAGGGGAAGGACATATCTCCGTTATGGCTTTGCAGACCAAATCGAAGGAAAACTCAGCAAATGTGGTGGTGTATGGGGGTATGTGTTATGACTTAGGGAATTTCCACCAGTAATTGGGCAATGGGGTTATTGGATTAATAGTGTAGGGTACGGGGTTTTATATACACAAGGGTCTCATTTCGTGTTGGGGTCTTCTTGGTGCTGTGTGGTGAATTTTCGTGCTGGGGCGGGCGGTGTGTAATGCTGGGTTCTCCTCCGAACTTTGTATGCAAGGCCGGACCTTGGTCGGACTTGCTCGTTGGGAGGATCGAGTGTCGTGTCGCGTAACTAATACGTGTGGGTGGGGCTGGCGGCGATGAAAGTGAAGAGTTGCTTAAGTTCAAGTCTGTTGCATGACAGACGAGGATCCACCAAGTTGTCTCTTAACTTGTTCCCGGGCCCATCGAGCTGTATCAATGGTACGCGACTGGAACTCTCGGTTTGTCTTGGTTTCCTTGATCATGGCAGTGACCCAGTCCTGCCTGAAAGCGTCAACGAGCTCGCCGTTGGGGAATGCATCAGCTAAGTCACTAATTCACATTTATTAGCATCCACACACAGTATTTCGGGATTTGAATAGTCTTACCCAATCACACCCATGGACGATCGCATGAGAGACTCGCTGCGGTTCATATCTTGGGAGATTATATGTAGTAGTTGGAATATCGACTGCACGTATGGTTGGAGGGCAGCGGCTGTTTAAGGATTAGCGACAACTAAACGTCTGGTAAATTTGAAGGATAACTCACTCTTCCCACTGATCTTCATAGCACCAATGATACCACCCCAGGCATCCATGATTCCTTCTCGTAGAGAGATGACGTAGTCATAAAGTTCGTACGAACCATCCGGAGCAGCAGTCACGGTTGCGGCCTGTTGTAGGACTTGGGCGACAACTGAGAGGTAAGTTTCAAAGTGACCGCCAATGGCGTTGGCGATATCGCCGAAACACTGGAGGATAGCAGGCTTGAACTGGTTTGATAGTGTCGTGCTCTGTGAGATGTTAGATACGTAATCCAATAAATGACCAACATATCACATAAATGTGGTATATAAATCAGAAAGAAAATTAAGAAAGAAAACGAACCCTGAGATTGTTCAAAAGATAGTTCATGAAGTTATCGCAGTACGGTTGACTACGCTCGCCCGTTGATCGAGTAATGTCGCTTACTAGGCCAATAGCCATAGAGCATAAACTGGGCTCTTCTTGGTTGGCGAGAGCATTGTACAGGAATGGTGTGAAAGCGTCCATGTACTTGACGAAATCTTCTTCCATAGCATTCGACAGTCCGCTGATCGTAGCGAAAATAGATTCTGGAACGCTGGACTTGGCACCGGCGGTGTTCAAAATCTGGAGCGAGGCATGCATAATTCTGTCACCTTGAGGCGAAATTTCCTTCTCCAATCGCTGGATAATCGACTGGAGCACAGTGCTGAGGCTTGTTTGCATTTCTTCCAGCGCGATCTTGTCCTCTATGCTGACAACCTGACTTTGTAGGGGAACAGTCTCTTCAAGCCTCTTAATAATAACATCCGAGAGCTGGGCAATAGCCGGGAAGCTTTCCGTGGCTGCGTGCTGGACAAACGCACTGAGAACTTCATAGGACGTAGTGCGGACTGTAGTTTCCGAGTTGGGCGCCGCGGTTACCTCGAGTATCGTCTGGACGCTGTTGTTGAAATGGGGTGTGAGAGGGTTTGAGACCGCATCAAATTCCCCAGAAAAGCGCTCTGCAAGGTTCATCAACGCCCAGCAGCACGACGCCGCCATTTTGGCGTCGTGAACACCAGCGAATAATGATCGGATGAGAGGGTCTAGATGCGTGTTAGGATCGATGGCCGTTGAGCACGCTTCCGTAATGCGGCCCAAGGCGTAGGCAGTTGAATCCTTAACGAAGGTAGAGCTGTCATCCATCATACTGATCAGGATAGGTAGAGCTTGCTTGACTATAGGCTCAAGCACCTTCTCCTCGGGTCCCTCCATAATTGCCCCGAAAGCAGCTACCGCAGCTTCACGGAAATGCCAATCTTCAGATCGGAGGTGTTGCTCAACGAACTGAATAACCGGTGGGATAATGTTGGGTCCCACGGCTTGGGCATAGAGCTGAAGACATTGGTAGGCGGCACGTGCTAGGTTGTATTCCTCGTCCGTCGCATCCTCATCTTGCTTGGTTAGGAGTTGTAGCAGAGCAGGCACAACTTCGTTAGTGGCGACGCGAGCGAAGTTGTAAAATGGACGCATCTGATCGGCACTGTCGACCTGCACAATATTCTGTTAGCTTATGTTAAATCAAAAAGCGAATTTTAATGACATACCTGCACATTATCCTCTTCGATGTTGATCTCTTCCTCGCATACAGTACTCCAGAATTCAACGGCGAGCTTCGCAACATCCTCATCATCGTTCTTCATTCCTAGAATAGTAAGACCGAATAGAGCCTTCTCCATGTAGTATCGCATGTTCTCGTAGTAAAGAGCCATTATGCGGTTAAGGCAGCCAAAGGCACCCTGCTGGATTCGCGCATCCTCGGCCTGGGTAGCCTCGCAAACAACCTGCATAATGTAATTTCTCTCGCCCTCATGCTTAAAGTTGTTGCCAACGAACTCGAGGGAATCACCAAGCGCGGAAATAGCGGAAAGGCGTACTTCGAGGTTCGTCTCTTCCTTGCGTGCACCTTGAACGACAGCCGTGAGAATAGCATTGGAATGTCCGATTAGGGCGCTTCGCAGATCAGTGTCTTGGCTTTCGCAAATGTAGCCTATACAAGTCAACGAGGCCTGCTTCTGATGAGGCGCACCCGAGCTAACATTTTGAACCAAGACCTGTAGGAGGTCAGGCCATTGACTTCTAGGAAGTTCGATGACAGCGATAGAGGCGATGACTTGGGCGGCTGCCTGGCCAGCTTGCGCGTTGTTGGAAGAGAGGGTCTGAATGGCTAGTTCCTTAACACGGGTCTTGGTCTCTTGATCTGTGTGTTGGAGCCATTTGGCTTGGAATTCGTGCTGGCGAGCGTATTCGCGGGCAGAAAAAGCGTTCTTCAAGGCGAGACCCGCAGCGACTCGGATATTGCCTTCGGCATTTTCGTCTGCTAGTGACTGTACTAGGGTCGCTAAATACAGAGGCTAGAAATAGGAAAAAACAAAAAGTCAGTTCCTACAGAAACTAATTATAATATTAAGGGTGCCAATGATCACTTACGAAGTTGTTCTCAGCAGCTTGTGTAAGCTGTTGTTCGGCACCAGTTCGCGTAGCCGCGTCTAGAAGGAAGGGGGTGGAAGGTCAGTGAATGAGCCGACGAAAAGAATATGACGTGTAGTCAGGGGAGGAGAGGGCACGCGAGGCGCCCATGACGGCCAATGCTCCTAAGTACTTACCTGGGGACAGCGAGTTGCTGAGAACAGTGTTGATATCACTGTTTTCGGCCATAGTGATTGCGCAACTGACTATCTTGGTATTTTGGTGTTTTTCTTTAGGTGCGGTCCAGATTGTTAAAATTCAATCTTAGGACGGCACGGGGTAGTAAGGAGTAGTAAGTATTATTGGTTGCGGTCAGATGCAGACTAAATGAAGGGAAGGGGGGGGTTGTTGCTTCTGCGGTGGAGGATTCAAATGATCCAAATGACCCAAATGGGTTTGACGAAAAAAGTAGAATGAATAGCTCCTAGAAAGCAATAGAATGCCTCCTAGGATCCGATTAAGACTATGTAATGTAGTCCGAGACAGCAAAGGACGTTGTTGTTGTCTGGTGGGAAGACGTCGAAAGAAAGTTTTTGGGAGGGAAAAAAGCGAAAATTGACAAAATGCAGCGTTGAAATGCTTTAGTCGTCAATGCTACTAGTAGGTGGGTTCTATTGTAGTGCGCCAGTAGCGACCTCTTATTTTTTTTTTTCCTTTTGGTAATAAACTTAACGAGGAAGGCGGACTGGATGTAGCGGGTCCCTTTTTTATTTTTGTTGACAATCAATCACTGGGTCTGTCCTGCCTAGGTACCCCCTAGCAGTAGTTAAACGTTAATGCTGGTAATACCAGGGTAACAAGAAACTTTAATGAATGACGAATATACTAGAAGTTGCCAACGCGTGGAGGGGTAGAGAGGTGTTACATACCGGGATTGGTGGTACTTGCTGTTCTATCACTTTGTTCTTTGTTGTCCCTTTTTTGAGTTTGAAAGACGAGAACAAAATCTCTTGTCAAGTGGGGACGAAATGAGGGTGAAGAATAGGATTAAAAGTAAAATTACCAACTGTGCATAAGGCTCGTTACAGCAGTTTGGCTAGTGAGATGGAACTGTGACGGAGTTGGGTTGAGTCAGGGACAAGAACTTTCTCTTATTTTCTCGAGAAGTAGTCTAAGCTTAAGATTGAGAGTCCAATGAGTCCAATGCAAAAATACGCAGATAATAGTATGTGAACCGTTCAAATTTTGGAAAGTCTCTAACGGTGTGCCGGCACTTACCTCATAAAAAATATACCTAGGTACTTGTCATCCCGTACCTAAAGCACCTAACCCATCAGTCTAAATTCTATCAGGTAGCTGAACTTACGTACTGGAGTGCCTACCTCCCCATGTAAGCAACCCTGTAATTTTTATGAACGGATAGTGGGATGTTATCATTCGCCTGGAAAGAGCCCATGCGGCCAGACTGAAATGCGCTGCAAGTCTCCAAGTTCCATCCATAATCCACTTCACCTTTCTACAAATTACATAATTGGTCGATGTACCTACAGACAGGTGCATGCCCCAAGAGCTCACCCCACCATTACACCCATGTCAGCGGGATGTTAAGGCAGCCTGTGCAAGGGTGACCGTACCTGTCTATCTGTCTATCGCACATGTCAGTATGTTTGCGAGGTCGGAATGTGGGCGCCGTAAGCAATCCTCTCCGTCATGTTCCAGGTACTTTCCCCGCATTCGTCCAGCGTCTGGGTTAGATCCCTTAGTTGACCAGTTGCTCTGGGCCCGTGCCATAATAATGCATTTAGTGGACCAAGCCTGCTGAAAAGTTATTCTCGAACAATGAGAATAGGGGACCTGGATATTTATTTTAGGTACAAAGGCTTCAGGGTTCCGTCGCAAAAACAGAGATGCGATGAAAATATACACAGGTATCTTAAACACATCTGATCTTAATTATGTATATGTGCCTATTCATCGAGTCATTAATTTAATATGAGTATTTTATTTCTTTTTTTAAGATCCATTTCTCTCGCCGTATATGCTTTTTAGATGCAATCTTTAGAAGCTAAATTTACAGTCTGTTCAGTTGTCATAAAATCGAGTGATATCGATGCAAACGCACACCGACTCTTGGTTCCCCGGTAAAGCAATTATTTTGCATGTACTGGGAACAACAGCCGAACCTAAATGATACCTGAAATGGTAAAACGTATGCTGTTGTTATTTTTTTTTTCTCTCTCTTCAATCCCCGTTTTCATCGCCGTGCTGCAGCCCTATCGTATCTCGCGCAGACTCACATCCCGTTCGCCTTAGCTTCTAAGACCTGGATTGTCTCGGGTGTTGTATGTTGTTGACCCTTGATTGTTCCATTTCCATTTGTGACAGATGGGACTTTCAGATCACCATTGACAATATCTAACTCCTGACTCAGACTGCGTTGTGGCGCGCGTTTTGATAGGACAGGACTACTCGGGCGGCTAAGGATAAACTGTTTGAAGCGGGTATCGTTAGACGGGGGGTAAGCTAAAGACGTCATACTGGAAATACTTACGTTGCTAGCAGCACTTAGAAGAGCAATGAGTGAGCTCTGTACCACATCCTCATGTATACCAACACCCCAAACCTTTTGCGAGGTACCCACAGCAATGCATTCAATGTATGTGGCAGCCTTGACTTCTCGACCGCCTCCTATGGCGTGTTCCTTATAATCAGCGACATCCAGGTCAATACCCACACCCTTCAAGGCGTTGGCAAGAGACGAGATAGGACCGTTGCCGCGACCTCGAAGCTGGTATTCCATACCATCGATCTGAACAACACCCTCGAAAACACGTCCGAGATTTCGCGTATCTTGTACGACACCGGGTCCTGGTGGCGCAGGGGAGTTTGCCCGGTCAAACGAAATAGAATAATCGAGGATGCTAAATCGGGGGTGTTCTTGCAGGAAGTATGTACGCTCGAATAAATCAGTGATTTCCGAAGATCGGAGCTCTCTGCCCAGTTCGTCCGCCTTTCTCTGTACGACCTTGCTGAATGCAATTTGTAAGCCTCGAGGAAGGTCGAGGTTGAGCTGGCGTAGGATGATCCAGGCAGCGCCACCTTTGCCGCTTTGCGAATTGACGCGAATAATAGCCTCGTACGTGCGACCAATGTCCTGCGGGTCGAGAGGGAGGTATGGCATCTGCCATTGGTCTTCGTATGCCTTGCCATCCTGTTCTCGTTGCATAAATCCTTTTTTGATGGCGTCCTGGTGAGAACCACTGAAAGCGCATACGACAAGAGAACCGCCATATGGCGCCCTGGGGTGAACCGGTATCTTGTTGCAAATTTCCACGGTATCGACAACATGATTCAGATCGGAAAAGTCAACATTTGGGTGGATTCCTTGTGTGTAAAGATTCAAGGCTAGAGTAACGAGATCGACATTGCCAGTTCGTTCACCATTTCCAAAAAGGCACCCCTCCACGCGGTCGGCTCCCGCCATCTGCGCAAGCTCAGCTGCAGCCACAGCACATCCCCGGTCATTATGGGGGTGGAGTGAGACACAAATCTTTTCCCGCTCAGTAATGTGGGAGCAGAAATACTCAATTTGGTCAGCGTAAACATTTGGCGTTGCCATCTCCACAGTCGCTGGAAGATTAAAGATGATTGGGTTCTCGACTGTAGGCTCCCACGCGGCTTTGACAGCTTCACAGATTCGGATGACAAATTCAGGGCTCGTATCGGAGAAAGTCTCGGGGCTGAATTCGAAAGCCCATTCTGTACCAGCTTGTTCTGGGTCATCTTTGGTAATTGATCGGGCATATTTAGCGCATGCTACTGCTCTTTCAACGCTCTCCTCTTCGCTAAAACCGAACACGATGCGCCGGAAACATTCGCTCGTCGCAAGGTAAATGTGTAGAAGGGCCTTCTTAGCACCCTTGAGGGAGTCGACCGTACGGCGGATGAGATCCTCGCGGCAAGGCGCTAGGACTTGTAGCCAAACATCGTCGGGTACGGCACCGGGAGTTTCGACCAGGCGTCTCGTAAAATCGAAATCCGTTTGCGATGCGGAAGGGAACGATACTTCGATTTCCTTATAGCCAAGGTCGACTAACATCTTAAAAAATCTCCATTTCTCTTCGCCATTCTGCGATTAATATAGTCAGACCATATTCGTAAGTATCAGGGCTACCAATATACAAACCATTGGGTCAACCAAGCTCTGGTTTCCATCTCGCAGATCGGTTGCCAGCCACCTCGGCGCCTTGTCGATTGTCTTGGACGGCCATTGGCGATTTGGGATATCGAGAGGCGCGAACTTCTTGTACTTTTTGGAGGGATCTTTAAGCCTGTATTACGATTGAATCCTTAGCAATTGGAGTCTCCTGACCATGGATTGGCCTAATGTGCAATAATAATATATTGTTTGTCTTGGTCTTTGGCTTTTTGTGTGCAACTTACATCGGCATGGTGGTGTGCAACACGGAGGGGCTTCTCCTACTTAGGATTTTTTTTTTTTTAAAAAAAAAAAATAAAAAATAAACCGAAGGTAGAGAGATAGACCGCGGCGGGTGACGAAAGGATCACAATTGCACAATTGCTTGCAAAGAATATGAAAGAAATGCAAGTAGGGTATAGGTATCTCCAGAGTTTAAATTCTTAAAACTATTCCCATGCAATTATTATTAGGGAAATACCTACGTGAAAACCCAATGAGTCAGAACTATGGACTCCTCCACTTTCGCCAACTACTTCTTCAATAAAATTTCAGTTCCGTCTTTCGAACTTTCCGTAATGTACCAAACTTACGCCTCTACGCCTTAGTCTTGACCATTTAGAAGGTGGGGTTTCGCTACTTCCTGCAAGGTAACCCCGCACTCAGGTCTTTTTGCCCCCCGTTTCCAGTTGTCTTCCGCGGGTATAGTATACTACGTGTTAGGGGGCATTTACATAAGAGAATGGCAAGAATTATACAGTTTTAGGTACGTGTATACGGTAGTACTTGAATACATAAATACATGTACGATGCACCTCCAAAGTTTCTATCACCTATTTCTCATGCCGCTATGTACGTTTCCGTCCATTTAAAACCAGGCACAAAGCAGCAGAAGAGGATAACTGTGCTGTGTTACCTAACCCACAGTCTAGCCCTAAACCAATACCGTTCCTTTCAGTTGATTTTTTCTGGTCAGGTACCTAACACAACATAAGCCAGGGGGCAATTCAATTCGCATTGATAGGCTGGACTTCGCGTTAGGTACCTGGGGTGGCCAGGGATAAGGGGTGGTAACGCTGTCGGGTGATTGCTGCTGTACGTACATCCGTAATGGAAATTTTGCATGCAGGAGCGTTGAATAAAACATCACGATCGATGGGATCTTGGCGCAAAACTATTGGTGCTTATCATGGACAAACATTACTAAGAGTATGCAAATCCTGTTCATGAGAATTTTAACAACAAATATATCGAATTGTTTGTCTATATACCACCCAGAAAGCTAGGGCTCGTATCAATTAGTGTATGATACACAACACAATTAGGAATCCATCTTCATTCCTATAATCTCCTATAATCTTGACCCCTTAAACGCCTCGCTATGAATCAAAGGCACCTATATATCTCTTTTCTTAGGTCAATGTATTACCTCGAACATTCCCATCCTCGTAATACCTCATAATATCGTCATGTACAAAGTATTGGGATTCAATACTCCAATTAAACATTCCGTGATTGCAATGCAGATACCATTTATCGATCCTATAATATCCCTTGCATTGAGGAACCATATTGTCGGGAAAGGGGTTTAATATTTGGCGCGATTACCATGTGAAACTCTCCTCGACAAAGTCGACTACAGAATTTTCGTCTTGGACGTCGCGAACTGCTTGCCGAACGTCATCCGCCAAGGCGCCAGGACCGCATACCGATACACACATGGCACCAATTTGTCCCTCGACTTCCTTCTTAAGGAGCGTGGGAATGTTTGGCCGTCCTGGAAACATCTGGACCGTGCTGGAAGCGGAATGGATCTCCTTGCTGTTCTTCGGTCGCGTAACAAACAGTCGTATGTTCAGAATCTCCCTTCTCCTTGGCATCCGCAGTATCTCGTCCATCCACGGTCTCACCCATTCTAACGACTCGGTGTCACGTATTATCCATACGAGTGTTATCCGTCTTGTCGCGATTATTCCTTCATTAAACCCCTCGATTAATGGTTTGATATAGGAGATTTGGTGTGTGATACCAGTTGACCCGGCAAAAAGGACGGCGTGTCCATACGATTCAAGGGAGTGGTGCCCCGCGTACGGCCCTTCCATCGCGGCTCTGATTCGGATGGACTGAGATCCTTCCTTAAGAGCTTTGTTGTAAAGCTGTCTTGTGAAACCAGTGTGGGCACCAATGATAAACGACACGGATGTTGTTCCCCTCTTAATTTGGGATTCGCCTTCGGCCTTCTCTCCGAGCGTAGTCTTATCCGCTTCGGGATGGTGTTCAACCCATGCGATGGAGAATGGGTGGTTCTCCCAAGGATTAACTCCCATAAAGCGGACGTACGCATGTGTGCCCGGTTTGACATCGACATAACGGGGGAGGTGCATCGTGACCCGACTCGCGTCCCCAGCTAAAGGTTCCACCACAGCTTCGGTAAATCCCCCCTTCTTTGACCAGTTGTTGTAGGCTAGGCGGAACATCCGAGCCAACCGTTCCGCCACCCAAATTAGGAAAATCGCAATCACCCAAGGAAGCTGAGGGAGACCACCTGCAATGTGCGCCGCTGCGCAGTGAACCCAAGTCATAGCGAAGACGATAAAAGCTAGAATGATGTGGAAGTTAAGGAATGTTTCGTAAAAAGCGTGTCGAACCGGGGAGAGCGAAAGGAAAAGGATGATGACGAGAGCAATTGTTCCAGCGAGACCGGATGCGAGAAAGCTATCGTGAAGCAACTTGAAATTCATGCCGGAAAACCCGTCTGCGGCCACTTCGACACAGGCCCAAGCAATAGTATGTATGACAGCCTCAATAATGACCATACGACCCATCCACCGGTGAAGGAGATTGTAAGTATCGAAGCTGACCCCTAGCATCACGATAAGGGGGTTGTTTCGACCTGCCATGATAATGAGAGGAACCATGTTAACGAGTGATAGTGTACCCGAGCGCCCTCGAATTTCGGCAGCTAGAGCGTAACGATTCTCCTGAGTCCAGTGTTCGTAAAACATATAAACGAAATTGCTGAGCAAATAAATACCAAGGATGACGGAGTGGAGTCGAGATGGCAAAGTTCCTATGCTGATAGCAGAAGATAATTTGATCTCGCGGTTATGTCGCTTCTTCCATAGGGGCGCATATATCAGGTTTTTCTTCAAGCTTGGCATCCAACTCCATTGCGACTTCTTCCAGTAACTTTGTCTTTCAGCTGGGATCGACATGGCTGAGACGTGACGTAGTTTGGTCCATCCCATCTCGACCAGTCGAATGGATAGAACAATAAGCGCCATTGCACCCAATGTCCACCAGAGCATTTCCTTGAAGAGCATGTTACCAGCTTGGTCGACACCATTCAAAGACGTAGCGAAAGGCGCAATAGTCGATACCGCGGACGCCACATCTTGTTCCTTTACCATGGTAGGCCCTTCCGATTCCCGAAGTGCGAGTATAGCTGTTGGCGTAAATGGTCCGAAGGCGGCGATCCGGCGCCCTATCAACGACATGATTCTCTAAATAGTACTGACTACCAGTATTCGGTTTGCGTGGTAGAGAAGAAAAAAAAATAAAGCGTCCAAAAAGTGGTAAAGCGGTTGAGAAGACAAGTGGGTAACGACAGGCGACGATCTATAGTTGAGAAAAGGAGATTCGCCCCAAATCTCAAAAATTTCGGGGTCAAAGGTGCTATAGATGTAAGGCTCCTTATCAATGCATTGTGTGCGAACAATCGAGGCGTTGAGAGTCAGTTGATATCCAGTTCTTTGTCGACGTCGAAGGAGTCCTTTATCGTCGGTGCGCCAATGACATGCTCGTTCCTTAACAAGGTCTCGCAGAACAGCAATAGAGGATATAGACAAAGAGGTTGTCGGGGAGGTCAGTCTTAGCAAGCCCTACTAAGGTAGTATACCTAGTAGTATATTTTCCTATTCTCCTTTGTTGCTGTAAATGATAACCTTGGCAAAAGGAAGAGCAGGCCGGTAGCCGAGAAAGTTGTAATTTTCCTAACAAGGAAAGTGTGGGGTTTGGTTGGCAATAAAGCTCGTGGTATTATATTGCCTACCTAATTTTAGGGATCGTGGAGTATCGGTAGATGATTGATGGATTGAATGTGGTGTGTTTGAACGATTGCGGGTTGATTGTTCCGGTAAAACTGTTTGGGAAAGACGGGAATGAATGAGCGGGAGCAGCTCCAATTCTGACGGATGACTGGAAGTCGCAAAATCAAGCGCGCACAACCTGCCTTTGATTTTAAGTGAAGGTGATAAGAAATGAGTGGGTAGATATATGGAAGAACGAATGAATGTATGAAAAGGCTGGCAACCTAATTGGGAAGTGAGGTTGTGGGAAGTGAGGTTGGTTGTCAAGGTGAAGGGAAGAAGTTGTAAGAAGATAAGTACTATCGTCCAGGTTACCACTATGTACAAAACGTGAATTCTTTTACCTCCCGGGGGTTGGTCGCTGGGAACCAAACTCGGTGATATGTAAATACGAGAATATGTAAGTCACTTAGGAGAGAAAACAGCTGAAATTGTGCTCGTCGAGAGCGAGAAGAAAAAACCGGATACACTTGACGATCACTAAGGGCAGATCACCGAGAGTTTATGCAAGATCGATCATCACGAACTTTTACCCCTGAGATGGCTGGATAGGTAGGATGAGTCGGCTATTACCGTTCGTATCCTCTTCTGTTTGTCATTAGGGCATGTTCGACATCTTAATCGAACGACAATACATTGAATTTCAAGGTGTAAATATGTAATAGGCCCTTCTTAGTTGAGTTCTCGGTCCATGTATTCAACCTTTTGGAGTCTTTTGGTGTGGGATTTTTGAATACTTCAGACGACGGTTGGTGAACGGGTGAAGGTTGTATTCCCTAGTGTTCCTGGTCGCGGACTTTCCGACGCAACGATTCGCTCACAAGCGCCTGACGCTCCGCCTTGGGTCCGCCTATATTCCCCACCTACCCGAACAATTTCAGATGCAGGGGTTCTAGCCGGGTCTGATAGGGCCTGGGGGGTTGAGCTTGGCCGAGCAGGGCGCAGTGGAAGGTCCCAGTCTAGTGCTGCATTCTATGAAACATCGAGTTTGATTGGTAGGGTGTTTTACCGTCCGGAGGCCCCAAGGGTGTTCATTGTTCTTTCCTGCTGAAAAAAAGAGAGGGGCCTGGTTTTCAGGGGTTAGTTCTATTCCCACCGTCCCCCATTAACGCTATCTCTATCCTGGTTAGGCTGAACTTGGCCTAATAAATTGACCAATGAAAGAAATGATGAAACACCCCTTTGATAAGTACTCAAGTACCTTAGTATTTATCCATATTGTGAATGACATCAGGAGATTGGCAGGTCTTTACCTTTTTATCTGCCTGTTCTTGCGAGGGACGCGATGAATTGAAACTCCGAAGATTGGCCTACAATGAATCTTACCTGCCTTCCATTGTTCCATCACGACTTCAACCCCTACCCAGGGACCCATTTCTCTCCGCTTGTATATACATACATCATATACAATCTCGGGACATCGCGGTCCTTTTTCATTCTGAGTTGGATGATGTTCGTACCACCTCTATGAGCCAAACTCCCTAGAACTACACGGCATCCAGTCCTTTTTCGTAGGATCCCGAGAGGTGTCACAAGCATCTACGTACTGCTGTTTAGAACATTCCAAGTACACGTAGGTAAATAGGATAAAAGAGCACAGTAACTAACACTCCTTAAATGGTAGAAGAGTCATGCTTCGTCATACGACTACCTGGCCACACAATGATTGAGTATACATATTACGCGCACGTCAAATGATTCTATACCCCAAAATGGAGCTCTTTCTTAATATGTGTACTAAACTAGCGATAGTGATCCTTTTATCGGATCTGAATTCCAATAGATACGATGACATGATGTCCGGAGTTCGGGGACATCCGGTTTGATATCTGCCGGTAAATGAGCACAAGCTAATTTGCCGAGGTACTCTAAAGCCTTTGCGTGATAGGGCGTATGCTCTATTCATTCCGTCGGCGGAGTATAGCATCTTTGAGAATCATGAATCTCACCTGAGTTTATCGAAACAGTACGGTCATTATGACGTTCTTTACAGAATAGCAGAAAAACCCCGCGCTTAATGTGAGGCTCAAACCGTCTTTGACGCCGTACTTTATGTCATGCATCCGGATGTTGCCATCTATACCTAATCCTCGTGGTTGCGGAGCCGGATGCTACATGTACATGTATTTGTTAATCGTTTGTCAGAGTCGCAAAATACATCAACGTCAAGTACCAGCACTGTGGTAGCGAATTCCCCATACTTCCCACTCTGAATCCGGAATCGTCTAGTATTAATCCCCTGTCATATCATATCTCATATGATACCTATGAAATCAGTAGCTATCTCAAAGAGTCTGGATTCATTTCTTAGCTCGAGGCTTAAGCTTCACTCAGGCGCAGGTAAACGACAATCTACCTGACCTGGAACATTGCTGTTACACTGAGACTATTTGAGGTATTTGTTACCTCAGTGCCCTGGGAAATAGGCCGGTAGCACATATTTGAGTATATTTAATCACTATATTTGGTGCCTTGGGCTTTTTTATCCCGTGTACTGCATGAGGAGTCCATACAGGAAAATGGAAAAGATTTAATAAATTCTTTTCAAAACAGCCAACAACACCTAAAATATTCATTAGATCAACATAACCGAACTTCTTGAGACCATCGAGAACTATTCTTAGCTTGGTAATCCCATCCCAGAAAGAAGCTGTTATTATGTCGATAAGTGCATAATGCTTATTATTGACTGTATATGCATATAAGCGTATCTAGCGTCTCTAATGAATATAAACAGAAAGGGTGGGGACCTTGTACAATTGATGCGCGTTTGTGAATGGAAACAGCATTCTCTACGGCGACTTCTCATATTTAAATTCTTTAAAATCAGAAGGGACGACGTAAAGCTCAAGAGGGACCCGGAGCAATTAATGCCGATTCTCTTTTCTAACGCTTTTGTTCTTCTAACCTGAACAACAATGTTGTGCTCATGAAATCAACCGCCTAAGTAACGGCCTTTCCTAGGCCACTTGCACTCACGAAAGACGTGCAGACGAATATTTGATGAGGCTGGAATCGCAGCCATTCCACATTTCTATCAACTGGCTGATAAAAAAAGTTACGGAATTATGTCGCGATTTCTGAATCCGGCCAAAATTGGCCTACTTGCTCTCATCGAGTTATACACGAATAAAGCTGTCCCTACGGCTTCGATTGTAGATGTGTTATCATTTATAACTTCCCACTTGCTCGATACCGCCCCGACCCCATACTCCAACCCAGAAAGTCGATGGAAGCAAGCAGAATCTACTGTCAGCATAGTCATATCTATTGGAGATTTCGAAAAGGTCCTGGCACCACATACGGCTGCGTCTAGCATGCCCGGTCGGAGTTTGTGGTATGCATTCCTGGATAGGCTATGGAAAATCGATTCGCTGGACGCCTTACATGAATTCTTCGATCAATATTCAAGCTTATTAGCAAAGACGAAGGATGAACTCCGCCAGGATGCTGAAGCAGGAATACCACCCCCGAACCCCGAACTCGTGTTACTCTCTCGCAACTCCCCATTCGGCGCTTTTGTACGCAGATCACAACTTGAATTCACACGACTACGTTTTCATGATGCATTCGAGCTATGGAAGGACTTTGTAAAGTATCGCCAAACCACGGCAACATATTACCGAAAAAAGACACCGTCGTTTCAAAGACTCAGTTTCGATCGTGTCCTTTTGAGTGGGGAGGATACATGGGGGTCTGGTGTGGAGGCGATTGCTTCTGTAACATATGGCGATATGCTTAGAGATGATCCGAACTCGACCCTACCTGTCAGTACTGATGACGTCGAAAAACTCTTAGAATTCCAAATAGAGCAAATGCAAAAATACGGCAACCGAATACCCCTAGAGATACAGCACCAATTCCACGATCTACTGAATGATAGCTTTATGATACCAAGTCTATCGCACTACCTAAGCTATCTAGATGCCTGGAGAGCAGGGGACTATTCTACCTCCTTCGACTATCTACATCGATACTTCGACTATACCATGCAGAACAGGGACAGATCTTTTTACCAATATGCCCTCATGAATTTGGCAGTATTACAAGCCGATTTCGGATGCTACAAGGAAGCAATTGCTGCGATGCTGGAGACTGTCTCCACTGCGAGAGAGAACCGAGATATGACATGTCTAAATTTTGCTCTTAACTGGCTCTTCCACTTTGGTCGAGCTCATCCCGAAGTGACCAAGGAGCTTGAATCCAATAGCATGTTGGGTACAGGCAAAGAATCCTTAGCATTCCTTAGAAGCAGAGCAAAAGAGACCGGCATGTGGCCATTATGGAGTTCTGCACTGATGAGTGAGGCGAAAATGAGTCTCTCAAATGGTGAAAGCGTAGCTACAGCCATTGAACATCTTGTCAGAAGTTCCCAGATCCTGGTCGAACGGAACATGAAGAATATGGTCGGTTCTCAGTTATCTATCAACATAGCCTTATGGGATAGGTTAGGAATCGCTTATTTATCGGCTACTACCTGCGGAGTATTCCTTCGATGTCATGCTCGTAATACGATATTTGACGACGAATTGAAAGTGACTACTCGCCAAGCCTCGATGCTAACCCTTAAAGGGAAGTATGATGAGGCTCTTGGAATACTGGAAGGTATGGATGCCAATTCACTCCGAGCTTGGAAGCCGAGCCAATACTGGCATAAGTTTCGGGGTATAATCAAGCTGAGAAGGGATCTGCATCGGAATAATCTCGACGGGGCAGAATTACTACTTTCGCAGCTCCTTCAATCGAAAGATGAAGACTTGGAACCAGATCTCGTCTTTGCGATCGACAATCTTCACGTTGAATGCCTTATTCGTAGAGGAAATCTCGACCAGGCTTTTACTAAGGTGGAAAAAATGGTATCGGAGCTCCGAGACGAAAACAAGGATATCGCATTGCGAGTTCGGCTCTTGCTTCTTAAGGCTGAGCTTCTCGACAAGTGTGGTCGACCACAGAAGGGATTTACTATTGCCGTGCGAGCGGCGAACGTGGCTTGGCGCGCCCGTCTCATTCCTTATCTATGGCCAGCAATTGGAGCGATCGCGAACATCTTAACATCACTCGGCGATTTTGAGCCAGCTATTCAATTGCTAAACGCAGTATTACCACGCAGTCTAGAATGCGAAAATTCGGAGGTGACGGCGAAGTTGTATTCGTATCTAGGCGATGCAAACATGGGTATGGCAGGCAAGATGCCACCAAAATCCAACAAAAGGAGAGAATTCATGACGAAAGCGTTAGAAGCGATCGAGAAAGCTTTTAACCACTATTCAAGCATTGAGGATATCAATAAGCAATGTGAGATGATGGCCAAGAAGGCTACGATTATGAAGGTATCAGGGGATAACGTGCTTGCAAACGACTACGCGGCGGCTTATGTGGCTATACGCAAAGATGCTGCACAGATGAAGATATGAGAGAAGAATTAGGCTAGGTATTTCGATATAATTGATGACATTACTGATGAACTACCTTGCAACGTGGTGCGTGAACAGCTCGGCCGTCCCATTCCTCAACACTTATCTCGTTACCAAGCTCCTAATATTAATAGCACCCCCAATCCTCTTCTTCTCTTCCCTACATACTGCTTATTACTTCTCCATATCCTGCGGTTTACACTTCGTACAAGACAATACAGCCACATCCCGGAAGATCATGTTATTCTTACGAATCCCTTCCTTGCAGCTCCCAGCGCCTTTACCAGAAGCCTTGGCTTCTCTGCAGAGGTCGTCACGGATCTTGTATATGGCCCCGTAGTGGTGTTCCCCCCATGAACACTAGGCTTGGCGGTTGTGACGGACACACATTTTAATTCCTTAGAAGAGGTTAGAAGGTTAAAGGTTTGTTATGATGGCGATGTTGAAGCGATTTGATCCAAGGTATTTTGTGGATTATGGGTTGGCTAGGTATTGAGTTAGGAAATGATGGGGGTATTGGCTTGAAATAGTTACGCCTTTTAATTTTTCACGGTACGCTGGATTGGAGTGGTGGGCAATCGACATGGTATAGGAATGAGTGTATTCCTATCATCATTATCTTTTTCAAACTTGTGTATGGGAACATGATGAGTGATATAACTACCTAGGTACGTTTGAGCTTAGGCAATATACATGGAAGTAAGTCGCTATACGTTGACTTACGATGATATATCTGCTTGGCTTCTACACATTGATGGATGTGGAAATTTGAGGTGACCCGACGATACCTGACTTGTTGATACGGTTACACAGAATTGCCTTACTGTAGACGTGTGAACGTACCATTCCAAAATAATGAGCTGTACATTTAGGTCGGTGATGGGTTTTCATAATTTGATGGGGAATTTCTTAGTTCTTCATTTTGTACACCACGTAGCTGGATTACCTGGTTAATCCCCTTTTTGGCGCCGATTAGAAACCTCCTTTCGTCATATATGATCTTCATGATTCCATGATATTTACATTCATCACATCCAAGCCACCTATAATGGCGATAACATTGGTATGCCCTTTACTGCATTGGGGACCCATTCCTCTGACCAATCTATATGGCCGGTCGCTCAACTTTGTAAACCCTCGGGAAATCCCAGTCTCAGGAGGTTTTATTTATCACTCCAATTAATATGCCTCCCCTGTTTATTCTTCAACTGCCCCTCCTTGACCTCCAGCGCGTGCTTATCCTCTCCCTCCCCCTCCCTCGGATTATTCGTCGCCCAAATCCTCTCCACAAACAGGTCAAACACCCCGGGCACTCTATCCGTAAGTCCAACACCTATAGACCTGACCTTCTGCCGCAACATCTCGGTCTGCGGCTCGACCACAAAACCATGGTTCGTCCGCACAAAGTCGTTCCATTTTATATACACCGTCTCCCACTCCCCCGGCCTCTTCGCGAATAACCGGTGCTGGTGTAAATCCGTCGGGACCACGGATTCCGTCTGCACGTTTACTAAATACGCGCGCCCGTCCGATTTTATACGCATACCCAAGTATGTGTACATATCGATATTCCAGACCGCGCGGCCGAAGATCGTAGGCGGTCTATCTAGTGTTCGCCATCCGGCGTACCCGGACCTTTGGATCTCGGGCCGGTTCGGGGGTAGGGCGGTTGATATACTACCGTGGAAATGTGCGTGGCCGTTTGGGTTGTCGTAGGAGGAGGGTATGTGGTCGAGTGCTGCTTTGGAGAAGCCGCCCATGTCGGCGTCGGACATTACTTTGCATTCTTTGAGGCGCTCGGCTTGGTGGAAGTCGTGGAGGGGGAGGGGGCCGGAGGGGCCTTTTATGCCTTCGAGGTTGAATGCTATTGTATATAAGTATCTAGAATATGCATGGGTATGTCTATGGTAGTATATGTACCTATATTCGAGAGGCGTTTAAATTCGTCGAGACTTCGGGCCCAGAAGCCTCTGGATAGACATACTGTGGTGGCGCGCATTTTGAAGATGATGCGCTGGGTGTATATGATGTCAATTTGGGATGTTCGAGGAGCCAGATGGCTCAATCACTAGCTTTGTCATCAGACGTATGGAACCAAATATTAATATGTCCGGACCAAAGCTATGAAATCAAGTAGAAGCTGGGTTTAGAGAGTAAAGGCAAGATGCGATAAGATTAACAAATTGAAGCTTCAAGATTTCGTCACCGAAGCCGTTAGATGCATGATTTGTCATATAAGCTTAGATGTATTTAAGTATATACATGCAAGAAAAGGATAAGGCTCGTGCCGCGCGTTGGTGGCGTGCCAAGAAACCACAGCCCCCATTAACCCCACTATAACTGTGACGGATATACTTCGGTCCTAAAGTTAATTGAAGAAACGGTTCGTATCTTTTTCTTGGGCTGGGCTTATCGGGATATTCCAAGACGAGACCCAGACAAGCCAGACAAGCTTCTAAGGCTTCTAAGGTGCCCAAGTTGCGTCAGCCTCGGATCGAATTTACCAGCTTAACTCCACTGTTACAGTTGTAATTTTGAACGATATTGGCGTTGCACCCAACTAGGCAACCAGTTTTCTGATTTTCCGAATTTCAAATATACTAACTTACCTCGAAATCACCTAGTATTTCTCGTGACTCCCTGTCTCTGCTGTGCCTCCTGAAGGTCGTTGTTTGGGCGGGATGAGTTGTACTTAAGAGGAGAGAGCTATAAACGACTTTGGAAGCTTCATCCCGACTACCACACTCACACATTTGCCTGAGCTGTAATACAGAAAACACAACTAGTCAGAAGAGAGCAAACAAACACAAGCTTGCCCAACATGGCGACGATTCGTAGTATGGATCACACCAAGTGCGTTCTCCCCTCATATCGAGCTTCCTGTCCCTTACTCTGCACCCAAATTTGCATTCCGTACTTGTCTTCATCATGGATTTGCACGGTGGTGCCTTAGCTGCTAACTATGAGGCTTATAGATCGGAAGCCGAGCTCGCTATCAATATCAGAAAAGCTACCAATGCGGAAGAAACGGCACCGAAACGAAAACATGTGCGAAGCTGTATCGTCTATACCTGGGACCACAAGTCCTCCCAGTCCTTCTGGGCTGGTATGAAAGTGTAGGTAGAAGGCTAGCATATTCATATGCGAATGCTGACTAGGGATACTGTTATAGGCAGCCGATTCTTGCCGACGAGGTCCAAACGTTCAAGGCTTTAATCACGATCCACAGAGTCCTACAAGAAGGCCACCCCCAGACGTTAAGAGAAGCTATGGCAAACCGACCGTGGATTGATAGTCTCAACCGAGGTCTAGCTGGCGAGGGTGTCCGCGGGTACGGCCCCCTAATTCGAGAATATGTCTACTTTCTGTCCGCGAAATTGTCCTTCCACGCGCAACATCCCGAGTTCAACGGTACTTTCGAATACGAGGAATATGTCAGTTTGAAGGCAATCAACGACCCTAATGAGGGTTACGAGACAATCACCGACCTTATGTCCCTCCAAGATAAGATCGAGCAATTCCAAAAATTGATATTCTCGCATTTCCGAAACGTAGGCAACAACGAGTGTAGAATCTCAGCTATTGTGCCTCTAGTGCAAGAAAGTTATGGAATTTACAAGTTTATTACAAGCATGCTGCGAGCTATGCACTCCAGTACGTCGAATGGATGGTGCTTGCTCCGGTCATTAACTAATATTTTGCGTAGCAACCGGCGATAACGACGCATTGGAGCCCCTCAGACAACGTTACGACGCCCAACATTACCGACTAGTCAAGTTCTACTACGAATGCTCAAACCTGCGCTACTTGACAAGTTTGATAACGATTCCGAAACTACCTCAAGACCCCCCGAATTTGCTCGCGGAAGACGAAAACGCCCCCGCATTACCGGCTCGTCCAAAACAAGAGATCGAGCGCCAGCCGACACCTGTCCGTCAACCTAAGTCTGAGGAACCCGACGAAATCGCCGAATTCTGGCAGGGCGAAATTGATAGGCAGAATAAGGAGTACGAAGAACAGCAAAGGGTATTACAAGAACGTCAGCAAGCGGCTCTTCGTGCTCAGCAGGATGCACAACTACAGGCTCAACGAGACTTTGAGGAACAACAAAGACGTTTAGCAGAGCAACAACGAATGGAGCAAGAAGCATTACTAGCACAACAAGCTCAGTGGCAGACACAAGGCCGATTGGCTGAACTTGAGCAAGAGAACCTAAACGCGAGGGCGCAATATGAGCGCGACCAGCTAATGTTACAGCAATATGATCAACGAGTGAAGGCCTTGGAGGGTGAACTATCACAGATCCAGAACAATTTTGGCCAACAAATAACTAGCAAGGATGACCAAATCCGAGCCCTACAAGAACAGGTCAACACATGGAGAACCAAGTATGAAGCCCTAGCCAAGCTTTACTCACAACTACGTCACGAACATCTGGATCTCCTTCAGAAATTCAAGACAGTCCAACTGAAGGCGGCGTCGGCCCAAGAAGCCATCGAAAGGCGCGAGAAGCTCGAGCGTGAAATCAAGACGAAGAACCTAGAGTTGGCGGATATGATTCGCGAACGAGACCGAGCGTTGCATGACAAGGATAGAGTAAGCGGCAGCAATAAGGACGAAGTTGAGAAACTGAAGCGAGAGCTACGTATGGCTCAGGATAGGGCCGACAACTTGGAGAGAAGCAAAGGTAACGAGCTATCTACAATGCTCGCCAAGTACAACAGAGAAATGGCAGATCTGGAAGAAGCTCTGCGAACTAAATCTCGCGCTTTGGAAGAGGCGCAAGCTAAGTTACGAGATGGTAGCTCGGATCTTGAGCAATTACTCCGTGATAAGGAGGAAGAGCTCGAGGTTTACAAGGCTGGCATGGACCAGACTTTGATCGAGTTGAATGAATTGAAGCTCAACCAAGGGGATACCGATCAGGCTCTAGATGGCCAGATCGATGCTTTGATTATGGCCAACCTTGACAAGATTAACGACATCATTGACTCAGTATTGCAAGCGGGTGTTGTTCGAGTAGATGACGCACTATACGAACTGGATTCGACAATGCAGGCTGGTAACCAAAACGCATCACCAACATATGTGCTTTCTCAGGTTGAAAAGGCTGTGTCGAACGCCACCGAATTCGCTACCGCCTTTAGTAATTTTATTGCCGATGGGCCGAACGCCACTCATGCAGAACTCATCAAAGCAGCCAATGTCTTTGCGGGAGCTATAGCGGATGTGTGTTCTAATACCAAGGGTCTAAACCGTCTTGCTTCGGACGATAAAAAGTCCGATTCACTCATGAATGGCGCACGTGCAGCTGCCCAATCTACCGTAAAGCATTTCCGAAGCCTTCAAAGCTTCCGATTGGAGGGTATGGATCCTCTCCAGAAGACCGACGTTCTTGTCAATGGAAGCAGTGATGTTCGTCTACAATTACAAAGGTTGACCAACATCGTCGAATCCTTCGCTCCTGGATTTAACCGATTAGCAAACAATAAGGGCGATCTAGGCGACCTTGTCGACTCCGAGCTAAGCAAGGCAGCTGATGCGATTGCTGCCGCCGCCGCCCGCCTCGCTAAACTTAAGAACAAGCCCCGTGATGGATACTCGACGTACGAGATCAAGGTTCACGACTCGATTCTTGACGCCGCAACAGCGATCACAAATGCTATCGCTCGACTCATTAAAGCCGCTACCGAGACCCAACAAGAAATCGTGCAAGCGGGTCGGGGTACATCTTCGCGAACAGCCTTCTACAAGAAGAACAACCGATGGACCGAAGGTCTTATCTCGGCCGCCAAGGCTGTCGCTACGTCAACTAACATGCTTATCGAAACGGCCGACGGCGTACTATCCGACCGCAATAGTCCCGAACAACTTATCGTCGCATCGAACGATGTGGCTGCATCTACGGCGCAGCTCGTCGCCGCTAGTCGTGTCAAGGCTGGCTTCATGAGCAAGAGCCAAGATAACCTCGAACAGGCTAGCAAGGCTGTTGGCGCGGCTTGCAGAAACTTGGTTAGACAGGTGCAGGCTATGATTAAGGATAGAAACCAGGAGGACGAGTCGACGGATTACACTAAGTTGAACCCGCACGAGTTCAAGGTCCGGGAGATTGAGCAGCAGGTAAGCTTCACAACTTATGTAAGAATTAATTGGATAGTAACTAACCATCGGTGTCAATAGGTCGAGATTCTACAGCTCGAGAACGCTCTTGCTTCTGCCCGACACCGACTCGGCGAGATGCGCAAGATTTCGTACCAAGAGGAGTAGGAGTAGGCAGAGCTATGATCATTTTGAAGCAGAGGAAAGGAGGAACGAAGGAGAGGGGAGAAGGAGGGTGATACCCTGTAGTAGTTGCGTGCGCCTAAGCACCTTTTTTTCTTTTCACCTCAATCGCATCGCGTTGTTTTATCTTCCCATCTTATAGTTTACGCGGGGGGATCTCTTGGAACGTATGTACCTAGGTTAAGTAGGTTGGCGGTGGAAGGAAGGAAAGCTTTTATGTTGTACAAAATTGCTATTACTCGTCTGGTGATAGGCAGGTATGCACCTGTCTAGTTTAGGTAATTTGATTATCGACATTGTGGTTGTGGTTAAGCGTTTCGTTTAGAATGAAGCGTGTTATGTGGTTAATAGTGGTATTCAAAGCAAAGCTAAAGGTTCGTTGCCATTGCGCGCTCTGTTTATGGTAGCTTATTATGCTATATTCCGTACTATGTGTCTTCATCTTGTTTTCGACTATTCCAGTCGCTACTCCATATAAACGTTCCACAACGCCATTGTGTTCCCCTTTCTTTTTCGCCTGATGGTCCGATTGGACGGGCGCATACGAAGAAAGCTCTGCCTGAAGAGATGTTAATATTATCCTGAGTTTATTGAAATATCCAGAAAATTGCAATATGTGGTACGACTTACCTCGATTAACGCCGGGTTTCTTAGTGACCATGCTGACACAATCTTCTCCATGTTCGCATTTCGGCATGACTCTTTTACCAAGTAATTTACCCCAGGACTCCTTGGATTCAATCGGGTCGAATACTCTATCTGGGCTGGATCTTTGGGAAGCTTCCTTCGCTTTATTCGTATGACCTGAATCTACAATTGTCTCAACTTCTGAAGTGCTGTCGGGTCCGTCGAGTGACTTGGGGTCTTCCTGTGTCTCGGAAGCCGAGCTCGGGTTTGCGGTGGGTTTGGGTTTGAAGAAACCCATTAGGTTACTTTGGCCTTTAGATGAAGGTTCTTTCGTTAATGTTGCTTTCGTTTTCTTTTGTGGTCTATTCGTTGATGTGGTGCTAGAAGGCGTACGCTTAAGGCTGGCGGATTTTGCTTTCGCCGGAGATGGTGCTGATGTTACTGATTCAGATTGTGAAGCTGGAGTCTCGTTCGGTTCTTCATTTATCAACGGTTCGACCTTGACTAGCTTCTGGCTAGATGTTTCGGATGGCTCGTTGATTGGTGTCAACGTTGGTGTCGACTTTGAAGCTGCAGGTTTCTTGAAGAACATATCCTTAATGCTTCGCCGGCGATCGAATTCAGGAATGAGTTTTGCGGATAAGGGTAATAGATCTTTCGCTGTCCAATCTCTAAGTCGAATTCCATCTTTGAAAATTCCTGAAGGATTCATGATATCTCTGATATGCACTTCTTTCCCGTCGATATTCACTACGTCCTTTAGTGTCGCAAAAACTGGACAGTGATCAGAACCCATCAACCCCTCTTGGATATTCGAATCGCTGAACCAATCTTTCATGTCATTGCTACATAAAACGTAGTCAATTCGACTGCCAAAATTGGCGGGGCGCGTGTTCTTTTTTGTATCCCAGCAAGTAAACATGCCCTCACGTTTTGGGTGGAAGAGTCGACCAAGGTCCCAAAGTACTGGCCATTCTCTATTTTCATCTCTGGGAGGTCGTACATCTCCTCCAAACACAAGCTGGTTGAATAAGCGACGAGATGGAGCAGAAAAGAAATCTTCTACTGTTATTCCTTCTTTCCTAAGTCGCTCGAAAACATTTGCGGTGTCGATAGACGCTCGGATAACATTGAGATCACCCGTTAGAATGACTCTCTTCCCCATAGCTATGAGGTTGCGTATTCGAACGTCTAACGCGTCAAGATAGCCAAGTCGAAAATCGTCTCGGGTTTCATCGCGATTTGCGGGACTATATGTTCCGATTAGGACGAAGGCTGGAAACTCAAGAATAACACATCGTCCTTCAGAATCGAGGGTCATGTCATCGACCAGACCTGTGAGCTGACCGGGTTTTGGGTAGCCTCCTATTTGTTGATCGGGCGGAAGATCTCGGAATTTAGCTGATGAATTCGGTGGACATAGAACTCCTATTATTCCTTCCTCCGCTCGAATTGGTGCACATGTTGAATTTCTTGTGTAAATCGCTACTCCGGCATAACCTGGATACGGTGAGAGTGAGTCACGACAGAAACGATGATCTAAGTACCTTTTTTGTGCCTAGGTAAACTGAAATATACATCCCAACCGGGCACCAAGACCATATCGTCCTGAAGATCCTTGCGCTGGATTTTAGTCTCTTGCATGACGACTATGTCTGCTTCGAGGATATCAAACATAGCCTCGAATGTTCTCTTCTCTCTCCATGGTTGATATCCGAATGGATTTCTATCACAACTAGTTAGAAATCAATTATGTGCACGATAAATGATACCATACCGAATGCCATTTACTGTATGCGGTGTTAGTAAGATTGAACATAAGGGTTGGGTATTTGAGACCACACGCACCATTCCACGAGGTAATACGTAATCCCATCTTATCGGTATTTCTAGGAATCTAAATTCCGAGGATAATGCCCATTCATCCACTTTTTGGCTTTCTTTCTGCAGTTCCTCACCATCGTCGGGTTCCTGTCCAGAGATGCAGAGTTGTAAGAAATAAAATGAAATTGTAAGTTTTGGAGAAGCGGAAGTGGATTCACCGGGGAAGAAAGTGATAACTGATATAAATGCCCCTGTCGTTCTTTCCAGCCATCTAACTAAGTTTTATGAAACCTTTCCCCATCAATATGCATTGAGTAGTATTAAGGCGCCTGCATATTTGTATAGTATTTCCATGGGCAGGCACAATAAACCTTATCGAACAAGCATTCAACAAGCAAGCAAGCAGTCGCGACGTTCAAAGCCGCGGATGCGTCACGGTGCTACACCAAAGTAACCCGAGATCCCGTGACTTGCGTCATTCATTCTAGCCCCCAGCTCATAACCCCACTATTTTATCGACCCGCTTACTCAGACCAATAGACATAACCATATCCCCGTGGATTTACCGAGGGAGTTAGCTCTAGCTTGGGGCAAACCAATCAAACCTGACCTCATTCGACAATTGAATCAGACCACTCTCTCATCAATATCGACGATACCTAAACCCTGAACAGAACAATCTCCCCTCTTCAACAAACCACGAAGTCGAACGTACCGAACGAAACAAATAAAATATGCTCCCGCAACGTCAGATCCTTCGCGCGACGCCGCGATTGACGGCTCAACTGCGTGCCGCTAACACCCCCGTCTTCCGTTCGGCCCTGCAGCGACGCTTCGCTTCCGAGAACGCTTTCGTCAAGGAGCGACAGGCTGTTAAGGAGCATGCTGCTGCTACTACTGGTGAGCTCTCTTATAACGAGATTGTAATACGGATTGAGAGGGTTGCGATTGCTAACATATGGTAGAACTCTGGCGCAAGATTTCCATCTAGTAAGCATCACCCGATTATATTTCCGCATTCAATCCGCCTAGAGACGGCGACATACCTACCTACGTACCTACCGACCCAACTACGATTGCCTCTTTTCTCCTACGTATAATTCAAATGCCGCGATAATATCTAGTGTGGACGATTGAGATGAAGTTATGACTATAAAAAAGAGCAAAACACTAACAAAATACCTCACCACAGCGCCGTCATCCCAGCCCTAATCCTCGCCGGTGTCAACGCCTACAACCTATGGAACGAGCATTGGGAGCACTGGTCCCACATGCCCCCTCTAGAGGAGCGCGTCGAGTACCCCTACCAGAACATCCGCACCAAGAACTACCCCTGGGGCAACGGTGACAAGACCCTATTGTACGTACCTGGTCCTTGATTTCGCACCTATTGCATTATAACTAACGAATGGATGAATAGCTGGAACGACAAGGTCAACTACCACAACCGAGACAAGACCACTTAAGCCCATCTTCCTATATCAGCGCACATTTCGAAACCATGGGAGAGAAACAAAATCTTCCTCAGCATGCATGAAACCGGATAGGGAAGAAGGGGAAGAAATTACTCCATAGAGCAGAAAAAAAACAGGTCACCCCTTGACAAGCGGGATGGGAGGCGCCGTACTCGTTATGTCTTGAATGTTGTAGATAGGCCCATTCATTTTCCCTTTGTCAATACAATACAAAATTATCTATCACATTACATATCGCATATTCTAAAGTACAAGTTCGCAGGATATATGAATGTAGTTTCTCTAATCTGAAATCTAGCGAGTAAGCATCAAATAAATAACATTTCATAGGGTATGTATATCATGTACTCTTAGTCTCCTAGATCCCCTAAAAAGACTCAAAGCATTGAACTGGCAGGTAGATAAAGGCAAAGCAAGTAGGCACATACTATGCAAACGAATACTACCTAGGTATTGAAGGTAAACTATCTAGATATCATATCCATCTAGACATTCCAAGACTCTGTTATCAACCAATCATCCGACCATTGTAACCCGCCGAAAGACCTAAACCTCTTGCAAATTTTTCGTCGGTGTATGCATGCCGATTAAGCAATGCATGCTTCATACTCAATTAACTCCATCCATCCACCCATCCGTCCTTCAAACTGAATTGCTATGAATATGAGTATCTATGCTAGTAGTGTTATATATAGGGTGAGTGTGAGGAGTGTTGGGTTATATTCAAGACGTCCCCTGTGTCTTTATTTCGCGGCACCAGCGCTGATAGCTTGAGCGCTGACGTTGGTATCGGGTGGTGATTCGAAGCCGGGATTATCCATCCAATTCGAATATCCATCTTCCTCTTCTGCTTCAACCTCTTGCTGCTGTTGCTCTCCATTATTTTGCTTTTGCTTTTGATTCTGTTGTTCACTTTGTTCCCCCACCTCCGCCACCGCATCTGCATGTCTCGGCGGTAATTCTGGTGGCGTACCACCCGGCGACGATCCCTCTTCATCGGGCGTCATTTCAATCAAATCTTCACTCCCACCATCATCATCTCCCTGGCCATCTAATTCTTCCGCATCCTCAACCCAAGGCTGCATATACGACGTAGTCGAATCTTCATGATCATTTTCGTCCTCATGATGCGGCCCAATAACCTGTATTAATGGGCTATTTGGCTCTGAATCGGTCGTCGGCGCCTCGACAACGAGGACATTATCATCGTTACTTCCATCGTTACCAGAATGGATCTGCGAAACGCGTCGGCGTCTTGTTGGCAATGGAGGGGGCGGGACTTGTCTTCGTTCGATTTTCGCCGTAGCCTCGTTGAGAAGATTACCAGAGCTCTGGCGTGGTAGTGATGGTGGTGGGACGACGGGTTTCCGTTTCGGGACAGCCATAGGAACAGCTTTCTTACCTGGTCCGGGAAGCGGCGTTCCGGGAGGAGGCAGTGGTTGGCCACGTCCCATAGGCTGATTTAGATCGACAGGAGGATCGGATAGTTTCCGTCCGTTAGGGCCACCATTTCTATCCGTCTGTCGTTGTATTGCACTCAACCCCCATCGCTTCGCTGTTGCGGCCGCATTCGACACGGCGGCTAGAGTATTGCGTTTCCCCTCAGGTGTTCCGCCGTTAGTAGAACCCGCTGGCGAAGCGGTACCTTCTCTTCGCATGAAAAAGCCCCTTCCTATGGAGCCGGTACCGCTCTTGATCGAGTTTCTACTACTCGAAGGCGCTAGGGAACCAGGAGTTACTGTATCGCCCTCCATACTTTCTGCAGACGATGCAGTATGTCGTCTCGCTGGTGCTGTAGGAGTTTGCTCTTCCTCACGGACTTCGGGAATTACTTCAGATGAGGAACTCGCGGAGACACTGCCCGCCTGTGTAGTCGAGGATGTCCTTGCAGGCGAGCCAAGGGGTGTATGTGTGGGTGAGCTGTTTTTCGACCTAGCAGATATACTCGCTATTGCGTTAAAAGCGTCATCGCGATCTGGAGGACTTGAAGATGGTCTGAAAGTATCGGCATGTATAGGATCTGTGCTAACAATCGGACTTGATGCTGAAATTGATCCTGACCGACTGGGTTTTAGTACATCAGTGGCAGAGCTTCGTGGACTCTTTGTGTCAAGAGCTGTTGTCGATGCAGACGCGCTTGGATTGATATCATTTTGTAAGCTTTTCTTGGAGTTAAGCTTTCTACTCCAGAATCCTTGTGACTGATTTGTCTGATTGGTCTGGCTTGTTTCCATGACTGGTACACTGTGACTTTTCTCTAGCGAAGGAAGTTCTGGTGGTGTAGCCGGTGTAGCCGGTGTGGTGCCGTTTTCCTCCATCCGGCTGACTTCGTCAACATTTCCAAGTTGAGCAGCAATAGCTTCATGGTCCGGCGAGCGCTGAACCTCATCGTCGCCCTCGAAAATACCTCCTCGCCATTGTTTGTGTTCTGTATTGAAAAACGGGATATCGTCCCAGAAAGGGTTCACCAATGTCTCAGCTACCACCTCTTTGATTCTGTTCTCGATCTGTCGGAGAATAACCGTGTATGTGATCTGTCTCGAACTTACAATAGGTTCGATTGTCATCTCTATCTTTGGCATCGACTGGAAGGAGAACCAAATGCGATTGCTTGGAGGTGGCTTTATCTTGAAGAAAATGTGACCTTCAAGTCTCCTTAGCACTACGGCGAGGATGAGATTGACCTCGCGAACTTTGAATCGAGGACCCAGATCGATACGTGCTGTAGCGGCGACTTCTAACCTGAAATTGCCGGTGTACTTAACGTCAGCTTCCATTCCGCATTCACCTTCCACACTTAGATCTTTTAATCGAGGATTCGTAAAATAAGGGGCTGAATCTCCGGTATCGATATTCCGAAGTGCAATTTTGGAGAGAAACGATGGCCGCTTGACGCGACTGATTTTCTTCGTAATCTTCTCTCTTATGAGGTTTTCAACATCCTTGGTCTTATACAGGCCGAGAAATATCCTTCCAATGAAAGCGTTCAGCCATCGCGTTTGTAAATGATCCTCGGACGAATGTAGTTTTTGAACCAACGATATAATATTTTTGACTTCGAATCGTTGGGGTTTCGGAGCTAGGTTCTGACCAGTAAAGGTCTGCTCTTGATTTCGGAGTAAAGCAAAGTAGAAGTCTTCTTTTGCCGAGCAATTTTCGGAGAATAGAAAGAAAGGTTTCGATATTTGTGTGTCGGGTGTTAATTCTTTCCCGTCCGTCTTCCTACTTAAACACAATGCATTCCGCTTTATAAACAATTCGCCTTCGGGTGTGGGATCCCCGCCAGAGTATATACTGATATCGTGATGAGCTAAGGAGATAACATGTCGGACTTCGAGCTGTTCGTCGTCATCGAATAGCATTAAGTGGCCATGTCTACGATCAATAGGACGTCAGCCCTTCACATTTCCGAGACCTGCGTCAAAGACGGTCGGCACACACCTAAGTACGACATAGAATACATTTCCCGCCTTCTTGGGCCGCTGGCTAACATTCTTATTGTCGTCGAGGGGACCTGGTGTTTGTTTCCTATCGAATATACTTCTGTACATAGTCTGGTACACGCTAGGACTCGGCGCGGCCACGGTGGCCGATCCTACAGGGGTAGCACGTTCGATCGGTTTGGCATTGATGCCCATCGGAGTGTATTCACGACATACTGCGAAGTAACCCGCCGCTACATCGGACTCGGCGAGGAGACGTTGCTTCGATTCCTCCTTCTGGGCTTCGCGAAGGGCAGTGGTGTCATCACCAGGCTGGACAATACCATCGGGATCATTGCCATCATTTCCGGTCGTGTTTTCGTCGCGAACGGGAAACGTGTAATGCGCGTGAAATAGCACGATCGCTATAGCTAGAGGAATGAATGTGACACCACCAAAGAGGTAGGTCAATAAGAAAGCAGTCCAGCTCATACCCATAGCTACTTCTAGCTTTGCTTACAAGGGGGCCAAGCAGCAGACAGCGAATCTGCTTACCTCTGCGGTGGCCGAATTTCGAAGACCATGGATAATAAAAAATGGTTTCTTCGGTTTTTGAAAAGAAAGTAATGTGTTAGATAAGACAAAGTTATGTCAAATATGAGCAGATTTGATGATTACCCATGTTATGCAGGTGGAATAATGAATGATAAGATAAAGCCACCTCACGAAGCTTAATGTGAAGCTATTGCATGCAGGTAGAGACCGGGGCCAGGCTAATAGCGGCAGTCAGCGGCTAAGAGGCCTATGGTTAGATGGGACGTCACAGCAGAAGGAGCCACGTGGGGCTTTTCGTAGGTTCGCGGGGACAGATAGGCTCATGAGACCCCTGTAAAATTAGCTGTGGCTGAAATAGGGATCCCTCTACTTTTGATCACGACACGATCCGAGTGACCTTTAAACTCTTACATATTATCAGTGCAATTCTATATCAAAATAGTCGCAAATTCACATGTGAAATTATATTTCAGGTAATAAATCGGGAATCATTGCTTAGTGTATGAATGAATCCTCAATTCATGAACCCCCTCGAAAACGCCACGCTATGCATCTCTAACGAAGTTCCGTCATATAATCAAGCCACCCGGGGTATTTATTCCAAGGTCATATAATATGTGCAACACCAACCTCCTACCATTGTAACTCCTCTGCTCCGATTTTCCCATCCAAAAGCTGCTTAACAGCCGGCTCAACCACACTCTTCTCCGTCCTGTAGCGAGCCGCCTGCTTCATCCTAGTGTAAAAAACCGGACAATCTTTGCTATCGCACGGCACACTATCGAGTGGCGCCAACCCCGCACAGCTCTGGCAGATCTTCGTCACATCCGTCAATTTCCTTTCCTCTTTATTGAGCTGTGTCTGTAGCTTTAGAAGAGAAGTTGGCGCATTTCTACGGCACCTCATACAAACTGATGAGGTCTCGCTCTTGGTCTTTGCGCCGCAGACAAGACACGCTGCTGCCTTCATGTACGATTCTAAGGTCTTCTTCGCAAACGGATTCTTCCCGTCATACGTCGTGTCTACACGATGAATCCGCTGCACCTTGGGCATTTCGTCGTACCACTGCCTCACGTTGGCTCCAACCAGATTGAAAATGCGCTCTAGTGGTGGGATCAAATTCTTCGAGATATAGTACTCCGAATCCAACTGTAAATGTGAATTGCTCAATAATTCCTCGGGAGCGACGCAACGGTCAATAAGACGAGCTCCGGGCGCTCCCGAAACCACAACGTATGGCACACGCTCGCCATACTGTGGCTCTGCTCTCGCGTCTTCGAGCATCTTCTTCGTGCTAATCAAAGCACCCGGCGGAGGCGGTCCTCGATCGCTATAAGTGCCCAACTTGACTTCTCTCGCGAAGCAGAAATCTTGCATCGAGACAGCTCCACGCATTATCTTTTCGCATTGTTTTTGGAAGTATGATTTAACTTGGCTGAGATCGGCTGTCTCAAAGAGAATTTTAAGAGCCTTCTCTTCAATCATCTGTTCGGCGGGTGTTCCGTCTCTCCTGACTGTCTCAATTCCTTTGGCATCAAAGTCAGGCTTGAATTGGTCCTTGCTCTCGTATTTATACCCGACGTAACGCTTCTTAGCAAGAAGCACACATGGGTGGTAGACCTTTTCGAACTTGAGCTTCACCGGTCGAGGATTCATGTCCGTGACCGCTTTCGCAATCTCGTTGCCGATATCAAAAGCCTGGTCCTTGGTCCTGCCTGGCAGATAAATGAACAAACTATCCGTATCGCCATAGACGACTTCTGCTTTCCATTTATCTACTGAATGGATCAGTGCTATCGCCCTTTCAAGAGTTTCGCGTCCGGTTTGTACAATACTATCCGCGATTTCAGAGCAGGGCATGCGACCTGAGAATGACGCAGATGTGTATCCGTACGTGACGTTCGCGAGCAACTTCAATGCAAGTTGCCTGTTGTTGAGGAGTTGTTGCAAGGTCTTGTCGTCTTTGTCTTGCTTCATCCCACTCTTCACCATAACTCGCGTCTCGAGAATTTCCGTCAACATCTTGGCTAATAATGATTTTCTGACCTCTGCTTTGCAGTACATCATGCCGTTGGGGGCTATGTTGATGTGATCTTTGAGCAACTCCAACAATCTGTGTTGTCGTTGGTAATCTGCGAAACCCATCTTGTTCGTGCCCCGCCAATCTACAATACGGCCGAGGAAAGTCGAGTAGCAATAGTTATATGCGATCATGACACTGGGGTACAGGCTTTGGAAGTCGAGAACCACTAGCGGGCTGTTGTAGAATGCACTCTGCGGTTCCATGACGAGAGGAAGGCATTCAAGCGCATTCTGACTTCCGACCTGTTTCCTGTCTGGAGAGACTAAGATGAAGTTTTCTGGCTTCGCAATCCTAAACATGATCGACTCGACTTTGAATTGGGATCCTCGAGAGAAGACGGAAAAGAAATCCACACCTAGAAGTCGCGCCTGTTCGCTAGTTCGCGGAATAAGCTCATTCGCTTCAAGAATTTCTATGTCGAGTTTCGTCCGAGTTAAGTAATGTCGAAGGAGCTTGCTTAGATCTCGATGCCTTCCCTCGGTATACCACTCTGTCAAAGTGCGCCAAGGATAATGTGGGATTCGTCGATGCAAGAGATGCCAAACGACATTTTCCATTGTGTACTGGAGCAGAGTGAGTTCGCTGCGCATCGCCCGCCAGATATTGATCATGTGTCTACCAGTAACTCGAATAGTCGATGTGGTATTGAACCCCCATCGATCAGATTCTTTCCCGAACCGCCCGAACGATTGGCTTTTCATTCGTGAAAACTCATCGCAGAGATTATAGTCATATTTGAACCTCGCTCTCTCTATCAAGTAACCCCACGAACTACCGTGAACTTCGTATCCGGTAAGAATGTCCGGGTCGTGCGTCCTGACGATTTCGACCATTCGGGTCATTAACTCAAGCTCTGATGCCTCTTCAATGACATCGGTTCGAGTTGGACTCTCCTTCTGCATTCTTCGGGCTAGGGATCCGTCTTCGGAGAGGACAATAATGCCGGACTGTACCGATAGCGATGCATTATCACCTGTGGCAAAATTCTCGTCTGACTTGGAACACCAAAAAATGCATTGGACTTCGTCCTCTTCTGGGTTCGGGAAAAGTTTGCCCCTTGTGTTAACATGTACCTCCATACTCATGATACTCATGTACTGTGCTTCGTGTTGGACGCTTGTCGATTTTTTCTTCTGGGAATATTTAAAGCCATGCTTGTTTTTGGGTGTGGGAGCGTCAATCTGAGACATATACGGCTTAAGCTCAGGGTCGTTAAGTCTCATTACAGGCTCCTGTGAGTCTCTCGCTGCAGCCTGTTTTTCTGTCCACCAATCCTTCACTTCGTCGAAACTGGGTGGAGGTTCCGCGATTTCCCAGCTTCTCAGTGAGCATTCTCGACGCAGTTTTTTGTACACCCGTTCGTCTCTTTCAGCGTCATAGGGCAAAGTAGATTTCATACCAAAATTAGCAGGAGACTCTCCCGTTGGGTCGAAATCAGGCAGGTACGGAAGAGTGTTCCCTTCGAGACGAAACTCCTGACCGGCGTATTCCCGAACCCTTTGAGGTACATCTTTTTCGTTGCTATAGAACGCATCTTGATATATAACATCAGGACGACCCAAACCATCCATAGTCGATAAGACTTCGTCAATGCAGGGAGGGGAATTCCTAAGAACAAAGAATCGTGCTTGAGGTCGAGGAATGCATCCAATATCGGTAGGCTTTCTAGACTCAATTTCTTTCGTGCTATTTGACGCAGAGCTATCAGACTCCGATTTGTTAGTTGGCGAAGCCGATTTCTGATTAGTATCTTCGGGAGAGGTTAACGAGTCAAAAGCGATATGCTTCATAGTCTGGCTACTCTCACTTTTCTGAGAATTCGTCTGTTGACTCAATCGCAACCTTGTACTTGGATCGTTGGGATTTTTTACGACTGGGAACTTGAGGACCTGGTTCTCAGATCCCTTGAGGATTTTCTTCGGTATTGAAGGCTTGGTCTGCGATGCCGTTGGTGCTATTTGACTCCCTGGCTTTTTGGAGCTTGCTGCCAGCTTTTCCGTCGTGTCTACTTGATCGGTACTGGTTATAGGGGCGAATCCTACGCGACGGCGCTTTGCTTCCTGTCCCTCTGAAAATGGCAGAGCAGGACGTTTTTCAGCTTCTTTCAGTTGAACTTGTGGTGTATCCCGGCTTCTGCTGACCAAGCCTTGATCCTTTGCGATTTCGAGCAATACTTGAGGAATTGGAACGCGCGGCCGATGCGTCAAACGTAAACAGCTGATATGCACCCCATTGGGGAGTACCCCGTGCCGATTCTCGTCATGCGGCTTCCTAACTATTTCTGGGGATAGCGTTGTGTCAGATTGGCCTTGCGAGCTCTCGCTGGTTTTCTCCGCAGCTTTCTTCGGTGGCCTCCTCGGCGTGATCGATCCATCACCACCTAAATTTCCGACACTAGGAGTCTGGTTCTTTTCTACTGATGCAGCATCACGAACCCTTTGTTCGTCTGAGTCATCCGGGAAGATATCATCACCATCATCTAGTGCGATGTTAAGAATGCGGTCGTCGTCCACTAATATACTGCTCGTAGGATTTTCGTCGTCTTCGAACCGTTGGCTCGCATTACCAAGCGCAGATTCCAAATTACTCGGGTAGAGGTCCTCAACGGATTGCAACATAGTATTGATAGTGGACTCGAGAGGGTCGATTTTCACGAATGTGTTGAACCCCATTTCCTTCTTGTCGCTTTGGTCGTGCTCTTGGTGTATTAGTCCTTGAATTTGATCCCGATATTCTTCCTCGTGAATCCATCCGGGAGGTTGCGAATCACGTGGGTCTGCGGACATAGATACAAGAGCTTCCGGAGGGAATGGGCTGCTTCCCGGCGTTCGACCCAGCATTCTTCTTTTACGGCGTTTCGTCTCGTCTTTCCACAGCCCAGCCATACTGTGAACAAGTTTCATATCAGCAGGTAACGGGTGCTTCATCTCAGTGAAATCATGGTGAAGCTGCCTTTCTTTAATCTCATGCCGATTTAAAATATCTTGGACGCATATATCGACTTCGATAGAACAATGGCCTGAACGAGGGAGATCAGCGTCATCGGTAATAAAATTTCTTGACACTGACTGGCTGTGCCATATATGAGCTAGTTCCGGATCATCTTCGCGCTGAGGGACCGGGGCTCTGAAGCAGGCCTTTTGTGATTCGATATATCCGCATCCGTAAAGATTGTAGTCGGTCATGAATTGCAGTAAATATTGTAGATGTGCCTCGTAGGGTTGGAATTTCTGTTTCATGATAACACCCTGTTGAAGCAATTCGGCAAGTCTTGTCATAGTCATAGGATTTAACATATAGATCTTAAGGTAAAATCGATAGCCAACGTAGAACCCGTAGAACGGTATCCCTTTAACAAGGGTGATTCTAGCCAGATATTTACTCTTTCCATCGTAGGCATTACGACGGTAGCTCACGGCTAAGGCATGATCGATGGATAGATGAAGTCGATATATGTAAGCACCCACTGCCATACGAAGTTAGAACTGAATGTGTACGGGACTTATGAATATGTATCTCACCATCATCAGGAAGTAGGCATCCATCATACTCAATGTATAGATATGGGAACGCGCCGTGAATATGAGCGCAGACTTTCTGACCCGTTTCGGTCGAACCAAAGACTCTGACGACTGGGACCCTGGGCTCTTTGCCCAATTGATCAGCACGGATGTCATTGCGCAACTGGGGATCGTATTTGGTAGGGATAGCTTGATAATGGTCTATGCAGTTCAGCCGCACACGGAAAACGTCCATGGCGGCTTGTTACATAGAAATGTTGATGCAAGTCGAAAATGCATGAAGGATATTATGAATATTCCTTGTGAAAACCTAGCTGAAGCGCATTGACGATACAAGAAACGATGGTTTAGTATGGGCGTGGGCCCCCATCGATAGTTTGACGCGTTGAATAAATCGAAGATAGAGTGAAATCGCGTCGCGTTATCATGTGTTCGTCGAAATGACGTTAGCCTATCGGTAAATGGCACTGTATAACCCCCGACCTCATGACTTTTTAGGTAAGCTTAAGCCACCAAGCCACGCCGTCAATTCATCAGCACAGCCACACGTAGAACTTCGATAAGCGGATTATCGCGATTAGCTACGCCGTCCAAACTCAGTTCCTTTTCAAGATTCAAGATCATTTCTACAACCATTCTATTATCTACTCCCCTTCTCCTCCTTCTACCCATAAAGGCGAAACACACACCGATACCCTTCACAATGCCACCCCCACCGCCGCCACCGCCATCGCGGCGGAACGACGCCAACAAAGCCTCCGCAGCCTCCAAAGAAGAAAACATCTACATCCCCTCCTTCATCAGCAAGCGGCCCTTCTACGCAGGCGAAGAAGGCGATCCCTCCGACTACCTCGAACACCAACGTCTCCACAAGACCAAAGACGACCAATCGAAATGGTACGACCGAGGAAAAAAGCTCGGTCCAGCCGCGACCAAGTACCGCAAAGGCGCGTGTGAGAACTGCGGCGCCATGACGCATAAAGCGAAAGACTGTCTCAGCCGACCGCGCGCGAAAGGCGCGAAGTGGACGGGGAAGGATATACAAGCCGATGAAACGATACAAGATGTGGGGTTAGGTTGGGATGCAAAACGGGATCGGTGGAATGGGTATGATCCGAAGGAATACCGGACGGTGGTTGAGCGGTACAATCAGTTGGATGAGTTAAGGAACCAGATCTCTGGTGCTGCGAAGGGGGATAAGGAGGATGGTGATGTGGACGGCGAGGAGGATAATAAAGATGCTGGCGAGAAATACGCTGAGGAATCGGATATGGGGCGCCATCAGAGCACTGCGACGAGACAATTACGAATACGCGAGGACACGGCGAAGTACCTACTAAACCTAGACCTGGAATCCGCGAAATACGACCCCAAGACACGCACCATGGTCGACGCAGGCGCAACAGCTGACAAAGCAGCGCAACTCTTCGCCGAAGAAGGGTTCCTACGAGCATCCGGCGATGCAGCGGAATTCGAGCGCGCGCAGAAATACGCGTGGGAGAAACAAGAAAAGAGCGGTGATACATCACAACATATGCAAGCGAACCCAACGGCGGGAGAATTCTACCGCAAAAAGGAGAAGGAAGAAGCGGAGCGCAAACGCGCTGAGAAGCTCAAGACATTGCAGGATAAGTACGGCGGCGACCAACACGCGATGCCGGCCGCGTTACGTGAGGCTGCAGTCACGGAGTCTGAGCAATTCGTTGAGTACGACGAGGCTGGGCTTATCAAGGGCGCAGAACGGACATCAGCTAAGTCTAAGTACGCCGAGGATGTTTACGTCAACAATCATACTTCGGTATGGGGCAGTTGGTGGTCTAATTTCAAATGGGGCTACGCGTGCTGTCACTCGTTTATCAAGAACAGTTATTGCACGGGAGAAGCAGGGATACAGGCCTGGGAGGCGGCTGAGAAGCACAGAACAGGTGCTGATTTGACAGAAGAGGCACCGGCGGAAGAGACGAAAGATGACGACAAGGCTGAGGAAGCTGAACAGCAGCAACAGACGGCCAAGAAACGCACTATGGAAGAGATGATGGGTGGTATTTCAGAAGCAGAACTGGATGAATATCGCAGGAAACGAACAGCCGCAGATGATCCCATGGCCAAGTACCTAGGGAATGATGAGCTAGTTCGATAGTATTGATCCATAACATGGGGTTGTGTTAATATAATGGAAAGAGTCATAGCAAATCACTGGATCACGTAGAGCACCAATTTATCAAACGGTGGTGAAAGTTCTTCATGCATTCCGATTTCCCTGGCCTAACGCCTTGAGGTATGACCTAAGTTTTCTCATACCATCATAATGTAAAGAGTTTTTCCCCACCGCCTAGCTATCCATATCATGCATGGAATGCGATAAGTTTACTCTTCCTCTTCCTCCTCCTCGCCGTCATCCTTCTTCTCGGCGGCCTTAGCCTTCTTTCTGCGTACACGACCAGGGCGGCCACCACCAAACGGCGAGGTCAAAGAGAAGTCAATGTGCTTCTGGGAGTCGAGACGGACAATGAAGGAGGGAACGTTGACGATCTGCTTGCCGACACGGATGTGGCGCTGGCGGATGAGGACACGGGCGTGGTGGATGGACTTGGCGAGACCGAGCTTGTAGACACAGGTCTGTAGGCGACGCTCCAAGAAATCTTCGACCTTAAGGGCAAGCACGTAATCGAGCTTCATGCGGGACTCGTCGAGCACACCGACACGGACAAGACGACGAATGAGGGCATTGCCTTCGAAGAGACGTTTGGGGTCCTTCTCGTCGAGGGTAAGAAGCTGACTGAAATTTGATATACGCATTAGCTTTTTTGATATCTTATTATGGGTGTAGGAGTGAGATTAATAGGTGGGAAGAAATAGCAGAACTTACCGGGCAGCACGACGAATCTTGGAGAGGGTGAGCTGGACACGCCAGACCTCACGCTTGTTTCGTAGACCGTACTCTCCGACGAGCTTCAACTCGGAATCACTAGGAAGGCGACCATGTCAGTTTTTCTCATTCACAATCGACTTAAGCAGAGACAAGCTCTGGCTCAGTGGCCGGTGATTACTGACAGACGGGCGGCCTCGAAAGGGCGACGGGGGACCTTAGCGGTCTTGGAGTAAGACAAAGGTGCCATGATGCGACTCAATTGTCTTCGTTGGGTGATGAGGGAACGAAGAAAAGAGAGGGAAAAAAGAGGTTGTCGTGGGAGTCGCGAAATTAGAATAGGATTAAGAAAAAAGATGGAACCAAAGGTTAGAAAGATAGAAAAGAAAGAAGTGGGTTTGTGCAATGGAGTAGGGCAAGTGTGGGGCTAATCCTAATCTGGATAAGCTACCCCTCGCTTAATTGGCAGCAGCCAGTGGTGAGTGTGCAAGGTGGGTGGTCACTTCTAAAGTCCACAACTAGACAAGCCCCGAAAAAAAAAATACTAAGCGAATTTCTTGCGAGCCCCGAGACTTCAACGCATACAGAGAGAAATCAATTAATCTTCCCATCACCAATCTAACACTCATTTCTCTCCATCACACGACAACACCGGCAAGATGGGTCACGCCGCAGGTCTCCGCGCAGGCACACGAGTACGTTTATTGAATCCGACAAAAATAATCGTTATGTTGGAGGGGGTGACTAACAATCGCGACAGTATGCCTTCTCTAGGAACTTCCGCCAGAAGGGTATGATCCGCCTCTCTACATACCTACAACAATACAAGTACGTTGCGATCTCGAATGCTTGGGTGGGAAGTTGTAAATATTAACATTTGGGCAGGGTTGGCGACATCGTTGATATCAAGGCAAATGGTGCTGTTCAGAAGGGGTAAGGCAAATCCGATCCATGCGAAAATAAATACGACCGATCCGAATCCAGACAAAAACGAAGACTGCGAATTTGGCGAGGTTATATTTTATGTTACCGAATACCCGGAGGCTAACTTGGAGGAAAATAGTATGCCTCACAAGGTCTACCACGGAAAGACCGGTGTCGTCTACAACGTCACCAAGTCCGCCGTAGGTGTTATCATCTACAAGAAGGTCAAGCACCGGTACATCGAGAAGCGAATCAACGTCCGTCTCGAGCACATCAACCGATCGCGATCAAGAGAAGACTTCATCAAGCGCGTCAAGCAGAACGCCGCCCTCAAGAAGAAGGCCAAGGCCGAGGGTACCGTCCTCACCGTCAAGCGATTCGCCGCCCAGCCCCGCGAAGCCCGAACAGTCTCCGCAAAGGACAACCGACCCGAGACGGTCGCTCCTATCGCGTACGAAACGACTATCTAAGGGGAGAGGAGAAGAGATGGTTGCGGTGGTTGTGGTGTTCAGGGTTCTCTGCCGGTTGCTCTTTATCTTATTGCATTCGGGGTTTTTCGCGTGGCCAGGAATCTCTAAATCTTCTGTGCATGGCAAGGCATGGATGGACATAAATATAGGCACAGCCTAGAGGAATGACAAAAATTATACCAAATGCCAAATAAATAAATGTGTTCTGGGTTCGTGACTAGTCCCGACTTACCACATTTACATGGGCGATCCCTCCAACACTACCTTGTTGTTACGATCTGCTGAGGGTAAGCCCTCTTGCAAAGGCAAAACAAGGCGACTATTCATACAAGTCTGCGCTCAGCCTCATCCGGGAACTCTTCTAAAGTTTCTGCTCGCTCACTTCAAGGTATAACCACATCGTGGTGAACCAAGATAAAATAGATCGTCCTAAGTAGAGATAGGTCAAGAATACAGGTACTCGAAATTCGTCTGATTTTGCTATAGGTGTATCAATCTTGAATCATATAGATGGCATAGTCATGCAGATCTCGGCTTCACACACTTTACTAAATGCGATGCCATATAGGAGTAATACCTTGGCCAATACAATTAGAACACCTACCCAGGTTCTTCTCCCTTAAAAATTATTATTATATCACCTCACAACTCTGTAGTAGTAGACATCCCACTTGCCAAGAAACACATCATAGTATTCACGCGAAGAACACACAAGACCAATACCATTGCTTATAGCTATTTTTATTTCTTTCAACATTATCGCATATTCGCCACGACAGCAGCAGCGCGAACGCACGCACGCATACCTCGCAGCTCACCTACAGCGTAGCTAACTCCCTAGCTACTAACAGGTATTTAGCTATTTCCCTCCCCTACATAAAACCAACCGAACCATAAACGAAGTGGATATTTCGGATTACCACACCACACGCAACAACAAACACCCGAAACATCCAGAGAATTTTTCTTTTTTAATCAATCAACGGGATGTTTGTCCCTTAACTAAAGACTTTATATTTGCCATCCTGTACTTGTTTGGTCATGCCTTGTCTTCAAGCTTGCCCATCCAATCAATGGCGGTAGAGACTGGTATTATCGGCCATACGTAGCCTGAAATTGGAGAAAAGTAGATGTTCATGCCCATCGGCTCCTTACGCCAGCCGAGTTGAAGTATTCAAAGTATCTGTAACTGAAGTATAGTCTCATAAATGACGACGAGTATTCGCCGTCTAGAATCCATAATGACGCATTCCTCAACAAGGTCCATATTTCTGATGCCGGCAGGGGATGTCAAAGTGAGGTGTCAAAGTAGTTGCATGTCGAAGAGAAAAGTTGTGTACATAGGAGGGTATATCGGAATAGAGTACGAAAAAGGAGATGTCGGCAGTAGAACCTAGTCGGATCATGTCTTAGTGATGAAAAGGGTGTTTCAACAGGTTTGTGCCTGAAGTTAGAAAACCGCATATGCTGTATCAGTAATGCGGTCTGAGAAGCTCACGTAAGCCCCACGGTGAACAAAGAGGATATGAATGAGTGCGAGTTATTATAAGCCAGGGTACGCGCTCCCAGGAATCATACCAGCTCCACCAGCACTTGGTCCACCACGATTTGACGGTAGCTGGAAGTCCGGGTTACTATTAAGAACATTCACTTCGTTCCGGTTCACCGGCTTTCGTGGTGGCATTTGCTGGTTATATCCCTGACCGGGAGGCGGGTTCCACCGAGGGTTTATACCTCTTTGAGAGACTGAAGTAAAACCTGACTGCTCAGACATCGCTGGACTCCTTGGTTGGGGTGGGATGTCTTCATAACCCACAGGGCCGGTTGGTTCGTCATGGGCGGCTTGCTGCGGTCTAGAAGCAGACTCAGTGAAACGGGGATCTACATCTTCGTAGTAATTACCTCCATCACCAGCCGCTGGCGGTTGCTGCGGTTGTTGTGGCATGGGAGGCGGGGGTGTTTCACCACCAAGTTCGTTCGACCGAGTAGGGATTTGAAGAGGCGAAGGGAGTGCTGAAGGACGAGTAGGCCCATCTCTCCATCCTTGTCGGGGTGGGACATATTGGCTAATTGAAAGTCAGTAACGTTTACTGGTTTCGGGTCAAATTCTACTTACTCATCTTGACTGTATCTGCTACCTTCACTCATGAAAGTGTCATGTCGTTGAGCGTTGGAAGTCCTCGCTTGTTGCAAAGCTAACATACCAGCCACGTCGACATCACTATCTCTGAGTTGGTTGTTGAATTGACCAAAGCCCTGCGGAGGATGGGCGGGACTTCCTGTGGAAGCATCCATTTCCACAGCTTGACCAACATGTCCTCCTCCAGGCATATCATCCACACCCGGTAGCGGCGGTGGGGATTCGGCTCTAGGCAACTCACTTACACGACCCGGATTATATGCTTGAAAGCCACCCCCTTCGTTTAGACCAGCCGAGACATTCGGTAAGGATGGTTCCATGTTATAAGGGCCACCCGGAGGCGGTGGGGATACTTGTCGATTGGGAGCATAGTCCCCATAAGCGGCAGCTGGGGAGGGTCTTCGGTCATAAGGTCCACCACCAGGATAATTCGGCGGCGGTGTTCTGCCACCCCTCATTCCGTTGGGACCAAGACCAGGACCGTAACCCCCACGCGGGCCGTAGCCTCCTCGACCGTTGGGTGGTGGGCCATACCCACCGCGGCCGCCTCTGCCGTTTGGCGGTGGACCGTATCCACCCCTTCCACCAGGCGGTCCATATGGTCCGCCGTAGCCGCCTCGGTAACCACCCCGTCCTCTATAACCCCCACCACCGCGACCTCGTGCAGGCATTTGTTCGAAAGATGGACCTCGTCGCACTTTATAGTTATCCTGAGCCTGGTCTATCGGGTTGCCATACTGGTCTCTCGGAGCTGAACTGTTCGAGCCTGCACGTGAAGGCGCAATATACGTAGCACCCGACATACTCGTATCAGCAGCGACATTATTCGGAGATCTATCAGATGGGCTCCTGGCGGTTAACGGTATACGTTCTTCACTGCTACGGTCGTCCCTCTTCTCATATGTAGTGAAACCAGGTAATTTATCAGTTGGTCCGTTTGCTCCGCTAACCACCGGAACGGTTGGTTGTCGGGAAATATCGGTGGTAGTACTGGGAGGTGGATCAACTTGAGCCTGGCGATTATAATAGTTCTCTCCACTCATTTCGGCGTTCTCTGCAATCCGCCTCTTCCTCGCCTTTCTGCTAACCAATGTGCGCCTCATGGCACATGAGACGATAAAACTCAAGAATACAAGAATTGTGGCGGCTAGGACGATGTAGGAGCCCCAAGCCATATGAGGAACGAAAAGTAGGACATCGATTAAGAAGGCGAGGAGGCATACTAAAAATGTAATGATGCCGAAAATAAACAGTAGTAACAAATAGCGCGACGAATGAGAAGGCGAATGAAGATGAGCGACAATAGCAAGTATCAGCATTATAAGTGTTAGTAGACACGCAACTGGGTGGACCACAAGAATGGCGGATAACGTCGTCCGCGTCGGAGCGGGCAAATCGAAAGTGGCCGAGTCGCTTGCGGAAAAGAGTTTGGCTGTAAACAAGTCAATCAGAATCCAAGGCGCATCTATGTGGGAAGTCGGGTATAAAAGCAGAAGTAGACATACATGTATCATATCCAATCTCGATCGAAGTACACCGGCTGCCGTCGCAATTCCCAAAGACTCCAAAGCTCACGCCTTTGTATGTACCTAGAGGAATCGCTTTAATGATGGGAGTCGACAGGACTGCGAGCAACAGCATGACGAAAGCCGCGAAAAGCAGCACCGTCAAAGGTGTCGCCGGTCGCAACATGATGGCGGCTTAAAAGCGCGCCGACTCAAATGAGTCGCGGCGCCGTCGAAGTAAACCCTTTGTGTTCAATCGAGTACGGGTCGAGTCAACTTTGAAGATTAAAGATCACAATATGTTTGCTCATGCGAAGGTCCGGAATTGAAATGTACGAATATCGTCGGCGGCGACATGTAGAGCGAACGATCGATCGGTAATTTTTCGTATTGGATGTCTTCGTCTTTGTGTGTTGTGTTGACCCGCTGTACGGATGCGATGCTGTGATTGCTGTTGGTGGACACCGGTCTATTTGCCAATTTGCAGACTCGTTTCAAATATCCTCCTTTTTTAGAACCCCCTTCCGTTCAAAATTGTTGTTGAATTATCGTCAACCTAACACGCTTTCCAGAAACGAGTGACTAAAGGTGATCGGAATGATAACAACTCGAAAGGTGGCGGATTTAGTGTATGCTGGCCCTGTGGTGGCAGTGGCAGTGCCAATGGTAGTGCCAATGGTGACGGAGTTGAAGATCGGAAAGTCAAGTTGGGGAGTCGAGTTGATTGGAAGGAGAGTGCCCAGAGTGTCCAGGTGCTGGCGAGAATTGGATTTGGGGGTGATTTGGGTGGGTGGGACAAGGACCGTGATTACCTTACTTCCAGTACTGTACAGGCCCTGTACCTGCCCTGATTGCACATAAAGTTGGATGATCAAGGTGATCAAAGGGGACTTCGCGCGCAATTGAATTAATTGGTGGGTGGTCTAGACTTATTATGGGTCGCCTTGCTGATTTGGGACCGATTTAAGGAAGTTGCTTAGAGTGCTTAGGTGGCTTAGCCCTAGAGTACAACCGTCTAGTCCGCGCCTGCCCTGCTGCCCTGGAGGTGTCTACGCAACCCACGCACTTCCCCCTACGTTAAGCGTCTGGGCAGTGGATACCGTACCTGTCTAGCGGATGCTTAGCGGGTGCTTGTATAAAGGAGCTACCCTAACATCAGGGCTAGTCGGAACCGATTTGAGATGGTGCCGGGTGGAACTTTGACTTTTTCAGGTCCCGGTCTTGATTGATACTTGAGTTTACTTAGCTTAATTAAGTTGAATACTCTTATTTCTTATTCTTAATAATGATCATATCATATTGACTTTCGATACGATACATTCCTTCATACATGTTCTTAGATTGAACAAAGTCTACGTACGAGTTACTTACTCGCATATATCACTCACTAATGTATAACATTGATAAGGACGACCGGATTCTGCCTTAGCGTACATATGCACGAAAACTCCACCTGTGTCCGTCGTGGCTCGGCGTAAAATCCCAGAACGAATCAAGTACAAACATAGCCCTGTGCGTGGTTAACAAAGACAACATGAGACATCCTCTATAACAAACCGCGAGTACCTCGACTTATCAAATTTCATAATTAAATCCAGAACAAACAATGCCAGTGGTCAGGTTCAAGTCCTGATAAGCTTAAGCTAACCGTGTGGCTTCTTCGTAATAACCCCAGTTTCCAAGTTTTGAGAGGATTATCAGGAATATGATGACGTTCAAGCCCGATGGATATTAATTTGATATGACGACGATTTACGGCATGATGTTGTGACTCGGGAAGCCATCATTGCCGTTCTGCCGTGGCATTCTAGCAAGCGATAAAACCCGGGCAAGTCTGAAGCATTTTATCTGGAGAGAACGTCGGAATAAAGCTACCAAGGCGGCTCCCTACGCTGCATGTTCCATTAATGCGATGAGCTGGCAGCTTACCCGTAACTTAGAAAGCCGAACTTGGTGCAGGACTTCAGATAGGCTAAAGTAGAATATCGCGGGACCTGCCGTTGGTGTACACGGTGTATCGCATACCCAGGTATCTACAGCCTCCTGATCTTCGGACAAATACTCGTCCGGACTTCTTACGTTGTATTTACCAATTTATAGACATACCCGAAGCGATGCCAAGTTACATCCTATTAGATTCAGGGTCCTAGAGGAACATGGGATGATGGAATGGAAGCCGAATGCCGTAATGGTAAATGAGAACAGTGATCCCTTACTTCCTCCCTCAAATTAGGCTCGTCGGATTGTCATCGTGAGATTCGCAGCTTAGTGACAGAAGCCTAATGTTATTATTCATTATTAGTTACTTAAATGTGGTAAACAGTAAGTACCTGACCTTATCATCAACTAAGACACCACGGCTCAAAGGAGAAGGTCGGTGGACAAACAGAAAGACATAATCAACTACCTAAGTACCTTCTTTACCTAGGTGGATGGGAAGAATTTTATATGATAGTCCACCAATGATACCGTACCACCGCAATATACATTTCGATGGGTCGGGACGAATGTCGGTATTCAGGATTTATATATTAGATGCAAGTCAGCAAACATCCATAGGTTCTTGGGATTTCGGTAGCTATGTCCTATAGTTACCACGAGTTTTTAATTTTAAGCAGCGACTTGAAACGATCTTCTTCGTCTGATCAAAGTCCGATAAATTCCGCCGAACTGCGGGAGAATACAGGAGATCATCCAAGGCTCTGACAAGCCACAATATCGAAGTACAGCGCATACATGGATATCCGGTGTAATATAGTGGGAGCGAATTCTTTGTCGTTGTAGCACATGCCAATTGCAGCAATCCATTTCCGAATCTATGTGCTCCGACAAAACTCTTTCAACCATCACGAGGGTTCTAAACTTAGGAGTATGCGTAATAGAATGCTATCGTACAAGCCAATCAAAATGGACAACCGTTTTGAGACAAGGTGAGGGGAGACTCGTGCAGCTTCACTGATGAACAAAAGCGGTCTACAATCCCTGATGTATCATCATAGAGAATCGAACGAACAAGCGCTCTTAACATCCATGAAGATATACTGTGGTTCCCATTCTTCGTTTCTGATTTGCGCTTGAACCATCTACTTTAGCCGTTGTGTTTTATCATGCGTCAGCTTTCTAAAACTTCTAAGGACCCTAGACCAAACCAATGATCTACATCCATCGTAGGCTTCTGATGCAGAGCCTCAGATTACAGGGATAACATTCAGGCGGCTTTAAAAACTCGGTGCTCCCCTTAAAAGCCCCAATTCGAAGTTTCGGACTATTGTAGATATCTTATTCAGTCTTCTATGCATGTTCGTTCAAAGTTGTGTAGAGTTCGAATCTCTATTTGCATTTTAGGTAGGCCCCACAATTGGATTAATGATTTCCAAGATTGCAGGAGGAATTATGAAAAAATAATCTTGAAATGCCCTAAATTCTTAGACAGCTAAAAGATAGATCGTCCAATGTTCTAGGCTGGCTTTATAGTCCACTAACAAAACTTTCTATCCGGGAACGGTACGAATCGGCCCCGACGGTTCTAAAATAAACCGGACTATTGGTGAAATGTCGGCCGACTCGGTACCAACCGGAGATAAGATTAAACAGATAAGGAAGTATATCTATCGTCATTGATCTTCAGCTCGTCGCCTTATTAGTAATTTTCTTACCTTGTGACAAAAACTCTCGTCACCCACCTCCGGGGACATTCGGGAAGGAAGAAAAAAAAATATTATCTACATGTATTGGAAGAGGTCGGAAGCGTGTCTTCCGCCTCTGAAGTTTGTGTTGCGCTGTAGCTAATAATGTTTCGCAACGGTGTAGCGACGCTTCGCTCAAGCCATGCTCGCATACTACCGTATAATGTAGCGCACGCGACCACCCGATCCCTCTCCCGCCTTTCGAGCCGGACACAAATAAACCAGGCTCAGATCCGCTCGATACAGACGCATAATTCCTTCGAGCCTCTCCGACCACCCTCCCCCTCATCCCTCGGCAAACCCAAAGCAGCCCGCGAGTTCAAGCGTAGCCGGAAATGGGGCCGGCGATTACTGATCTTCTCCGTGGTCACCGGCATCGTCTACGAGATCGATCACCACGTCTTCGCATCGGGTATCGGACGATCGCTGCTGACATTCAGTACGGGTCTATTCGTGGCGCTGGATTATAAAATAAATTTCCGGGCAGAGCCGTATTTTGGGGGTTCGATTGAGGATTTGCATCGGCGCAGTGCGGAGCGGTTGTTTGATTTGCTGCGCGCTAATGGCGGTCTTTATTTGAAGATTGGTCAGGCTATTGCTATGCAGAGCGCTGTCCTGCCGCCGGAGTTTCAAAAGATGTTTGCGAGGATGTTTGATGATGCACCCCAGGACGAATGGCGCGATGTTGAAAAAGTTATCCGAAAGGACTTTGGTGGTAAGAGTGTCGAGGAAGTCTTTGGTGTTAGCTTCACAGGCGAAGAAGGGAAAGGTCTAATGGAGAGGAGAGCGAGGGCTAGTGCGAGTGTGGCCCAGGTGCATTGGGCTAGACTACCGGATGGTAGGGAGGTTGCTATTAAGTTGCAGAAGCCAGAGATTGCTAAGCAGGTTGGCTGGGATCTTTGGGCTTTCAAGGTCGTTATGCGAATTTACACATGGTGGTTTGACCTACCGCTTTACAGCCTGGTGCCGTTTATTACGGAACGACTACTGCTCGAAACGGATTTCGAGTCGGAGGCCAGGAATTCAGAGATGATGCGAGACCTCGTGAATTCAGAACCCAGTCTCAAAGGCAGAGTATATATCCCTAAGGTCTACTCAGAGTTTACAACAAGACGAGTGTTAGTGACAGAGTGGATTGAGGGAGTACGGCTCTGGGATAAAAATTCCACAACAGGCCGCTGGTTAAGAGGCTCTGGTAACGGGTCTCCCGGAGTTCACGGTGCTCAATTGCAGTTCAGCCCAGTAGATATGGAAGCTGCTCGACGAGAGCTGCGAGTGAACCCCTATAAGGAGAAGCTGAAGCCCGACCGGGATAACTGGAAAGGACTAAACGGAAAGGGCGGGCTTGGTCTGTCTGGTAAGGAGGTTATGACCACAATGGTGGATCTGTTTTCGGCTCGGTACGTATGAAAGGTCTCACTCCCCGAGATTCTATAACTCTCCTAGTCTTACGTATAAATGCTAACCAGTTGACAGTGAGTAACCGACACCTCCCCTATCATTGGAGGCTTGAGGAACGGTGCAGTGAGCTAACATGTTGCAGAAATATTCAAATGGGGGGTCGTCCATTGCGACCCACACCCTGGTAACATCTTCATCCGACGTTTACCATCAGGAAAGGCCGAGTTGGTACTCATCGATCACGGACTCTATGTTTACATGTCTTCCAAATTCCGACATCAATACGCCCTATTCTGGAAATCGCTGTTGACGTTTGACAACGATACGATAGCAGAAATCACTAAGGAGTGGGGTATCAAGGCGCCTGACTTATTTGCGAGTGCGACATTGATGCGCCCTTACGAGGGTGGTGATGGAAGCACAAAAGGGCACATTATGAAAGAATTCAAGGGCAAAACTCCGGCGGAACGACATTATGAGGCGCAACAACGAATGAAGCAAGGCATTCGCGAGATATTATCAGATGAAGATAAATGGCCCCAAGAGCTCATCTTCATCGGTCGCAATATGCGTATCGTGCAGGTAAGTGCTTCGAAACCTTATAGTCCCCCCAAATTCAGCTTACTCATATCATGACTTCAGGGCAATAACCAATTTATGGGATCACCTATCAATCGTGTTAAGATAATGGGTAACTGGGCGAGTCGAAGCTTGTTCCAGGACCCCAATCTACCATGGAGGGAGCGCATGACGAACGCTTGGCGACATCTCCTATTCAGGACCGTTCTATTCGCCACAGATGTGGCATTTTATACCTTCAAAGTCCGGCAATGGCTTGGATTAGGAGGTGGCATGGAAGATGAAGTTGAGGCTAGGATGAAAACCATGGCAAAAGACTTTGGTGTTGAGCTGCAGCATGAGGTTTTTGAGGGCTAAATCCCGGACTTATATTTAGATCTCGATTTCGATCTAGAAGGAATACCTGTGGTACTACCTAAAATATTGTGTAGAATCATAAAAGCATACATAGACGGATGGACGGGGTAAAGACAGCATATAGAGCAGCAAGCTAACTTGTACTATATAGGTGTAGATGTACTCCCTAAAAAGACAACTTACCTCTTTTACTATTTCAAAGAAAATCGGTATTGATCATAGAACTTAGAAATCGCCGATTGATACACCAAAGTGCAAAAAAGCTTGTGATACATCGATCCGCATCTTGTAGATCAGTGTCCGTCGGAGAATATTGTGGCTTGATAGGGTATCATTGAAAGCAGGTATCCAGCCTATACTGGCGATCTTCTGCACGGCACACAGCATAATGCGTGTATAATGTATTAAATCCTTTATGTGTACCAAGCTCCATGCGCTGTAATATGTTTTCTCATATAATTCAAACTAAAATACCGAGCCGTATGTTGGTAGCCGAGACTTCATGTAGGTGATACCATTCTGGGTATGTATTCTGCGAGCAATTCACTAGTTGTACCAGCACGTGGAGGAGAGTCCACTTGATTTTCACGCTGGTGCTTGCTAGTTAGCTGTCAGTAATCGATCTATTAACGTAAGTCATGACTAGCCGCGTGTAAGTTCGTATAGGCGGGCTGACAGCACTTGGTAATACTTGGCTTGTCGATATGAATCTTTTCATCAGATGAGTCTTCGCATGTCAAAGGGACAAAAATGGTTAATAAAATATTTAGGAGGTTTGATTCTCCAATTGAGCATGATGGATGATTATTAAGGTTCATTATCCCATGCCATGCATCGGAAAGTCGAACTCATTTTATAACACTAATCCCATTTAGGTAGGTAAGTACCTCCCGGATCCACTGTGCAGCCAGGCCGTCGGGATATTCTTGTGTCACTTAGCCCGAAACCGACTGTGACTAGCCCTGCTTGGTCACTTCTCCTGGTCCAATCACGAAGGAAATTTCACTTGAAACCACTTAACCCAAGCGTGGAAGCAGCGTGGGTTGACTTGGCCCGCACTTCCCCTTTTTTTCCAACCCATGGAAGCAATGTAGACCCAGTCAGTTTTAGCAAGTTAAGCTGGGTTTATTCAAATGGGACAAACAATTTTAGGTTAGCAGCTCATCTCATGTTATTCGTGATACTCTCTTGACGACGACTTTGCTTCCATCCTTTTTTTGTACCTATCACGGTCAATAACATTTTTCTTTTTTTTTTTCCGTCAAAAAATTGTTTCTATAAACAACTCAACATTTGATTTGTCGGCAAAGTTGAGACAACTCACCATCCTACTAGATGTATTGTTGTTTTACATTTTACCAATAGAATATTCCCCCGGAATCCTCTATTCTGCAATATCACGACGTTTGCCTGATCTTCAACGGTAACCCTGTTCCAGACCCTTTTTTTTAATCTGCGTCGCCCGGCGACCCAATTTTGCAGCAGAAACCCGTTAAACGCCCTCTCTTTTAAGACTGTGCCCTTAACTTTTCCCACCTTACTTACATGCGCACGTCTTCTCCATCCGAGATCCATCTGTTCGAGCGTGTCATCGCGAACTGACCACCTTCGTTTGCGATTCAATACTCATTTACGATTTCATTCGCATTTTTGTATGCCTTAAGGTTAGTGAATCATTTCCTTTGTTGATATTGGTCCTATTGTGTCGCATACACATGCAATACATTCACATTCCCAAGCTGTCTTGATTCGGTCTTGGGTGGACAAACATTCATGCATATACCACCCACATATACCCATTACCCATTGTAAGCGCAAGCGATTAGTAGGTACATTACCTACCTACTGTACATACAATCGCATGACCTCGAGCTTGTCGCGCCGTTGTCCTGCATAGTCGGCAGATGGAAGGAATATAGCATCTCAATTGGCCTGTTTTTTTCTGCATCTTCTTTCTCACTGGTTGTATTTGACGTAGTACCTTAGTGAAGGTATTAATTGAGGTCCAATACAATCTGCGCCCACTATCGCCAACGCGTCACCCCAGATCAGGTAGAGAGCCGAGTGAGGGCAAGAGCTTGAAGCTCGTTGGTCAAAAAATTACTGCAGCTACCTTGCCCTTGATACCCTTCCCACCCCCCGGTCTCTTCATCTAGAAGGGCGCCCATCCCCTTAATGCGCGCCGTGCTCCAAGAAGGGAACGGAAAAAGCCTATACGATTAATTTTATCATTTTACCATTTCTTCTAGTTCAACACCAATTGCGACCTTTTTGTCTGCGTTGGAAAGAACTTCCATTTACCTTCTCTATCATCGGCCTTGATAATTAATTAGCTGACTGATATACCTGCAATCTCTAGGTAGTTTTCGATTCACTCTGTGTTGAGCGTTCGCCTCCTGGTTTCATCCATTCGCATTACAATCTTTCTTTACCTGACAGCAGACGCTGTTCAAGCTGGAAATACCGTAAATAAGCACTTCTACAAATTACAAACATCCAACCTACCCGAACTAGGGAAAAGAGACGATACAACACTCATTCATTCGCGCGCATTTCCAAACTTCCCAGTCGCTTTCGGATCTACCTGCCGTACAAACAGGATCTTCCCTCAGTTGAGAACTCGAACACGAGATTTGGAGACCACCCTTTCCCCCAAAATCAAGCAACGTCTCTTTAGTCGCACATCACCCCTTCTTTACGGATTTGCGAATACACCTTCTTTTACAAATCCCCTCACCGGGAAGTCTTTGGAAGAATTAGGCAAAGCGAGGAACCTTTGGTTTTGTAGTTTGAACCTTTTTTTCTAAACTATAACTCTTTCAATCGTGGTATCTTTTACACCCATTTTTGCCTACAAAGGTACTTGTACCTAGATAAGACAACTCAGTACTGGTCACCGTTTTACCGTTATTTTTTGAACTTTCGGTTGCGGCTACTGTCTGAGTCCGGGCCATTTTAAGTTCGCGCGAGTAAGGATAGAACTATGAGTCAACCGCCCCATCGATCAAGCTTCGGGATGTTGCTTCGACGCAGCAAATCGGGGGATCTCGGCAAGGGAGGAAGGAAGCATCAGAAAGAGCAACAGAGGGAGACTGTCCCCAAATCTCCCCCTCGTTTACCCGCTCTCTACAATGGCGCTCAACCTCCTGCACCTCTACAGAGCTTTGGAGGAGATACTCGTCCGGATTCCCTTGCAATCGTCTCTGGAACAGCTGATCACTCATTTCATCATTACCCTCCAAGGGCATCCATTGATCCCGGTCGTCCATCAATGTCTTCTACTGTCGCTGGTCATCCCGTCCCTCCCGTTCCCAACGGAGCTTGGGTCGATCCATACGCCCGTACCGAGAGTATGACGCACCGTGGTCGCTATAGTTACGCGAGCAGTGCTGTCAGCACAATCAACAGCCCCCGAAGGGTTCGTAGGAGGAAGGATCCTACTCCTTTCAAGTATGTTTCCCCGATTCATTTTAATCCCTACTGATACTGACGATGTGTTCACAGCGTCTTAATTGTGGGCACCCGTGGCTCCGGGAAGACCTCGTTCCTCGAATTCCTCAAGACCGCACTAGCCTTACCACCTAAGAAACGATCTCAACGATCGACAGAAATCGAGATGGAAGTTACTTCCACTGCGGCACCTTCGGGTAACTTCATACCACACTACCTAGAGAGCGAAATCGACGGCGAACGTGTTGGATTAACTTTATGGGACTCGGAAGGTCTCGAGAAGAACGTGGTAGATTTACAATTGAGGGAAATGTCAACGTTCCTAGAAAGCAAATTCGAGGAGACTTTCGCTGAAGAGATGAAGGTGATTCGATCACCAGGCGTTCAGGATACGCACATTCACGCAGTCTTCCTCATTCTGGACCCTGCTCGCCTAGACCGAAATATAGCAGCGGCGAAAGCTGCTTCCGCTAACGGTCACAATGAGAAGTACGAACGAGAAGTTGGTCGCGTTGTAGGTGGGTTGGATGAGGATCTTGACCTGCAAGTAATGCGAACCCTCCAAGGCAAGACAACTGTAATCCCAGTCATATCAAAAGCCGATACTATCACCACCGCCCACATGGCTGTTCTCAAGAAGACCGTCTGGGCCAGTCTCAAGAAGGCCAACTTCGACCCCCTCGAAGCACTAGGACTTGATGACGATGATGATTCTAGCAGGATTGACGAAGCTGAGGAAGAGGATCAGGAGGAGGGCGAAGAGGTCGCCGAACCTGCAGTAGAAAAGCCAATCCAGGAGGAAGGTGCTCCTGCAGAAGACGATGACGCCGAAGAGGACGGCGACGACGAGCTTCCGATCCAGGGTAGGACCTCATCGGCTTCATCAAAGCGCCGCTCAAATACTTCAATTCGACGAGCCAAATCATCTGAGGAAGATGGTGATGATGTTCCTTTCCTTCCCGTATCTATAATCAGCCCCGACATCTATGAGCCCGGTGTTGTCGGCCGAAAGTTCCCCTGGGGTTTTGCAGACCCATACAATGAGGAGCACTGCGATTTCACCCGACTCAAGGACTCTGTATTCAGTGAGTGGCGCGGTGAATTACGCGAGGCTAGCAGAGAACAATGGTATGAGGGATGGAGAACCAGCCGCCTCAAGCAAAGACAACCTGCAACCCGACGCCGATGAGAGTGGATGCTTGGAAGTCAGCCATTAGATGATGCGCGAGACATCTCCCGGCATTTATAGCTGGCCTTAATGTTGTGTTTTATAGTCGTCATAGCATACCCCCAGAGTTTCTTTCTTTTTTTTCTTATACCACGACATTGTTTTCTCTGGCCGACCGGAGCGAAGCAGGAAAAGGCTCGATGGGCGTTGATTCAGGGCTCGGGTTACTAAAAAATTTCCGATGACGCCACCTACAACAAAGGTACCTCAGCTGGAGGAACCACATTCATGGTGCCATGTCCACCATTCTATTCCTTTGTATGATGTTCTACTCCCCATTCTAGACTCAGTTACTCACGCGATTGCTGGCACGCAACGGGGAACTTATGGATCGCTTTTTTTTTTCTTGAAATTCATATTTTGACCCTTTTTTTCAACTACCCGAATGCTAGGATTTTCTTTTCTTACTGTTGTCTTATTGCTTTTTTTATTTTTTCGGATATCCCACGTGCCGCAGCCCGTTTGCAAATTATGGAGGATGGAGGGATATAGGAGACGAAACTGTCTCCTTTTTTTGGTCGTCGTATAAAAATAGGACGATGGAGAGGAGAGTAGAGCTCGAGCAGTTTGCTTAAAATACGTATTGAAAAGGGGAGAAGGGCTGAGCTGCATTAGGACCTAGCTATGGTAGTTTGATAGTTAGCTGCGTTGGTGGTGGCGGTGCGAATGTGGGTTAGTACGTGAATGGATGACCGAGTCTGTCAGACAGATACAGATAACCGACTTTTTGCGCCGTTGAAGATATTTTATTCCCATTTCCTATGGTGATTTGGATTTTTGTGATTTGCGGTTTCGTGATTGTAGATGTGAATTTAGGTATTGATGTCTGTTGTGATCCGTAGGTCGGAGATGGGATATAATACGTATAAAGCCCTTAATCGGCTGGTTATACGTCAACCGGTCCTTTATTCTTGAATGTATTGCATTATAGTATGTGATATTTATTCGACTTGTCTTATTTTCGAGATCGACGAATTATGCGCAAACAGTAGTGAGGAGTTAAGGGGCACAGGTTTTGTTTAGCGAGGAAAGGAGTGAAATTCGTAGGATTTTCGTACGCGGCGGACTTGACAATGTAGCGATATCGTTACTTCCGATAGTCCCGTCTTTCTTTGTGTGATAGTACCTTTTGTATCTAGATAGGTAGCGTACGTATCCCATTACACCAACCGGCTTTGATATGATTAGTGTAATAGGAGTCGGGGTAATTAGTATGGTTGGTAGCACCTGTAAAGATGAAGCGATAGATGGGGAGAGTAGTCACATTATATAAAACAACGCATTTCATTTTATTAGTTTATCATTATGTGCCAGCTAAGCCAGGCCAAATCATCGTGATGTAGTAAAAAAGCAGTGCAGAGCCAGCCAGCCAGCCAGGTATCATACCAATGGCAAAAGCATGAGTCCATCCATCCATCCATCCATCCTGGCTCAATGTCAATAGATCAACGCCTCTATTCATGGCCCCTTTTCCCTCCCTCCCTATGGTCAGAACCAGTCGTCACGCGTGAAAAGCGTATGCGATTTTCGTATACAACAAGAACAACGCAATAAACTCCGCCTCGATGCTTTTTCCGTGTGCTTTTTGGTGAATGGGTATTTCCGGTAGAACACAGAACGAAAAGGAAAATAGCATGAACTGGGGAAAGAAAAAGGGATGCTATGTTCCTAATAGAATCCCCTGACAATTTCGTCCATCCGTTAAATTAGACCTTTTTTGCGTTTCCGCCCTTTTTTTATAGACTGATACAGCTCCTGTCCAGTTGTATGATGCTCGCATTGATCCTGCTAGAATACTTGTTACTTTGCTTCATAGCCAAAGTATAATTATGATCCTAATGGAAAACCGAATCGTCCGAGGCGAGCGTGAATAAATGTAGTGAGATAAACTAACGCGATCCATTGGTCTTCTTGGGGCCGCCTGCTTCCGGTAGGCTACCAGAGTGTCGGGCGAGGGATTGGACTAACATGCTTAAAAGCGGTTCGGCGTGCTCGGGTGTAGGTATCTTGTTGGCTTCCTCGACTGAGATGTAGCGGCCGGCAATGTTTTCTTTGGATTGCTTCGCCTTCTCGGACGAAGCACTACCATTGGGAGAATCATCACGACTGTAGAGCTCGTGGTGAACAGTCTGGACATCGTTGTTGGTCATGTTTCTACCCGCGTAGAAGTCGTTGTAGAGCTTGGCTCGGTGACTAGCTTGGGCTGTGAGGGACTGCTGCGTAATGGTCTGTTCCCTCTTCTTTCGTTCCTCCGCTGCAATTTCTTGCAGGCGGAGATCGACCCAGTTGTCGGGAATTGACTTTGTGTTACGGTCGAAATCCGCAGGAACTCCGTTGGGGAAGAACTTGAGAGCCTGTTCGTATGTGAGTGTGTCGGTAACCCTGACGCCGCCAGAATTCTCTCTTGCTCTAGCTTTGCCCAATGATGAGGTTTGGAAGACACTCCATGCAGATTTCTGAGCAAGAGAAGCGTTCTCGCTCGGATGCGCTAAGGATGGCTCTTGGGGAGGTCGTACAGTTTGCTGTGACTCGAATGAAGAGTGGGTGCGGAGACGGCGAGCATTGTCATCAATGAAATCGAATCCACGCGGGTTCTCGAAGCTTCTCTGCTGCGCGTTGTTCGCAGGCTGAGTGAAAGCGGAAGGCTGAAATTGACGTTGGCCGGGAGGTCCAGCAGTCAAGGGGAGCGGTGCACCAGGTCCCTTTGATAAGACGGCGGGATAAGTATCGCTCTCTCGAGAATAAGCGCCAGTGTTCGGCTTAGGAGTACCAAAGGGTTGGTGATGGAGACCATGGTCATCGATTCCACCTGACTGAAGGAGATTCTCCATACCGACTGGGTCAGAACGAGCATTTCGACCGGCACCAAGGGTGGGGGGGCGAGCTGCAACTCGATTCTCCTGTGTCAAATCCGAAGATTGATGAGGCATAGGGGGAAGCTGTCTAGCTCGGGAAAGAATCTTCTGAGCTTGCTTCTTCATGGGGTTAGGGTAGGACGCCAGGTTAGTTAGAGTCTTGGTCGGCATCTGGTTGAGTGCTTCATTGATTTCATCGTTATCCATAACATCGTCATCGTCATCGTCGTCGTCATTGCCGTCGTCGCGGTAGGCATTCGTATCGTCATGATTTTGGGGCGCGTAGGGCGTGGTCGGGATAGCCGGTGCGAGAGGCATGATCGCAGAGGTGATTGCGGAAGTGAGCGCAGAAGTAGCCGCAAAATCGTCAGAATTGATAGCTCTCTCTATATCGGCAATTCGCGCGAGAACAAGTTGATCAGGGGTGGGAGGGCTGATAGCACGATCAACGTTTTGTCGCAGAGGTGAATAATAATGGGCGCCGTAAGGAGAAGAGTTAGGAGAATTGGGAGAGTTGTACTCGTAAGAATCAGGTACCACCGCTCTAAGAGTGCGTCCACGACGAGTCGGGGGCTGAATGGGTTGCAACTGCGGATGCCAGACAGATCCAACAGTGGTGTACTGCTGGCGGGCGATTGGTAGCGCCGACTGCTCAGGAGAATTGGTCTCCATAGTAGCCGACTATCTGCCTACTTATCTATGACCAGCGACAACTAGATTCGTCGGGTATGCGGTCACGGAAAAGAAAGGTGCGGGCGCGAAGACAACAATAGAAGGGGAAAAATAATCAATGGAAAGAGGGATTATGACGGTGTTGGTGGAAATAAAAATGGTGATGAGGATGATGACGATGTTTGGGGGATGAGAAGGGGAAGTCGCCCTTGATTTTTGGGTTGGTTGTAGTTTGAGGATAGAAAGGACGGGGAAAGAGAAATAGGAAGTAGGCAAGGAATTGATTGACGACTCGAGGAAAGTTTCTGGTCAATTGCACTGTACTTCCTGTTGTTGTAATGATGTAGGGGAAGGTGAGGCTGGCACCAAATGCGATGAAAGTTTCGAGTACCCTAGTAAAATTACACAGTACATCGAGGAAGTTCTCGTCAAGCACGAAAAGGGAAGGCGCATTTAAAGTTTGAAGGGACATTTGAACCTACCGTGTGAATTTACCTACACAGTTAAACTAATCCATACCTTCCATAAGATCAAAGGCAGGTGATTAGTCCGTTATGCGGAGCACTTTGAGCAACTTCCCTCTTCTCAGTCTTAACCTTCCTCAGCTGTGTTCCGTTCAAACTTCAATAGCGAATGATCTGCGAGCATTCACTTTACCGCACAGTCTTCCGTTATTTTATATCAGCCCAGGGGATCAGGCCTTTGGAATCTTAACCCTACTACTAGAGCTTGTGCTTTGACAACTTCTCCGTTTTTTCAACAATTCCCTTTAAGTCTCCAGAGGTATTCGGGCCCATGCCGTATGGACGAGCTAAAGTGAAACTAAATCGTCATGAGATCTTTGCTAGGTACGTGGTTCAATGGCTACCTACCTACCTAGGTACCCAGGTAGATAATGTTATGATTCGGCGAAGGCGACATTTGTTACTGACCTGGACCAAGCCCCTTTAGATGCCTGCCTAGGTACGTTTCCTTTGCTATTTCGTTCCTTACTCCCGTCCCAGCGAAATATTTACGGAAATTAAAACAGCCATGATCGAATTGCAGTTCCATATCTTACAGCTGCTTGATTGCTAACTTCGAGTACAGTCGACATCGTTACCTTCATTATCGGACGTCAAGCATACCGTAGGACAACCGCCTGGCGAATGAATATGTTTAATAGCACCGGGCTTCCAACATCGAAGACTCCGTATCCTCCTACCTATAGTTGGAAACTTATAGTTAATACTATGTGTCGTTGGAAATATATGCCTATGAGGATATCATTTACTTACACGGCTTTCCATTAGAAGACAACCCGACTTAAATGGGGCTAGTAACCAGGCCTCATGGGCGGCCATTCGTACAAAGAAGGGCCTTACTGGGGAGCCTTGTGTTGATGTAGCCAAGTTAGGGATTTCTCTACCTATCTTGTCATTTTGTGGAGACTAAAGTCTGTCCATACTGATATCTACAGAATTCCTGTTGACACAGTCGAAAACTAGAAGCACATCCATCGACGATTGCATGATGTTTCTAGCACCTGTTGGAGGTGGTCATCAACCTTGGGCCTTAATTTGGACCTATTGGGTTCCAAGCGTCAGATTATCGCTTTACCCTCGACACTTTCAACTTCATGAGCAGCGATCCGACTCGGAAGCTTGAACTACTTTCTACGAGTCGTCTCCTACGATGCAATTAGCGGCAAATTGTTCCCGGCGCGAAATCGGAAGCCAATATGTTGAATTCGTGCCAGCGCTATCTTCGGCATATTGTCCGGGAAAGCAAAAAGCACAATAGACGGGTAAAAGTATACACGTGATGACTTACATAGGACTTTTAAGCTGAAGAGAATGTCACAAGAACATCTGGCTTAATAATGTCGAGGTTGAAGTTAAGTCTTCATGACAAACTGTCGCACTAGTTAATAAAATACAGATGCATCGCAAACACCTCAATCGCATGCCGAAGTCGTCCTCGATGCAACACGGCTTACGAGAGCACGACCGAGCGCAACCTATGTGGGATTCGACATATTTCGAGGTGCCATTGACTTCAGTTATGCTAGCTCTTGGCTACCATGGGCAGAGTCGAACATCTGGCGTATTACGTTTTGCTATACGCGTTTATTTCCTTGTGAGACCGACAGGTAGTAGAGAAACGGATTGTTTCGTCTCCTTATCCAACACCAAGCGTCAGGTGTTCAATGGCCGGAGATTATCACCCTGAGCAGATCGATAAGGCTTTCCACGCCTGCTATTTTGGGAGATTCTCGTGACTGTAGGGCACCCGAATAATTGCTAGGGCATCGGCCTTATTGCAGAATGTCAAGGGTGGTATGTTGTGGCTGTGAGGGGATCGAGACCTGTCCATCGGTACCTAGGTAGGTACCTAGTACAAATTCCTATACCTACCATGTAGGTACCGTCCCAGCTGCAGATACCACTAAAGAGGAACCCGAGCGGTGGCTGGCGGAAACATTCGTCTAACGTCAGTGTGTAATTGTGCTACCATTAAGCTAGAGCAACTGCATTTCGGCGCCAAGGTTGCCCTGAGCGATACGTAATTGGTACCTAGGTGGTTGGTACGATGCTGCACGTCGACTGCTTGCTAGGTATGCTGTTCGTTGAACAAAATTACCTAGGTGCACTGGTATGGAGTCTGGGTAGGTCTAATCTTGGTTTTTTGGATCTGACAAGATGATAGATGCCCGCATTTGAAGGCGGTTGAAGGATTCAGATGTGCATTAAAACTGAAAAAATCTGCGGAGGAGCCGAATATCCGCTTTGCCTCGACTGCGATTATTTTTGAACAATATTGGAATAGTACCTAGGTAGTCACCAAATCTCGTCATCACCGAAGATGGCGCGACGTTGAGCCATACTGTGGCTCTTTGAACACGTATCTGTCCAATGGGAATTGAAGCATTGGACCCAGATGCAAGAAGGGTCTGCAAGAATAGGTAGGGCCATTAATCTAAAAACTGCCCTCGAGACGAAGATTCATTGTATCCTCCGTTTCGCTAAGCTCTGGGATCATCGAATCATCGAATGTTCTAGGAATAAATAGCGGGTAGTGTAGGACGTGGGAGGAGAATTATATTTTAGGTCGACATCTCTAGACATGGCCTCTAGACAAGTTGGGTACGGGACATCCCACACTTCCCGTCTGTGGAGATGAAATAGGCGCCTCCTATTTGCCATCTGAACCGAAGGAACTTGGCACATTACCAAAATTAGTAAGACGGACTCCTCTTTATTTCTGTGGCTCTAAGGGATTAGAGGATACATATTCTCCCCCCCCATTTTCTCAAATCCCTCGACTGTATCTCTACCGGAGACCGAAGCAAGGACGCACAAAGCAACAACAGAAACCCTCTGGTTGCGTAAACGACTTGGCTTGAGATCGAGAACGTCCCGATTTCATGCCCTGCTGTGTTGCGTACTTGTGTCAATCTCAAGCACGCTACCTACGCAGGTTGGTAAACAGCGTAGCAAGCCTCCCTGGGCTCGGGATCGGCCAAACAAAACGAAGATAAACCCCTGGGGCTAATCCCCGTTACCTGAACCATCCATCAGCTTTTGCTGGACATATTACTGAGAGAAGCGAGAGAAATAATAACACCATCGAACCGCCGGTTTCGCCGTGTGAATCAATTTCCTTGTTTTCTCTACGTTATTCACACAATATCTTCGCCTCTCTTAGTTTTTGTATACTAGGACGACAATCTCATCTCACCGTCGGGTCTCCACCAACTCCCCTACCTAGACAATGGATTTCTCACATACCTTCTACGGTGGAGCTAACCCCTATCACTTTATCGGGATTCCTCCCTTGACCCCATCGCATTCAAACTCAGCCGCATCCGACGAGTTCAACAACCACTCTCCGCATGTTAGTGTCCCATTTACTATTGTTTCAGTTTTAGGGTCATGTCGCTTGGACCTAGAATTGGAGCGCTAATCCTTCAACGTCATTCAGGATGTTTACGATGGCTTCCAGAACAACGAACAGCAGTTCCAACAGAATTTTGAGCCGTATGCCCAATTCAATCATCAACCTCATCAGACCTTCCCCGGCCCTCCCGGACCACCTACACCGCCGACGCACCCCATGCACGGCCAAAATGGCCAGAACCAGTCTCAAGTGAACGGTGCTTCGGATGTAAAAAATAGTCAAATCGACATACTACCTTTGGCCAAGCCGGATCCTGACGCGAACAGACACACGGCGTCTAATTCGGACGAAGACGACCTGACCCCCGCTCAATCCCGCCGGAAAGCCCAAAACCGAGCTGCGTGAGTTAACCCAATGTTTGGATTGAAGGGATAATTCGTCCCGTCACAAATGAATATCGCAAGGAACGTAGTGTTTCGCTAATATGCTATCTATTTTTAGTCAGCGCGCGTTCCGAGAGCGTAAAGAACGACATGTTAAAGACCTCGAAGCGAAGTTGGCCAACTTGGAAGCACAACAGCAACAAACGGCTACCGAGAACGAGAAACTGAAGCGTGATTTGCAGAAGATGAGTACCGAGAACGAGATCTTACGTGCTACGTCCAGCGTCCAGGCCCAAAATGGCTCTTTATCGCCCCCGCCCGCAACAACTACAGGGCCCATGCAGTACAACCCTACGGACTTCTACTCGGACCTCCTTCAAAATCACGCAAACAAGACCCCGAGTCACCGCATAGTAGAGTCGGGTGGCGAGCGCCTACTAGCTGCGGGTGCCACTTGGGATTATATCATTAACCACGAGCTATTCAAGAAAGGCAGAGTTGACGTTGGCGACGTGAGCTTGCGTCTGAAGTCGCAAGCCAAATGCGACGGACAAGGCCCAGTATTTGAAGAGCGTGTCATTCTCCAAGCTATTGTAGAGAGTGTTGCCAGTGGTAGCGATGAACTATTATGAGCGCTTGCGTTCCTTGGGTTACGTTCTAGAGAAGATGTCAAGGGAAAAGTCCTGATCAAACTATGGTGGCGAAAAATTGCGAAAAATTACGAAAAAAGGTTTCCTGCTTTCGAGCCTACCCAAGGCAGCAAGAAAGAGGAAAAGAGCATGATTACGTTCCGATTGTCACACATTAGGAGGATTTTAGTTTTGTCGATATGACGGACAAACGATGGTTATGGGTTATGAGGGAATGGGAGCGTTTTTCTTGCATTCAATTTGTTGGGATCTATACTTGGCGTCAAATCGGAATACACGTATATGGAATCGTCATTGGACGCTACGTGCTTCCCCTGAACTTGTCAATATGGAAGGGGTGGGCAACGAGCGAGCACCGGAGGGAGGTAGGGTGAAGAAGCACGACGTGGGGAGGCAAATGGGTTTCACTATCTAGGGAGATACACCATCCATACCTCAATCATGGTCGGGGAGTTTTCTGGCTGGAGAGGGCTGGTTATAACAATACACGGAGGGAGGGAGGTGCTTGCCTGCTTTCAAAACTTATAGGAAATCCAACCACCAAAGGAAAGGAGCACAGATATCATGAATTTTTGTTCGTTTACTTTACTTGTTGATTTCTAAACTATCTATCTGGTGTTCAACAGCTGGTGGGGAGGGGTTCTATATACCGAAACATCCAACATATGACTGGGACATTGCTGCATTTGAGAAGAGATATTGGGATTTCTCTTGGCTTGTTTTCACTTTCTGTCATTTTTCTATACTCTTCGGAGAATATATTAGGGTTATGGGTTTTGTATGTAGGCGTAACTTGTTGAATTCAGGAAATCATCCACTGCAAAAGCACCAGTCAGACCAGAGCAATGTGAACTTTTACGGAACACACTATGGTACCCCTTATTTTTCATTCTTTTCACTTGGCTTTCATGAAAAGATGGTTACATAATCCCGTTTTCTTCCCCTCCTCCCAGTCCCCGGACACCAGAATCAGACCCCCCTCCCTCCCTCCAAAGATAGCTGCCGGTTTCCTAGCTAAAAATGAATACCACGTGCGTATCTGGAAATTTTATCTAAAACGACCTCACGGGCCCAGAGCCCAGAGCCAAGGGGTAGAACGATTTGGGTGTGTGTCCGAGCGCCAGGTCTAGACGAACCCGAGGTCTCGCCTCGCTTCGCCTCCCGATGGAACACAGACAGAAGATGTGAATGCAAGGTGTGAATAGGGTATGGCATGGTAGCGGTAGGGTATCGTACCTTAGTATGTATGGTGTACACGCGGTTTTATCGTGGGGCGAAATCTCGGATTCCCTATCGACGTAACCGTAGTATCCCCCAATCCTCCCCCGTTCGGGACCAAAAAAAGGACGGGACGGGCAAGGTTAACGGATAACGAATAACATAGTATAGATTTGCAACATTCGTTTTTACCTAACCGACAACCTTTCAGGACCCGGGACCCCACGGATATACACACCTTCGTTATCTCACCCCCTAATTCCGCTCCGCAGCTTACCTATGCCCAGCCCCAGCCCCAACACTGCACTACGACGCTCTGTAGCTACGCCGCCATGCTACCACCAACACTACCATTTTTTTTTTTTTCTCTGTTTGCCCCTTTTCCACGTCGAACGTGGAACCCCCGGCAGATACCATCGAAACCGAGAACCGCGACCGCCTTACCATACCTGCCCGTTTTTCGGAACCTACGTCTGGGTGCTTACGTATGTGGCTTGAGGAGCGAGATAGGAGCTGGATATGTAATTCATGTAGCTTTGAAAAGCTCAAACGTGCCTCAGATGGTGAGGGGTATTTATAAGCAGAGCTGGCGGACGTGTCGACGGTTACGTTACCTATGTTGTGGAGGTAACGAGAGGGGGTTCTTGGCTTGTTAGTTGGTAGGTAGGTAGATAGGTGGATTTGAAATCGAGGTGAAATGTGGTTATAGAGTTGATTTCATACCAAAGAGTAAAACTTTTGGAGACTCACTGGCTTCTTTTGCGTAGATTGGATATTCAGAAAAAGGTGAAAAGAGAAAAGAAGCAACAGATCATGACTTATATTGCTGAGTTGAGAGTAAATAACGACATTTTAGTTGTCCGTCCGCACCCGTTGGTTTTTCGGGTGTCCTTATTATCGCTGACCTCCCTGTCTTCCCTTCCTGCTTTCTTTCCCATGGGTATATTGAATTCCAGATATCCTTCATCATTAAAAACCAAATAATCCCATGTAACAAATAGTCTCAGCATAGACGCCTAGCTCCCCGCCTTTCATTTCATCTGTATGTGATTTGTTTCTATCTTCCGATAGATATATTTCCTCTTGGTATTTCCTTTTGCTGGATTATATTGGGTATCCAGTTTCATCCCAAGCCAAGCTAGATGAGAAGGCCACTTACGCCCCCAACACCCAAGCACTCTACTTCTTTAGATAGAGAAAATCATTACCCGCCCAAGTACTTAAAGCCCTCCCGTTCTCTTAATACGAATCTTCCTCGTATGAACGGTAGATAAATACCATATATCCCAACACTTAATTCGCCTTCTTCCCATTAGCCTGCTCAACGCCCTCCACATACGGGTGCTTAATCGTCAGACACCAAATATCCAAATAATCGCAAATCGTGACAATAACATCAACCACGAAAGATCCGTACACACCGACCGCCATACCTAGCATCAGGAACATGAACGCGACTTGGTACACGCCATCTCCCAGCGCGCTAGGCCAGCCTGAGGCCCAACCGACATGCGCCTGTAGAATAGGACCTAGGGAATCGATAACGCCGAAGGCTAGGGGTAGAGCTAGGATATTCCAGTATGGGAAGGGTAACTTGACAAGGTGCGCGGTAATCACCTGGCCCACGCTATACGCATTCACCATCCCTGCAAAAATAGAAAAAGGCACAAGATGTTGCGTCCGGATCACGGGCTGCAAATACAAATACGCAGCCACCAAAACCCAAGTACCAAAAAACGGCAACAGGCCAAACAACGCCCATCGACTGCGATCACCCCGTGCCCGTCGCGCTTTTATGACATTACGCGCGCTCTCGACGGTGTTGAGGACTAACACGATGGTGCCTTGCACCATGTACCATTGCGTGAACGTGAGGTCGTAGATCCATGATGGGATGTTGAGGGTTGTGGGCACGTGGAGGGTGGCGAACATGGATTGTTGCCAGAAGGAGGCTCCCCCCATGTACCCTGTGAGTGCGTAGACGAAGACTAGGATCAGGATTCCTTCGACGGGACCGTTGACGATGCCGAGGGTTAGGGTCTTGGTGTGGTATTCATCCCAGGTTTGTACGTAGAAGGTTTGCAGGGCTGTGCGTGAGTGTATTTGTTAGTGGTCTTTGTTTCTTTTCTGGGATGGGGGATAAGGTATGGTGGGTTACGCACATGCGAAAAGCGTGGCTACCGTGTACCAGCTCTGCCCCATGTTCTGGGAAGCAGCGAAGATTAGGACTTCGAGGGATGTATTGAGGGCGTCGACGCCATGGTCGAATAATTCACCGAGGGGTCCGCTTTGTCGGGTTCGTCGTCTGATGAAACCAAATTCACGAATTAGCTACATCGTATATAGTAGGAGTAAATTCATTGCATTTATTTCCGTGACACATACGCTTGCGAGCCATCAACAGCATCAAAAGTCTGATATAAAAATAGGCCAGCAGCCCATGTATAATAAACCCAAGGCGGGCAATCCTGGTCGAGCGTCGGGTTGTACCATAGCAGGGTAAAAAAGTTGGCGACGATAAACATGAAACCAGTCAATGTGATCAGGTTCGGGGCCATCCACATGGGAAAGCACTTGATGACGACATTGGTGTAGAACGGTTTCAGGATGTATTTCGATGTCAGGGAGTGGTCGACGCCGGAATACTTGTACAACTTCAAGTTTGGCAGGAATTCCTGCCGTACGTACACCATCTTGACGATTCGATGTTTGTTCTGTTCGGCGATGCGGTCGAGGATAAACTACCTAGGTATTCTAGTTTGCTATAATATCGGATTTGAACGAAGGCGGTCACGGATGTCGATATTGGATATTGTTGACGTAGTGAAGAGAAGCTAATGAATTAGTGAATGGTCCGACGAGACCGAGACAATTCGTCTAATCCGCTTTGTTGTTCTTCGAGGGGTCAAAGAAACCGAAAGTGTCGACTAACACACCTGTCTTCGTCAAATATTATGATTATGTTATTCCTTTTAAATAAATTCCTTTCTAGATTAAATTAAATAGTAGGTAAAAGGAGTGGATATAGTCAAAAGTTAAGTGAATTGGCCTTGCAGCAAAGCTAGGGCAAGAAAAAAAAAAACAGGTGTGCAGAAAAAACGTCATGGTGTGCATGTGTCAGACCCATTTTCAAGAATTTTAACTCAATTAGCGCGATTGATGTGCTCTCATTTTCGCGTTTGCGACGTGTAAATTAGGTGCAAGGGTACCTAGAATATAGCACTAACCCCTGTAGCACTCCTGTAGCACCCCTGTCGATAGGCACCTGAGTACCACTGTATCTTAGCTAAAACCGGAAATGGTATTCGATGCTCTCGTGACACTCCTATAGGAAAGACATCCGTAGAAATTTCTGGACTTTTGTAAATTATAGGTTAGCTTGATTCATACTTGGATTCGTTCCTCTTCCGGTTTGTTTTGGTAGTCGAAACCCTACCACTACATTCTTCTCTACTCTCCCTATAAACACGGATGGGGACTTGGACTGTGTATCTCGTCGGATTCATACAAAAGTCCTACCGTCCTGACCCCTTTCCTCGATTCTCTAGTTAATATGCATAAGATACCCTCAAAACCGAAAGGACATCGCTCATCATTTTTTGCAGAAACGCCTTTCCAGAAACCATCATAATTACGCGACGGATGCCACCACTATGGCTGCTACGTTCTCCTCTTCACTGCGTACTGTAATCTTGGTTGTTACACCAGATTTGGATGAGTATGCCATCCGAATATTCGCAACAACCTTTCCACCGTTGACTGTCTTGCCGAGAAGCTTAAGTTGATGTGTCGTCTGGTTGACAGGAACGTCCGTGCCTTCTAAAGGTTGTAGCGAAAGCGCCTTGGCAAGTTGTTCCGTAGCATCTAGCTTCAAGTTAGTTATACCATCTCAACAAAGCACAGACGTAAAAGGAGAAAATCATACCTGCGATGCTGTTGACACCCGATAATTGCATCGTTTCTTCGGCCTCCTCACCAGAAGCACCAACTTGCTCCCATACGTGGTTGAAGTTGCCAGCAAATGTAGGGATCACGTAATCGCTACCCGCCAGATCAAAATCAGACACCTCGTACTCGTCCTCGTAGCCGCTCTCCTCAGGTTCGTTGGTTGTCGGGTCAATCTCCTTGCTTGTAAACTTGAGTATGTTGGAGAAGGTAGCCGTAGGTAACGATTCTTCGCCGTTGATTTTCTTGAATGCCACGTAGATCTTTCCGGGTTCGTCTGTGGGGAGTTTCTCTGCCTGGATAATGAAAACTTCCTCGAGCTCTTCTTCGTCGGAGGGGGTCGCTACGACCGATACATTCTCAAGGACCGTAGCCTCAAGAGTGTTCTTGACCTCATATTGGAGCACAATGTGTTCCTTGAAGATATGCTTAACGACGGTCACGACGTATTCCGTCTCGGCTTCAGTCAATTCAACAACAGGAGATGACTTGAGAACACTGCCAAATTCCTTCATCTCTGGGATAGCCATAAGTTCTTGAGCGTACTTCTGGGCAGCTGCAACAGCCGAAGCTTGTGCTTCTGCTCCTGTCGGTGCCGCCTTGGTGGGGCCGGTCTTCGGTGGCTTGAGCGACGGTGTGGTCGCGGTAAGCTTCTTCGTTCGGTCTTCGGCATCTGCTTGTTCCCGAGTGACAACCGGGATCTGGCTGATGTCGAAGGGGTTTTCGAAAGCTGATTTGTCATCTGAAGTTACATACATGACAAGCTGGTGTTCAAAGTATGGCAGAGAAAACATGTTTTCTGTGCTATAATTAGATTTTTATGATGGCTGTAAGTTTCTGTGGGGTACTCACCGTTCTTGATGAACTGGTTCCCTAAATCATCATCCTCATGCATTAATCTGAGATTGAGCGCAGCACGATCACGAACCTCATCATCCACATCGTCCAAGCATCGAGTCAATAGAACATCGACGCTGCGCTTGACTTCAGGGTCCTTCTGGCCTACACCAAACTTGGCCAAAGCAGTAACAGCTGCTGCCCTGACGATGGCATTCTCCAAAACGACTCGGTTGTAAATGTAGCGGATATACTTGGTAGGTTGAGAGGTCTTGGGTCCTTCAAGACCTAGAAGGTGTAGAATACGAACGGCCAACTTGGTAAACTCGCAGTCTTCAATGAATTCGCAAAGATGGGCAAGAGCTTCTTCCTTGGAATCCGGTACGAACTTAATAAGATCGAACATGCTCTCTACCACAGCTCGCTTGAATTCATAACCACCTTCGTCACGGAGTATGCCACTAAGGAATGAAAGCATGCCTGCTTGCTTGCTAGGGAACTTCAGGCATAATGTTCGGATAGCTTCGACAATAGTAATCTTGAACTCGTCCGTAATTTCGGACATAAATCCGGAAATTTGCTTCATCAATCGGTCCACACTTGCTTCGTTACCAGTCTTCAGGAGAGTCGTGATCGCAAACGTAGCAATAGATCGGTTGCTGTTCGAAATGAGCGCCTCGATATCGGGGTTGCAAACGTTGACGGCTTGCGGCTTGAAGGAAGCGAAATTATGTAGGATTCGGAGGGCGGCGAATTTGGTAACGGCACGAGGCGAAGAGAGGAATAATTGTAGCACATGGACAGCTTGGGTGACCTCGGCGTCTGTAACATCTCTTATGTCGCAGATTGCCTTAGCAGCCTCGAAGTTGACCATTTCGCTCTTATGCCTTAACCATCCGTCCAGCAGCTGCATCATAGGTTTCCTGAGCGAGTGATCCTCCTCGGCTAGTTGTGCAGCTAATCGGACTAGCATAACGATAGCAGCAGGGCTCTTCACAGCACCAGCAGCGCCGAATTGTTGCACCATCTTGACTAGGGCCATCCTGTCGTGAGATCGCATTTGGTATAAGAGACCAATGGCGTGGTATTGTGTCATCGTCGAGTTATTAACTGGAAGCGAGGCAGAAGAGCCCGAAAAGCCAAGAGAGAAGCCACCGGAGGACTTGGTTGAGGCAGCAGCCTCCTGGGTTTCGGATTGCCATCGTCGAACGACATCCTTGGCGATAGGGAGGAGATGGTAGGAAGAAACGAGGGCGGCGGAAGAGACTGAAGGGTTCTTGTCGACAATCGCTGTCTTCATTACTCGCTCGATCGATTGGACGGTTGTGGCCTACACGGCGGTCAGCAAAGGCGGTACAAGAGCTAGGATATCCTTTAAGCTCACGTCGATGATGCGACATAAGGCTCGAATAGCATTTGGTCTGTAAATTGCATCGGTGCTACCGCCAGTATCTTTCATTATAGTGCTTGTAACCATAATAATATCCTCTGCCGAGTGGGCAAGCTCTTTAATGACCAAATGAACCATCTGTCGCAAGCTGGCATCTTTATTTTGGAATAGCTTCGAAATACCGAAGAAAAGGGTAGTGGCTTCATTCGTGGGGAACTTCTCGCCGGTGTAAAGGAGTAGAGCAATCTTTGTCAATAGAATGCGACATCTTCGTGGTTGGATTGGTGAACTGTTGAACAATCGAGCTTCACACCGTTTAGCTAAAACCACCGTAGCGGAGGGGATCATAGAATTGGAATTGAATTAAAATATACCTTCTTGGAATACTTGAGTACGATCGACCTTGACCAAGCCGAGGTCGGCATCTTCATCTTTCTTGCCGTAACTCATGGTGGGTGGGTGAGACGGCGATGTTAAAGGTGAAAGTTGAAGATATCGCGGGTCGTTGGTGGAAATTCCAAATTCCAAGTCCAATTCTAAGTTCAATCAATTCACACTTTAATTTCGGGCCAGCACAACTTCCCTAACGCCTTTGAAAGAGCGACGTTGCAACTGCTTAAGCTAAGTCACATGATCTACGCTAAAAAGACACGGTACCCACTTATCAAGCCACATGTCGGGTACGTACATCATCTCCTATACATTACCCCACTATCCTCACCTTGACGAAGACATCGAGTCACTACCTAAGGACAGCATCATTAAATTGATTTTCTTTCTTTCTTCTGATTTTATTAGGTTCTTAGTGACCTCTTGGGGCAACCTTCGTAAGCTTCATTACATTGTCTGCAAAACCCTCGGTGCCACCATATTTAGTCAGGATATCTTGTATATCCACAGTTGAGCATGGACAGCTTCTTTTCCTGCCAATCAAACCAACATTCCTCGTACTTGGTATCCTCAACATTTCAGTTTCTGTCTTCCAACCACAGTCTTCTGCGATCTTTTTAATCCATTCGACAAGTGACGAGTACGCCGATGGTGATTTGCCCTGGGCTTTTGGTGCCGGAGCTCTAAATCTTGCCCCAGTAAGATCATGACTGCAACATGGTATCATGATGAATGGACAATCTGATATGGTGGCAAGTATCGGTGTCCAAGGTGTTAACTCATCAGCATGGTTAGATATGATAAATGTTCCTTTGGGAAATAAACCATCGTGGATCATACTAGCATTATCTGTGTCGTTAGTAGTCTCGTTATTTGAAACTTCCGTATTTGAACGAGGGTCAATAACTGAGGGAAGCAAGACAAGTTGTTGGAGGCTGTATTCAAGATTAGACCCCTCGCCCGTCGTTTTGGAATAATTATCCCAAGATTTGCGTTTTCGCGCATCAAACCCCCATCCCGTGTAACCCTCTTCTCGAAGGATATATACTAAAAGGCCATTTCCGCTGCCAATATCGACGAATCCAGGGAATAAAGAATCCCGATACATCTGAGCCCATAGCTCGATGAGAAATGCCGCAATACTGAGATCTTCAAAAACATGTTTTGAAGGATCCGTCACCTCGGCCCATTCTTCGATAAGTCGCCGGGCATACTTCTCTTTCAATCGAGCATATGTATTCTGAAGAGGTATCTGGGGGACAATAGCATCGTGGTGGACTCGTTTGACATATCCTGCTTTGGTACCTTCTCCATGCTTGTGGAGCACGGCCAAAAGGTTGAGACCCGTTTTCACCAACTTTGGTGAACGATCTTCATTTTCAAAGAAATGGTAATGGATGGAGACGGAGCCTTCGCTACTCTCAGGATTCCATTCATGAAGAAATGCTATACCTTGCACCTTGGGGTGGTAAAATGGCATATCATCTGGAGAGGATATATGAGGTTTGTAAATAACCATAGATCTCTCTACATTGCTCGGACCACTCCCGCGATATAGTAGACATGTTTGGTCCAAAGGCTGATCTCTCAAGGTGTTCCTGGGAATAAGCCTCCGTACTAACGTTTTATCCAAAGTCAATTCCCTGAAATGGATGATGGTTGGTCGTGTGACCGTGGAAGAGACATCGGATGTCATGTTATGATTAGAGTCTTGCTCATATAAGATGTCGGCCCGGAATAACCAGCCGGAATTGATATTCGGATTTCGAATCAGGTTCATCATGACCTTGAAGAATATCTCTGAACCAAATCCACAACTTTTCCGGAAAAGAGGTGTCCATTTCGCTCCGGATAAATCTTCAATCGGACTCGGAGATCCATCGGTATACTCTTCAGCTTCAAAGCCCATAGTGAAAATATGAGGATGGGTGGCCTCAAACCATGTGTTATCTGCAGGACTTATAAAAACCGGTATATGAGTAGGTCGATCAAAACCACACAAGCTGACATAAAATATTTAAATCAGTCCACGGTGAGATCGATGTTCTAGATGTCCTATTTCGATAGTGTAAGGCCAGCAGGCCACATGCAGACATGCAGGGGTCAGCTGCTAATAAAGGTAGGTATCCTCGTGGATATGTACATACATATGTATGTTTATGGTAAGGATGTGAGGTTTTAGTGGTTGATCGACCGGAGAGTAGGTGAATAAAAGGGAGTTGTACCTGGTATGTATTAATTGATTTTGACCCAAGTAATGTCGAGTGTCACATCGAAGTTATTCCAGATTTCAAATTGTTGTAACTTTCAGGTAACCTCAATAGTTTAGTTGTACGACATCAGGTTAGCCGATAATGTCTTATGTTGGTTTAGATTTTCTTCCCTCTGGTAGCACATGCCCTGCTATCTGTTAATTTCCTGGTCGTGATGGTGTGCGATTGCGATTTTGTGTGGCATGTGCTTGCTGCATAATTCCGGCATTTGCGACTTCCAAGTGACCTCAGATTGAAGAACTTATCCAGTGAGGAGCCAGTGAGGAGGCGAGAGATACTAAGGTACTTAGGTACTTTTCGTCTACAGCTTCTCCGCAGAAGGATGTTTGGGGGGTTAAGTTGCCCGATAAGGCCACTAAATTTTCCATGGGTGTCACGAACCTTCTACCGGATAGGCGAGAATGAACCACCTTGGAAGGAGGCTCGACCGCCCCCAACCGCCCTCTAGCCCGGACCAGCCTGCCAGGTGCCAAAAAACTGACCCACTTATTAACTCCTTCACCCCCTTGCCGACTCACATTGGATTTGGAAGGGTTGACCCGCAAAAACCAGTGATTGTTGCCCCTCCATTCACTAGTCTCATTAGGTAGTTCACTGCCACTTGCTACTTGCGGCCTTTCTCGTCCCTCTCTCTTTTTCTACTACAAATTGGAATCCGCCCACCAACAACAACAACGTCAATTCCATCTTTTTACATATCACCACCGCGTTTTCGCAACCACAACATCGTTCTCTGTTTATCGCAGCAGCCAGCTTTTATTCTTCAACAACATCCCTCACCAATACAAGCGAGGCTACTAGCACAGTCGTCGGTCGCTTCATTCCGAGTTCATCTCCACGAACCCTTTTCCCCAAGTCACCCCGTAAACTCGAGTTTATGTCAATCGAAAACCTCAAGACCTATGGTACGTGTCGTCCCTACCCCGACGAGTATCCCGGCAAGCAGAATACCATTGCTGGTGGCGTTAGATGTTGATGTCGGTTCATGTTTATCGGAAACATCCAGCCTCGTTGTTATCAATATTTGACTCACCAAGCTTGTCGAGGCATCTCCCTTGATCTATAAGCATATGCTAATCAATGGTTACAACAGACCCCTTCGCCGAAGCCGATGAGGATACAGGTGAATCAAAGCAAGCCCAGAATTATATCCATATCCGTATCCAGCGTACGTGTACACAAACTCCGACACCCTCACATGTGGGGTCATCAACATCCGTGGCACCTCCTTTTATCTTTTATCCCCCGATATAACCAATACAATAATTCATGACGCTGACTTGCCTTGTTCCAGAGCGGAATGGACGTAAAACCTTGACCACGGTTCAGGGTCTTCCGAAGAAATTTGACCAGAAGAAAATCCTGAAGGTCATCAAGAAGAAGTTCGGTATGTGGCTTCTCCACTTTCCATATACGGTAGTTCGTTGTCTCAGATCATCGAGGCTGACTTATGTTCCTAATAGCCTGCAATGGAACCATCGTGAACGACACCGAGATGGGTGAAGTCATCCAGCTACAGGGCGACCAGCGCAAGGACGTTCAAGAGTTCCTCGTCGACAAGAAAGAGGGTCTGGAGCTTGATCCTAAGACCATTAAGGTCCACGGTTTCTAAGCCGACGATGTCCATAAGCCTACCGTAACGCCTAACAACCGATCACGATATACGCAACCGGATGGTCAGCCCTACGTGTGCCAATGCCCTGGGCGATTGTGGGGGACAGCCTTGATAAGCTGTCTGTCGCATCGTGCCGAGGGCTGGACCATCGATCGAGGCGTTTACGGATTGGCTTGGACATGATACCCCTTGTTGACTTCTACATGAGGCCTCTATTTTTCGGGATTGCTTGGGCAAGGCTGAAGCCGGCCCTGAGGAACTTGCTAATCGATGATTTACACGGAGACGTGGTATTATGGATGGCCTGGGCTTATAAGGCACACTCGTTATCAGTTCTGCGATAGTATTATACTCTATGAATCAGAACAGTCTCCAGAATTGTTGCCGTATCATAATCAAGTGAAAATATGTCCCGAAATAATCTAAACCCCACCAACCTCGGCATAAGATGTTTCTGCGAGGCACCGTGGTTGTAAAGTCGCTTGCGCAATTATGTTTGAGGCCATCTGAGAGAGTCTATGGTCTTAACTCCTTAAATACTCTTCCGTTGTAGTTAATTTACGGTAATTTTACGTATAGTTCATGGTTTGCCATTTTTCAGTGGGTTCCTAGAAATCGGGCAATTCTTTTTTATTTTCTTGAGTCTACAACGCTACACTCAAAACTTAGCTACCTTACAATTTCATTATCCTCACGTGTAATCCAAACAGACCCTCCAAAAAAGAACAACAAGACTTCTAGGGTAATTCTAGAAGGAAATCAAACGATCAAAGAAAATGAGGGGTCGTATTCTACCTACACCACCCCCCGCCTTCGCACAAAGAAAGAAGCGCATCTTGGAACAACTCGCGGTGCCGGATGCTGAGTACGCGGACGCGTCGCCTAAGGGGACGGTGGATGTTGGGATTAGAGGACTGATTGATGTGGTTAATGGGTTGGATGGGTTTGTTACTACGAGTAGTTGCGCGGGGAGGGTTAGTGTGTTTCGTGAGGGGTGTAAGAAGGTGGGTGGCGAGAGTAGTAGTGCTGATGGGGATGGGAATGGGGAGGGGGAGGGAGAGGGAGCTAGGAGTAGGACAACTGCGGGTGTTGGCGGAAAGGGCGGAGGGGGGAATTGGTTGTTCGTTTCCCATGATCCGGTCCCGCTTGAGGGTGTGGACGGGGCGGAGCGGGATTTGGAAGGGTTGCTTGGGTTGAAGGGGGGGGATCGGGAGGAAAGGGGAATAACCAGGGGAGATGCCGTGGGGGATGTCACTGCTATGAGGCTTGTTCACTTTAAGTTTGAGCCGATGGTGAGTTCGCTATCTTGGTTCATCCCGTAATTAAGGCCACGAGGTGCGGGAAGACTAGGCTGACTTGGGACTTATCAGATTCTCCATGTGCTGACGGCTTCGCCTGAACATGCCCAACTACTTCTCCGATGCGGTTTGCAGGCTGGATTCCGAGAGAGCGGTGCTGTCAGCTTGACTGCCGCAGCTGGAGAGCAACATGCGACTCCGATAGTCGCCATTCGATCCATGGGTCTTTCGTTTGAGTCCTTAATCGGGTATCAATCTGGTGACGATGATAGTAGTCTGCAGTGCACCGTGTCACCAACCTACCTGCGGACACTCATTGGTATAGCTAATAAGAGGTTTATCGAGAACGCAAAGAGGATTGCTAGATTCGAAGCAGCTCTCGCAGAGGCAACTGGACCGTCAAATACGAATGGGGAAGAATGGGAAGATGCACAGGTTCGTCGGGAGAGGAAGAGGGCGGAAGGTTTAAAAAGGAGAGAAGAGCTACAGAAACAGAGACAAGATGCTGGGGCCGCTCCGGCTGTAGAGGTTAATACTCTAGATATACCCCTAAATGAAGATCTTACATGAATTACTTGAGCACAATCACGTCCCAAATTGCGAGATAAAAAGGTGATCAATCCTCTTCTATACAGCTCTTCTTTTCCCTGAGCGCTCCCTGTAAAATGCTATGCCGTAACGTGTCGATTATTGGTACAACAGAGTATCTATCAAACAACGATGATGGAACCCTCCTCCCGAAGCGTTTATTTTCCGTCTACTGTGAATTCATCAAGGAAATAGCTCACGAGACAACCTTCTCAACCCACCCCTTCTCTAGGCGTCTTACCTCCTCCTTAAACGCCTCAACCTCACGCCAGCAATCCAACGGGCGACGATCATTCTCTAACAGACATCGTACGACCTCTCCGCGCGCCTTCTCCACGGTCTCAGGTACTGGTTTCAATTGTTTCCGCTTGTCCAAGCGTGCTCGTAGGGCCTCGACTTCTTTTGATACTGTCTGTCGACTTCGTTGTTGCTCCTCGGGACTGTTTTCGGGGAGGGGCTCGGAGGTTAATTTTTCTTGGGCTGCTTTTAGGAGCGCGCTTTCTTGCGCTTCGAGTTTGCGAAGTTCGGAGGTTACTCGCGCTTGTACGGCGAGCTCGAGGGTTTGCGCGCGGGATGCGTCGGTCTGGCAAGATATATGATTAGTATACGGGTATGTCGCTAGGTCTGGTAGGGAGGCAGGAGGTAGTAGCTTACCTCAGTGCTCGATTGGAGGGATTCGACGATATCGTGGGATATGCCTACGGGCGAAGATCTACAAGCATCGTCAGTCGGTTTGCTGCTATGATTAAATATGAGTGCCCAATAATTGAACTTACGCCTTCCAGACATGTGAGGTCTGGCTCGCCTCCGGCTTTGACGAGCTCGAGCCCATGTTGTGTCGGCTTCGTCAATGACTGGGCTGGATTGTTGGTCTTGATTCTCGATCTCTGATGCTATACGAAATAATTCCCGAGCTTCTGACGGATCCCACCGACCGGAAAATGTCTACCGTGCGAATTGGATTGATAGGTGAGTTGTAAAGTTGCCTGACACTGTATCGATTTTTCGGATCGAAGCACCGACTATTTTCACGTGACATGTACATAATTGTATAAACAATTGCATAAATATCACATTGCGTCATTTACCTTATGTACAATTCTATGATTCCCTCTTCCGAAGACGCGTTCCGACACGGAAACCTTCCCATCCCTCTTTCATATTAAACGCTGTGGTATAAATGCATCGTCGTCGAACTTTTATCTTTATCATTATCATCCCAGGATTGAGATATGAATAGAACTACAACTTTTAACATGCGATTTAATGAAACATTCAGATTCAGTTCCTAGGTTTTACCCTGACCTTGAAACCGACTGGCCTCAGATTGAACCATCCATCCTGCTCAAGAATGTATTCTGGATCAACCATCTCAAAATCAACCTCCATTATCAGCTTCGCTAGCGTCGTCATACTCCATTGCCATGCCCAGTGCTTCCCAATGCATTGTCTCTTCCCATTCCCAAACCATTTCTTCACTCCCTGAGGTAAGTTGTCGAACGCCTCTCCCATCATACGCTCAGGCTTGAAGGCAAGAGGCCGGTCAAATACTGTTGGATCCCTGTTCACACCCGCGAGAACGATAATCATTGTTTGGTTATGCGCTACTTGGTATTTTCCGCCAGCCAGTTGTATCGGTGCCTTACTATCACTCGGTCTTGGCTCAATATTGAAGCCGGGCGCCGCGAATGAGAGTCGCAGTGATTCGCGCACGATGCCCTCAATGTACTTGAGCTGCGCTAGGTGCTCGTGTTTGAACTCATCGTCGCCAATTACGGTGTCCAGTTCTTGTCGGGCTCTAGTGACTGCACTCGGGTTCTTGCATAGAAAATAGATGGCGGTACTAAGGAGTGCCGGCGCTGTACTGCTACCAATCGGCATTGAAACAATCTCATCAATCAATTGAGAATCTCTTAGCGCCTCGCCCGTTTCCGGATCCTTAGCGCTCATCATCGCCGCGAGCACGTCCTGGCGGTCCGTTGGATTGGCCTTGCGATGATCCACCATTTCTTGGGCGTACGTTCGCATCGTATTGGTAGCCGATTTGAATTTGCCGCCAAATAGCCAATTGAGGAATCCTGGACGCGTGGGTCGCTTCATAGCTTCCGAGGTCGAGTCCTCCATCCCCTTGATCATTGGGTGTTCGCGCCCGTAGAGACAATTCAATTTTTTGCCGTACATTGTCAGCGTCGTCGCCTCCAAGTTCAATCTGTTCAGCTCGCCAATTGCGGACACTTCGTTTGCGGAGCCTTCCAATCCCTTCCACTTTTTAATAATCTCGGAAGCTGTGTCCCGCATCTCGACGAAGTGTTCCGCGAGCGATTGAGGACTAAGTCTAGGCGCGATGATGCGATGTGCGATACCCCAGCTCGGCTCGTCCTCGAAAGCCGTGAACAACGCGTCGTGGACCGCATACCGGATTTCAACGATCGGACCACCGACGTACTTCCGGAATCGCGCCTCGTCGCATAATTCTTCTGCGATGGCCGCGCCTGCTACGAATACGATAGTCTGTCCGAGGACTTTGATCTGGAATATCTCGCCGTATTTCTCTGACAGCTCCCGCAGCGATTCCCATGTATTATTCGGATTGACATCGAAGACGTTGCCAAGGAGCGGTAGGCCGGGTGGCTTGGGAATTGGGAGAGACATGGTGAGTATCTGTTTCTTTGCGTCAATACTAGAAGGGAGACAGAAGCCCGGATGTAGGTAGGCGAACCATCTAGCGATGGGCCATTAATAATTAAGGGACTGGCAACTACAAGCGTTCAGGTCACACCGCAATGTGCGGGTGCGCCGTTTACGTCACAATGTCTTATGATCGATATTGTCTTGATTCTAGGTACTCCCCTGGACAACTCATCGCGCAGCGGTTAGGTTGAGTAACCGCACACAATGCTATTGCAACTCCGGCATGGTCCAATCTAGCGAGGCTATGACGAGGACACGACTTGCTCCCCTCAGTTTCACGCTTCAAGACACTCAATTGCTTTACGAAGACTAAAGTTGTTTGGACATACATTCAACATGAAGCTCCAATATACGGTTTGGTTTGGTTGTTTTGGTTTGTTTTGGTTTTGGTTTTTTTTTCGCTTCTTTTTTTTCTTCTTTCTTTAATTACGGCGGGTGGGGAATTTATAATATTGAATTTACTTGGGAAAGGTATTTGCGCTGTGGCTTGCGCAACGGTGCCGATCATGAGGGGTTTCTTGCACACTATCGGACAAAGCTGCGACCTATTGGCATTGATAGAAACCAATCGGGAACGAGATATTCTAATACTTGGTGCTCTGCATACACGTACGTTATGGCAGGGCAGCTAGTTACCTACCTAGGTACCTGTGCGTATCAAAGGTAGATGTCTCTGAAAATGGCTTTTGGTGCTTGATATTTCACATCCGAATCCCCAGCACGTATTTAATTCCCCCAGAAAACATTTCACCTCTGAAATCGCTAATATTAACGCCATTTCTCTTGAGGCCTCTCGACTTATTATCCTCCCCCTATTACGGGGCATGACGCCGCAGTACCTACCTAGTTTCCCATCATCCATGGCGCGACCATGTAGTCTCAGGCATACATAGGTACCTAGCGGCTATTCTACGCTACAACCTTATAAAATCGGGTATTATGACCGTATACTTACAGCATCAAGTCCTTAAGGCAGATCAAGCCCAATGATAACGATAATTCCCGACAGCTGCCCATTGGATCTTCATGGTGAAGAGCCGTGAAGACAAATCGGTAAATTAACATGACCTCTCGCTCTAGATCTAGTAAACTATGACCAGCTTGAATGGAAATAGGATTACAGCCTGCTTGAGGAATACGCACATTTACAGGATAACACGTATGACCAATAGTTACTCCTTGAAAAGATGCCTAGTACCTCGATACCTGCCTAAGTACCTACCTACCTACCCGCGTAGGTACCTGAGTATGCCACGGGACCGCTGAAAGAAATGCGTGGCGTCGAGTCTCTAGGCGCCTCAGGCATCTCAGGCACCTAGAAGCCTCGCCATACACCGGTAGTTCCCCTCTATCTTGTTTCATTGCGGGGTTTCCTACTCACTCAAGCCATACAGACAACGCGGCAAGGTTATCTATCATATATTCCCAATATTCTTACCATGAGGCCACACAGGCACCAAGACTGTAGTAATGTCGATATGTCATTGATTGAATTAAGAGATTCAGCAAAGCAAGGCTGCGAATGATGTAGATTGCTTGCCGAAGCTGCAAGCTGCTTTGAAGGACGATGGTCTTGCTCCGGTCAGATTGACGTCAGGGTCTCCGCCTACGTCCCTGCGCATCTGGACCGACATTTGCCTATTGAGGTTTCACTCCATTGGAAATCAGGAGACGACAGTCCACAGAAGTTGGAACTAGTAATTTATGGGGAGGTATGCGATTTCGCCTTGTTGCTATCATGTGAAGAATCTAACCAGTGTCTATTAGGACGAAATGGGTATACTATGGCTCGAGTTCCCATGTAGGCGCACACCGTACGCTTATTCTGATAGTCATAAATGTGTCGAGTTCGTCAAGAGCCAGCTCGAGTTGTGCAATGGCCATGCTGAATGTGGCGATGACGCGGATACGGCTCTCGCGTTCCCGAAAACTAAGGGGTCTGCCCGGAAGCCAAGCCGGCTATTGAAGATCACAGACACTGGAGACGATCTAGGAGTCTTATTGGTGCAAACATCAAACATCGAGTACGAATACACAGCATTAAGCTATTGCTGGGGAGATAAAAAGGCAGCGGAGAACATGCCGAAGACGACTCGACACAATTTCCAAGAACTGACAACGAAAGGTCTTGTTGTCTCTTGTCTTACGAATACCTTCCGGGATGCTATAGATCTGACTTTCAAGCTTGGATGGGAATATATCTGGATTGATGCGTTCTGTATTATTTAAGGAGATCGGGATGACTGGGACAAAGAATGTCAGAAGATGGTTAGTGGATATGGTGAAGCTCAGCTTGTCATCGCAGCAGCGCACGCCAAAAAATGGAAATGAGGGCCTATACAGCCCCAAAAGACCTCATCACCGTGTTGACTTTCGTTTTAGGTCCGAGTCCTCACGAGGCCATATACGGGCCATTGTTGAAGAGGCAAGACAGCATGAGTTATGGAGAAAAGGGGAACAATAGTGGGTAGCTGACAACCTCCCTCTATTCTTGAGGGCTTGGGCGTTCCAGGAAAGGTTTCTCGCTAGGTGCATTATCCATTTCACATCAACTGAGTTAATCTGGGAATACCGGACCCACGTCTATTGTGAATGCGGAGATTTACAAGATGCATCTAAGTATCCAATAGAATTTGGATTAGGGGGGACCTTCAAGACAGAATATCAAAAGATAGCACGCTGGGGTAACGACCTGGAGAGATTAAAATTCTGGCATGATATTGCAGCACAATTCAGCTCGAGGGACATTACACGACCCTTGGACAGGGTGCCAGCATTAGCTTCGATCGCTAGGCAAATGGATATGCCGGGCGAGTTGGGCAGGTATCTCCGCGGACTGTGGGAGGATACTCTGCCACGCGGGCTGTTGTGGTGGTCGGAATACACCGACACAAATCGATTTTATCACCAAGACCCTCAAAAACCGACGCATGTAAGGCCTAAAGGGACCTACATCCCTTCATGGTCATGGCTTTCTGTGGAAGGCCGTGTCAGTACATGGGGACGGGGGCAGCAGTCGTTGGTAACAAACATGGATATCTGCTATAATTTATTGGGCGAAGATCCGTATGGTAACTTTGGGGAAACGACAATTACCCTCACCGCAAAGACTTCATCGATTAAAATCCGCTTCGAATTAGAAAACAGTTCATATCCCGTATATGTGCAACGGGAGGGTTCCGAAAAGAAACACCTATTCCTTCCGGATACACAACCCTTTGAATTTCCAGCGGAAGAACTATCAAAGCTTCATCTGGTTGCGCTGCAGTTCAGCCTTGACGGTATTACGTATGAAGATCCGCGTCGGCCGCGGCTGAGGATCAACGCTTTGATATTAAGACGAGAGGCGGAGGGATCCGCTAGGTGCAAGCGCATCGGCATAGCAGATGTCACTGAGGAGGCTTTCTCGGACCATGATTTTAAATGGGAATCTATTGTCCTAACTTGATTTTCATGGATACCAACAAAAACAGGAAATACTTTAAAGGAAATTGAAGGTGGACAAACAACTCCGAGAAGAATCCCGAACCAACCCTTGCTACCATTCGCACCGCGCGGCCATACTTCAAGCGTCTCATATCTTGCTACGTTGCTCGTTCTAAATCAGATACCCAATTATATACTTAGCTAGAGAATAGACTTGCAATAACGACGACGCATTGATATAATAGCGGGGGTTGCCCCTAATTTCGCGTGTTGAGTTATTTCAAAGAGAAGGAATGATGGAATGTCGTTCTCTCAGGTCTTCGTCCAGCTTTGTACTCTGGGCTACCGTACTTTCGAGCCGTTCTAGAGAGATCTCTCGACAGACTTAGGCTTTCCACAAAGCTAGTGGGAATTAATCGATCTCCGTCACAATTGTGAAAGCAGTGCCATCAAATCTAAAGAGGCAGCTCGTGTTCGAAGCAATTATCTTCGTTAAACTTGGCGAGGTATAGCGAAAGTTGTTATGGTCTACTAGGTACGTGCCGACGTGGGGCGCTCCGAGTAGATCACAAACGTATTGACTTGGAGACTACGGCAACATGCAGGATATAGTATGGATGGAACATGAACGCGCATAGTTCGGGAATACTTGGCATATCATAGAGTAGCTAGCAACAGGTGAGGGAACTCGGGAGTGGTTATTGGTTGAAGAGTCGGATATGGGCGTTGACCACTCTCCACGCTGCTGTTAGTCCTGACAAGTTAATCAGCTATAGTAACCGGGCGATTTTAGACATTGCGATTTATCGCTCAAAACCTAGCAAGATTGGTGTAGACGGCTATCTCGCTGTTCATACATACAATGAATTCTTGCCCTAACACCGCTTAAAACTAACCTTTGGGGAGAAATGATGGTTTAAAAAGCCTGTGGGATGTGTATAGACTATTCGATACAACCTTGATCCATATATCGGCGACTTGACGGCGCTACATACGATATGTTTAACTTAGTGCGGTGCGATTTACCCATAAAATCGCTCACGTTACACGGATCGGGGTTACACTTCTTTGAGAGTGTCTGTTCTATTCGGACTACTACTAACTATTAATCCATTTTTCTTTGAATTGAAGGGTTAAAGAAGAGTGGATCGTTCAATACTGATGTTGCAATATTTATCGCCGATGTTGCCATTAGTATTAATTGTGGTTCTTCTCCCATCCCAGTCTATTAACCATGTTACAGCTCCCCTTTTCAAACACGATCATCAAAATATCACTGGCATAGAATAGCCATGTTTTACGAAAGTCCTGCTCGTAAACATGAAAATAAAAATTTCACGCCACTGAATCATGTAATTCAATTCCTCCATGTGAATGGTCCATTTAGTTTCTGCACCGTTATCTTTGGAAAAATAGAATGTCGTCACACTTAGCATGGATTGCAACAGTACGCGTAAGCTATTAGTACTTCTGCTAGAAAAAGTCCCCCGGAATATATTCATGTATGAGTCCTTATATTAGATTTATGCTTATTGTCTTAAGTAATTCGTAGCAACATCCAATCCATAACTAAGTATTCATCACGATGTAGCTATGTTGAAGTAATTACCTATCGTTCACCTACTTATTATCGCATTTTTGAAAGTGAATATGTTAAATGACGCTAGGAGTTTCTAAACTCCTCACTCTCCGCCAATTATTTGGTCGGGCTTGTCGCGGAATTAACACGGACTATTATTCGGTTACGCGTCCCACAGTTTCAAGATCCTAAACTGATCGAGGAGCAGTTCCTGAATGTGATATGTCTTAGATTATTTACGGTTCCAAATTGCATGTCTTCGTCATCAGATAACCGTCGTAAAATTTCCTACGCCGCGTCATGGTTTGATAAGTGGGGTTTCAAGTCCGTCGTATACTAGACGTTGAAAGTATGGAGATCTTCCACCGAGTCGGCCGGCCGACTGGTTTATTGCGGGAAAGATTGGCTCTGGTCGAGCATTTTCACCCCGGACGATAATAATTATGTCGTGACATTGTGGCTTTGCTGCCATACAACTTGCTTGGATAGAATTTTCGGATCCAAAGTCGGCCGAGAAAATCATGCACATACGCAGCCTTAGCTAAACTGTTTGGTTGAGGTGGATTAACTGTGTAAATTAGATAGTTGAGCTAGATCTATATTGCGATGTACTCGTGGCGCTTTACGTATAGCGGCTGAGTTCTGAGTTAAGGGTGTCTTTCCTAGTGGCAACGTAAGTCAGGGGTAATGTCTCTCGTAGCTATTTGGATGGAAAGGGGCGAGAATGGTAGGAAGCATTGGCTAATATGTACGAGAGGCTCGTGCCCTCGCTGTGTCTTCGACTATTACTATTCAACCTCCTAAACTTGCACGTTCTTTGAGTATCTCTCCTATTAATGGTACTATAGGCTCTTTCTTTCTAATTGTCTACATTGTTGGCCATTAAGTTTTCGTAACAATCTACTAAGATACCCCTGGATTATGAGCATCTATTCTATCCTTTCACTATTATCATAATATACCCAAAGGCAGGAGATATACATCACTAAAATGGCCTACGCTTCGAAATACACCCCAAAACCGGCGACGGATATCTTTACAAGCGACACAGATATTGATCGTCGACAATGTACAAGGACGGTCCCAATGAAAGTTCTCTTACTCGGATGTGGACGAACAGGCACAACATGTAAGTCTATAGAACTCGATCGTCCTACATAAGGTGTTGAAAGACAAATTTCCTAATTATACCTTCTATATTATAGCTATGAGAGCAGCTATGAAACAACTCGGATACGTCGACACATACCATATGATGAGCTGTTCCATCGAAAACCCTCCTGACGCCTTACTATGGATGGACGCACTACGAGCTAAATATGACGGCGTTGGTCAGCCCTTCACCCGCAAGGACTGGGACAAGCTCCTCGGCAACTCCCAAGCTGTGTGCGATTGGCCCGCCTGTGCATTCGCCAAAGAACTCATCGAAGCATACCCTGAAGCCAAAGTTGTACTTACCGGCCGTGACGTTAACTCCTGGCATGCATCCACAATGAAAACAGTATACTGGCGAGTCACAGATCCAGAACTTCGCACACTATCGCACTTTAGCTGGGCCGCGAGCATGTACTACCCGATGCTAAAGAAGTTTTTCGACACCTTTTTCGAGGGCGACTTTCCGAATCGGGGAAAAGAGGTGTTTCTTCGTCACTATGGAGAAGTTAAGAGCATGGTTCCTAAGGATAGACTATTGGAATATAGAGTTACGGATGGCTGGGAACCGTTGTGCGAGTTCTTGGGCGAGTCGGTGCCCAAGGATTGCCCGTTCCCTAATGTCAATGATAATAAAGATTTTGTCACGCGGTCGAGACGGAGGAACAGAAACCAGATGTTTAATGTTGCGGCAAGAGGTTTGGAGTTTATCTTGTTGATTGCTCTGGCTGTGTATCTGATTTTCTATGTCCAGTGGCGCTTGTTTTAATTTGATTTTGGGGGAGTTGGGCGGTTTACTTTACATAGGGGCACTATTTCATCGATGTAGTTTATTTGTATATATAACTTCTAAAATAGTCATACCAATAGGTTAGATTTGGAAAAGATTTCAGTATAATCATAGTGTTGTGTTCCTCTTCCAGATTTCGTGATCTCTACTCCTTAATTTTCAAAGGACTTGACTAAAAAAGGGCCTATTTTCTTCGATCAACACCCAGCATTCATTTAGAAGCAAATCAAAATTGTAAAAAATCTAATATAATATCAAAAACATAGGAAATTAAATTTAGACTAGTTTACATAGTTAATTTGGTGCAGTTGGCACTCGTGAATAGACCGCTGATCGCTTAACCCATGCCATCCACCCCATCCGTAGAAGAGCGCCCAAAATAAAAACACAAGCGACCGCCATCGCGATCTCTGTTATCCAAACTTCGTCGTCGGTAAAATTGAATCCATATGTATATACAATCTGTGAAATATTAGCCGAAATAATTTCCGCATAGAAGTAATGTTGGGATGTCTTACCTGCTCTTTTACTTCTTCTGAATCGACTGGCTCGCTAACACCCAACATGTGCCCTTTGGAATGCACAGCAACTGCCCTCAGGTATCGCGGATATGACTTGCGTAGTTCAAAAGCAGATTCGAAACTTAACCTATCTGTTCGATTGACTTCTTTCCACACATGGTCGGTGGCGTTGGGTCCTGGTGCGCCCTGAAGTATCCACTTAGACACTTCGGTCGCACCATTCCAACTGACGTAAAAATTCCAATGTCGCGAACTATTTCTTCGCAATGCTGATGATGGCTTTGTTAACGGTTGGCCATGCCATTCGTACTTGTATACTCGGTAGGATTGAACTTCTGCGGTTCCGAATCGGCTCTCTGGGCCGAAATGTGTGTCGCAGAGAACATCGCCGTCGCTGGTGAATTCTGTAAATGCTGCAGAGTTTCCGTAGCCGAGAAGGACGTTGCCGTTGGATAAAGATTGAAATGATCCTTGAGAAACTCCATGGATTTTGTGGGGGTTGAAATATTCTGCCACCACCGACACTGTCAGGGCTTTCTCGTCGATCTTGAGTTTTAATCCACGGGTATCCGCAATATCACGATGCACGTCATCAACTCCATTATCGAAGAGGGTAATTGTATCGTTACCAGACCATCGTGCATCATGTTGGTAGGCGAAGTTCGTAGCAGTGCCATTAGAAAGGTCCTTGAACATGTTCCTCTTGCCGCCAAGGATCCATATTACATCACCAGTCTTGCCGTTGATGTATGTCAAACTGTGCATGTATCGGCTTGAAGTGAGGTAATTGCCTCTTTCGTCTTTGGCAATACTGTTCATGTGGAAAAAGTCGTACGCATTGTTGCCCTCGCCTGCATCGCCGATGTCTCTGAAGCCATCGGATAACCTCCAATGGTCCAATGCGCGCCATTGAAAAATCGCTTGTCCGGTTTCGAGGTCGATTTCTTGGATAAGGCAATCCCACACCGGGCCGATGTGGTTTTTTCCAGCCTCAGAAAGGTCTCGTTGGACGATTTCGTAGACAGTGATTAGAGCGGTCCCCGCTTCGGTGATGCGGAAGTCGTGTAGGTCCGCATCGAGGCCGTTAGCTGCCTTGATTTCTTTAAATAAGACATACGATTTGTCCAGCTATTATTTATTAGCATTAAGAGAAAATCGTCAGATGCGATATGCAGCTTACCATGATGATGGTCCCGGCGCCATGTCCGCCGACGGCATCGTTTCCGGCCCAGAAAGTTAGGTACTTTTCGCCCCTGTACTCCTGGACCATGAGGTTATATAGTTGCTGCCCGCGCCAACTCGATGTCCATATTAAATCGCCATTGCCGTCGAGGATAGTCGTTTGCGGTTCACGAGTAGCGCCGCCTCGGGGAGTTAGGAGTGTATATAGAGACGACTCGCATTCTTTGCTTGACTGCAATACATCGAGTTTAGGTACCTCTAATTCAGCTGCAGACTTAAAGACCGATAGGGGATGCGGCCCATAAGCATCGTGCTCATAACCAAAGTCATATGGATTAGGATCAACCTTAGAAGGTAGGCCGTTGGCAATGCCGATGGCGACAAGAATGAAGGCCCATGACCGCCGCATCGTAGTATTGCACGACTTGGCTTCAGTTTGACATTCACACAACCGGGTCTTGAGATGTGCAAGACAACCGAGCACCGAGAAACTGGGGGATATCCCACGTAATGAACATCACTCCAAGATCAATCCACACTCTTTAACTCCTATTACGGTGCATCCATGAATGTTACGCACATTGATACGTAGATTGGTACGATCATACTAGGGCCAGACCCAATCATTTGCCGGGGGCACCATCTTAGAGAATTCCTTAAGCAAATCTCTGGGTAACTCGGTCGTAAAGCCATGTTTCGGAACGACTGCTGACGATTAATGAGCATAGGTTTCAAGAACCGGCGTGGCTGCTAGACGTTAATTGTGAGTGGTGGTCTCCACCGTGCTATCGTGCAGAGCATTACGTTGACACGCGGCCTGGGGCAAGATCTTTTCCAAACTAGGCGCCGGCTCCACGCCTACCATTTTCTGCGCCACCCATCCCAGTTACACAAATTGTGCTTCATAGTTTCGCGCGTCGTTATTTACGACTGGTGGAGGACTGCGGCTTTGCTTTTTATGGAGTATTGCGTTCATACGTAGCCCTGAGGCCGCTGCCGCGTGGTCGGCGATAATGTGCGAGTAAGTGGTTTAAGCGACCGGCGGAGTTATTGGATGTCCATCCTCCTTATTCCCTTTTAATTCTCTATATGCTTAATATTTCTTGATTTTAGGCAAGATATCCTTAATGGTTGAGAAATGATCTAATTTTTCTGTGTGTATTCTTTTCGTGTTACTATTTCGAGTCCTTCATTTTTATCTCTATTATTTACTCGACTTTGAATTATTTCCTTGTCTAGTCTCCTAGTCTTAATGTAACGATGGACCAGCGCTCGGCCCAGACGCGACATGCTAGAACGACTTCGGTCAACTTGATACACGCCGAGAAGAGACATACCGATAGCCTACAGGCCCCAGAGGAGTTCGACTTTGAAGATACTGAGAGCGACGCTTCGTCTATTAAGCCCAAGAATGAGCCCCTGAACCCGACATGGATGTCGTTACCTCGGAAAGACCAGCTAGCAATTCTTTTCCTATGTCGTTTAGTTGACTTTTTACAAGTCGCTTCTTTACAAGCTTATGTCTTCTTTCAATTGAAGAGCCTCGACGATTCTTTATCGGATTCGCAGGTTTCAAGCCAAGCTGGCATATTACAAGGCGCTTTTACTGGCGCACAGGTATTAACGGCATTTCTCTGGGGTAAAGCGGCGGATGCGAGTTGGTGCGGTCGCAAAAATGTACTTCTTATTGGACTATTCGGAACAGCTATATCATGCATTGGTTATGGCTTCGCGACTAGCTTCGCTTGGGCTGTATTCTGGCGCGCTGCCGGTGGTGGTATCAATGGTACTGTTGGGATAATGTGAGTTAGACACCCCTTGATGCACCGAGCTGCGACTCGTCGATTGCCGTAACTATAACTGACGTCGTATAGACGGACCATGATAGCAGAGATCACAGTAGAAAGGAAATACCAATCGAGAGCTTTCTTAATACTTCCTATTAGTTTTAGCGTCGCGAATACTCTAGGACCTTGTGAGCGATCATCTAGGAGACACAATGCATCATCATGACTAATATCCACTTAGTAATGGGAGGTCTGCTAGCAGATCCCGCGACAACGCTTCCGGGGTTCTTCGGTGAAGGCGCGGTTTGGGGGTTCAATTGGATTGCAGAATACCCCTATGCCCTCCCGAGCGTTCTCAACGCTGTTACCTTGACTATCACGACGCTCATTGTGTTCTTTGCGCTCGAAGAGGTAAGCAATGTCCACGCTGCGTCTTACCCTGAATGATAGCTAACATGGTTGTAGACGTCGAAAAAGAGGAAAGGGAAGGAGGATATCGGGTTGCTCATCGGAGCCAAGCTAAAGAGCCTCTTATTCAAGAAGTATATTGCGCAAGACGAGTATTTCAGGCTCCAGACCCAACTTTCACCGGGCGTCCTGGCAGAGGGCAGGGAAAGCGATGACGAACCACCCTTCCAACCACCAAAGAAGAGTAGTCAGACACTGCCATTCAGACGGGTATGGACGCGCAATGTTATCTTCACCTTGATCACCGAAGCATTCTACGACTTCCAGCTTGGCGCCTTCACCAACTTATGGACGCTTTTCTTATCCACACCAAGGTCGTCGCCGGAAGAAACTGCATCGCGCTCGCTACCGTGGAACTTCATGGGTGGGTTGGGTATGCCTGCAGCGACGGTCGGCGTTGCGACGTCCATCTTGGGGATCCTAGGCATGGGGCTTCAGATCTTCCTGTATCCGCCTGTGCATGCACGCCTCGGCACTCTGCGTGGTTTCCAATGGTTTCTACCACTTTTTCCTATAGCATACTTCCTCACGCCGTATCTAGCGGTTCTACCTTCGTCGTCTGCACCGCCGGAGCCTGCGTCCGGACCCGTGATATGGATCTACATGGCCTTGATCCAGGTCCTACAGGTCACGGCGCGCACTATTACGTTGCCGGCTAGTATCATTCTGCTGAATAATTGTAGCCCGCATCCGAGTGTACTGGGACTTGTCCATGGCTTGGGACAAAGTGTCTCGGCCGGCTTCAGGACAGTTGGCCCGGTTGTTGGTGGATGGTGGTATGGTGTGGGATTGGAAATAGGGGTAGTTGGTGCTAGTTGGTGGGCCGTCGCTGCTGTTTCAGCGCTCGGATGCGTGTCGGCTATGCTCGTATACGAAGGGAGCGGTCATGAGATTTTCCTCGAGGGCGAAGAGGAGGACGAGAAACTCTTGGGATAGGGGCGCTTGCAATTAATGGGTAACTTTGGGACTTGGCTTGGTTTGGGAACTGGTGTAAAATACCCATTAGAATATAGAACTCATATGGAATATGAAGAACATATCATTCCGTCCACTCACTCAAGTCTTTGACGTTCCAAGATAGCTCGTGATGATATCACCTCGGTTCGCACGTTCAGCCCCACGCACTGCTTCTGGACCAATTCTCCCCATGGGCTAGGATACGTGATCGATGGCGATATATATTGACTGCCCGATTAAAGCAGACTCTGGCATCGGATTGGAGCGCGTGTAGCGAATACCAGGTTCTCCGCATGTCCCCATCGTGGATGCCGAATTGAGTGGGTGGAGTTAGCGACGCCGTCATCCAAACCAGATTTACCGTAACATCGCCATCGGTGCTGTCTACGCGCTTTCTCCAATTTCTCCGTCCACCGGAAAATAGATCGCGACAACAAAACAGACCTCGTACACGTACTCGTATGCTTGACGACTTGTATTTATTGATCTCAATGGACGTGCTGAAGAGGAAGACTTTGATTACCAGTCACATAAGATAACAGGCTAAAACGAAATGCACGCATTGACCCTTCTCGTAACAGCGCTGGCCAGCGTTATAGGCGCAAGTCCCACGCCACGACAGTCTTCGAGTTATGTCGGCTACCTTATCTCCACTTTCTCAGACGCCACTCCGCAAGTCCAGTTTCACTTGTCGAAGGGAAATAGCGCCACGAGCTTCAGTTTCTTGAATAAAGGCAAGCCGGTCTTGGCATCGACTGTTGGCACTAAGGGTGTGAGGGACATATTCCTCGCTACAAACTCTGCCCGGTCTGAATATTACTTATTAGCCACTGGTAAGTACTATGTCGTTCAATCTCTGCAAGTGCTTCATTGTAGCTAATTTGCACCTAGACCTCGACATCAATGTGTCGGGATTCTCGTGGGATAAGGCGACAAGGCAAGGAAGCCATTCTCTTGTGATTTGGAAGTCGACAGACTTAGTCAATTGGTCCGGACCTTCATTGAGAACGTACGTGACCCCCATTTTCGTAGTTTTACCAATTTTCCAATACTAATTTATTTCGCAGCGTGGAAGATGCCACAGCGGGGATGGCGTGGGCGCCATCAGCTGTATGGGATGACGCCACCTCGCAATACTATCTCTTTTGGTCGTCGCGCCTTTATGCCGCTTCCGACACGAAGCACACGGGAACGGCAACTCTCGACCGCATCCGATACGCCACCACTAAAGACTTTGCCACCTTCAGTGAGCCCAAAGACTATTGGGCGCCCACGGGTACGGGACTAATCGATCAGGAATTCCAGTACTTGGGGTCGAAAGGTGCATACGCCCGCTTTGCTAAGAACGAGTCAACCAGTCAGATCTATCAGGAGATTACCTCAGATGGGCTATTTGGCACCTGGACTCGCGTGGGTTTGGTCACGTCGGATACTCCGCGAGAAGGTCCTGCATCGTTCGCCGATAATGTGACGCCTGGACTCTACCATCTCCTTCTCGATGATTACACGCAATATGTGCCCTACCAGACAACGGATATTCGTACATTAGCTTGGAAAAAGTCCAGCACGTCAGGGTTCCCCACTGGTCTGAAGCATGGCAGTGTTACCCCAGTCACCCAGAAAGAATATGATGCCCTGGCTGCGGCGTACCCAGCTTAGCCTAGCGTAGAAAAAAGGTACAAACAAGAAAAAAAAAACTCCGACATGAATTCGGTGCGTCGCATATGCCGTCTTTTTAGTTCTGACGTGAGCTCAGTGCGGACCACATACTGTACTGAGCAACTGGATCTGTGTACTCCTGTATGTATGTCAGAAATTAAATTACGACATGTCGACTTTTTCAAGCCACTATTATTAGTAGTCTTGGAAACCGTGCGCTCGATATACCGTGCCATACACTAGAGCTACGAAGGCGAATAAGTGGAGTCTTTTCAACCCAGCGGTAGAAGGCTAGGAGATTGCAGCTAGGACATTATATGCACCTAGCGTATAGCAGTGAGATGTCTACAGAATGAATAATCGCCCATTTTTACGAGTGGTATGATCAAAGTGTCTGCCCTGCCGCCTGGCTGAGAATGAGGGCAAGGGTACATCCACAAGTACATCTTGTGTAGTACATGTAACGATGCACAAGTTAGAATAAATAAGGGCAAAATACTTAAGTACTTCTAGTAATCTTACTTCCAGCCACATTCATGAAATCCGGGGTAGGTGGCTGAGCAGCATGACTATATCGGAGATAACCATTTCCATTTCTGTATTGTCATCTCGAATAGGGGCAATAGGGATAGTTCATATGTTAGTATTACCAAACTTTGAAGATAAGGCAAGTTTGTTCTATAGAAAACTAGTGTCGTACATATTACAAACGTACATGTTGCGATATACGGGCTATTGGTTAGGGGCGACGATACTTATGTGGGTATAGCTACATAAGTACATGGCAAATATTCATAGGTTCATTAGAAACCATCGATAATCTAGTATTAAGAAAAACCCGCATCACAAAATGTATTATGCCTTTAATGCTACTATAGGAGGCCTCGGGTTAGGACACAATGAAATCGAGATTATGGGTGTATATATGGATCTTCGTCACGATTTCGAGTAAATTCCTCGCGCAGCTATGTGTTAATCACCCCTCTATATGGCCAGCTCATTCAAAAAGAGCTGCAAAGGCCTGGCATGACTTAGGCATCAATATCGCCCTTAGCAGCCTCGTATCCCACAAAAGGGTTACAGGAACAATCTAAGGTGGGCATCAGAATAGATATGGACTTCTCAAAAGGAGATACTATCTTAAAGTCACGGTAACGAATAATCGTTGTGGGAATACGCCCATTACGATTGTGTGACCAAATAACACGACGCCAACACAACCTCGAATCCAACTCGGATCCTTAATATTTATACCTTAGAGCCTAATAAGTTACATGTTTGGTAGTAACATGGTTTTTAAATCAGAAGAGGAGGCGTGCCTTTAGAACTACAGTCTAAAGCTACCTTAATTTCAGGTATAGAAATAAACATTCGCCATAAGATAAAATATAACATATAGATCCTCACATAAGTACAAATGGAAATTCCATGCGAATTAAATTATCTTAACCCTAAAGATGTCTATTGAGGGAGTCCTTTATACTAAAAAGTTCAAAGTGATAGCAAAGCTCTTAAACAATAAAATGGCTTTACGTTGGTTATGAAGTCGTGTCTACAGTATCAATAACCTAGGACCGGTTTGTCTTGAAGTAGTTATGGGGTTAACAATTATCCATGAATTTGGTAAAACTTGTACTTCGCATGCAAAATGTAAGATTGACATTTCCACTGGTGCGCAGTCCTGTTCCAACTGGTGATGATCTTTTGATAGACTTATTACTATAGTTATGTAACCCTACCATTATATACCAGGTATCTAGAAAACCCGTTCTAGCTCCAAATCGCATCAAAATATACTCAACAGACAAAGCGTAACAAATCAAGTCTACATAATCCCATTCTCGGGATGTGTGCTACTATAAAACTTTCCCGAAACGTGCGCCGGGCTTTCGGACATTTCGGACTACCATACTACTATTCTCGGGCATTCGGAGCGGTCCTCTACCCCGAATAGCGGTACGGACATGAAGGTGCGCAATGGTATATTAGCCAAGCCCCGTCGCGGGTTTCTACAATGGAGAAAAAGAGGGCTTTCTGAAGCAAATATTGTATGAAATTTGCGTCGGACATATCGTAAAAACGTCAAATGGGGTATATTTCTTTGATTTGATTTGTCCATCCTTATGTAATACACGTTCGCCGCGGGACTCCGTCTATTCGCCCAGGAAGTAAGAAAGAGGCACAGATATTCTTACCCCGCGACCCTCAACCATCAGAAATTGTATATAAATCCAAGCCGTCGAGTAACTTACGTTTGTTTGTAGCTCAGATAGTATTGCATCTCATTTCGAACCGTCCTTGCATCAATTAAATCTTCATTGGCTTGGAATTATTAGCCTTAACTCCTGTTCTATCGACTTGCACAAATTGTCTCACTTGACTTGACCCCCACCTAAGTCATGGCGTCCTTAAACGACCTGCACACCACATTGGAGACTACGCTCAAAGCGTTCTTCAACGATTACACTGTGGCGCTCCGTGAAAAAGATGTCACTAGGATCTCTGCATCCCTCACCCCCGACTGCAAAAGGCTTTTAAAGCCTGCTTACTTCCCTGTCGCCTACCCCTTTGTGAAGGCTGAGGAATCCAACGCTGAATACGAGGCACGTATGAAAGGAGAATTGTCCATCATGGAATCGACAAGTGCGGAAATCCACGAAATTACTATCGACCCTATTAAGCGCAAGGGCAGTGCTTACGTTACGCACATCAATAAGCTTCGTGGCAAGGATACAGGGAATATTGACATCTGCTGGTACTTCGACTTCTCTGATGATGGGAAGAAAATCTCCCGCATTGTCGAATTCATCGACACGGCCGTTTCCGAAAAGATGATCGAGGATATGAGAAAGCAAGGAGTCTTTCCTAGTGCTTAAGGGCTTAAGGGATGGTGACGCTTCCTAGGATGCTAATTGATGTTTTGCTAGGATATTCAGGAGGGGAACTTGCATGATGGCTTCAGCCAGCTTACGTGTTATCCCCTATCACTCCCTTTAATACAACATGATCATCTACCACTTTGTATCCATGTCTTGATGCTTTTCGTTGAGATTGGTCGTAGAAAATGTCATTTTTTATCCTTTATCTCACCATAGTATAGGGGGGCTAGTACATGTGACGATCAACTTGGCACATACCAATTTAGGAATAATAGGAATTGCCTCCTAGCCGATTTATCATGCATTCAATTTTGGTTTATTATAATTATGAATTTTCATAAAATGCATTCATCAAAGCAGATCAAGTCGAAAATTTGAATAAACAACAGTTTTAAATTTTATGAATATGTAGATGCAGATAAGTATAATTTACATGGATATCAAATGTGTGAGCCAAGCAACTCCCGTCCCAAGGTAACCGATACAGTCTAATTTTCGCTCGCGCTGAAAAAATGCTAGTACATGAAAAAGAAACCGTTTACCCATTACGAGAGGTCCAAACTCGTATTAATTCATTAACAGTTAATGCCTTCGGGGGCAGAAGTCGGGATGGTGTAGGGGTTGGTGAAGAAGTTCTCCGGGTCCCAGCGTTTCTTGATGCCGATGAGCTTGCAGACGTTGTCACCGTAGTAAGAAGTCAAGTGGTTGGTTGAGATACCCTTGTCCATGTATCCAGAGTAAGAGGCTTGGCTATAAGAAATGGTTAGTGTTTGCTACTAGATTAGGATGGTGTTGTAAGCTTACCCAACAGCTGGTCGCAGGAACGACTCGAGGTTGTCGAACCAGTTCTCATAGGTCTTCTGAGTGGTGGGGTCTTCCGATCCGTGGACCTGGAATTCAAGGTGGGCGTAGGCCTGAGACTTCCAGGCGAAGGCAGAGGTGGTAGAAGCGTCGGAGATGTTCCAGGCGTGCCACTCACCCCAAACCTGGGAGGCGTCATCTAATTGGCGGATCTGGTCGATAACCTCTTGGAGGACAGAGTCTTCGAGGGGCTTAGACTTCTGAAGGAAGAAAGACTTGGACATGCGGCGGAATCGGGGCCAGGGAGAAGCGGCAGGCAAGTCGGTTCTCTTGGTAGTCTCATCGAAGGAGAATTGAGGGTAGTTGCCAACCTGAGCGAAGGATTGTTGGACAGTGTTGAGGTTGGAAACGAGGGGTTCGACCTGAGCATCCGCAATGCACTCGTTGATACCGTAACCCCACAGACGCGAGTTGTCAGTGTTGCAGTTACCGGCGATAGAGACCTGGGGCTTGCCGATCTTGAGGAGACCAGAGTCGTCAATGAGGCGCTGGAGCTCTTCCTTGGAACCACCTAGGTACCAGCCGACGAATTCAACACGGTTCTTATAAACGTTGATCTGCGAACCCAACTCCTTGGGAGCGGCGGGGCCCCACTCGAAGAAGCGCTTGGCAACAGGGAATTGCGACTCAGTGTCGGTCCAGTTCAACAAGACCATAGCAGATCGGGGGAAGGTGACAAGCTTAAGGGTCCATTCGACAACGATACCGTAGGTCGATCCACCGCCACCTCGGAGAGCGAACCATAGGTCGGGGTGCTCGTTCTCAGAAACGGTTAGGAGTCTTCCATCAGCAGTGACCACTTTGGCACCGACGACGTTGTCAACACCCAAGCCGAGGGATCGCATTTGCATTGTGAAACCACCGGAACCAAGAAGACCAGAAAGACCGACAGTGGGGCAGATACCACCAGCGTAGGTCTTGTTGTATTCGCCAAGACCAGCGTAGAGGGCACCTTGGCGAATACCAGCACCGACGGTAGCGGTTTGAAGGTCTTGCGCAACGTTGATGTAGTCGATGTGGGTAAGGTCGATGGTGAGAGAGTTGTTCAAGGCGGAGTAGCTTAGGAAGCTGTAACCCAATTAGTATTGACATATGTCCAAAACAGGCAAGCTACATACTGGTGACCACCGTTTCGGGGGATGGCCTTGTATCCATTCCTCTTGGCGCAGGTTATCAATGCAGGTACTTCCCAAGCGGTCTCAGCGTAGGCGATGAGAGCGGGGAACTGTTCGAATCTGGTAGGATGTTATTAGAGGCTGTTTATCTCGGAACCAAACCAAGGCAACTCACTGAATCGGCTCGCCAAGACGGGCATCGGTGTAGGTGGCATCGTTGGCATCTACAACTCGCTGGCTTGCGTTGTTACCGAAGACGGCTTGAACGCAGGCCTTCAAGTTGGAGATAGGAGCGGTAGTTCCATTGCCGTATGGGTATCGGTTACCCGTGGGTGTGGCTAGCACAGCTTGCCCGAGAAGGGCGAGCGCACAAAGGGAAAAAAACATCTTGGCTGACGACGACCAATCTGAAGCAGCCACACAAGGAAAAAAAAAAAACTGTTGAGAAATCTATAAAATATATAATATTTATGCGAATAGAAGAAGGAAAGAAAGGAAAATAGGAAAAGAGCTTGATGGATGTAGATCTTAGCTTGAAACGAAGAGACTAATGATGGCAGTGTCCTAGATATATACAAATCGAATTGCTTCGTCTTAATAAGCCTATTACTATGTATGCCATACTATCTTCACCATCCCCGCCGATTTTGACTGGAGCAAATCTAAAATAAGGCATTGTATGGTTCGATGGTAAGGGTTCGTCTTACCCGGAGCTGAGAAGCGAGGCTTGTTAGACCAGGTGGAGCTGACAGAACGGCTGGTAGCGGTATACCAGTACAGTGGCCATCGTTCGTTCGCGTGGGCTCACGTGGGCTGTGTTGTCCAGTAGGATTTAATTTGTTCCTGTCTGTGCCTGGCCCCGAGAAGCTGTGTCTGGTTGACCCGTTACACGACGGAGATCTAATCAATACATCGAATGGAATATCTCTAAATAGGTAAGCACTAAACCAATTTGGATAAGTCCAATAGTATGTTCAGGACTTCGGGATTGAAACATGTAGTAAGACTTTAGAGCATATTACCTCATACGGCTTAGACAGTTTGTAATTAAGTCAGCTTTTAGATAAGATCTATAGTATAGGACTAATTATTCATTAAATAAGCCCTGCTGTCCTATATTATCATCTGCAATACCCTTGCCAAGACATCAACACCGAGTAGAAAAAAGAGGGACGATACTTACCGATTAGGTCGAGACTTTCCGAATTGGGTATCGGCGCATACCATTTTTATCCTGTTGGCCTTGTGCTGCGAGATTGTTTCAAGATCTCGGAAAGGATATTAGTTCTTGCCGGGTAGCCGGAGGTTGGCGGCGCCATATTGGATGAGTTCTCTAAAATTATACTACGTAGTAAGGCGAAAACGATGTTTCTTGATGACTGATCATTCGACATTAGTGGGATCTCAATCCAGATGGTTCGATGTCGTACAAGTCAACGGACTTAGGCATGTAGTTATGGAAAAGGAAATTGACATGACAATTCATACTATGGAGTTAATAGAAAGCGGAGTTTTATTCAAACTACATGCAGGTCGTACAAATGACGTATTGTATACCTGTTGGCGGATTCGTGCATACCGTGCACCATCCGATGGCGCACCATTGAAACACTCAGGTACATTTACGTATGCCAAGACATAGAATTTAAACCCCCACATCACGATAGTAAATGGTGTTGATGATGTAGATACCTAAATGTGCAAAATGAGTGGGATCAAGACATAGAACACAATCGACACTCTTCATGGATAGAAATCGAAATATTCAATGATAGTCCTTCTTTGTCATTCATCATGATAACTTATGCAGCCTCATTTCTATAAGTACACGGTAATTATACACCTTCCATATTTCCGTATTGTACATCCTAGCCCGGGTATAAAAATCAAAAAATCAAAATTATTAAAATCAAAACACCTTAGATTTAGGCGCAGCCCAAATCCTAGAAACCAAGAATAATGCCGATCCAATACTCAACGTCACACCGGCGAAGATGATGAGATATTGGTAGTTGCCGTTGTCGGTCGCTAATAGGGCTCCTCCTATCGGTCCACCGATCAAAACACTAAATTTATGCAATTAGATTCTGTTCATAATATTGGAAACTTATGAAAGTGATGACTTACCCAACCGAGCACACCGCCATTGTTACACCAATCTTTATACCGACTGTACTCATGTCGGAAGTGAGCTTCGCGACAGCGCCGGATTGTAAAGAAATCAGACCACCCGAGAAGAAACCGTAAAGAGCTGAAAATACAATGATCGTGTTCTGCGTTGTCATGGCCATAAGGGCGAGAACCATGACACTGGAAAGCGTGGCAACAATCGTCGTAATGTTGAAACTATTAAACAGTGTTAGCTAGTCGTATCATAGCATTCAAGAAGGGGTCCTTGACTTACACTCCTATCCTGTCCGACATAAAACCAGAACCGATACGTCCGAGGAAAGATCCACCGTTAAGAATGGCGAGAAGGTAGTTCGACATCGTAGGGTCGATACCATGAGCCATACCGTAACCGGGAAGGTAGTAAAAGGGAATGAACATTCCTAAGAAAGCGAATAGGAAACCTACTGTCATGATGAGGTAAGTGGCGTTAGAGAGTTCCTTCTTGAGACTGGCATTGTTAATAGGTCCGTGGCCGCCGCCAGTGGATTTTCGTTCAACAATTAGTGCTGTAGAGACTGATAAAAGACCTAGGCAAATGAAACCACAAATTCGGCAAGTCCACCCAAAGCCGACAATCTTGAAGAGACGCTCAATTAGAATGGGCCAGCAGATACCGCCGATAGAGGAACCGGACACGACGATTCCTAGAGCGAGACCTCGCTTTGTGCTAAACCATTGGTTAATCGAAGAGATTGTCGGGTAAAACAGCATAGCATCAGCAATGCCATATAATATGCCCTGCGCTAGTAAGATCTGGTAAAACTTGGTCCCTAGACTGATGAACATAAAGGAAAGAACGTAAAGTATGGATCCGGGAATTGTTAGTTTTCTGGCTCCGTATTTGTCGAAAGCCGGTCCGATCACCATTCCTCCGATAAACAGTAAGAAAAGCTATCGAATGTTTAGCCTTCGTCCTGTATAGTATAGGGGCCATCATAATGTACCTGAACTGAACCTATCCATGAGATAGCGCTGGCGCTGCTTCCCGCTAGATAGCCTTCTTGGTAAAATGTCTGGAAAGTACCGAAAGAGTTAAGTAAACCTATAAGACAAACTTGTGTTAGTGTATCATCATAATTAACTATCGGTAGGTGAGGTTGCATACCGAACGTGGCACAGTAATTTATGAATCCACCCGCTACCACCAACCAAGCTCTCATCCCACCATCTGGGACAACATCGGGAGGAGCAATAAGCCCTTTCTCTGGTTCATCGGATCCCTTGTTAAAAATTTCGGGTGCATCTAAAGGTATTACGTCTAGAGTTTCTGAAGAAGATGATGTCAGGTACCAGGCGTCCGACCTGATTTGCGGACTTTCGTGCTCGTGAGGTGCCTCGAGAAGTAAGTCAAGAAGAGTTCCACGGCTGAGGCTGGACCGCTTGAGAGCCTCGATATGCTCTCGCAGCCTCGGGTCGATCATCTCGTTGTGAATGTAAGGCATGATTCTGAATTTAGAAGAAAAAAATAGAAAAAAAAGAAAGAAATAGATAGATAGATAGAAAGATAGAGAGACAGAGAGACACAGAAAGGAGATAGAAGGAAAAAAGGAAACAAGGAAATTACAGAACCTGGCTGTTTGTCGTTTGGTTTGAGAGATGAATCTATGGTGAAGAAAACATTCACTACGAGATTGGGCAGGGCCTCATGTATTTCTAGCTTAATTCGCAGCTGATTCACCGTATTGTTGCTATCTAAAAAGTCATTTGTCCTACTAAGCGTACTCTGAGTACTCAACAAGAGTCCATTCCCGACGGGGGAACAATTGGACCATTACGCCAATTACGCCATCAACGTTGCGTTGGGGCCGAGTTCTCCGGGCCGAGCGGGTCGCTAAGGCCGAGGCTCTGTCCTACGCTTATAATGATTGATGGCTGAATGGTTGAGCCACGTGCAGACCCCCCCTGTCCGACCTTCGTAGAATTTCCCTAGAATTTTACCCAATTTGAACCCCTGCTAATACCCTGTAAATGCCCCGTTAAGGCCCCGCTAATTCTCCCGTTCACACTCGGAGAAGCTGGACCTATTAAACTTAAAATAGTCTTACTTAGTCTTCAACGTTTTGAAACAATACTCAGCCCTAAGATCTTTAAAGCCAAAAATAGAATAGGATCGTTATCTTAACTTCCGTCTCCGCCTCGCAGAAGGTCATCATCATACGTTGATTAGTTGACAAGTTGACTTTAATGTAATTGTCAGCGCGGAGCACGCCGTTCTGTGAAGGCTTTTTAATGACAGGGCTTCCGTTGACTTGACACTAGAAATCAACAATCTCAATCAACTTAACTCATCAACACTTAAAAATACATTTCTTTTTTCTTTGTATTTATTTCCTTCCTATTTAGTGAACTGGTACTGGGTCACCTGAAAAGTTCAAATTTGCTTTAACTTTTGGCGCGTTCCAAGATGTCTATCACAGTCATCGTCGCGCTTGTCGCGTTAGTTGCCTTTGTGGCTCTAAAGCTCAGAGGAAACACGAAGATTACCTCCTTCAAAGAGCAAGGAGGTGTCCCATTCTTTGCAGCTGCTCTTGCCTATGCTCAAAATCCTGTCGCTACCATTCGCCGAGCCACCAGCCAAGCCGGAAACATTTTTTCCATACAACTATTTACTGTATACAATGTGTGGTTGCGTGGCAATGATCTGAACAAGGTCTACCTCGAGACCAGGGAGGACACATGGTCGTTCGGAGGTGGAATGGTAAGTGACTGAGCCCCATCAGATCGTAGAATTACGTCTTCTAATTCGTGTTCAGGGTATCTTCCTCAACAGAATCTTGGACGGTGGATACTGGCCTCACTTGAGAACCCTGGCCGGTTCTCTCGCTCATTGGCTCAACCGTTCCGCGACTCTCGACTACGTCACCAAGGTGTCCAATGAGGAAGCTGAGAAGTCCTTCAGCAATTGGTCAACCAAGAGTGACGTGGAACTGTTTGAGAGCGTGTCTGGTTTGGTCCACCAAGTCATTGTCCGATGCCTCATGGGTCAGGACTTCTATGACAAGTCATGCTCCGAGCTTCTAGACCTTCTACACGCTATGGAGGCTGACATTGGAAGTCTGTACAACATGTTCCTCCCCGCTTGGGTTTCCCACCCCCCTGCGAAGCGATTGGACGCCGCCAGAGAACGTGTGCGGGAGATCTTCAACCAGCGTCTGCAGGAGAGAAGTATGGACCCCGAAACCTGGTCTAAGTCATCGGACTACATCAACTACACGTTGTCGGACAAGACTATGCTTCCTCTCAAGGATCTCCTTCCTTCCCACCATACTCTCCTCATGTTCGCTGCCCACACCAGTACCGTTGCCAACATTGCTTGGGCCATCATTGAGGTACGTAATTGCTAGCGTCGTTCGCCAATTGAAACAAGATTATACTAACAATAGAATAGATCCTCAGACACCCCGATATTCTTGCTGAGCTCCAGAAGACTCTGCGTGAGAGCCCCGAGGAAGCCGATTCGCTCCTGCTACAAGCTTGCATCAAGGAGACAAGCCGTTTCTACGCTGGAATGAGCACTCTTCGTATCGCGCGCAAGGACCACACAATTCCCACCACGTCGATTAACGTTCCCGCTGGTGCTCTTGTTTCTATTTCGCCTTACCTCACCCACCACGACCCCGCTAACTTCTCCAACCCTGACCAATGGACTCCCGACCGCTGGATCAGCCAGGAGGGCGGAATTGTGCAGCTAGACCAGAAGCAAGGATTGAAGTACATTCCATTCGGAGCTGGTAGCCACCGATGTGTTGGGGAGAAAATGGCGGCTATCGTGGCTTCGCGTGCACTGTCTACTCTGATCCGCAACTACAACGTTGAGTGGGCGAATGGTGAGCCCCGCAGCGAAGTCACTGACTTCGACTTCGGAAAGCTTGGTACTCCTTGGCTCAAGGGCGACACTCGGGTCAAGGTGACTAAGAGAGTCTAAGATTAGAAGATCATGTTTACGTAGCAAATTTGGGTCGTGTGGGTCTAAAAGGGTGGTATTGTTCTGGAAGCACGGCGTATTAGATTCTATACTAGGTTAGCAGGTACTTTAGGTTCATTAGGCTTTTTTAGTGTAAAATCATGGGTTAGAGAAATTTAAGCTTACTTTCAAGGTTACTTCCAGGTTGGCAAGGTTCATGTAAAAATAGCACTATTATGTAATTGACCCATTGTAATCGCCGATCCGGCGCGGATCCGAGTAAAAATCATCGGGTGCTCCGAATAGTGGGTCACCTTTGCTAGTACAAACCCGAAGTTGCCTAATTAGGAAAGATCATCGGACGAGAGTTGAGCCGATCTCGACTACACCTGTGTAACTGTAGGACATTTCCTATAGCAAATAGGCATCATGTGAATTTTCAGCTCCGAAGCAAATTAAAATCCGAAAGATGAGCTCATTTAACTTTTCAAGTCAAAGGTAAGACTTTGGTCCTAGATGGAGCAATATCTCGCCGGTTTTTACAATTATTAACAACTACGATGCCGACTATGTAAGGGAATTATCACGAGGTACCCAGTTGGTTAAGGACTTTTAAGTCCTTCGGTGTTTTCCGATACGTAGAATAGATCTGGCTCGGCGAAGGATGTAGGTTTGAAGCACTAAATTTCAGTCAAGTAAACAAACGGCAGAATTCGTTGAGAACATGTATTTTTTTGTATGAAATTTCTATGTGTAAAAATGTATTCTAGCTAATCCCGACCGTCACACAAATTAAAGCGTAATGCCCGACGGGGCGAACTTTCGTGTAGTCAGTGCTAGTACATGCGGTCGCCCTCTATCTACTCTATCCTAGGTCTAGCCACTCCTTAGGACCAGCCTCCTCATAAGCTAGGCTTCCAACAAGCACAAACACATCAAGTGTAAAAAAAGTAAAGTAATTCAATGAGTGAAAGATAATGGTGGAATTCCATTCGTGATATCATAATTTTGTATGGCTACCAGTCTGAGCCTAATCCCCCAACGCCAGTTCGCCGCTGTATTTGCCGCTTGTTATAGTAGTAATAGTAGTAAGTAGGTGGTAAAACAAGAAGGGTAAGTAAGTTGTAAGTAAATTCGTAAGTTGGTAAGTAGGTAAGCAGGTTTTCAGGTAATCAGGTAGGTAAGTAGGTAAGTAACGTTAGAGAGAAACCTAAAATTTATCGGACGTGGTGAAGGGCACGGTGGAGTATCTTGCTCAACTCGCCGACGTGTTGAACTCCAAAGGCACCGTCGTGGTCGCCGCTAAATGGGACTGTCTCGAATTCCCGGAACTTGCTGGTGTCCCATTTCATGGTCTTGTCACGCATCACCTTGCGGATTTGGTGTGCCCTGTGCTTGTGTAAGGAGCTATCGTTCTTGTGGTCAGCTGCGCACTTGACGAGTACAACGTGCGTGTCGCAGTAAGTTGAAGAAAATTCGCCGGGGGTTATGTTAGCCAGGAGAAGAAGGGACTTGGAAATGTGCATCTTGATGCGCTTCTCAGTTTCTCGGAGGGAGAGGAGACCATCGTCGTCTTCCTCTTCGCTAGATTCGCTGTCAGATGAGGCACCTTCCTCGGCATCTAGAAAAACTGGTAGTCCTTCGGCGACAACGCCCTTAATAGTAGCTGCTGTTTGTGCGTGAAACTCTGCTGAAGATCGGAAAGGGGGAAAAGCTTCGGGGTTTGCTGAGTCAATCATTATAACACGGGAAACGGATTCTCCCTGTTCAAGGAGGATTTGTGCCATCTTCATGGCAATCATCCCCCCCAAAGACCAGCCACCAAGGAGGTAGGGTCCATGGGGTTGGATGGTCTTGATCTCGCTTATGTAAAGGAGAGCCAGCTCCTCAAACGACGACGGGTAAATTGCTTCTTCGGATGAGTAGATGGGTGAGCTTACGCCGTACACTGGCCGTTCCGAATGGCTTCTGTGGAACTTGCCGTGGCTGAGGTTATGTAGGCGGAAGAACGGTAATGCCAGGCCAGAAATGGCGTGGATTAGGAAGAGGGGAGTATGGTGAGAGTCGACATCTCCCTGGATGTGCGTGATGAATTCCATTGTTGCTGCTGAGTTGCGGATCACAGATCAACACTGGCTCAGTAGTATAGAGAGAAAAGGAAAAAAAGAAAAAAGAAAAGAGATAAAGAGATGTTAGGAGATAAACGAGATTGTAGCTGGGTATCTTGTCTGTTCAAGGGAATAACGGTTATCTCGAGGGGATGGGAATACGTGTATATATATGTAGGTACTATCTCACAGAGCCTCTAATGACTCTATAGTTACCTAATTTTAGAAGTGACACCGCATTGATGACAGCACGCGAGCTTCTCAACAGATGGGGATGCTTCATCTACTCTAAACATCAGCTTGATTGGTCTGCCCCAGGGAGATCTCGAGTTGCAATAGCACGTGGCTACCCATGGCTCGTTTCAGAATACAATTAGCTTCTATTTCACATGGAAAAACGCAGATTCACATGGCAAAAAAGGTCATCTTCCAGAGCGAGAACGAGGTTTCTCATGACGGAGGTGTGTACGCAGAGGACCAAGTAGTAAGTTCCATTAACTCCGGAACAACTAATTTTACGCCGGCCGTAGAGCTCCGATGCCGCGCAATATTATGTTTACCTAAGTAAGTAGTAATTATATGTTTCCTAATATCTACTCAATTGTTTACTGGTCGGCTCGTTACCAAGTTATCCCGGCGTCGATCTATCCGAGGCTTTTACATCATCAAGGACTTCTATCTAGTGGCTGATTCAATCTAAGCAAATACTCTGAGTGACATGCATGGAAGCTTTTGACGATGTTCTAGAACAGAAACAAAATAAGCTTTGAGAAACGGGTAGAAGCTTAATGTTAACATAAGTCCTGACTGCATAACTCCACGTGTAACCCAATAATAGAATGCGGGTTGCGGACGTCAAGGGTTAGTGTTGCTCAATTGCAAGGTAGGTAGCGCACGGACGGGAGTGCAGTTAAATGGTACTTATTTTACTTGGTATAATTGCTTCCGTGGGTCTGGGACTGGGTCTGATGAAGAATCCCAGTTCAAAGAGATTTGCTGACGATTTTGTTGAGTCGAAAATAGATCCCATAGGAATTTCGCTGACGGAGCTGAGGAGATGGCTATAATCGCTCCTCCGATGGTCAACGGGAGGCGGTGCTGACCAATAGAATCAGCCGTAGCGCTCATGTCAGCAACTAGAACAACACCAGGGAAGTACCAGACTTTGATATCTATTTAACTCCAGTGCTCGCGGCATCAACCAACAAATATCCTCATCATTCTTCACCAATTAATTAAGCTAATCAAGCTAATTAACCCTTTTCCTCTTCCTCTTTTTTTTTTTTCCTTTGAGTCTTTTCCTTAGATTTCCTTAGGTCTCCTTTTAACATTCATTCGCAATGGTTTCGCTACGAAGTCAATTACTTCTCTTCTTGTTGGGGCAATCTGCTGAACTAGCTTCAGCTCTTCCCCCGAGCCCTGCTGGTCACCGTCGCCAAGCTCAGTCTCACGACCTTCCATTGACATGGAACCCATTCGGCTTCTTATCTAATGCCTCCGTGGGTACGCCAGCGCAACAATTCCCCGTCTTCGTTGACTGGACTTGGATCAACCAATACGTTCTTTCGACTACTTGCTACGGCCAAACGGGCAACCCATCTGCGTGCTTAGACCCAACACAGCACTACTTCAACCAGAGTGCATCTTCCACTTTCCAAGCTCTCCCTCAGCAGTACCCCAGACGGACGTGGAACCCGAACCACTTTTACTTCTACAGGGATCTTACTGTTGACCACGGAACCGATTTCCTCCACGTCGGACCCAGCACTGCCAAGATCGTTCTCCAGACTGCTGACATCACCTTCAACCTATCTGGCTCTCCTTTCCCCTTCGGTGGTGTATACGGTCTTTCTCCTGTCTTCCACAGCGACAATGGTAAGAGTTCATAAGAATTATGCAAATTGATAACTACAGACATGCTAACATAATCCCAGCTTCCACTTCTTCCGGTTTCTACCAGGCATGGAAGCAAGGCCAATGGCCCTCTCCTCATGTAGCTTTCCACTACTGCTACGCTGACTCCCCTGACACCACCAAGTCTACTTGCAACGGACACGATGGTATCCAGACTCTCGGTGGCATCAACCGCAAGCTTGTGAAGAACGACAAGATCTACTGGTACCCCAACAAGGTCTTCCTTGACGTCAACACCAAGGACTTCGTCTATGCCCCTGCTCTGTACAACTACTGGGCTACCGATCTCGACAGCTTCAGAATTGGTAACGAGACCATGACCGTCAAGGCTACTGCTCAGAACCCTAAGCCCGCTGCCATCTTCGACCACGCTTCCTACGGTCGTGGCACTGCTCTTACGCCCAACGCCTACAACCACCTCATCCAACTCGCTGGCGCTACCCCCACCACTCTCCAGAACCCTCCCAACAACGGCAACCAGACTTGGCACGAGTTTGACTGCGCTAAGGCCTCCACTCTCCCCACCATCTACTACAAGTTCGCTGGTCACAGCAAGGAATGGCCCGTGGAGGCTCACCACTACGTCGAGAAGGTTGAGGACAAGTGTGTGCTTAACGTCCGAACCCTTGCTGACGGTGATGAGTTCATTGGTAACTTCGGTGAGACTTTCTCCAAGGATAAGTACATCATCTTCGACTTCGAGAAGCTCCAGCTCGGCATTGCTGAGCTTGACTGGAACGCTGCTTCGCGTTACTAAGTCTGATATGAGGATATGAGGGTTAGGTAGCATTGGCATAGGAGCATGGGTATAGGTTTCATTTCTTATAGAGGGTAGACTGTAAAATATTTGTTCAATATTATATGGCAAAGCGACAATTGCTAATTTTGATATTATGAACATTTTTCTTCTATATTTATGAGATACTCTTCGTGAAATGTGATACAATGCGAATAGCTAAAGCAACATACGATAGGTGAGTTGACATCGAAAAGTTCGTACTAGGTAACATTCGATGTTTTTATTTTTATTTTTATATCGTATTCTTGTTTTATTATTGTTTCACGATACTTATGAATATTGTCGCTCATCTTGGGCTCATACTATCTTCGTCCCTGATGTACGGGTGTGCGCGTCTATACCGGCTTCCTGGTTACACAACCTCTCCCCTATCTGATGAGGTTTGTTACACAACCACCCCCCTTTTTGAAGGATTTGGTTACACAATATCTTCGAAATGTTGGGTAATACGAATTGACTTTCGCAACGACAATATTACTGACAGTAAGACGTTTAAAAGTCCACGTGATTGTTGCACATTATTATTCAGATATTTTAGTTATATATTATCGCGGTGTAGATTTATCATTGTGGCATAAATGATATTATCGTAAGAGAACTTCTTGCTCCTCTACTGGTAACTACTAATCACTATCGCTAAACACATTGTCTTTCTTTTTTTTTTTTTTTTTTTTTTTTTAAATCTACGGCCTAGAAGGCACCTAACTTAGGTGTCTTGACGCTAGACACGTAATAGAGCAACACGGCAATTGTGTTCTATCAATGAAGGAGCGGGAATAGGACTGTTTCGCCTGCCTCAATATCATGCATCAATCATGAAAACACGCAATATGCGGGCATCAATACTCCAAAAAATTTTGTCATCTTTTAGCTCGACAGACGAAGCCCTGAAAGGGTTACAATGGTGCAATCTGTGATAAGCTTCTAGATGTAATGCGATTATCCTAATTCGCTTAATCTCAGTGTGCTGCAAGATCTCGTATGAGGTAAATTGTGTAAGCCTGCAAAGTAAGCTGAGAATGTGTGGGGAGTGTTTCCACCGCCCTGTGCACGAATATTCCTTAAAATGTTCCTTAATGCGGCGGGTACTCTATGTTAGGTTAGGCGTTAGCTGAGTAGGAGTCCGAAGGAACCGTTGTATCGTACTAGCTATCGTACGTTACGCCCGAATTAGATAATCCCTACCCGAGTAAAATAATGTGGCACGTTTACTCAGTAGTAAAATGGGGGGAGCCAGGGCATTATGCAGATAACACTAGGCCGGGAATCTATCTTTAGCAAAAGAGCCTCTCCCGCTCTCGAGAAAACATTTTTCCATTGGACATGAATCTTACACTGCCATATCAGCTTATTACTGCGCTTGAATTAATCGGAGTGGTCCGATTGAGAATGGGCGATTCCTCGTCCCATATTCGGCTAGGCCTCCGTGATCCACCGGAAGTAAAACTAGGATCATTTATTGGCTGACGCCGAAGTTATAGACATTAATATTTAAGTCCATTGGCACACGCTCATGGCAAAACACAAATTCAACAGAACAATTAACCCATTTACACTCCCCAGTACGTGATAGGCTCGAAATTAATAGCCTAATTCTATATACCCTTTTTCATATTCTTTTTGCGAGTTCTTAGTAAGCAGGTAAGATGGCCAACGTCGACGCTGACGTTCTCATCATTGGTGGTGGTATTGGGGGTCTCACATTAGCCGCTATTGTTCGACGACTCGGTCTGTCCTGCAAGGTCCTCGAACGAACAGAGGTCCTATCGCCTGTAGGTGCAGGTATCTCGTTAGCACCGAACGCGTTGGCGCTTCTCGACCAGATAGGAATCTACCAGGATATCCTAAAGACCGCCCAACCTCTCAAGACCATCCAGATCACCCGAAACGACACTTTATGGCAGAAGCTCGACTTCTCGACATGCGAGGCTACGTTCGGCTACCCCGTCCTCTCTGCCGAGAGGCACAACTTCCACCGATTGCTATACAACGCGGCCGGTGGTGAGGAGACAGTGATCCTAAACTCCAAGGTCACCAACATAATCGACGACCCGAACTCTTCGGTTGTTACCGTTGTCGTGGATGGCGGAAAAGAACTACGCGGACGTCTAGTTATCGGTGCCGATGGTATCCGATCGGTGACCCGCCGAATACTCGCCGGCAGCGCCGATGACAAGGCCGCCAACACCATCAAATTCACCGGTCGCGTCCACATGTCCGGTATTACTGCGCCATTGAAAAACTGTGGAAAAGAGGAGCTCGGTGTCGCCAATTGGCTGTTATACGACGACTCAATCTTGACCACCTGGCCCTGCATAGAAAACAGGCAATGGTTTATTGGTGTCATGGTACGTGATTGAAAGATATCCCTGCAAAAAGCAATTAATTAAACTCGAGTGATGAGCCCACTCGTGTTGATGATAATTTTCCCACCTTGCTAACTGCCTGACAGAAAGCCGATTCGGCTCCACGAGACCGATCTGTCTGGGCCGGCACCACGCCCGACATGATCAAGGATGTATACGGAGAGAAGTTCCATCCATTTGCCGAGAGCAAGAAGTTTAGCGAGAGTAAGTTACTCCAAAATCTCACTGAAGCACAGACATTACTGCGCTTCGTAAATGCATGCAAGGACATCGTTGAAGCTGACATGACATCACTTTTTAGTTGTGGACCAATCCGAGCGTGTGTTGGCCAGCAACGTCTTCGCTGAAGTCGAATTCCCCTCCATGTCCAAGGGCCGGGTTGCCCTTGTAGGTGATGGTAAGCCGAACCGAACCCCCCAATCATAGCAGCGGTGTGGAAATGAGGTCCTAACATTCTCTGCAGCTGCACACAGTATGACTTCCTTCTTCGGCCAAGGTGCCTGCCAGGCCATCGAAGATGCGGCCGTCCTCGGCAACCTCCTTAACGAATGGGTTGTTGCTCCGAAAGCCGACTTCAACAAATTCACACACAAGGACCTTAGTCTGATGTTGTACGAATACTCCGAGCGACGCAAGCAGAGAGTGCAAGACCTGGCTAAGTTCTCGGCCGACTTTGCGCGTCTCCACACCGCGAACTTGCCATTTGGCCTCGGCCCCCTCGTACGAAAACTTGTTTACTCTTACGTTCCTTCATGGGTATGGATTTGGTACCTGAGGTGGCTTTACGGCGTGCAGCCCACAGTAGCGGGGCTAAAGGATTTGTCGGAGAAGAAGGCTGGTTCCACAACCAATTAAGCTTATTCGCTTGTTCGCTTAGAATTCGCTTTTTGTTACTAGTTAGGGATATTGCGGCATAGAGGGTGGGTCTTGGTTGGTCGAATCGTTCTTCGTTCATTTGGGGGTTGGATTATTACATGGGATGCATGTTAGGTATATCTTTTTTTTGTGTTGTACTTTGTAGCGGACTAACCCCAAAGGGCGGGTTAATCTTAGAATGTCATAAAAGTTTAAAATATTTTCCGATAAGGTTGTTATTCCTTCATAATCTTAAGGTATTGCTTAAATGTCATTACATAAGTGGCGTTGCTTCGAAAAATACAACGTTAATGCTCCAGGGGTTTTAAGGTTATGCTGGACGAACCATGTGCACTTGGCTAAGTTAGTTATGATCGACTTAATTGAGTTCATCATCAGTTTACCCCTTACCCACTTACTTAACCAAGTCAAGTATTTACGTACTTTCGTGAAACAAACCTCGGATTATGTAAAGGTTGTACTAGGGCGTCAATCAGGTTGAACTTAATCTAAAAACCAATTTTAAAATAGCTACCGGGGCGCGGTAAGACACGGCACTCTCGAACGACTAAGTAGGCTTAGTCCAATATTACGGAGAGTTAAAATGTGTGCAGCTGAGTACTAGGCGACCTATGACCTATCAGCGGCATTGGTGTCCAGATAAGGTTTAGGGGGGTGGGTTGATCGGCAATTGTTTAGCAGGCGATGCAAGTCTGAATCGCCTAACTTAAGAACCTTAAGCGCGACAAGTTAAAAACGTTGAAGTCTATTCTACCCGAAGGTTCGTGGGCGCGGTACGTGGGCCAATCGATTTTCGTCCCAGCCCTATGGACTGCATGGCTCGTTTCATATTTATTTTTAGAGAAGTATCAAAGTATTGCATATGTGTAATGCATGGGTTACCATGGAAAGGCTTTGTGGGGATTGCCTATGGTGACCTTCCATATCGCCATGTAATCTCCGAGAAAAATCCCCATTATATTTCTCTACCAAACTTGGAAGAATGCGAGGAATGCGAAGTTGGGTACGCCTGCAGCTAATCCAGATCGGGATCCTGTACAGCTGCAAACTTACATCATGATAGAAAACTTCATGTTTGGCTTAAGCCACAAAAAACGCCACCTAGGTCTTAGGTGAGCAATCTGTTACTTTAAAACTTGTCGGTTCCTGTTCCCATTATTTGCTGAGTCGGTTTCGCATTGAAAAAGTGGAATCAAAACATGTACGGAAAAGTCCCTTCGCCGACCTCCCCAGTCGAGTGTCGCATTAGGTCTTACTGCTTAGTACCGTTCAGGCTTCTAGAATGCTGATCCCTCGTAAGATTACACATACTCGTTAGGAAGCTGGAACCTATACGGCGCGGGGTATTCAAGATCTAGCATAGCAAAGGAGCTAGGACAGCTAAAAGACCCTGACGTTGATGACTGGGAATAGAAATTTTTTTCGTCACAGCCTAGCTATTCACGTTTTAGCCGGACCCCGAGTTCGCGCTAATGTTCCAACTACCTCATAGAAAGTGTAATTTCATTAAAGAGTAAAAATATATTTACACATATTGCGATGCAAGTAATTAAGTGGTGAACTAAATTTACGGCATGTGCCGTAGGCTTAATTCCGTCGTGTTTGTTAGAATTATGTATAGGAATTATAGTCTAGGGCTAGTTCCTCAAGCATTAATGCGCCTTGTTTGGTATAGGTAGGTTCCAAACGTGTGATGATTCAGCTGTATAATGTTATGCACAGCATTACATAAAGGGTTAATCTCGTGACTTGCTGACACGCCATCCCCGGTACCATAAATGCAGGTGGGGTAAAATTGTATACGATTACATGTTCAATCACAGATATTGTACAGTCAGCAGGAATTGATTATTCCGCTTTGTTTGATGTAGAATCTGAAGCAGGGGAGGAGGATTTGTTGGAAGCCGAGGACGTTCGGGATCCCGCTGATTCAAAAGCCGAAAACGAAAACAAGAAATCAATCAAACATTCATCATTGCGAATTTGAATAGAGTGGGAAAGGGAGGCTAAGCCTTACTTCCTCTTCCTTGATCGCCGACATCATTGTTTCGGCCGAGCAGCAACGGTGTGGCGTCCGAAGAACTGGCGGTATGGAATTATGATGCAGATGCACCTCGCAAAAATCTACTTGCTCAGGATGACGGTCATTGGATGACGCATTCTGACATTTTTGTATACCAAGAACGGCTAAGCTGTTTATTTTTGAAGCAATTTCGGGTCATGACTAGACAGGTAAATGGTCGCTGTAGAGTTGCAGTGTGGCTTGTCGACGAAGGATTGAAGCTTATTCATATTAGGTAACGTAACGAAAGTGGACGCACGGTACGCACATTATTAAGAGGATTGTACATATGTACTACAGGAGCTGCGTGCAGCCTAACTCTCGTAAACGAGCGGAGGGAAGTAAAAGTAAAAGTACCTAAGGCGGGTAAGAAATGTGCAACATATTAACTGATTAGGTACCCTATCATCAATCCGATCCATCCTGTGACCTGTACGTAATCCTTTGTAAAAGGACTTGGGCAGCTAGGTATTTGCTAGGAATTTGCTTGGAAGGGTCTGAGAACGGTCTAGGAAGAGTGTCAAGGAAGAGCCCGGTAAGAATTAAGCTTACTGTTTGACTATGCCGCTAGCGTCGCTGATTGCTGTGGCACGGTAAAAAGGATTTACATTCGTAAATGTGGGATCGAAACCAACACACATTCGTAACAGGCACTCGCAATTGTTTACCTACCTACCTAAGCTTCATGTGAGTTATTCAAATAAGGTGATTGACGAAATAATTTATATCCCTATTAATAGGAAGGGATTTGGTAGGTACCTACTGTAAGTTTGTTACGGATGTTAGTAAGAGCGTAACCGTTAATAATTGTTCTGTCAACGGCCCAGGCGCTGATCTGCAGTGAGACCCATCAAGACCCAGAATATCCACCATATCCAGAATACCCATAACCTACCATGTAAATGACCCAGCAGACTACGCCTCGCCCGTATTGGTGCTTATGTATTTACGTTGTAGGTCGCCCTATCAGAATTATGAAATCCTTAGTTTCTGATCCGAGATTAAGAACAGGGGTCGTGATTGGCCGTTACTAACGTTATACACATCCGCCCAGCTCATACAGCTCACATAGGCAAGTCCATAGCCAAAGATCTTGTCCTCAGCCAGGACTCGAACCAGGTACTAAATTGCAAAGGAGGTGGCAGTCGTACCAAATCCCGTCACACTGTACCTATGTAGGCATGTATACGTAAGCAAACATACGCTACTAGACCCCAAGGATGAAGGAGAAAGTTTCCACATGAGCCAGCAAAGCTCCTCGCAAGTGGGTTGGTCATCGGATCCTACCAAGCTGTCGCCATACAATTCATTAATCCTACTACCTCAACCGGACGAGCCGTACGCCAAGTTAGAAACAGAAGGCGGGGCGGCGCACGGAATGATTCCAGAGACCCTGGTGAACTGTGGACGAAAATAAAAATAATGAAATGAAATAAAATAAAATAAACGACGCCATACGCTTTTGGTCCTTTTGCGGCTGTTGGAAGGCGTGCTACATCTTCATATATCCCATATTAAGCTTCTGCATCCTTCATCCACCAAGGGCATTTGATACTTATTTTCACCGCTCGACCTGAAGCTCCTGGATCTGGGTTTCCATCTATTTGTATAATACCATACCCCATACCCCCTATCCTATTTTCAGATCTTTAATTCATCAGACCTTTCCTTTTTTCCCTTTTAGTCGATCATATTTCAGCTGGACGGTTGTAAAAAGGAAGAAACATAAAAGAAAAATAATAGTAAGGCACCATGAGTTCGACAAACAAACACCCCCTTCGCAAATCTTGCGGCTTCTGCCGTTCCCGCAAGATAAAATGCTCGAACGAGACCATCTGCGAGGCGTGCCGAAAGCAGGGCGTTGACTGTATATACGATTTTGAACCATACCAATCATCATCACGATCCGCAAGTATATCTCAAGCAGACCGAGCAGCACACAGAGCCGGTTCACAACATCCTAGCCCACGATTGGGTAGCGAAGAAGATAGTGCAAGGAACACAGCAGCGTATGCAACGTCGGATATTGGGACGGAGTTAGAGTCCATGTTTTATGCTCGTTTCCTAGCAGGAAGCCCCCGAAACAACACAAACTCGAATGCCTATCAACAGAAGATATCTGCATTCAACCGGGCTGCTCAACGGGCACCCGCATCACCACCCACCGATGGCCACTTTACCCCGACTTTCGACGCCCAGACGGCGAAGTACAGCGGTCTTCTTTCCCTTCTCACTCAAGATCTTGTCGGCCTCACGGTGGCCAAGTTCGGAAGCTTAGGATGTCAGTTGGTTGAAAGCGGTGGAGCGAGGTTCTTAGTTGACGGACTTCGCTCTGATCATACAGAAAGCATGTTCGATCCTCCACCTCAAGGACAGAACCCCTTGGCCGAATATGGAAGCCGCAAAATTAGCCAGATCATTGATGTCTGGTTCTCAACACACCCTCTATCCTTCCTCCTTTCTAAGACACTGGTAATGCATGAACTTCGTGGAGAGACCCTCGACGAAACCCTATTAGCTGTAATCTTGGCCGATGCCAATTTCTTCATTGGCGACGATGTCTCAGTAGCTCGTGGTCATTTACTGTTGCGCCACGCGACATCAAAGCTCCGTACCCAACAATTCTGTGCTTCCGGCTTATCTGAATCTTCTCAGCCGGGTGCCCCTCAATCCATTCTACCTCATCCTACCATCGCTACCGTCCAGGCCATAACTCTCCTGGGCTGGAATGCATTGTGCCAATCTCAGATTCGCCGGGCTACATGCTATATCGGTCTCGCTGGTCGTCTTGCGACGGCACTCAAGGAACAGAAGTGGTCTACCACAACGGCCGGACCGGGAAGTCGCATCAACGGTATCGATGTGTGTGAGGTCGAGAAGGAGATGGTAGCCTACCTGTGGTGGATCACCTTCGCCCTCACTCAGTGGCTATTCATGCAAATGGACCAGCAGCTCCCCTACCTCCCCAGGGCTAGCTTGACATCTGTTTTCCTCCCGGCCGACGCCTCATCATCAGTTTTAATCCGTTTAGATGAAGCCTCTGATAATCTCTCCACACTCCAGAGGCAGAAGGCGACCATGATGGATATCTGGCCACTTGCTCACATCTCTTCGGTTGTCGCTTACATCTTCGCTCTGTACCCACAAGACATGCCGCCAAGCGACCAACCCGAAGCCCTTTTCTGGCAAGAAATGCCCCTTTTCGCTCTCGGTCGCATTCAAAATGGCACGGTCCCACAGACTCTCGGATTGGTCTGTCGCGAAATTCACCGAGTTCTCATTGAGAACATCCACATTTTGGATAGCAAGATCAACTACACGTCGTCAAGGACTCTTGTTCTTGCTGTATACTTGACAATTGCGATCCACATTCTTTTCCCGCAATCGGCGGACAATTTTGCCGATTCGATTCTAACGGGCGACGTTATGGATCGGTTCTGCACTTCTGCCGAGGAGCTGATTAAGATTATCACCGCTGCTAGCGAAACATCTCCGAATGAGCCACTATTCCGAAGACCCACCCAAATGCACCCATGCTCACCCGAAATCTTCACGATTGCATTAGACAGCTGCGCTCGCGCTTTGTCGAGAATTCAATCGCGAAAGGGTGCTGCAAACAATGTCGAGCTGTATGCGTTATACGAGCCCCGACTTCGAGCCCTAGCTGTTCGATTAGAGGAAATTGCCCAGTACCAATCATTCAGTCCTGGCCCCGCTCTCCGCGTTGTGAGGAGACATCTCAAGAGCATCACCTTGGAGTTTGGTGTTATTTCTCCGATCACCGGTAGCCACTGGCGGAGTAACTCAACCTCCTCACTTTCCATCAATTCAATTTCGAACATGGCGGATGATTTCCGACCACCAATTCCACGAGCACTTTCACAATCCATGACTCCATCGCATTCTATGACACCTAGCTTGACATCAAGCCCTCAATTATCCGACACTTTTACACCTCCTTTTGTTCCTATGGAATTTCAGTACCCCCTTGGCAACAGCAACATGTCGATGCCTGGGGACTCTGAGAAGCCTGGTTCTAAACCTGAGGGATTATTCCTCCACATCGGCGATCACCCCGCCCACAACGGTGAACATGACCCCAACGGGACTATGCACCCGGCGAATATGGGGGAGATGACCGACGAGGCCTGGTACCAGGATGAGCCGGCCATGATGGACTTTGACATGAACACTGCAGAGTTGAACGGACCCATAATATGGCAAAACTGGTCAACTCTGGCTTAAGAGTTGATCGGAATGCGGGGGAGAAGACGTAGGCGGCATTTACGTGGGGGTCCGGGTGACAAACTCCGAACATATTATCTGATGATTTACCACTTTCATTTCTTTTTGTACAAATTACCTATTTATCACTACAAGCGTTCATTGCATGGGAGCATAGGCGGGAGAGCACCGGCGAATTTGGCGCATTTTGGAGTTTTAACGAATTACATGATGATCAAAAGCAATAGAATGGTACACAGCTAGATACTATACCCGCCTAGCCAGCTGGGCCTTTAGACATATTAGCATGCAACAAACTGCGATTTTTACAAGATTGATGGTACTAGTGAATTTTGATATTTTGCTTTTTCTTAATGTTGATCAATTGCCTAATCTACCTAGTTACAGGCTACCCGCGTAACCGGCCTCTTCATTTTTCTGTATACAATAATGTCTTACGTATGTGAGTAAGGCACTGTAGGTATCCGCTATGTGTTCCGTTATCGTGATAGAAAATCGAATCTAATCAATTATCTACCCGCAATGTCTCCATTTTTCCGTATCCTCTCTGTTCTAAAGATAAACGGTCACGCGAGTCCAAGTGCGATCGTGGAATTACGTGCGGCTCAATGTGTAGATCTTTGGAAGGCGGTGCCAAGTTTCGGTTTTGCGGAATAATCTCTGAATAGCTTCTTTTCTGCCTTGTCTTGGTTATGAAACTGCACCCTAGGATGAAACAAGAGCACGTTTTTGCCATGGATTGGTCTACCGCGATTGGCCCTGGTAGGTCCCTTAGCCTTGGCTTTCCCGCCTTTGGAATTTCGTGATATTACCGAGCCGATTTGTGTATAAAAATAAACTACCTTGCCTACTTAGCACGCTACGGTATCGCTAAAGATCCATGGATCCTTTGTAATAAGGGTCGTTCCTATTTTGATCCTTATGGGTACCTCTTGCTTGCCGATGGCCCTGGAGGTACTCCAGTCTGCGCCACCAAATTGCGGGCCTAGCTGAATTCCCTCTGTGCTTACGGCGGAGCTGCAGACCGATAGTTGACTGGTTGCAGTACTACCAGACCCCGACGACCCTGGAAAAACTATTCCGTTCTAGTCCGGACGCCATGCATAACGGTGAGGTTCGTTTGTCATTAGGTAAGACTAGAAGTTATCCGGTAGGAGCATATTTGGAATTAGGAGTGGAAGGCAGACATGATGAATTGAATTGATTAGTATACAGGTCAAATTGTATTCTGCAGCAAAGTTGAGGTATCAAACAGGTTAAGGTTGTTAGTAAACTATACTCTATTGGGCATCATGGACTATTGTCATTGGTTATGTTTCATTGGCTGTGTTTATTAATTGGAAACATTATAGTTAAGTACCGAGGTACTTAGTAGTGGCACTACCTTAGTACGCTAAAAAGTACGTTATACGTATGTATGTAGCACACAATTAAGATTAATTTACCCACATTTGCAGGCTTACTTAATGGTCAAAGTGTCGATTCCTTCCCGCATTGAGTCGGTCCGTAAGACTTAATCTTACACAATACCACCTATACTACCCAGACGCTTAATATCGAACAGCAACTTCGACATGTCAGCCACAATCCTCCACGCCGCTAGTATGCAGCGCTATGAGCTGACTCCCGCCGAAGTGGGATGCGTTGGTCTCGAATGCACTCAGTTTGCCGTTATGGTTAGTGTTGGTCTCCGTACCTTGGCGGCAACCCGGATCAAACTGGGGCCTCTACCGGGGGGTGTAAGCCCTGATCCATCCTTGGAGGGATTCTCGCCCTATTACGGCTGGCCGATGGATTGGAGCTATTCGAACACTGGTCTTATCTTACTATTCCCCATATCTCGTCTTATGCCTTCTGTAGTCCTTATAAGTCCACGTCTGACTTGGCTTCTACCAGAGTTTTAGAACATTCAGTATTCCTCCTCACAGGCCTTTTCCCAATCACTGCCATATAGAAATCGCATAAACGGGAAGAGATTCCTGCCCTAGACATACATACACTTTTCCATTTCCAGCATATAGACGCTTCTTATAGATATACCCCCAAGCTCACGCAACCTCATCGTCTCTCTCATATAACAACTCTTCACGCACACTCACGCATTCACGACTATCTCCTACCTCATACTCCTCCATCCCATCCCATCCCATCCCACCATTCTAGAAGCGAAAGCGGTTTCGACCAAACAGACTCGTCGTACCTAAACTCCGTCTCCATTACATTATATCCACACTATCCTCTCCTCCAATAACGACTCGAGTCACTAAAATGGCACGTGAAAACGCACAGAATGACCCTTCGGTCATCGTTGGTTTTGCTTGCCGAGTTCCTGGGGCGAACAACCCTAGTCAACTCTGGCAATCCATCGTAGAACAAAGAGATGTCCAACGGAAGATGCCCTCGAGCAGATTCAATGTTGACAACTTCTACCACCCAGACGGAACCCACAAGGGAACTGTAAGTATTTGATTTCCGAGGTACTGAAGGCCTAGTCCCGCTAATTAGTACCAAGACAAATGCCAAATATGGATACTTCCTTGAACAAGACGTCGGTGACTTCGACGCCTCTTTCTTTGGTATCTCCGGAAAGGAGGCCGAAGCTATGGACCCGCAACAACGTCTTCTTCTAGAAGTCGTGTATGAAGCATTGGAGAACGCTGGTATCTCTCTTGATGAAATCAACGGATCATTAACATCCGTATTTTGCGGTTCATTCACCAACGACTACAACTCCATGATAACTAAGGATCTGGAGTCCTATCCCAAATACTCAGTGACAGGTACTGGTAACGCCATCCTCTCCAACCGAATCTCCTACTTCTACAACCTCCACGGAACCAGTTTAACCATTGACACTGCCTGCTCGTCATCACTGGTTTGCTTCCACTTAGCGAACCAATCTCTCCTCGATGGCGAGTCAGATATCTCCATCGTTGTTGGATCTTCCCTCCACTTCGACCCCAACATTTTCATCACCATGACCGATCTCGGTATGCTTTCCACCGACGGTCGTTGCCGTGCCTTCGATGCCGGCGGTAGTGGATACGTCCGTGGTGAGGGTATCTGCGCCGTCATATTGAAGCGTCAAAGCGTTGCCCGCGATAACGGTGACGCGATCCGCGCCATTGTCCGTGCCACTGGTTCCAACCACGATGGCCGAAAGCAGGGTATCACCCTGCCCAACTCTGTTGCCCAGGAGGAGCTCATCCGCTCCACCTACCGCACTCACAAGTTGAACCCTGATGACACCCAGTACTTCGAAGCTCACGGTACGGGTACTGCCGCTGGTGACCCGATTGAGACTCGGGCCGTCGGTGCCGTCTTCTCCGGCCGAGAGAAGCCACTGTACATCGGCTCCGTCAAGACCAACATTGGTCATCTTGAAGGTGCGTCCGGTCTCGCTGGTTTGATAAAGACTGTCATGGCTTTGGAGAAGGGCCAAATCCCTCCCAACATGCACCTGAAGAACCCGAACCCGAAGATCGACTTCAAGAACTGGAAGCTTGAGGTCCCCACATCTCTACTTGAGTGGAAGCGACCTGAGGGTGGTGTCCGCCGTGCCAGTATCAACTCTTTCGGTTACGGTGGTACCAACGCTCACGTCGTCATTGAGGAGTACGTCAACAATGTCTCCATCCCCAAGGCTATCACCAATGGCGTAGTTGCCAACGGTGTCCACGACCGACCTTTCCTCCTTCCTTTCACTTCTCATTCGGCTAAGGCTGGAGAGCTTTTCGAGGAGAAGTTGGCCGAGTACGTTAAGTCTGGCGAGATCACCCTCGCTGACTTGGCCTACACCTTGGCTGTCAGGCGAAGCTTGCACCAGCACCGCTCCTTCGTTGTTGCCAACAACAACGCCAAACTTTTGGAGCAACTGCAAGTGCCTCGCCCGTCTGCTCCTTGGTCGCCAGCCGAAAGCGAGAAGCCTAGACTTGGTTTCGTCTTCACTGGTCAGGGTGCTCAATGGCACGCTATGGGCCGCCAGCTTATCCAGGAGTCTCCTCTCTTCCGACAGACTCTTGAGCGCTGCGACGCTGTCCTCCAGGCTCTTCCCGACTCCCCGAGCTGGAACATCATCGAGGAGTTGTCCAAGTCCAAGGAGGACTCCCTTCTTGGCCAGACCATGTACTCCCAGACCATCTGCACTGCACTGCAGCTTGCTTTGGTTGACCTCATGAAGACCTGGGGTATCACTCCCAGCGGTGTCGTTGGTCACTCTTCTGGTGAGATGGGTGCTGCTTACGCTGCTGGTATCCTCTCCTTCGAGAACGCCATGGTTGCTGCCTACTACCGTGGTCTCTACATGTCTGCCCCCAACGAGGGTGGTGTTCCCGGTGCTATGATGGCTGTTGGTATGACCGAGCTCAAGGCTATTGACGAGCTCAAGCCTTACAAGGGCCGCATCACCATTGCTGCCGTCAACAGTCCTGGTACCATCACTGTTTCTGGTGACGAGGATGCCATCGTTGAGTTGAGGGACAACCTCAACGAGCGAAAGGTCTTCGCTCGTCAACTCCAGGTCAAGCAGGCTTTCCACTCTCACCACATGTACCCTCTTGCCCCTGCTTATGAGAACGCCCTCAAGTCGCGCAAGGAGTTCGTCACTCAACAACCAACTTGCCGCATGTTCTCTTCCGTCACTGCCCGTCTTGCCGACCCCGCTGGCATGCAGGCTAAGTACTGGGCTACCAACATGACCAACGTTGTCCGCTTCTCCGATGCCTTGACTGGTATTCTCTTGGACGAGTACGACAACAAGAACATCGATGTTCTCGTTGAGATTGGACCCCACCCCGCTCTCAAGGGTCCTTCTCGCCAGATTGCCCAGTCTCTCAAGCTGGACATTCCTTACATCTCTTCTCTCACTCGTGGTGTTCCTGACTTCGAGGGTCTGCTCACCATGGCTGGTCAGCTCTTCTCTCTTGGCTACCCCGTCGACCTGGCTGCTGCCAACAAGAACATCAGCCTCAGCCAGTCCGGTGAGGTCATCAAGTCCGAGACCGGTAACAAGCTCTCCAACTTCCCCACTTACACCTGGGACCACAAGCGATACTGGTCTGAGACCCGTGTCATCAAGGAGCACCGACAGCGCCGCTTCCGCCACTCTGTTCTCGGTCACATCCAGCCCGGCTCCGTCGAGCGCTACCCGAGATGGCGCAACTACCTCCGCCTGTCCGAGATTCCTTGGCTATTGGAGCACGTTGTTGATGGCAAGGTCCTGTTCCCTGGTGCGGGTTACATGTCCATGGCTGTCGAAGCTGCTGTCCGCCTTCAAGAGGGTGAGATCAGCGCTATCGCCCTTCGGGAGATCTCCATCAAGGCTCCTCTTGTCATCCCCGATGACGAGGGTGGCATTGAGGTGATCCTCGAGCTTCGCCCGGTCACCACCTCGGCTAAGAGCAAGTCCGACACCTGGTACGAATTCACCATCTTCTCCTTCGACAACACTGGTTTCTGCCAGGAGCACTGCTCTGGTGGCGTTTCCGTCTCTACTGGTGCCCCCGCCAGCCTTGAGTCGCTCGTCTACAAGACCAACATTGATGACCTCCGCAAGAGCACCAACCGCTCCGTCCCAGTCAAGACTTTCTACCGCCACCTTGCCAGCATTGGTCTAGAGTATGGTGAGAACTTCCGTCTCCTTGACGACACCATTGAGAGTGGTAACGGTTTCTCTCTGTCGCCTCTGCGCTTTAACCCCAAGGCGCTCCCCTCAGAGGCTGCTGATGCCACCATTGTCCACCCCTCGCTCCTTGACGCGTCTTTCCACGTTGTCTTCAATGCCATTGAGTCTATCCTTGGAAGGCCCCTTGACGAACCCCTGGTTCCTACTTTCATTCGCTCGCTGAGATTCTCTGGTCTCTTCAGCGCCATCAAGTCCCAGGATGAGCAGCGATACCAGATCTGCTCCATGACAAAGCTACCCTCTCCCCGTGTCGCTATCAGCGACTTGTTCCTCCAGGGTGCTGCCGGTAACTTGATGATGGAGATCCAGGGTCTTGAGGTTACTTCTCTTGGTCGTGAGATGCCCGAGGGCTACGGCAACCGTGCTCTCTTCTACCGCCAGAAGTGGCTACCTGCCTTCGACCTTCTCTCTGATGACAAGGCTCTTGACCAGCGCTCTCTCTCTGAAGTTGCTGAGATCTTCGCTCACCAGTACCCCAACAGCAAGATCCTCCACCTCGCTTCTAGTGCCGACAAGACCAAGGAGATTGCTCTCCGCCTCGGTGCCAGCAAGGGTCAACGCCGTAAGTTCCAGCGCCTCGACGTTCACGTCGCTGGTGCTTCTGAGGAAGCCCTTGCTGAGCTTAACCAGCTAGCTGAGGACTCCAACGGACTTGTCAAGGTTGTCGAGCCCCAGAACGAGACCTACGACCTCGTTATCGTCAGCGCTGATGGTGCTGCTGACTTCAAGTCTTTCGTTGCTGAGAAGGGCAGTGTCATCTTCGAGGGTGCTAAGGCCCCCATTGCCATTGCTGACTACCGCAAGCTGTTCTCTGGCTCTCAGCTAACTGCTTACCGCAAGGGTGCTCAGGAGAAGACCACCTACAGCGATGAGCTGACGGTTGTCCTTCCCGCTGCTCCTTCCCAGCGTGTCCAGGCCATCTTCGAGGCTGTCAAGAAGGTCTACACTGCTCCCATCAAGACCACCACTCTCAAGGCTGTTGCTGGTGACTACGACCTCAGCACCCCGGGATCCATGCTTGTCCTTGCCACCATTGACGAGCAGGTTACCGACGATGCTGTCTTCACCTACGTCCAGAAGCTCCTCCTCAACGCTAAGAAGGACCTTGTATGGCTCTTGGAGGGTGCCACTTACGAGTGCGCCCGCCCTGAGCAAGCCATGGTTCTCGGTCTTATCCGAACTGCCAGGAGTGAGAACGACCAATTGAAGGTTGACACTGTTGATGTTGGCGAGAACTCGCCTGCTGAGACTGTGGCTGCCACCATTGACCGCGTCTTTGCTGCTGGTCTTGACGAGGATGAGACTACTGAGCGTGACGGACTTGTCTACCTCCCCAAGATTGAGGCTGATGACTCTCGCAACCGCAAGCTCCACAACGGTCCTAGCCAAGAGCCCGTCCTTGAGCCCTTCGGTGAGAAGCGCCCTCTTGCTCTTACCATTGGTAAGGTTGGTCTTCTTGAGACTCTCCACTTCATTGAGGACGAGGAGATCGTCGACACTGCTCTTGCTGCCGATGAGATCGAGATCGAAGTCAAGGCTTCTGCCATCAACTTCCGTGATATCGCTGTTTCTATGGGTATCATTGACGACTACAAGCTTGGTGACGAATGCTCTGGTTTCGTTACCCAGGTTGGTAGCTCAGTTGACAACTTCAAGGTTGGTGACCGTGTCGTTGCTTGGCGACCTGGTCAGGGTGCTCACCGCGCCCTTGTCCGCAACCCGGCTTCTCTCTGCTACAAGCTCCAGGGAGACATGCCTTTCGCCGATGCCGCCGCTCTGCCTTTGATCTTGACCACTGCCTACTACGCTCTCATCGACACTGCCAGAATCCAGGCTGGTGAGACCATCCTCATCCACTCCGCCGCTGGTGGTGTCGGTCAGATGGCTGTCCAAATTGCCCAGCGTGCTGGTGCTCGTGTCCTCGTCACTGTCGGTTCCCCGGCTAAGCGTGAGGTCATGCGTCGTGTCTACGGCATTCCTGAGGAGGACATGTTCAGCTCTCGTGACGACTCTTTCGTCAAGGGTGTCATGAAGGCCACTGACAACAAGGGTGTCGATGTCGTCCTCAACTCTTTGGCTGGTCCCCTCCTACACGCCACCTGGAGCGTCGTCAACGCTTTCGGTCGATTCATTGAGATCGGTAAGCGTGATATCCACGAAAGCACCAGAATCACCATGGAGCCTTTCCGCAAGAACGTCATGTTCGCTTCCGTCGACTTGATCACCATGTTCGAGAAGAACAAGCGCCTCGGTGCTCGTGTCTTCAAGGAGTGCTGCGACCTCGTCCACAACGGCGAGATCAAACCCCCTGCAGAGATCGCTACGGTGTCTTACGCCGATGCCGTCAAGGGCTTCCGTCTTTTGCAGATGGGTAAGCACGTCGGAAAGGTTGTCCTTGTCCCCAGCAAGGATGACATCGTCCCCGTCCTCCCTGGTCGATTCCGCAACACTGGTCTCTTTGACGAGTCCAAGACCTACCTCCTTGTTGGTGGTCTAGGTGGTCTTGGTCGTGTCCTTTCCCAGTGGATGATCCGCAAGGGAGCCAGGAAGCTGGCTTTCTTGTCCCGATCTGGTGCTGACAAGCCTGAAGCCAAGGCTACTGTTGACTGGCTCCAGGAGCGTGGCATCAAGGTTGACGTCTACAGTGGAGACGTATCTAAGCTTGCTGATGTCCAGGCTTGCGTCAACGGCATTGGATCCAGCCTTGCTGGTATCTTCCACGCCGCCATGGTGCTCCAGGATACTCCTTTGGAGACCATGACTGTCAAGAACTGGCAGCGCAGCATCCAGCCCAAGGTTAACGGTGCCACCAACTTGCACCAGGCTACTCTCGGCCAGCCTTTGGACTTCTTCGTCTGCTTCTCCTCCGTTGCCGCCATCCTTGGTTCCAAGGCCCAGGCTAACTACTCCGCCGGTAACTCCTTCTTGGACGCTCTCATGCGCAACCGTCGCGAGCAGGGTCTTGCCGGTACCACTATGAACGTCGGTGCCGTGTCAAACATTGGTGTCATTGCTGACAGCCTTGACCTCCAGAAGGCTATGGAGCGTCTTGGTATGGACTTGATCAACGAGCAGGAACTCCTGTACCAGCTTGAGGAAGCTGTCAAGTCTACCTCCTCCCCCAAGACCTTCAACGGACTTGACGAGCACCAGATCATCACTGGTGTCGGTCTAATCCGCCCTGATGTATACTGGAGCTCCAAGCCCCTCCTCAGGAACTTGTACATCAACCACGACTTCGGTTCCCGAGGCGAGGACACCAACAAGAAGTCCCTCCTTGCTACTCTCGGTGAGGAATCTGACCCTGAGCAGAAGGATGCTATCCTCTTGGAGGCCTTCATCGACAAGATCGCCAAGGTTTTGGCCACTCCTCGTGACTCCATCCTTGCCAACAACACCCTTTCTTCTTACGGTCTAGACTCCATCGTGGCTGTTGAGTTCCGAAAGTGGTTCCGAAAGGAGATCCAGGTCGACATTGCGCTGTTCGATATCCTCAGCTCGCAATCGATCCGTGCTCTTGTTTCTAAGGCTGCGAAGCTCATCCCCGCAGCTACCGCAGCTGCTCCCCAGGCTGCTGACAAGCCTGCCCAGGAAGCTGCCGAGAAGAAGACCACTGAAGGCGAGGCTGAGGTCACCGAGGTCAAGAAGAACGAAATCACCAAGGTTACCAACGCCGATGTCGTTCCTCTCTCCACCTACCAATCCCGACTTTGGTTCTTGCACTCCTTCTTGGAGGACAAGTCCAACCTCAACCTCCCGGTTGTCATGCGCATCACTGGTACTCCCGACCGTGACGCTCTCCGCCGCACCATTCTTGAGCTCAGCATGCGCAACGGTGCCCTCCGAACTGCTTACTTCGAGGGTGACGACTTCACTCAGCAGAAGCCTGTTGAGGACTTTGACCTTGACGTCTCTCTCCGAGACTTCTCCACTGCTGCTGATCCTGAGGAGTCTCTCAAGCAGTACCTTGCTCACTACCGACAGATTGAGCTTGACATTGAGAATGGTGAGGTCGCTACCTGGTCATTGGTCAAGCTTGGTGAGGAGCAATACGTCTTCATTTGCATGATGCACCACATCTCCGTCGACCGTGGTTGCTTCAAGCTCCTCATGAACCAAATTGTCATGATCTACGATGCTCTCCGTGCCGACAAGGACCTTGCTACCATCCCCAAGCCGGAGCTCAGCTACATCGACTTCACTCTCTGGCACAACGCCTACCTCCAGTCTGAGGAGATGGAGGTACACAAGGCTTGGTGGAAGTCCACCCTTGCCGGTATCCCCGATGCCAGCAAGACCTTGCCATTCGCCAAGGGTGAGCGCCCTGCCCAGGGTGACCCGAGCCGTGCCGACCTCAAGACCAACCTGGATGCTAAGCTCTTCGCCCGTATGAAGCGTCTCGCTACCCAGGTCGGCGGTACTCCTTACCACTTCATCCTCGCCGCCTTCCGTGCCTTCCTTTACAGGTACACTCAAGACTCTGACCTCGTCATGTTGGTCATTGATGGTAACCGACCCCACCCCGACGCTGAGGATATTGCTGGTTTCTTCGTCAACATGTGCCCTGTCCGTTGCCAGGACGAGTGCGACGAATCCTTCGACGAACTTTTGAGGAAGACCAAGGAGAGGGCTTTGGAGGCTATGTCTCACAACGCCATCCCCTTCGATGCCATTGTCGACCTCATGCAAGTCAAGAAGACCCCGGCCTACTCTCCTATTGGTCAGGTCGTCGTCAACTACCAGATTCACGGACCCGCTCCTCAGTACAAGACTTCCGACTTCACTGTTGAGTCCATTACCATGGACGACATCCCGTCTTCGTGCGACTTGAGCCTCGAGGCTCTTGAGACTGCCGAACACAGTCTCGACATCAGAATTGAGTATGCTACTGCTTTGTACAGCAAGGAGGATATGGAACGATTCATCGACAACTTCTTGACGTTCTTGAGCAGCTCTATCAAGGACCGTCATCAACCCATTCAGGAAATTGAGATTAGTGGACCCCTTGAGCTCCAGAGGTTGGAGAAGGGCTACTGGAACACCGGGTTCGTGGAGCCCCTTTGGAAGGACCAATCGGTCGTGGATAGGATCATGGCTAACTCTCGGAGCCAGCCTCAAGCCACAGCAATTGTAACCTCCGACGGTAATAGTATATCCTATGGGCAGCTGGCGCAAAACTCACTTTCCATCGCGTCAGCACTTCAGGCCGCTGGAGTTAAGGGTGGTGACAAGGTTGCCCTCTTAGCTCAGCCTGGTGTCGAAGCAGTAACGGGGATGCTAGGCACCCTCCTTACTTGCAACGGCTATGTAGCCCTAGATACCGATTTCGCGCACGACCGTCTTTCGTTTATGATCACCGACTCTGGCTCGAAGGTTTTGCTTGCTGGACCAGGCACCGACTCTCTTGCGAAGGAGCTTGTTTCCAAGAGCTCCATCACCGTCATCAGCATTGAAGACGCTATCAAGAAGAGTGAAAAGCCCCAAGCCTTCAACCCCAGGAAGTCGGATGATCCGTTCTACATGATTTACACATCTGTACGTCCTTGAGCTCACCGTTTTGATGACATTCGCTTACGAACACAATTTTAGGGAAGCACCGGCACTCCAAAGGGTGTCGTCCTCAAGGAGTCTAACACTTATCAGATGCTTGCAACTTTGCACAAGGATTATGCCTTTACCAACCAAGACCGTTTCCTACATCAATCTTCCATGTCTTTTGATCTCTCCATCGTCCAGATCTTCTCTGGTCTTACTGCCGGTGGTCGTGTCTGCATCGCCGCGTTGGACGCCCGCAAGGACCCCACTGCCCTCGCCGAGTTCATGCGCAAGGAACAGGTTACTGTGACTTACTTCACTCCCACTCAATATGCCCTGCTCATCGAAAGCAACTCTGAAGCCCTCAAGAAGTGCTCAACCTACAGAGTTGCCTACTTCGCTGGTGAGCGACTACCTGTCCGTGTCGCTAAGGCTTTCTACGACCTCGGAACTCCCGCCACTCTCTACAACACCTGGTCGCCTAGTGAAGTCGTCGTCCAAACCACCATCGCCAAGATCGACTACCCTGAGGAGAACGCTGTCAGCCTTCCCATCGGTTACCCCATGGACAACTGCCGCCACTACATCCTCGACAACCAGTGCAACCCTCTCCCTCTCGGCTTCATCGGTGAGCTCGTCGTCGGTGGTGCCCAAGTTGGTGCCGGATACTTGAACCGACCTGAGGAGAACGCCAAGTCATTTGTCGAAGACCCCTGGGCATCTGAGGAAGACCGTAAGCGTGGCTGGACTAGAATGTTCCGAACCGGTGACCGTGGTGCCTTCCGCCCTGACGGACAGCTTGAATTCCACGGCCGTATCGCTGGTGACAAGCAAATCAAGCTCCGTGGTTTCCGTGTCGATCTCGGTGAAGTCGAGCAGCGAATCTACCAAACCTCAAAGACTATCCGAGGTGGACTCGTTGATATCTCCGTCGTCGCCCGCCCTCGTGAAGGTGACCCGGATGATCTCCAGCTCGTTGCCTTCCTAGTCCCCGCTAAGAACCTTGACAAGAAGGAGCAGAGTGCCTTTGTTACTGAAGTCCACGCTGCTATTGCTCCCCACCTAAACCACTACATGCTTCCCAACGGTTACCAGTTCCTTGAGAAGCTCCCTGTCACCATTGGTGGCAAGGTGGATCGACGCAACCTACTCAGCCGTGACCTCGACCTTGTCCAGCCTTCATCTGAGGAAGAATCCGCAGCCCCCGCCAGCGATGTCAGCGAATTCGAGAAGTCCGTCTTGGAACTCTTCCAGGGAACTGTCGGCGCTAAGCGATACACCCAGCTCACTGACAACTTCTTCGAGAAGGGTGGTACCTCTATCCTCCTCGTCCGTCTCCAGGCTAAGCTCCGCCGCAAGTTCAAGGTTGCCCCCACTCTCGCCGACCTGATCAAGGAACCCACTGCTGCTTCCGTTAGCAAGTTCATTGAGAGCAGTCTTGGAAAGAGTGCCAATGGTGGTGCTGGCTCATCTGCCTCCACTATTGACTGGGCTGCTGAGATCAAGCTTCCTACTGGTGGTGGTTTCATCCCTGGCTTCGGTACTCCTCGTGTCAGCCGAAGCGATGTCTCTGCTATCCTCGTTGCCGGTTCTGAGTCTCTTGTCGGTGGTCACCTCTTGGCTAAGCTCCTTGAGACCAAGCCTAACGCTAAGTTCTACGTCGTCGGCTCCTCCAAGATCATTGACATCGAGACCATTGTCGACACCTTCGCTAAGTACAATCTCCTCAATGACCGCATGAGCGAATCCGATGTCCGCGAGAAGATCACTTCCATCCAAGGTACTCTGTCGCAGCCCGGTTTCGGTCTCAGCAAGGCTGGCTTCCGACAGCTTGGTCAGGCCGTTCAATCCATCTACTACTGTGGTGGTGACGTCTCTCTCCTCAAGACCTACTCATTCTTGAAGACTTCTAACGTCTCACCCATCTTCGACCTGATCCGCCTTGCTGGTACTGGTGACTATCTCTCTGAGATTCACTACCTCTCTACCTGGAGTACCGCTCACTTGCAGAGCTGGAAGTCCACCAAGCGCACTAAGAAGGAAGTGACCATTACTGAAGAGGAGCTAACTCACTTCACTCCTCCCGCTGAGGATGAATTCGGTTACTTCAAGACCCGATGGGTGGCGGAGAACCTTCTCTTCCAGGCCGCCTCTCGTGGCTTCCCAGTTACCATCACTCGTGCCCCTGCCATTGCTACTTCTCTATCTGCCCACTACGCCGGTGCCAACGCCAGTCTGGATGAATTCACCATCCACATGGTCCTCAGCATGGTGGAAACCGGTGTCGTCCCACAAGTCGACTCGGCTTCCATGCCTCCCTTCGCTGTCGATGTCGTACCTGTTGACTACCTCGTCTCAGCCTTGGCTGCCTTGACGAGCGACTCTACCAGCGAGCCTGAGAGCGGCAAGGCCCAGATCTTCCACTTGAGTAACCCTCAACCCCTCAAGCTCAAGGACCTACCGGGCATGATCCCTCAGATCCGACCGGATGTCAAGGAAGCATCTATCATCACACTCGAGGAGTGGCTCAAGAGAATGGAGGGTGCCAAGGGTGTCGAAGATGCCGCAGCGGCAACTGTCCGATCAAGCGTCCTGAAGGAGTACTTCGAACGCGGACACGTCATGTTCTCGCTTGACCGAAGTCAGACGAAGCAGATCCTGGACAAGGTAGCGCCTGAACTAGAGGCCACCTGCCCAGCTATAGACGTGGAGTTCTTAACTACCATGTGGAAGATGATCTAAGGAAACGGATCAAAAACAATTGAAAATAATGTATAAAAATAAAACAAAAAAAGGAATGTAATGGAAAAAGGAAAAGGGAATGAAAATAGAGCAGGCAACTAGCAAGGCGTCTGGAAAAAAAATATTGGTTGGCAAAGTGTATATCCTTGGGTGGCATGTATATGGACGGGTTGTGGTTTTTGATTTTTATTTCCTTATAGCGGTCTGAGCGGTCTGGAATTGGTTTTGTTTTGAATGATTTCCTTTAGAATGTTTGCACGATTGTAACGATTAGCAACGATTAAGAAATTTACTTTTCGTTCTACCAAAGCCCCTTCGTCTTCTTGCCATTGTGATTCCATTCTAAGAGAGTAGTATGAAAACTCGAGTATCGCTTTGACATCTCCGGCACTTAGTATGGCTAGCACTGATGGATTGAAAACTTTAGCACTATTTGGCTTTCTAATCGTAAGGTTTAACGAAGAGTCTCGTTAACTCTGATTGGCTAAAATGCTCATGGACTTTCCGAATACAGCTTGTAACCAAACCTTAACCTTAATTCACCTCTAATCGGGTCTGAGTCTAAAATACGGGACCTTTCACATATCACAGCGGCCGAAATATTACTTTAGTAACGCGGTTGAAAGATATACGTATGAGTCTATTATCTTTAAGCGAAAATTGATGAAGAAATGTCGAGTACAAAGCGAATAGCTGGAAAGGATGTCGCAATAAATAGGCTTGTTACGTGCCCTCTATTTCCACTGCTTTTGGTACCTATCGCTAGGATATGGCTAGCCCTGGAGGCCCCCCGTAGGAGGCATGGTGGGGTTAATAGATGGAAAGCAAATAGTGTCATCGCTTAAGCTCCAGGGCTGTTGTGGAAAGAATACAGGGCGCTAACACACCTAACTTGCCCACTATCTAAACATTCGCCTAGCACCTATTTAGCCCTAGAACACCATTTCACCACCTAAGTAGTTTGACGAGAATGAGTTTTCTATAAAATCCGTCTATTCAACGAGGACCGACTAGAGAAAACTACATGATTATTAAAGCCCTATGAATTCGGAGCTAAATCCGTGTAAAATTTTTAGATATTTCCGTAAAGCATTGAAGTGATTTGCTTTCGACTACCGTAGATAGGTGTGAAATTTGATTGCAGTCGCGAGGAATCTTGGTGAAAAATCGTTAGCCATCGGATCGATCCGATGACTTTTTTGTAGCAAATTGGTTCATCGGATCGATCCGAAAATCGCCTATTGCTGACAACTGCGACCACGGGGAGCGATGCGCTAGAGTCCGCTGAAAATTTACTGAGTTATCCCTAGACCCCTACAACTTAATCTTACACTCCTGGTCTTAAATGTTATATTTTTCAAATTCTAGTCGTAGTTTACGGCTATAAAAGTTGACTCGAATATCATCAATCATTTCACCCTCCCTACATTCTTAGTCTAACGAGCCTTCATGACTGCCTTTTTGGTACCTACCTGCCCGGTGATTATGGAATTAGATGTCCGAATTATATACGCGTACTGCTCATCGGGGCGGGCTGCCAATTAGCACCCTAGGAGGCATGTTCTAGGGGAAGAACCACTGGAACTTGGTGTTAGGCGCCATGAGTTAATGCATTTCAACCACTAAAAACGAGATAAATGTAGTAGATATTTTTAATCTGCAAGAATTCTACCATTGGCTCTGGCCTTCACAGTCATAATAATGCATTAGCACCCTTACATAACCTCCCCTCTACTTAGCGCCAATAAACTGTCTGGAGACTTTTGAAACCTCGCCGCTTGAAGGATGTATGTTTTCCATAAGTCCATTGGGCTATGATTTTCCCGAGGCTATGTGCTGTGCCTTGCTAATACTTTAGAGGTAGATTACTAGCATATGCGACTAGGTTTTCAAGCCGAATAACCCGAGAGAACTATAAGGAGCTTTATCGTGAAATCATGTAAAGCCATTAGGTAACCTACGTTAGTATTCCCGTTTTCGTAAAGGTGATGTAGCGCGCCCGCGAACTACCACACTACCCGCCTTACCTTGTTCCTCTAGACTTCTAGAATAAAAAATTACTGAGCTGTCAGCTATTCGGCCAAAGTGGAAAAAAAGATTATCCCACAGACCGCTTGAAGTTGTCGCACTGTCAGACAGCATTCATAGCTTAGGCCAGTAAGCATCCTTCCTGATGATTTATCCGCATCCAAGCGCAACTATACCCCAATCATTGGCGCGTCGTATTATGCATAGCCGCTCCTTCGAGTCGCCCTTCTATCGAAATCGCGTCCCGATTGGTGTGAGGTGGGGGCGGTAGGCGACGATATTTCATCACATCCTTGTGGGAAGTGGGATCGACAGGGAAGTCAATCTTATGTAAGAATCAGATGCCGTTAGTACAACTGTAGCAGAATATGCGCAGGAACTTGGAGATTGGATGGCTGCCAATAAGGATTCGTCCTTAAGGAATGTCAAACCTATCACAACTTAGGCAGAGCCTCGAAATGTTAGCCGGTTTGCTAGATAATCTAACAGATGATTCATTCAATCAAATTAGATAATTGTCGATTGAATGAAACGATGAAAAATCTTGGTTATGTGAGCAAACCGATAAGATAGCTTGGGTCTTTTTCATCCGAGTGGAGAACTAAGCTGTTTAAGCTTATTTAGCGTTCACTCTGGAAATCTATAAATAGGATCAATATTCGCTACTCCACTCGCTAGAACGTATGGATGGAACATAATTATGGAGACGTGTACCTATGCGGTTGATCAGCTTACATTCATACTACCGTATCTAAAGACTGATACTACACTACAGCCCAGCTCAGCCCAGTCTAGCCAGCCCTTCTTACACGATGGCCGACTTACCCAGAAATTTCGATGATTAATCCCTTATTGCAGGAGCCGAATTCATTAAGCCATGGATAGACCGAATCCCTTAGTACTACATAACGTATTATTATGTAGTACGCACTTTGTTCAATACTCGAGGTATATCGTGTCGATCGCTGACGAGGCTTTTCGGTAGGAATGAAATTTAAGATTTAAAGGATATCGACGGGTCGGTTCTAGTTCCGGACGAAGTTATGCAAATGTCTCATCGAAATCGAATCCTTGACGTTGTTGAGTAAATTAGATGCGTCATGGTCTTTTTGTCTTTGTCTTCTTTTGGTGAGTTGGATGCGGGTTGGGAAGATGTCGTAATGCCGAACCGGCTCGAAGTAGCGGGACTAGGTAGGTAGTGGTATTGAAACGGTGCTGTTGACGGGGACCGACCGCTATATGTAAGGCAATCAAGGGTAACAGCACAGCCTGTAAATTAGGTAAGGAGTGGGTTATTTACAGGGGGTACGAGGCATGGATCAATACCTTTTCCGCCAAAACGGGTGGATTTTAGGCCGTCGGGGATGGGTCAGCCTTAATGTTTCCACCGTTTCCACCATTGTTCCTAGCCCCACTTCAGCTTTCCGCCGAACGTAACAGCGAGTTGTAGGTAGTGCAGGTACCTAAGAAACTTGCATAGGCGGGTTGCATAGTGCACTCTAGTGGGTCCATCCGCCTAGAAGCGGAGGGGGCCACCTCTATTTTTGTTATGTCCGACCTTGCTTTCGCACGAGCCGGCTGGATTTGATTGGGGGCGGAGCGGTTATCCAACCGTGGTTGTGAAACGTGGGTAAAATTCATTGCTGACAACCGTTTTCGATGTTTTCGATGCCCGATTAGTTACGCCGCGACTGCTGTACCAAAGGAACCCTGTGGTGCCTGCCATGCATTATATATGGTCGTTCCCATTTCGTTGATTTCTACATCGCTAAGATTACCATTAACATCAACAAAATCAACAACACTGCCACTTCTTCACCATCATAACCAACGATCTCAACTACATTCACACCCCGTTACAATAATTTGATCTCTTCTATAAAATCACCAACGATCAAGAAGCTAATTAGCATAATTACTTCTGCGAAATCCCTTCTTATAGAAGGCTTTCCAAATTACTCCCAACCACACCTAATCACCACTTCACATACACATACACACATCCTCCACAATGGCACCTGAAGGTACTCCCATCCGAAAGGTCGTCATCACCGAGTTCGGTGATGTCGACAAGGTCCAGGTCCTCGACGATGTCTGCCCACCCCCACCTGCAGACCACATCCAAATCAAGACCGAATACACTGGCTTTAGTGGTGCCGATGTCAACATGCGAAAAGGCTTCTACCCTCTACAAAAGAAGGCCCCTCTCACCCCCGGATACTGCTTAGTCGGTACCGTTAACGCTGTCGGCGAGAGCGCCAAGGAGTTCAAGGTTGGTGACGTCGTCGCTGTCCTAACCAAGTACGATGCCGAAGCCGAACTTGTCAACCAACCCGAGAAGTACTGCATCCCGGTCCCCGAGGGTGTCGACCACAAGCAAGCTTGCGCCATATTAACGGACTGGAACACGGCTTACGGCATGGTTGTCCGTACCGCCAAGGTCCAGAAGGGTCAAAAGGTCTTCGTTCACGGTATGAGCGGTGCTGTCGGTACCGCCCTCATGGTGATCAGCAAGCTACAAGGTGCCGAGGTATACGGTACTGCTAGCGAGCGAAACCACGAAGAAGTCAAGAAGTTTGGTGGTAACCCGTTCGTCTACTCAAACAAGGACTGGATCAAGGCGATTACTGATCTCGGTGGTGTCGATGCTGTCTTCGACCCCCTCGGCTATGAGAGCTTCGACGAGAGTTACTCCATCCTTAACTCTACCGGTATACTTGTTGCCTACGGTAACAACAAGGGTTCCCTCGAGAACGGCGAGCTCAAGAGCCCTCTACCTGCCCTACTAAAGTTGTTCGCTCGCAACCTAAACCCTCTTACGAAGAGAAGCACGACTTTCTTCGGCCTAACGCGAGACTCGCAATGGTACAAGCCCAACGTCACTACACTATTCGACTTGGTTAAGAACGGCACCATCACAGTCCCCATCAAGACCGTATGGGATATGGAAGACATCCAAACAGCACACCGAAACTGGGGTGGTGGCTCTGGTGTTGGTTCATTACTGATCAAGGTTGCCAAGGATTAAATGGATTTTCTTATGTCAATCATTTCCTTTGTTGTCGTGGTCAGAGTGCTCCATCATCATCATACCCTCACTTCTTTTTGGCGAACATACAGGCTGGGCAGGAATTTCTCATCATGCGATATCTCACACGGGGGTTTTCACTACAGGTAGATAAGGATGAGCGTTAATGAATTTGTGTATATGATTACCTAGCTACTACGAGCTTTTCGGGGCTCTTTTCCTTACAGACTCTATTGAGAAATGATACCATCAACCGTCTCCTACTCTGAAGAGGCGGTATCGGTGGTGGCGGGAAAATAGAATACCAAATTGTTTCCGTTTACGACAGTTCAAGTTTCCAATAATTGATTAAGCGGTGACACAAACACTATCCTTGACAACCAATGCCATTTGTGATTCATGCAGTTATTCATCTCAAAGTAACCTTAAGAATCCGTCGCATCTAACGGCCTTCTTTGGTGTAACCAACGCCCGTAAGCTGCACGATACGACGTTCCCATCCCACCAATACATATGAAGATGGTAGATTGAATTATTTGGAGGTCGCCCCCAAGCAAACTGCTAGTCCCTTGAATGAACGGTAACAAGTTAAATCGTCGATACTCTTAATTCAGGCGCGCTGCATAAACGAGCGAAAAGAAGCAGTCGGACCCGATCGCTTCAATTGATAAATTTTCAGTTTGGTACCGCCAACATTCAACATGGAAACATGTGAAAACCAGGGTCCTACCAGGATGCCTAAAGACAGGGTAGGTCCCAAAATACGACTATACGGGACCCTGCTTACCGGGCTAGGTGCCTACATGTACCATGTACTGCCAAAATAGGGAGGATGTTTCTAATTCGATCTAACGAATATAAGCGGCATTCGAAGGATCCCACCGCTTTCCATAAGACCAGGGGCAAGCCTTATCTAAGATGCATAACATAATTCAAGTCCTGTCATGAATGGGCGGGATTGAAGAGCGGAAACGAAGATCGGATTTTTCGGAAGGATTTGGCGGGTTGGGTTATCCTCCACGCCGTTCTCAGAATTCTGTACCAAGTAGCTCTAGCGCATGTTGGGACATTCCAGCGGGAGCTAGCTAGACCTCGGCTCGGGTAACAAGCTTTATTATGCTTCAGGTAAAGTGCCCGCTGGATAATCCGTACGCCGGGCGGGACTGAGGATTATCAATGAGGACGATAGCTCGTGTTGGTTCCTACTGTGGAATTTTCTTTCTTTCAAATGGTTAGTAGAATCCGAATATGGATGACACTACCGATGGCAATGCTTAAGTAAACTTGGAAATGAGGGGATTCATTACCTAAGGTAACCTGTTGGTTCCCGAAAAAAAAAAAAGCAAACATGTAGCAAATCGTGACCAACCACGCTATCGGGTCACAGCATAAAGGCCGCTGGGTTTTTTTATCCCTTCACCTCAAGAAAGGTGGATGGTACCAGGATACTTCCCCTTCTCACATCACCAGAAAGACCTACATGATTGACCCAAAAAATGGCTACTAAGCTCAAACTCCCATCCAACCCTCTTATCGCCCCAGGCGCTACGATCCTGATAACCGGCGCCAACGGATTAATCGCATCGCACGTCGTCGACCAATTCCTAGCTGCCGGTTACAAAGTCCGAGGCACGGTCCGTGACCCCGCAAAATGCGAATGGATGACGTCCCTGTTTGCCGCCCGCCATCCTTCTAGTCAGCTCGAGCTTATTGAAATAGCGGATTTCGCGGCTCCGGGAAATTGGAATCAGGCCGTTAAAGGAGTTGCCGGCGTAGCTTCTATTGCCGGCAGTGTCGGATTGGATGTGCAAGACATCGGTGCAGCGCTCGACAAAGAGTTGCCATGGCTTGAGGTGCTGCTCCAGGCAGCTAAGGACGAGCCTAGCGTAAAGGCGTTCATATACACGAGCAGTGGAATGGCAGCGTGGAAGGCCGATCCGAAGAAAAAGGTCAAATTGGGATATGATTCGTATAACGAGGATGCGATACGGATCGGTCTAGGTAACGGGTCTCCCTCGGAAAAGGGCATATTCCCGTACATGGGGTTTAAAGCAGTCCTCGAGCAAAAGCTCTGGGACTGGGTTAAGAGGGAGAACCCATCGTACACATTCAACACGATTCTGCCGAATACCGTCTGCGGCCAATGTCTCGACCCGAAGGGCCAAGGGATCCCGAGCACCAATGCGTTCGTTAAGGCACTCTTCGACGGACAGAGCCTTGACGTCTTGAAGTATCTCGTTCCGCAGTGGCAATCTGACACGCGCGACCTTGGTGCGCTATATGTCGCGGCGCTGATCACGCCGGGCGTAGACCGCGAGAGATTGTACGCGTTCAGCGACCGCCATAGCTGGCCCCGAGTCGCGCAGATACTGAAAGAGTTGTATCCGCAAAGGAACATTCCGATATTGGAAGATGACGGTTGGGACCAAACAGATGTGCCAAACCAGAGAGGTAGGGACTTGTTGAGGGGGTTGGGGTTAAAGGGGTGGACGACGCTGGAGGAAAGCGTTAAGGCTTGTGCGGAGAGCTGCTTGGAACTTGAGGGTTAGGGGATTCTGTACCTACGCCGACAGGCAGCTATAGGCGTACAGGTACCTAGGAGGTAGGTATATAGCCACTAAATAGTTGAACACAAGTACCTAAAGGTTACCTGGAGTGACCTCAGAAGCTACCTAAGCGAAACAATATCGCCTACCGTTTCACCAATTCTAGCACTTACAAGCCAAAACTAGATCAATCCGACAGGGCATATCAAATGATATTTAGACGATACAGTGCCAGCCCATAATCCCGCTACTCACCTGAGTTGCCTTCTGTCGCAATAACCTATGCCGGCTTTGTGCACACCCCATCTTGTATGATCGCACCAGATGTCTTCGCCCGAAACACGACCACCAATTTCGAAAGGTGCCCTCGAGTCGTGCGCAACAATAGGGAATAGGGAATCGAACAATGTTTCAACGGCTACATTAAAATAACCACGCCAGCCGTAGCCAGCTTCGTCTTCATCCATAGTTAGATGCGGTTCACCAGCTCCTCTGGAAACAGCAATGACGAAAGGAATCTCTTTTCTATATCGGCGTTTGGAAGACGAGGGATCGGGCGAGTCGAGTATCGAATCCATTGACGACGGCGTGATGTATAGGCATACGCTATGGTCCAGGCCTGGTGGTGAAGAGCTAGACGAGTATTTTCTACAGAATGAGACCATATGAAGCCAGAGTTCAGAGAACAACTTACCGCGCAATAGATTCGGGACTGCCGTTTGCTTCTCCAACGTCTTCTACCCATTGAAATTTCATCTTCTGGATGCATTCATCAAGTCCATCATACCCACGATAAAAGCCGATTGAACCATCCACAATTTGCAAAAACCGCTGTTTGCAAGCTTCCCAGCGCGACGCGTCAATAATCTCGGGGCTTTTAAAGATAACAAAGCCCCACTGGTCCCAGCGCATATCGCGTTCTGCGCACAGGCGCATGGCCTGCATAAACGGTGGTTCCCTAACGATTTCCACAGGGGTTTTGCCTTATAATTCATTTACGTCAGCATTTAAGCAACACCACGCGCCTCGATAACGATAAAATTGTGGTATTATACCTGACGCGACTAGTTCCCGTTTGAACATCTCGTCGAAAAATTCGTCGAATCCTTGCTCCCCCAGGTCGGCTCGTAAACCTTTGCGAAATACATCTTTTTGCTCCTCAGTTAAGTCATTGATTTCACCGCTAGCGGCGCCGTTAAGCATCCGCTCACGATCCCAGCCCGCGAGGTAGTAAGGAGGGTTTGGCCCCAACATTGGCTTCCGCGTTATTAGATCGAAAAATAAACTCTCTTGAACAAAATCAAATGAGAAAGAAAGTTATAACCATTTGTTAGTGTATTCATAATAGGCTTAATAATGTTTAACAGGAAGTAGACTCCGAACCCGCTCAACGACCATGGGAATATTAGTCAGCGGTGCTGAAAGATAAGTCAGAGGGCTATGCGCTATAGAATTAGTGCTCAATAGCAGGTAATCAGACATGCTACTAAACCCGCAATATTATAGAAGATCTATGTTTTACGTCACGAAAATAAATAGACCAAGTCAAAAGCCGTCAGTAATATACTTAATCTAGCTAATCCCGGCTCCCAAGGGTAATCCCCGCTTGACAGTTAGAGGACAAGAAAATATAACCCCTAGGACACTCGATCAAATTCGATGACGGGGATGCCCAGCGACGCTCGTGCATCGCGTACTTTATCGCTCAACGAGGCATTCATGACGACCCTCCTATCCCCGTAAGGCAGGTACATAATGGAAGTTTCTTCGTCGAGAACCCATGCTACGGGTTCGCCGAAGCTTTTCTCTAGCGACGTTCTATACCAATGTATGAAATGTTCCCTGCTCATTTGACTAAGAAATGAGGCGAATATTGCATCTGACATACGCGTCTGGTAGTCGAGAATAGCTATTATCATACGAGCAGCGGGTTCCTCTGGGTTGTGAAGTAAGACGTCGACTAGTTCCTGAAGTATGATATCCGGCAAAGGCGACCGGTTTATCAGAATGTTGTATATACGATATTGTCCGAATGGATGTGGATGCTTTAGTTGAACCGCTAAATCATGGAGAACCTTCTCTGACAGAGCTGGTCGCCACTTATCCAATATCTCCCAGGCCCTAGAACTTGGAACAGTGCACAAAAGGGGCACTAAAAGCGGCAGGGTATCGGACGGTACAGTATCCTGGTGATCCAATATATCCACGAATGCACAGCGGTCTGAATAACTACTACCCTGTAGCTTAGAAACCATTCTGCGAATGATTCCGTGCGGTAGTGATAATCGCCAGTTCAAGGCTCGCATTGCATCAACTTGGATACTTATATCATCACATTCTAACAGGCCCTTTATATTTTCTACAATCTTCTCTGGGAGTGGTACTCTGCAAAGGAGCTCTCGTGCTGTAGACCGTAGTTCTATATCTGACCCTTGTAACAATTCTATGAGATCTTGGAGAACCTTCTCTGGTAGGGTGGACTGGCGGAATAGGATATCATGGAATCTATCTGAGTCTCGTGACTGGGATTCGTCTGACTGAAAACGCCTTATTGTATCCTTGAAACAGGCTAGCACTCTCTGTACGATCGGCTCCGGTAGAGATGATTGATTGACTAAGACTTTCGTCACATCGGAGCATCTTTCCGGGTCATTCATGATGTTGGTCATTTCCTGAATAAAATCCTCTGGGAATTGCTTTTGCTTTCTTAAAACATCAATTGCGGCGGATCGGGTATTTAAGTCGGGATCTCGAAATAGGGTCATTAATTTTCTAACAATGCCTTCTGGTAGATCGTCCCACTCAGCTAAAACATTTGTCGCGCCGAACAGCCGTTTTGGATCATCCAATAAATCGACCATCTTTTGCAGAATTGCCTTTGGCAATGTCGGCTTTTGTTTGCTTAGAGCATTGCTGGCGTAGTCTCGGACTTCCAAGTTGGGATCTCCCAATGCATCTACTACCCAATTGAGGACGCTTTCTGGCAGTAAGTTCTGCTTGCACATGATTGACCATACATGATACTGGCCATTCCTATCGGGCCCCTTTGAAACACTTGCTATCCTAAGGAGAACGCTTTCAGGTAGATTATCGCATTGGGATAAGACATCCATGGCAGAATCCATGTTCAAATCAATTATCTCGTGGAGGTCTTTTTCCCGCAAACTCTTTAGTCGGGCCAGAATCCCCATTGCTTTGAACCGGTCGCTTCTCGTGGGGTCATTCAATGGGATTACAATGCTTCGAAGGAGCTCAGGTCTTTCCTCCAAAGCACAGGCGTTCAATATTCCTGCGACATACTTCCAATTGGTGTCCAGTGGATTCTTCAATATGATCAGCAGCTTTTCCATAATTTTCGATGGAAAAGCCGATTGCTTAAGCAGTAAATCCCTGAGGGAACGACCTACAACCACTGAAAGCTCTTGCTCCGCGAGATATCCATTCATGTCCAGTAAGTCCATGATTACCTCTTCTCCAAGAACAGACTGCTGGTTAAGAATCTTTGCTATACCGGAGGACACGCTGTGCTCTAGATTCCTCAACTCAGCTGACAACTGTACGAGGATTCTATCCGATAAGTGTGGGCGATATCCTAGGAAATCGACTATATCAGTTTGGATGTCACAATTCGACTCTTCCAAGAAGGAGACTATCTCTAGAAGGAGTTCGTCTGACAAGATTGACCATTTGAAGAAATATGCCGCAAGCTTACGGACCCGTCTATCGTCGTCTTTGATTGCGGCCACTATCCGGTGAATAGAATTCTCCGGTATGGCATCGCGGTGAGACTCGAGCATGTTAATAGCTTCCCTTTTTATATATGTCGGGACGTCACTTCTCAAGTAGTTATTGGCCACGTGGTTGATGAACCCTAGTGATAGTCTTGGGCGACGTGTTAAATATTTGAGCATCATTGGCGTGTCTACCAAGCAACGTTGCAAAATGAGTTCTGGGAAATCCATGTCAGCGCGTAGGCCCATTCTACGTCCTAAGCGATGTTCGCAAATGAGCCACTGCCTTAGTCGATCTTCTAGATTGCCGCGAAGTCTTCCAAAGTTTATAGATTTCTGGTGTCGCGGAACCTCTGCCAAGCAACGCATAATTAGACGTTGATGTGTGGGACCGTAGAGGTCGTAGGGTTGGCTCTCAATCACCTCGAAGAACTTCTCTATGCCCCCCTTGGAATGGAGTAGACCTGCCACAAAACGCCACACGATATCGAAACGCTGATTATATTTTTCTTTGCGAAGAAAACTTTCAGCGCTCATTCCTAATTGTGGCAATTGCTTGTTAGGCCAGTGCTGCACGAAGTATTGCGCCGTGAAATATTCCTGGAAGGTCATATGTATGAAATGGTAGCTGCCATCCGCACCAACGCTACTATCAGAAGTGCGAAGCAACGAGGATTTATCCAAGTCACTTGACCACACTTCGACCCTTGGTGTAGGGAGGCACGCGGTTAGTGTGTCTTGACGAGCCCAGAACTCATCCATATATTCTGAGTCGAACTCTTGTACGTTTTCGCAGTAAGCGGCAAACGCGAGGGCTTGTAGCACATTGACTTCTCCCTGTACTAGCTTCTGAACATCTTTTCGGTTCGATCTCCAAGCGTCGTTCTTAGAAATCACCTCTAGATTGCCTTCGCGACGCTTTTCTAGCCGAATTATGTCTTTCTTCCAGAGCGCTTGTTCGATGGCCCGGTAGAGCTCGGTCATAGTCGTCGGGGCATTGCCACCGTGGACTGTTCTAGCTTCGAACGTATAACAAAAAGCGTCCAACTGGATGGGGATACGCATCAATCCTTCTATTACCGGATGGAAGTCTAAGAAATCCTGGATCTCAGGCGCATTGTTTGGGGACACGGCTTCAATGTATTGTTCTATTTGGTCACGGTGGAATCCGACGGTCTCAACCACCAGGTCGATTTCCCGAATCCTATTCAGACTAACTGCATACGGCCGTGTCGTGATGATTAATCGGGGTTGGTCTAGAAGATACTGGAACAAATGCGAATCTGACGAGAAAACATCCCGTATTACTTCATCTAGGCCATCAAGAATAAAGAGTGTCCTGCTTTTGTTGCCGGTAAATTCGTCATAGAGTGTATCAACAAGCAGCTTCCCGTCCTTGCAATTGCTAAAATAACGTTCGTAAAGTAATCTTCGGATGTCGTAGTTCTGCTTGTCTCGGCCCTTGAGTTGACGGAGCGGGAGCCAGATAATGCGGTCAATAATATCGGTCCACATATTATGGTAGATAAAGTCGTAAACAATCCTCTTGCAGAGTGTAGTTTTGCCAACCCCAGACTGCCCGCGGATAAGGATACGCCTATAAATCTGTTTTCCCACTAGAAATGTTGTCAGTGGAAAGTGAAGGGCAAATGCACTGTTGAAAATACTGATATGAGACAATACAAGGGAATATAAGGATAGGTGGCAAGGCTTACCACCTAACTTCGGTTGAAAGAGATTCGGTAGTAAGACATAACTCGACTCCCTCGGCTCACGGATGGGTCGGAGTGAGGACGAAGGTGGCACAATGTCTTCTCTCTCTGTGTCAGTTTCGGTATCAGCTCGAGAAACAATTAGGTTAATATAACACTGGCTCATAGGCAACCTCTCATTATCGCCAAGTCGTTCAATAGTGAGCTGCCCAAGCGCCTCGTCGGTGTATTGGTTTCGTATGGTCTGGTCGGCGTAGAATAATTGAGCCTTTCGACAAGTCGGCCATGCCCTATTCAGGAGTTTATCTCCCGGTCCCTGGAATAGCGTCTTCCAATAGCCGACGGATAATTCGTGCGTGCGTATACTGCCTTTCAACTTTGAGGTTATCCGATCAATTCTAGAGGGCTTCGTTAATTTCGCTTGCTCGGCTGTGCCCAAAACTATCTGAACCCATTCTCGGACACGTCTGGATTTGGACATGATACTTTGTTGAGCTAAGAACTCTTTTAACATCGGGACAGTGGGGTTATCTGGATCATCGTTGGCGACCTGCTCTAGCTGTGCGCATAATCCACACAAAAAGTTTTTGTCATGTCGCGATTTAAAATTATCGTTTCTGAGCAAAGACTCGAGGACGACGCGGCTTCCACCTTGGATTAGCAAGTCGGTATAACGCAATGCTAGGTACCATTGCGCTGGCTTCAACACAGTCTCGAAGCCTTCGTTGATATTTGTAACACCGAAAGTTAAGCTTGAGAGGTCGTTGATGGCGTTTATAACAGTCGTAACCAGCTCTGCTACTTCGCCTAGCGCTTCTAGGCCTTCAAGGAATTTTGCGGGATCCAGAGTCGAAACAGAACTGGCTAGTGAGGCGCCAGCCTTAAGTGTTTTATATGCATTTTCCCCAAATTGTTTCCATGGGCTAACATCACCAGGGATCCCTTGTAGGGCCTGGTATGCATACCGTGCAGCCTGGGCGAGGCGTAATTCACGGTGACCGCTAGTATCTTTTAGTAGCTTGAACAGAGGCCGTATCATTTCAACAGTACTGATACCCTTAGGTTTCACTTCATTCATAGCATCTAATGCTGCTGATAGCGTTTGCAGTAGTTGATACTGGATCGTGTCGTCAGCCGTAATGCCAGCTACTGTAAGCCGTTTCTGAATGACCAATATGGCGTGCCCAAGCTCGAGCTCCTTACCAACCAACTTAGCCTGGGAACAGTGCAGTGATGTACTAAACGAAGCCAACAGTTGGATGTCCGGAATACCACACTCGCCCGACGTGCTTGCAATTGAGTTGACAAAGGCCTTAAACAACACAGGGTAGTCCTCTAGACTGGCAAATGGCGACAAAGAGGCAGCCTCAACAGCGTAGGATTTATCTAAGTCATTATAAAATGCGTGTACCATAGAATGTGATAAGGTACGGAGTGCCTCAACTTCTTGTTTCGTTCGGGTCGAATCTGTGGCTCTTTCCATCGACGGATCGCTGCTTAAATTGAAATTTAATTCTCTTAATCGGTCAACAAGCTTCGCCGTCGTTGTTGGCCTAGAAAGGGGCTCTGTTGTTGCCATAGTGAACGTTCATTTTAAGACTATGTCCACAATTTTATATATTCAGTGATCTAAGTGGCGAGAATGTTGGTGATAGATACTCGTAATTGGAATCGGAGTCGTGTGTAAGGCAGAATGAAAAGGCCCACAGTGCCTAGGCGCCCTCATTTTGAGCAGCAGACGCACAGCTGGCAACCCCGCTGCGAGCCCTTTGCACGTACGTGCCCACGTGGCGAAGTAGGTAAATGTAACCAAATGTGTTAATCGCGCGTTAAGCCCAATAGGATTCTCGTAGCTTTTTTATTCGACACTTGTAGTGTAAGAACCAAGATAAATTAAGTAGGAGCAATCATATGAAAACTGGGCGGGGTTGGGCTGGCTATCGTCCGCTCTAGTTGGCTGACAGAATCTGTAATTACGATCAACAATGCATGGGACGGCTGGACGGCTCTAGAAATACCGAAGACCTCGCGATCGCGCGAGTACAGCATAGGTGTCCCGAGAACCGCCACCTGATAAAGCGAACCGCGTCGACAAGATCATGCAGTCCTCACCAGTAGACGCCAATAGTACACAATATCGTCTTCACAAGCGCTGAAGGAGAGTGGGATGTTCACCGCTCTCGGACCCCTTACAAGCCACGTTTTACGCCACTTCGAGAAAAAGAAAAAGCGGCCGAAGCCACCAATCCTACCTATCAATTCCTTAACCTAGTCTCCGATGTTTCCCTGTTGTTAGAATCGCGTTGCCGTCTTCTGGAAGAGAACGCTTCTGCGAAATTGCCTCTAGCGTTAAGGAACCGTTCGGAATAGGCGTGGAAGCGTGTGGTTTTTCAACAGACTGTTGTCGTTTTTGAAGAAATTCTAAGAGCTGACGCCCCCTCTCCCGTACCCTCCCCGCAGGCTTTCCGAATCCCGAGAAGTTAGTGAGTTTTTGGGTAATCCACATCTCAAGAGTCTTCCCAAGGACTTCATTGACTGCGCTCATATCTACGTCGGCGCGGAGGAACTCCTCAGTAACATCCGCCATCTGAATGATAGCGGACGGATCTGAGGTCGAGATGCCCTTCAATTCTTTCAACCAGCGTATCCAAGGTGTGCTTCTAAAAGCCGTACGACCCATGGGTTCCGGCGTCTCGTTTGGACTGCATCCCTCGTCGATGAGAAATCGTACCATTGATGTCGAGACTGGTAAATCCTTCAAGCAGTCCTCGCTTATTGTAATATAATTAGAAAAGGATCTGCTCACGGCATGATAAAGTAGAGAGATACCTGCGCGCTGGGGGTGCGGCGAGAGATATTTACGATTATCATAATGCCGAAGAAAGTTCACCATGCCGAGTTCAACCGCGACAATGACAGTGGGTGGTACCAGCTTTAACTCATGAACCCACGGTTGAAGGAAGTCGATACCTAGATCCTTGGACATTGAGTCTTTCAGGAGATTGAAAAAATCCGCGAACTTCCAAAATACGGGTAGTATGGAATCGGGAATTTCTTGGTCTGCACGAGCTGCACAGAGAAATACGTCACGCATGTAATTGAGGACGCCGCTCTTCCCTGCTAACTGGGCTGAATGGAGCGACATAGCGGATAGTACTGCGGCGGCGCAGAATGTGCTATCATCAATCTGCAAACATTCAAGATCCCATACCTCCAGATTGTCTAAGAATTCGAACACCGTTCGGTGCATAAACTCCACGTTCGCATCAATATTTGTGTCATGCGCTTTACAATCATATACAATGTTGCATTCGGTCTCATGCGTAAGCGCTTGGCAGAAACAAAACATGGAATCGTTTGATGTAGGGCGCGAGAATTCAAGGAGGCCACCGCATCGACTTCGAAGGCGTCCTTCAAGGAGTAGGCATTTTGCTCGGCGCTGTTCGTTGCTGTAAAATTCATAAGATGGCATCTGGGTTAGATCAAAGTCATGTTCATCAACCAAGGAGAGTCCTAGGGCAGGTATTTTCTTTGTTCGAAGCATCAAGTGGCCATGGTAGCAAATTTTGAGGAATTTAGCCGTCTGTCTGCGGTACCGGGAATCTACTCTCAGTAACATCAGTTTGAATAGGTTGTCTAACTCCGGTGGTAGCTCGTCCACGCGGCGGCGTAACTCCGATATACGGTCAAATGCGGCGAATCCATCGAGAAGAGAGCGACACGCCAATACTACCCATAAAAATACTCCCGAAGCCTTCTCAACCAACTCATTAATAATCCGACCGGTTTCCTTTGGATCAGCTAATTGGAGTGCCGTCATATATTCGTGGTCTCCAATGACATCCTGAATATATGCTATGATATCTTTCCTTGTCAAATCCTGCATGCGAAGCTTCGGATATTTTGAGAAAGCCGCTTCCATGGCGGGTTCCGGTCGACTGGACACAATAACTTTCATGTTACCACCGCTAGTAAGAGTTTTGATAAACGATATACCGTCCATATAATTCCCCGCGAATTCGTCTAGACCGTCAATGAAAAAACAGAATTTCATAGAGTCTTGGCGCCGAGCCAATTTTGTAAATATCTCTTCCATTTCCTCATTAGGGAGTGGTGAGATATCACCCCGGTCATAGATTCCTTCCCACATTCTCGGCAACAGCTCCTTTATGAGGGATGGCTTTGAGTCAAGAACCTGGTATAATAGTGCCCTGACAAGACCCTTTTGAGATTTTTGCTCCTCGCTGCCGATGTTCCAGAAGAAAAAACTAGCCATTACCCACGGCGTGTCTCCAGCCCATTCCTCAATGATCGACTTAGTTTTATCATGATCATATATGAACTTCATCAAAGTAGACTTCCCACTCCCGGCCTTCCCGCCTAGCCAGTAGGTACCTGATCCCGTGCGAAGCCACTGAGAGATATTGTCGCATATTCCTGTTGTCTTACTGGGTTCCAACGCCCAGTGAAGCGTGTATTTGTGTGGTTGGGAGACATTGTGCTGTCTGTCGTTCATGCTTTGATACCCGATTATGTCCAAAATTCGTAGTTCACAGACCCTCTCCTTTGCGAGAGTGACGACGCCATCCCTAGGCTTGGAGTCGATTATCAGTTGCAGCCGTTCTATTGACCGGATGAGTCGTATGTCATCCTTCATCATACTAGCAGTGGTCTCTGGGGTATCAGGCAGCAGTTCATTTAGTCTCGACACAAAGTATGAGACATCGTTAAGTAATTTCTCAAATTTGCCCTTATCTCGGATGACCCAGAGAATTTTGTTCCTCTTTGATTTGGAAACTCGGCGCGCCCCCTCTCGATTTGATTGCAATGTCAATCTTTTGAACCGAAAAATGAAATCCGTCGCGCGCGGGCTACTAATAGTAGGCGAAACTTGATGATCTCCGGCATTAGACTCCACCAGGCCGTATCGTTTACGGACTTTATCGGACGCGGATAGAAGCTCATAAATATTCAAAAGAACGTCTTCTACATCCTTTCGAATCGCTAGATTGTCTAGGCGAGAGTCCCAAGTTGAATCTGCGAGCTTTACTCTGTCTGCCCATTGCAATAACAGAGTCTTTTCGACATCTAATTTCGTGTTCAGTATTTTGTAGTCGCTTTCAAGATTTTGACTAGCAGTTATGAAAGAAAATAAATCGATGCAGTCTTTGAAAACACCGATTAACGCAATCGCGCTCAGGCCAAGGCCCACGGCTTCTGCCATGACTACCCACCTAGCTGCTCGTTTTCTAGAGAGAATCGACGAGAGCGTTGAACTTGCGAGCTTAGAACCCTGAACCTAAACCATCCCTAAAGGATGAATTTACACCTTATGTAAAGTAGCAATGGAACCAGAGGCGATGCTATACGAGATAGGCGCAATAGCCCGCCTGCATGCAACGTCTAGTCTGGCATACTGGTTATATTGTATGCATAGCCTCTGCGCAGGGCAAGGCTATAGAAACACTGCCTCATACGCAAGAAGGGCAATTGGTAGCTTTCTTTGATGGACGTATGATACATGCTCATTGCGCCTCCTTGTAGGCACCTAGGTATTCAATGGTGCGAAGGAGAATTCAGAACTCGACATATTCTTCAGTATCTAGGAGGTAAGCGAATAACAGGAGGTGGGTACCTAGGTAGATACATCAAGTTAGAAATGACGTCACTCCCACTTTGTGCAACGAAATGACATCAGTATCTAGGTATGTAATGGCTTAAATAATAAAATTGTTCAAGTTCCTCAGCATCAATTCTTCAAATCTTTGTAAAATCAATCTGCCTAGTGCTCAAATTCAGTATTTAGTCTTCAATTAAGAGAACTATTTCAAAAAGCCAAATTAAACACGCACCATCTATATATTACCTCAATCACAATGGCATCCACCGGCAACCCCACTAGCGGCCTCCAGCGCGAAGCCGAGCTCCAGAACTCCTCCGGCACGTCCCAGACGGGCAAGAGCAACATCATGAACGACGGATCCATCGTCACGTCTTCCGACCCAACTACCCACCCATCGGCCGGCGCAGGTCAGAAACTCAAAGGCGACGTCAGCGGCGCCATCAGCGGAAGCGTTGGTAGCTTGCAAGCTGCCACGGGCGCGATGTTCCGAAACAAGGGTATGGAGGAGAAGGGACGAACAAAGATGCAAGAGGAGGATGAGCGACTGGGTGCTAAGAGGGGAGTTATGCCTGTTGGATCGGGACAGAGACATACTACGGAGGGTGGTAGTGGTACTGCTTAATTGCGGTTGTGAGCTAGGAAAGGGTTGAGTTTGGGCAGTTGGTCAGTGTGTATGAATAGAATAAAACATGATACCAAAACGATCAGACGAGATATCAGGAATTGAATTTCTTTACAAGATAGTTCTTCATTCTCTCCATTGACAATGTATTGATGATATCTTTCGATTTAGATTGAGCTGGTTGCCAGTTCTAGTGCTTGGCGCTCAATTACACTGGCTGACTGAGCTAAGACTCCTACAGCTACAATGCTAGCGCCAGTAACCATCGAAGCTGCAAGACTCGAGAACACTACCCTAACCCACTCCATCCGTAGATATTCCTTTGATACAAACGATTACGATGCAATTAATTGTTTCAATTACTCCCTTACTTCCCATCGGACCACTTGCTCCAGCATCTTCCCAATCGGGACGTAACCAACCAATCACACCGCAGCCCAGGCAGCTGTCACAAGCTCCCCACAATGATGCAACCAAGCAAGTTGAGTGAGCCTCATATTTCGTCATGACTTCTTCACCTCCAGCACTCAACAAGGTGCCAACTTACGTTTTCTAGGCCGCAAAATGCAAGCCGACGGCATGAATAAAAGAGGTCAATGGCTCCCAGCTCATCCAGTAGAGCCGGCCCTTATGCAATCTCGTGCTTCGATGAAAACACTGAGACGTCATGATCTCACTGTTTGTACGAGGCATCTCTCACCATAAGAAGCTGCTGCTGTCTGGCGTAGTATTGAGAGCTAGTGTTTCTTCACTTCATCGACCTCAACACTTAGGACTTTGTGCTATACCATCGATATACAACCAAAAGCAGTCCTCTAGTTCTAGATTATTAAACCCAATACAAACCATCAGAATGTCATCCACCAACAACCGCAACGAGCCCTTCTCCCGAAACAAGCTCTTCGACCTCAAAGGCCACGTCGCCCTAGTCACCGGCGGCGGTTCCGGAATCGGGTTAATGGCAACCCAAGCCCTCGTCGCCAACGGGGCTAAAGTCTACATCACTGGCCGGACCAAGGAGAAGCTAGACCGAGTCGTAGAAACGTACTCCCAAGGCCAAGGGTCCATCATACCCATCACATGCGATGTAACCGACAAACAGCAAATCAGCAATCTAGTCAAAGAAGTCTCTTCCAAGGAAGAATGTCTCTGCATCCTAATCAACAACGCCGGGATCTCCGGCTCAACTCTACAAACTGAAGCTTCCTCCGCGAAGGAAATGAAAGAGAACCTATTCGACAGCAAGAAATCTACAGTTGAAGATTGGGTTGATGTATACCGGACCAACGTCGCGCAGATCTATTTCGCGACCACGGCATTCCTCCCACTGTTGCAGATGTCCGGGCAAAAATTCCCCGGATGGTCCGGGACGGTGATTAATATCACATCGATTAGCGGGTTAGTGAAAACGGCGCAGCACCATTTCGCGTATAACGCGTCGAAGGGCGCCGCGGCGCATTTGACGCGGATGTTGGCGAGTGAGATTGCGGCGAATGAGTTGAAGATTAGGGTTAATTCGATTGCGCCGGGTGTATTTCCTAGTGAGAGTGAGTATTTCTTCAAAGTTCACCATTTTCCCGCACTTAATCTTTTCCTGTGTAAATACTACGAGTGCCGAATAGGGCGACTCTCCTATCTAACATTACCGATAATATTCGTGAAAGCTAGATGCTAACTAAGCGACAGTGACGACGGAAGGAAGCAACGAAGACCAGAAGAGCCATATCGAAAAAGAAAAGTATGCGAGCAAGGTACCAGCAGGCCGTCCCGGCAAAGACGACGACATGGCGCAGTCGGTACTATTTTTCGCCGCAAACCAGTACCTCAATGGCCAAAATCTGGCCGTCGACGGTGGGTATACTCTTGCAGCTGGAGAGTAAATGAAACCGTCATCGACAGTAATGGCTAGAAGGTTCTAGAATTCCTAACACGGTGTTCAACTTGAGTACGTGTAAGTACCACACGAGGTAAACACAGGAACGCGTAAACAAGGTAACCGAAAGGGAATATTGGGCGTATGGGCAAGTTGGTCACATGCATGCGTCTGTGTCAATTGACTCAATTGAACGGCGATAATGGTGAATTTAGCATAGACAAAAATCGAATTGATAGCCAACCCAATCCATCAAATCCGACCATCAAGGTTCGAATTTTGTTCAATTTTTCGCCAAGAGAGTGGCGTTGCGTCTTGCTATCGCATTGAGCTTATCTGACCCCAAGTAGATCCGATCGGGATCTACTACGACGCAATAGCGAGGCATTAATATACCTTAACCATGACATCAGAATGAGAGTTCGCACTCATATGCTTGTGCTTTAGGTGTCAAACTGTAATTTCCGTTGGGATGCATTTAGTGTTTGGGAACAGTACGATCGAGTTAATTTTAGAAATATCATAGTTCGGCATTTCCATTGACTTTCGCTACCGGCATCTGGAATAGGGGCCGCGTCCATTTTTAAGGTACTTCATGATACAGGTATTTTCCCCTGGCACGAAACCGTAGATTTATGCCACGTTCAGGGTCTGGGTTCTCGGAAATTCTATTCCATATCGCACTTGAAGTTTCACGGTGTTTCTAACCATTTCCTCAATTACTGATTGAACCGAGAATGCAAACATGCGCATTCCACACTTTGTAAACTCGTCCGTATTGTGCCTATGGATCCTGTAAAGAGCACTCATCCATGTACCGGCGCGATGTTACGCGGTATTGAATTGAACTGCGGGGCCCCGTTTCTCGAGACCCATGTCCTAGTAATACGTAGTACGGTACGGTACGGTAGGGCGGATACGTAAGCAGGCATGTGGATGTATGTAACTTTAAACCCCCCGTAGCTGTACGCTGACCTCACGATGCAGCAGCACTCGGGATAAGAAACGTACGATGGCTATGGTTCAAATTCGGTATTGGTATGTTGTAGTAGTAACAATGTGTACATTTACGGGCTCAATTACCCGTGCATGCAGATTGCGTATAGTCATGGAAGTATTGTGTAGATAGAAGAGTAAGAGTGAAAGCGGAATGACATCACGGACAAATTTAAGGTGCGATGATCTACGCCCCGAATCCCACTTCACTATTGCTGATCCGGTAGGCGGCATGCTGATGGCGCTAAAGTAAGGGACAATAACGGCGGCTTGGTAGCGCGTACCATAAGGCTGGAAAACGGGATTGAGTTAACTTCTCGACTCAGATCGCGTCTTTGGCGATAATGTTTACTATAGTCAAAGGTCCTAAGAACATATCACGCGGTGTTTCAAGCAATGTTGACCAATAAACGATTCGCTTGTCAGAAATATGTATTCACTGATGGAGATTGCCAAATTCAACGCTGACGTGACACTACATATAAGCTGGAGATATCTCCAATGTTGCATCCAAGAGGCGATGGCTAACTACCTAGGCAGTCGATCCATGCTTCCACTTAAACGCCAAGCGTTTCTGTAATATCGCTGTGATCGATTGCATCCTCCTATAGTGGCTTCTAAAGCCATCATTCTGCCGTTGAAATGAAATCAAAACAAAAACAACCTCGTTCTGTTGGGCCAATATAACTCCATAGATGATGCAGAGGTATCCTTAATGAGGGCGAAGCCCAATCCGTCCGAATCCGTACCGAATGAGCCTGACCAACCAACCAACCAACCAACCATTAAGCCGACCACCTTCCAGTAGACCGAAACGAAAAAGATGAAAAGAATTCATGGAGTAGAGTAACCATAGGGGCGGGATTCTGCTCACTCCGGGTATCATTGAAATTCTGTTATGCTGTGTACCGATGAAGACCAAAATCCCTCTTCCGTGTGATGTGATGCCAGTAAAATGAGCCGCAGCCCCAAAAGAAAAACCAGTAAACCCGGGGAAAACAAAAGAAAGAAACGCTGAGGACCAATCGAAATGGTCGTGATTCAATCGCTAGTAGGATAGCCCGTCTGAGCTTAAGTATGCACAAATCGTAAAAAATATCCGAATATTAAAAAAAAAAAACTCAAGATGTCGTATGTCTAATAAGTATTCCTCAATGCGATGGTCCATGCCTGATGGATTGACATTATGAAAAGGCATTAGTCCCGTTGGTAGGGAGGGTAGCGGGCCATCCAGTGCTTGTCAAGCCAGCCAACCTTTTCAAAGGCTGTCCAAAGCTTGGATGCTTTGTTGACATCAATCTTGCAAGCCTGCTGAGCATCTGTCTTGCGAAACTCCTTGCCCACACCAAGACACTCGCGACGTCTCACAAACATTCTTCGCTTGCTCGTCAAGTAGGTGGCGCAATCAAGTCTGAGATTCGCAGCCAGCGCGATCTCATCAGGATGCAGAAGGTCGCGCTGAGGATCATTGCTCAAGTCAATCGGGGTACCCTTCCAATCAACCTTGAGGCTGTTGGGCCTGTTCGGAAGCGAGTCCAAAGGTGGACAGTAGTCGGCGATCGATTGGAAATCCTTGTCCTCTCGGTTAGGTGCAACAGCTCGGCGTTGTGAGGGGTCCGGTGTCGCACTAGGGACGCGGTTCGAAGGTTGACCTGAGCCCGAAACAGGGTACGATCGGATCGGGCGTGGAGTAGCAGCGTGAGCCTGTGCCGCCTTCACAACCTTGGCGGGCTTTGTAGTCTTCGTACGCTGCGTCTCCTTTCGAATTTGTGGTGCCTTGGCAGGGAGTAGTGGCTTTGGGTTCTTGAACTGGTTGTTGCGCGATCCGGCTCGTCGATCCGATAGCAACCACCCGCGTTCTCGTCGCAACCATCCCTTCGGGTCTTGCTTGTAGGGATCCATCATTCGGGAGTTGAAATAAAGGAACAACTCGTAATCCTCTCTGTTAGGCGGACTCGTCGCTCTGAAGAGATTGGCTGGTCGCGCAATGACATGCTCGTCTACAATTCGGTGGACATCGATGGGTTCATCCTGGCCAAATAGCGGTTGTTGCTGGGGCGAGCCAGTGACATCTTGTGAAGGATATAAAATAGGATCCTTGACGGGACTGCTGGCCGGCATGATATTGATAGGGTGCTCATCGGTCTTAGTAGCAGGGGAGATAGGAGGCGACAGCGGGGGCATCGGACCCATTCGTCGAACTTCAGAAACGGTAGGACCCATAGATGCGGAATCCCGTCCTTGAGAGAATGAATCGAATTTTGGAGGTTCGGGTGGTGACATGAGGTTGCTGATGTCGAGAGGCTTCTTGGGCGCCGACTCAGTCGTTGATGCCATCATAGGCTTGTCCATCATGCGAGAAGGAGTTTGACGGGAGAAAGTGAATTGTGGGTTTGTAGAAATATGAGAGACGAAGGCAGAAGTATTCACCGCAGTTGGCGACGTTGGTTTGTCAGCCATTGTGTGTTGAAGTGATGGTGGCAAATCAGGCAGAAACCCAATTGCGAATGAATTGATTCGTCGATGGGAAGGTTAGGAAGCACACGGTTTAAGCAATTATAATTGCGACCGTGAAAAAGATGTTGTTTCTAAATTTTATAGCTTGTTTCCTTTGGCAGGATTGAATTGAGTTATGCTGCGTTGCGTTGGATGTTGTAAAGTCGGGGGGAGAGGTTCATAGATATAAGTATTGGTAGAGGTGTATGTATGTATGTATAGGTGGGTAGGTGTGTGGGTGTGTGGGATGTATCAGTGTAAGTGGAAGAACAAGGTACACCGGGTCCCTTCAAATAGTGGTTGGAAGTAGGAAGAATAACGCAGAGCTTGGTCTCGGAGATAAGCTGGCATAAATAAGGTTTCCCTTGTTGTGGCTATAGCGCTGTCGTCCCAAATCAAAAATAATTAGGGACTTGAATGAGCACTTATTAGGTCAACAATTGGCATTGACTTTTTTTTCTGCACGGTCGTCCTTCGTAGCGTCGAAGAAACTTGATGAATGTGCGTTGTTCGTGAGTGAAGAACCACCATTTGCGGGGGATGTTCCAAGGGTGCCCGCGCGATTATAATATCTAAACGCCGAGAAATATGAACGCGCGCGCAAAGAAAATAAAATCGGGAGAAATATAAACCACTGGTGGCAAATAAATGCGGAATGTGAGATATACCTTCTGCGCACGATTGAGTAAGAAGGCTAAAACGAATATGTAGAAGGAAGAAGTAAAAAGTGGAAGAAGTTGGTGAGGTTGAGGAAGTTGTATGTAAACAGATTCAAGTTGGACCCGGTGGTGAATATCAGGGTCGGGAAGTATATAGGTAGAAGTAGATAGCAACTCTTAGAGTTGGAGGGGGGAGAAAAGAGAGAGGAACAAGACTACAAGCCCCAAAGTCCATGTACTTAGTTTTAACAATGGTGACCTTTCAAGAATTTGGTCTGTTTGGGGTCCGTACTTCGTCGGATATAGACGTGGATGCGATCTGATGGTGGTGTCGTCGAGGAGTCACACTTCCCTCCTCCAATAGTCATCATCTGTGAGCACTGGTACCTAGGAAAGTCATAAGGTAGCCTGGAATAGGGCAGACGCGGCGTGTCGGGCGCAGGGGTGGGACGCATTGGCGTTGGCTTTATTTTTGGGGACTGTGTGTCCTGCGTGCAAGCAGGCAAGTCCAAACCCCCAGATTACGTACCTTAAGGATGTACCGCAAGTACCTTGCGTGAAATGGTACAAGCGTATCGGAAAAGTGACCCTGCTCCACTCTTGGCTTCCATCGGCCACCAACGGGATCTTCATACATTTTGGAGATCATGTCACCTCCATATTGTATGTATTTCTCCCATACTGTTTGCACTGAAATAGGTACTTATCTATCCGTGGATGTGTGTAAGCCATCCGGTACTCAAACCATACACCTGGATAGATAGGGATATACACGTACAAGGGTACGTACCTGATCTGGTGAGCGAAATTCGATGCTATTCGGAATCTCGTCAAAAACAAGACAGGCACCGTACACAAAATAATGTGACCCGTCAGAGCATTGACAAGTTTCCCAACTCAATTGTGCTTCACAAGCGACGCAATGGGGAGGGACACAGCTTGACGATTTTTTGCAACGTGATCAGGCTTCAATGGAGAACAATCGCGAACATGAAAAGCTGGTGCTGGTAGTTGAAGAGTGAGTGGGGGCCTTTGCGGAACGAAGAGGGGTGTGCCACACGCACACTTCCTTCGCCAATCTACCAACCTGCCAGCCTACCATTTGGTAGACTAACCGTAGTGGGCATGTACATACCTACTCAGGTATGTCAGGTATATGAGGCATGTCAGGTTTGTCTGGTTGTAGTCCCCCCCAGATAGAAGCCCAACTAGGGTACGACAAGAATTTGTCACGTCAACGGTGCTTGCAACGCGCGGGGTCCAATCGTAGGAAAGAATTGGAGGGTTCAGTTCTGCCCGGTTCGCGGGAATCTCTTAGTGATAGGAAAGGAAAAGGAGGAGATGGAGATAAAGCCTGCAACACTGGGAACGCATGGCAGATTGACGTCGATGGGGTTGATGGGTCGACGGGAATAATCAAGGCGCACGAGATTTGCGCAAGATTAGGCACCGTTACTTACGGTAGTCGACGAATCTCTGTAGTTTTCTTGTTTACGAAAGACCGGCCAGAACCTTCTCTGGCGAATTGGTCTAGTCTCTCCTCTTCTAAGAAAAGGTCCTGGTGCCCAAAGTTTGGAATTTCTAAGTGGACCGAGAACTTGATCGAATACGTTGGTGAAAATTGCGACAAGAATGGGAGTGGAATTGTGTCGTGTCACGAAACGTCTGGCTATCGCCCATTCATGGACTCTTCAGATGCGATTTGTCCAAACCAGGTGTTTCGAAACGGTTGGCCAATTGCCAACCAAGGCAATATCAACACATTGTTGATGAACAAAAGAGTTTCGCGAGTTTCTTCATAATTGACCTATATCTGACATGTCATCATCCTGTTAGCCAGCGATTAGTGCCAAGCTTCAAATTTACACAGGTAAACGAGAGTACAGTATATCGAGAGGGGAGGCTTAACGTGTAGCAGGATACAGCATAAATGTCAGGGCTACGGTAATGAGTACATGGTAACGAGTGGGTAGTTTATAGTATGAGGGCTTTACATGAATCTCAGGGATGAAACAACAGGGCGAATGCTTTAAAGCTATTTAATTGTGCAAATGAATGAATGTTATGCAACGGGCAGGAGAATTTCGCGGCGGAATATACTTATTTACCTTAATTGATAATTTGATTCCAAACAACTGCCGCCCAGTTCATTTTTCTCCGGGCTGGCTTGAGATAGTAGAAGGATGGATCCTGATTTATTACCCAGGTAGGTAGGTATTAGAGCTGGCACAACCGGCGTCTTCAACGGTGGAATGTGATCCGTGCTGGAGATAAAGTTGTCATCCAGAATGGGTAGCCTGGCATAAAAAAAAAACCATTAAGTACAATGCCGTTCGGTTCCTTGCATTGATAGATGACGGAATACTCGAAAGCGGGCTCGGCGGATACAGCGGCTACCCGTAAGGCATTTTTTCCTTGAAACAAGATGTAAGTACCTAATAAGCAGGCAAGTCCCGGGAAACGACGCGATTTGAGCAGGCAATTGGATTGACGAGGGAACAACTGGATGAGCGAAAGAGGGGAAACGGGAAGGGGGAAGCAGGAAAGATAGAACTGCCACCTCATTCACCTAGACCGAAGCAAGTCAGAGGCGAATTGGAAGCTACCGAAACGAATTGGCCAATCAGAAGACCAATTGATGGAGATGAGTGTCCATAATTGGGTGGGTTCAATCGAAGCTGAAAGGCTTCGGGAGCTTTTTCCTGTGAGGAAATGTGTAAGTGTGAGTCATAATGGCGAGAACGGGCAGCGAGGCGAAGAAGGGAAAATAATTTGAGAAAATAAAAATAGGAGAAGGGGGAAATTGGAAAAAATTGTTGTTACTAAAGTGTGATAAATGCTTAACAATTCTTTTTTTGGTGAGGGGAAAGAGAGAAATCAGTGTCGATTACAGCCCATTCGTCGCTTTTGCCCACCTGTCATTGGGTAGATACGAAAGGTAGATTAACTAATTATTTCCCCCTTAGGCTTAGCTTAATTCAATTGGTAGGTGTGGTAGGTGGGATTTTACACTTCCTTCCAAATAATTAATTCAATTGCAAGTCAATTGATAAGCCCACCTGAAAACCCAATGCAAGCGGGCAGGCTGCAAAGCTACACCATCCATCCATGGGATTGGATGTACTCTTTTTGAAGTGTAAGTACCACTACTAGTCCCCACATCATCTGGTACATACTCCCCCCAAGTGAACATTTTAGCCAGTCACGACGTGTGTCATATGCTAAAGTCACAAGCCACCCGCTAACGTAGCCCATTAACGGGGCGTAGCGCAGCGGGTGTGTCAGGGATGCTCAGGGATATCCCCAGGCAGGCTGGCAGGCTACATACATTATGTACAGATCGATTTCACGATTTTACGATTTTACTTCCAATCCAATCCAATGAATGGGCAACCCCAGATCTCTCTCAAATGCGTATGTGGTGGTTAGGCACGTACATTCCCATGTTCTATTTTGTTTCGTATCCTATCGTACAGGTAACCCGTATAACACCGTATATATTGAAGATAACGTTCAAATCAATTCCCTCCAATTGTTTCTTCCTATTCCTAGGCACCTACAGTAATTAGTATGGAGTACCATACCGCTCTCGCAATGCTGACGATATCTCCTCTGTTGCCTAATCTAGACCCGACCTCTTCTTATCCCGGTTCCACGGAATAAGGATAAGGATAAGGATGATGATGACGATGACGATGACTTACCCATCCTCGTGGCGACGGCGATATCAATTGCAATAATCCCCATTAGCGTCAATTAATCCTAGCAACTTATTAAATATACCTGGGTTGCTATCTAATTCACCTTGGATTTGTCAACATTTCCACCCGGACTTTAGCGGTTTTATAACCCATGGCAAAGTCCAGACATTTATTATAAGTCATCAACCTCGTTAGGATTATTGGATTACTTTTGACATTTCCCCGACGGATCCGGAGAGTCATCAATTTCCAGTTTCGCCTAGTTTTCTTTACAGTCGGTTCTTCGTTACGTTTAATCTATCCGCTTGCCCCAGCTTCGCCTCAAACGTATTCTCTTGTCGTCGTAATTCGCCGGTCGTGTGGTGGGAAGGCGACTCACACAAATCCGAATGCGCCCGAACTGTGTGAGGAGTCAAGGTGGATAGGTGAGACGTTTTCGAAGCTACCTAATAAATTCAATGAGCTGTGGTGCGACAAGGACATTGGCGTAGCCTACCCAAGGTAAGCAGGCACCTTGCTTGTTCTATTCGTCTAGAAGGGCGATGGATACACAAGTTCACAGGATTATGCCCAATAACAAAATGACGAAAACCGAATTGCAGATAATTATCAACAGCTCACAGCCCATCCCTTACATGCGGTCTCTTCATCCGGCTGCCTTGAGGCTAACGAATAGGCACCATTCTCAATTCAATCGGATTGTCAGACATTTACGAAAGAGAAAGAGAAAGAAAAAAGTACTGATAAGATCCAAAGTCTCTTCGTAATGTTTCGAACTCAATTGGCAAAACAATAAGCTCTTGGAGACGTCGGCCTTCTCAATGGTCTAAGTCAATCTGGCCAACACTTGGGTAAGAAACAATGACATATCGCATAGTTCAATTGGCTTCGGCATTCTCTTTCATTTATCAATTGCGGCCCAATTGCCGGCATGGTTACTTCATATACATATACCATGGGCAAATGACGGGATACAGACCAAGACCTACACATTACATGTCGTTTGCCTCACTCAACGTTGAAGCAGGCTGTTGTTGGCTGACTGACTAGGACTGGCTCTCCTCGCAAGTACCGAGGACCATAATACGAGAAACACAGGAGCCTAAAAGCTATTGCCTAACAATCTCCATCAATCATAATTGTATGACTTGGAGTACTTTCAATTCAATCGGTTGATATTACATACTGTGGCTGGCGCATTCACGCTTATCGTCACAGCATTCTCGACTATTTGTCCTACAGTCGTGACAAATCTTTCCATATACAACTTGGCTATGTGCATACGTACAGCTCGTCCACATGACCATACCCTACCATGCTAAGGAGGTGACGGCGCGAGCCTTTAGATGTGTTGATCAGTTCGTCTAGATCCGTCTTAGCCGTCTTTTCCTTCTTTTAGGGCGCGGGATGTACAATACATACAAGACATACATACACATTACATTCTGTAGTGTAGGTCTAGTGTATGCCCGTATGTTCTTTACGGTAGCTGATGTAGCATCGGGCGTTACAGTACGTACGTATTTGTACCTATTAGTTTGGGTACCTTCGTACTATTTCTGGTCATCCATCATCCATCAACACATCTTATCGTTATCTCTCTTTCTTTGTTCTATTCCAAGACACACCTCCACTACCAAAGTTGATCACGTTTCTCTTGTTGAGGACATAGAGGTTGTCACTTGACCTTCTCCCCCGTACGGTTTTCTCATCACCCGAGACATGTCCGTACCATCCCAAACAGTCAGGCGCTTCTACCATATCTACTACCGTTTTCTCTAATGGTGTGTTCAATTTCATTTTCGAAATGGGGAATCCACTTTCACATGTTGGAGAAAAGGCTGGTTTCATAAAAAGCGACCTGAAGATGAACAACCCCGCTGTTCCATTCTCTCCCAATGCCACCGATACAATGCTTAGGTATCCATTACCCCGCCTGTCCGTGAGATTGATACATGGATGGACCGATGGAGAGATGTAATTCCGCATTATCGATAGACTAGGTAAGAAGTCGATCATCGTAAGAGGTTAGAGGCTGTCGCGCGTTGTCGCTCATCACTCGTTGCTCTTGATGCTTCTCTCCACACACCCTCTCCCCCTATTTTCAATACTCAACCCCCTATTCACCCCCCTTTTTCCTATCACAATCTAGAAGTGGTATTCTAGTTAAATCCCCAAGGCTGACATCTCACATTCTGAAAATTTGGATGAGTGAGAAAACTTTGTAATCTGTCATCTTTTTCAATGTAATCCCGATCCTACATTCATCGAATTGAATGAATTTCAATTCCGATGTCAGAAACGACCCCCTCCTCATGTTGGTACGATACCATACTACTACCCCTGATCCATTGTGGACCTAACGGATGAAGGGGGTTGATTATTATATTGCACCATCACTTTAGTCACCTCTCCTCTCCCTCTATCTAGAATTGACTAAGTCTATAGTCTCGCATTTCCATCCTCCCATGCCCCTGCTCTCACGTAATCCCCTCCCCGCACCGGCCCGTACTATTGTTTATCAGACCCATCAACTCGGGTCACTCCTACGCTTCTGTATCGTCAAAGGGCAGGCGACTATGTTGGTTAGCGTGAGGTGTCACCACCGCAATTGCATGGGCTACTGGTCACCTTACCGCTGGCCCCAAGACAACGGCTAAGGGGTCCAGCATGCATTGGCTTAGACGCCCACCACCACCCCTTCTTTTGTTCTAGTATGTATGTGCCACCATTGTCGAACTAGTGAATCTGCACTCCTCTCTAATGATTCTTTTTTTTACTTTTAATTCAGTAATCGTTAGATCAACGTCTTTCCCACGGCGCCAAAAAATGGCGGTCCGAAATCACCCCCGTCATATTTACAAGGTGGCTCCCATAGTGTGTCCATTTCCGGCCTCACCCGTGCCGCGTTGGCGTTGGCTGGGTAGCTAGGTAGGTAGGTACGGTTGATCAAATACTTACAGCCTGCGCCGTTACTCTACCGTTTGTTCGAGATCTTCGGCGGGCGGCAAAGACCCGGGCCATCCAATCGAGCGCTTCTCACCATGCATATCCCATGGAATTGACCCGCATTGTATTGCTTGCTTAAAAAGTTCATATCGGCGAGCGAGCAGCGAGAGTCGCTATGTAGGGTTGCACGATGCCGTTTTAGGCCAGATGTGCTGTACGACAGAATCCGCCGTTTGAAGTTTTCATTTAATTACAATGCGGTTCGCCCAATGCTCTAAAATGCTCGAGGTAGGCTACTCACGAAACTTCTAGCATTCAAAGTCTACCTCCTTAGAGGTAGGTAGGCACTTTACTACGGCTTATTAGAGCGTTTACCTCACCACTCGGTTTTTTGGACGATCTTCTTGGCCGGTGCGCTCGCTGTACCCTGGCTAGTAAGCTGTGACTACTCAGATTTCTCTGTTCCTTCTGAAGGGGATTCGCCGATTTATCCCGTTCAGCTTGAAACGAACCATTGGAGACAGGGGCAAAGCGTGGTGGTTCCTACGACCCGTTCACAGGCTCAGAGTCTACTAGACAAGATCTCTCTCTCAACCCTAAGAAGTCACTACCTAACATTATCGAATTCCTGGAGGACTGTATATAATGGCAGCATACGATACTTGGACAAGCACGCTCTATCCCTCGGAGAAGTTTGTTGAGGCGTGCGGAGCTGTTGTGTTTGACACTTCTGAAAGGCCAAAACGAATTCTACTATTGTACCACGCCGCGGACGACGAATGGCTGTTGCCGAAAGGGAGACGCAATTGCAACGAATCTCGAAAAGAAGCGGCCATACGAGAAATTCGTGAAGAGTCGGGGTACGACATTAAGATTTGTCCGATGACTATGGCTACCCGAGCTCCGGCTGAGGTGGAATTGGCTGGTGTGAAGGATGTGCCACGGATCTACGATAGCTTGACTGAACCGTTCATCCTAGATGTTCGAGACCTAAGCAAAGGCAACGAAGTAAAGTTGGTGTGGTGGTTCATTGCAGAACTAGACGGATATGCAGGGGAGGGAGAAGTACAGTTCAAGCCCCAGTTCTTCCCGTGTGACAAGGCCGTCGAGAGATTGACGTTCCAGAAGGATCGCGAGGTGCTATTGAAAGCACTGGAGCTCATTGCGCACGCAACCGAGAAGCGCATAAGACCTGCAGAGAGCGGCGTTGAATTGGCCCATGGGGGTAAAGATGAGCTTCTGGTTTCACCGTCTGATACTACTCTAGAGCCTACCGTCTAGCCAAGGTGTGAAAATGACATATCACTTAATAAAATATTCTTTTAATTATGCCTCTCATTCCGATCAGACGCCGGACTAGAAGATCAGAGACTAGCCCTTGGCTCGTGCCAATATATCAAGCCTTTTCTCGGTAAAAAACTTACCCGTGTTCGGAGGGTTCTCCGGCAACTACCCATGCCGTAGGATATTCAGGAACCTTTAGTTCAGCTATCCACTTCCCGGTACATGAAAAGAAAGCCTTATTTAAGTCGTGTAACAGCCACATTTTTCAAATAAGGAAATGATAGATTTGTATCGCGCGGCAAGAGTTCCCATTGGCAAGATATAAGCAAGACATGAACACAGCATACCGAGCTGTAAAGTAAAAGGACAGCCACTATTTAGAGCCACCAAACGCCTCTTCTTCCGCCTCCGCACCGGTCTAGGAGTAACGTCCGGACCTAGGGGAGTGGGGGCCGCCGGGTACCCGCTTCCTCTCGATCATGGATCACGACGGTAAAGGGGGGTTGCCGTATCATCTAAGAAAACGTGTCTACCTGATAAGTTGGGCCTTCTTGCATAAGGCATGTATAATTCCATGGGAATATTGGTTGCTAAAAAGTTAGTAATTGAACTATATTAAAATGACTCGGTTATCTGCTTCTTTCGATCCTTGTTGGGCTTTTGAGTGTCTATAGTTGCTTATAAAGGCAAATGATACATGCGGAGAAGGTCGTATATGAAGTCGTAAAAAACGCAGCTAGCTTACAATAGGCTATCATTGATAATTCACATATGTGGTAAGCGTATAGTAGCACTTGCAAGTCTATAAGCCACTGTTGTACAAATGTGAATGAGGTTGCGGGAATATGTGCTACCTAGATGCAGATTATCCAATTCGAACTTCAGCAACATGGAGAAAGCCCCTAGTTGACACAAATTCTGTGTTTCCCTACGGCAGTCTCAGATCTTTCTATGATCCCCGTATGGGTTTGCGAGGAAGAAAAAAAACAAATCCTACATACAAATAGACTATAGGTATACTCCTGTGCTTTTGAAGCTGTAGATCATCGACGTTACACGCTTACTGAGACCGCATTATAGCCCCATAAAATATAGTCGATAATCTGAGACAGTTCGATTCTAGACTCTAGTAGACGGTCGATTAATATGTTGCTATGACCTGCCTAGCCAACTCACCTATGTACGTAGACCAAAGCGGTGTTATTTCTATTGCTTTTCGATCCAGCATCTATTCATCGATCTTGACCACATAATAAGAAATGAGCCTCGCCAATACATAGGTTTGTCTTCTTGATTCTTTTGTACTATCATATCATAATTTCCCTCATTGGAACTTATATCTCGCTGTCGGTGGTATATAACCCCTTATTTGATAATTCCATAAAGGAAATATACTTGTAGGAAGGTTATGAGACTAAAAGGAGAGTATAAATCCTTTATCCCATTTCTTATACTGACAACATCTTGCTTTATACAGACACAATTCCAAGCCACTAAATTATGCCCATTGATTATCATCACTAACCTCCCTAATAAAACAAAACCCTAGGTGTCACAATCATTCATCTTCCTTAAACACCCATCCCATTCCCATTCTTATAAACCTTAACCCTCAACCCTCTCCCCTTCGGAAACGCAGCAAACCACTCATGAAATGCCATCCAATCCTCATCAACCATATCAAACAACCGCAAATCGAACCCAGCGCTCGGTCCGAAAAGCCGCGACACAGCTAAATATGCATCAATAGTCGCAAGCTCCATGCCAAGACACAATCGGGCTCCACGGCCCCACGGTTGCAGGTATCGGCCGAGACGCCGGCGTTCGTCCGGGTCGACCCACCGCTCTGGTACGAATTCGTGCGGGTGCGTGAAGATGCGGGGGTCGTTGTGGGTGTCTTGTGTTGTGGTTGAGATTGTTGTCTGGTCCCTTATGTTAGTCTTTCCATTTCGAGGGATTTTGAGGACAAGGATGCGATAAGAAGGTAGGGGAACTTACACCTCGGGGAATAACCCATTCCCTGTACTGCAGATCCTGGTCCTCGCAGACGCGCGGTAATCGGCTTGGCGTTGGGTTTGCTAGTCGCAGACCTTCGTTGATGATACCGGTGATGTATGGCAGTTCGCGTAGATCACGGTATTCAAGCGTCTCACTCCCATTTCCTTTCCCAACTTCCGCACCCTGCTCACCCTCTTCTACTCTTTTTACTTCTACTGCAGCCTTAGCCTCTGCGGCCGCGCTTAGTTCGTGTCTTAGCTTATCCAACTTCGCGGGGTCGCTGAGTAGGTGGTTAGTGATGCAGACAAGAGTAGTCGCAGTGGTCTCCGTCCCAGCCATAATGACAGATCGACTCTCAGAAAACAGCCGAGGAAACGTCTTCTCCTGCGGCGGCAAATTCGACGCCATGAGCGTCTGCACCATGTCATGTGGGGTTCCCGGAGCCGGCTCCGGCTTGTTCATCGAGCGCCGAACGCAGCTCGTCATTGTCTGTGCGTGCGTTAACACTTATCATGATATCAACACGACGTAGTCCGAAAAGAAAACATTGTGTGGGGGATGCAGTAGGTGGTTTCAAGCCTTTCGGTGGGTAAACCGGTGAGTTAAACTTACATCTTTCATCCACTTCACGCGCCCAAAAGCCGGGTTCACCTTCTTGGCGATGCTCTCGGGGAGACTGTGTAGCATCGGTAGTAGCAGCCCAAACGTATGACGACTCCAAGTACCAGTACGTACGACGGTCCTCACGCTAAGATTGAACTCGCGGTCGAAAGTCGGTTCGTCGAGATGCCCAAAAGGGGAGCCAAATGCGAAGCCAGTCGCCACATCAGTAGCAAGGCATCGAAATGCGTCACTTAGACTGACAACACTTCCATTACCCCCATCATGCCTCTCCGCAGCTACGTTTCGCAACCTGGCGCGCAATTTGTCAACCTGCGCTGCAATCGTCGGCATGTACCGCTGGATATTCGACGAAGCAAAGTAGACCTGGAGCGGGGCGCGTCTTAGCTGGTGGAGGGCGTGGGACTCGGCGACATTGGTACTAGGGAACTTGCCGAAGAAGCGGAAGTAGAACCACCGGGGTTTCGACGCTTTCGATGAGTACTTGTACACGGCGTTCCAGTCCGGGTCCGCGATGTGGACTTCCCAGGGATTGATGCGGACGATGGGACCTGTTGTTGAGAAAAGGGTGGGTTTAGTAAAGCTAGTGTTTCTTCATTCTTCACTTGCCGCCACGTGGTTGGGGGGTGTGGATTAAGGGGTGGGAGAATGCAGGAGGTGGGTAAGTACCGTAGCGCTGGTGCATCTTCTCGATCTCGACCCAGTAGCGTCCACCGCCATCTTTGATGCATTGGTAGTATGCTTCGTAAAGTCCAGTTGTGGCTGCTAGTATTGGGCCGGGAATGCGAGCTAGGGGGTGGATAGTAAGTCGGTATATGGCTACGGAAAGAGCCGTGAAGGCTAGTGCAAGGGGTATATACGCAAATAGGTACGAGCCACTCAGACCATATAGCCATAGGGAATTCATGTTGGCGATATCTCCAGGTAGGTCTGATTTTCTAGAACGCTACGCCTCGAGTACCTACGAATGAGCTTGACCACGAGCTTTATGCCATACTTTGATAGTCTAAGTCATGACGAATTAGAACATCACAAGATTCTATAACTTGTTTTACGTGGTGTGACGAATCGGTTTCTCTTCGAACCCAATGTTCTGACCATGTTGAGCAAGCACATCCTACGTAGGACAAGTTCCATATTTATGAACAGCTTCCTAGAACACAAACATAAAGGCTAGATGCATGTAGAATAAAAACGACATGAAAATTTGGCTCATGAGAAGGGCCGAGCTATGCATATTATGCTAGGAAAAGACTTTTACGTCCAGAATGCCATCCCAACTCATATTTTTGCCATCCTTGATAGGGCGTAACCCTTAGGGTTCCTCGTAAAATATTTCAATGAATAGGACCGAAATTTTGCGACTCGATATGGTTCAATCAGATATTACATATTTGAAAAAGTCATGCTTTATTACCACCCAGTGAGTCACTCACACGTCGTCCAACTTGCGGTGTAGGTACCCTACTTTCGGCGAGGCCTTGAATTCGTGTATGTATGCCTCCGAATTGTTAAGCGAAAGAGTGACATGTTTTCATGCATTGTCGACGTATTTAACCAAATTTATGCCGATTGTAGGTACGTACCTAGCTGGAGGTCCTAAAACGTATAATGAAGCCGCTGTATTGGTACCGTAGGGTTTATCTCATCTCCATCTGGACCGAAGTTGGATGCTTTTGGTTAACCTAAAATTGTGTTTATCACACCCATCCACCATCCACCATCCACGAGGACTAGGTTATAAACAGTCAAGCTTGTGGATTTAGCCCCATGACATCTATTCCGTCTAAATATATAATATCGTGCGTAAGCAGTACCTAGACCTGAAACAGAAAAATCAAAATGAGGAGATTGTGTCGATCTCTATTATATGCATCATGGACTACGAGATGGTAGGTGCTCATATTTACGAATCTTCGCTCCATCCAACCTCATCTTATCATAGTAAACAACTCGGCATTACCGACAATGGCATTTATTCGGATGTATACACACTTATAGGTATCATAAAGACAATAACAATAATAACAGTAAAATGATCTTAAGGCTGGCAATGATATCTCATTTTCTTCATCAACCATCCAAACGTCGCAATTGAACCACCGAAGTTGCCTCCCCCCCAATGTGTAATGTAATATGTAATGTCCCTATAGTATAATTCATAAAACTCATGATCAATGATATGTAATGAGTCATGACCATCATAATGATAGTTGCCTTCCCTTTCCCGCGTTCCTCTCTTCTGTCTTTTGTCTTGGGTGACAGGTAAAGAACTCAACCACCCAAGGTATGATAAAATTCTACAGGGAAATGAGCAAAAATGTCATATACTTCCCTGACTATCATTTCTCCCCTCCCCTCCCCGCCTATATACAGCCCAAGTTCATTATCATTCATGTCTGGTATATCCCTTTCTCTTCCAACGTATGCATTCATACAATTCGCACATATATATAGGTAGGTAGGTAGGTAGGTAGTGGTAGGCAGATTAGGTAGGTGAGCAGACTAGCTGCTCATTCAACTCCAGGTGCTCGTACTCGCGCTCGGGGTTTCCGGTTTCTGTGCGTATACATAGCGACATCTCATATAGCCGTGTATCCGCTTATTCCTCAAGTCTTGCCTCATTCTGAACAAGGCCTCTTGATAGCCTGGGGCGTTTTCGCCCATAACAGTGTTCCATAGGAAGATAGTATATCCTATGGGTGATGTTAGTACTAATTAGAAGGAAGAGCGTAGCTACCATAGCTTACCTTCAGCATCGTTTAGTAAGGTCAGCTGTGCATATTTTCCAATCTCGGCGAGATTTTCATCTGCCGGCCAACCGCCAATGGGAAACTTGATGTAAGTTAGCCTACTAAATGACGAAAACATATTTGAAATGCGACACCTACCTTAAAATCCCTTATGTGAACATTTACAAAGCCAGCACCCTCGATGGCCTTCTTTTGGACATCATCCTGAATCGGCTGAAATGAGACACCGAGCCGCTGTCCGGCGTTGCGATATAACGAATTCCAAAACTGCTCGTAAGAACTATCGGGAGTGACGGTACCATCATCGCTACGGATCTCTACATCAGCTTCGCAACTCTGCACCCAGCCGCCAGGCTTAGTTACACGATATGCTTGCTGTAACAGTTCATCCCAATCGGCGATGGCTCCGAATAGGAATCGTATATGTACAAAGTCGAAGTGGTGCTCAGGCCAAATCCACGGTTGCGTGCAATCGTCCATCTCGAATTTGACATTCGCCGGTACCCATAATGGTTGCATGGGCGATAGGTCTGTTCCGGTTACTTCCGCCTGCGGGTACTCTTCTGCGAAGACACTGCCAGGGGTTAGTGTGAGTAAAGGGGGGACGATCGATCCAGATGTTTTTCGGGTGACTAGGTAGGAACGGAGGGAGGCGGTGAAAAGGGTAGACGTAAGGGGTGTAACATGTTATGGAGAAAAGGCATCTTTTGGTATAACATACATAGCCCATATTCCTAGATAGACGTTTAGTAAATATCTTTAGCAAGGATAGGCTGGAGACATAGTGCTCACCTGATCCAGTTCCAACATCCAATACCCTCTGAAGTAAGACGTTAGCTTCATGCCCATTTGTAGATATACACAATAGTAATTGAACATGAAAAGGGGTCAAGCAAACCTGAACATTATCTGATATCGGCGCCAGGAAGAGTTTGTCGCCTATCAACATCCGTAGGTAATGGTGACTATACGTAGTATATTAGTCAGCGAAACACGAAACAATTTGACAAATACACCTGTTCGGCTGTGAAACAATAGAAAGTCGTTACTCAAAACCCCTGAACCCTAAAAGGCCGAAATGAAGAGAATAATTGATAAGAATGAGATACATACGTGATATCCACAGAACGAAGCTGCTGCTCGTCATTCGGAAACAGATAGAATGAGCTATGCCGCTCACTATGGAACGTCCGACCTTGTATCGTTCTGTATTCTAAGATACTAGGTGTGACGGAGTTGTGACTCGAACTATCGGAAAACCTATTAGCACATTGGTATGTAGATCAAAAATGTGATGAACGAAAATGAAAATTGCAGCATCGCCGTCTGTTCTGATGGCGGTTTCAGATGAGAAGGGTTAGAAAATAAAGGTTACTAACGCATCGTCTCCCAGCGCTGAATCTACCTCAGATTCCTCCCCGTCCTGTGAGGTGAAGCGATACTGTCAGAAATGAATTTCAGGTTATTTGATGAACGAAATAAGAGTGATTGGAATTGGTCGTCACCATCAATTGCCCGGTTGTGAAAATCCGGCAGATCGTGGCGTCTTCCCCATTACCAACACCCCGGAATTTTTTTCTACAGCACATCATACCTCCGGATCCGGCGCAGCTATAATTGCCGCTTGATCATGCGGGTTCTGCATTCTAGAACCGCCTTGACCCTTGAAGGGTTTGTACGCCATGGGCTTATCGCACTAAAGACGCCTCTCTGAATCGATATTGCGTTATGGTTGTCCTAATTTTTTGCTTTTCTTTTTTCGACCTTGTCTCCGGCGCTCTCAGCTAAGATCCTTTCTTCTGGTGGTGGGTGGGATGGCGTAGTATCGCAGGGCCAAAAACATCAGGCTGGAGAAAAAAACACCCCGAACACAGCGACCAATGTTTATATATCCGAGCGGGAAATTCCCAGGGTACGATTGCAAATAATACTAAAAAACCACGATGACATACTCGGGGCCGATCGCCAAAAAGCTCGAGTGAATTTAAAAAGAGAAAACGAAAAGGGGTTGAAACTTGAAGAAAATAAAATCCCATCCCGGCCAATAAGTCTTAAGTCAATAGGAAACTAACCCAACTAACGGCCCTTGATAGACAGCAGACACGGCGGGGTATTTCCAGGGTCTATCCGGAATAGCCCCAAAAATCGCAAGCGTCCCAGTGGAGTGGATCCTCGACCGCAGATGCAGACCCGGGATATGGGCTCGCGTCTCAAAGGCGGTCAGCAACGAGAACCCTTATAGCCAGTATGGGCTTTATGTAGCCAAGTGGTTAGCCAGTGGGGCGGTTTCTTATATACCCTTACAGCCCTTTCTACCCCGGCACTATAGCATAGCAAGGTACATACGTGGTGTACGTATACGTAAGGTAACCCGGCGGATTGGGATGGGCAGATGAGATGGTCGGGGATGGGGTAGCGAAGGGTAGACGAGGGTGTGGGTTGTATGGTTTGTTGTGCGTGTGCGCGAGAGTGGAAGGAGAAGGCTGAGCGAACTGGGGACATTACCTATTTGCTGGGAATCTTCCTGGGTTCTTCAACCCAGCGAAAAAATGGAATCGGTATGAATCCATGGATGTTGTATGGAGGTGGTATGGGTATGGGTACGGAAGTCTGGGAGTCAGGGAGTACGGTAGGTAGTAAGTAACATGTCACGTACGCATGATCTGGTACAGCGATCTGTCGTCGGGCACTGCTTTGTCGGGAGCCTGGGTAAGCAATAGCTGAGGTCTTTGCTGCACGGCAAATTCCTCCAACGCCGCCAACTTGCCGAGCGAACCCATGCCCGCGGGTTTGTATTCGGGACGCCCTCCAATCGACAGATTCGCTCCCACACTGTCGGATTCTTCAATGTGTACCTTATGTCTTGTATTCATTACCGTAGGTACGGTTCCAAAGTATCTATTGTATGTAAGTATATATGTCTCTTTTCTGATATCTCTACTTTTTTTTTCTATATTACATTTCTATCACTTTTCTTTTAAGGGAACGAATTGTTTGTATATTTTGATATTAAAAACAAATAAAAATTAATCATAGTGATAATCATAGAATACGATGCAATAAGGCGCAGTAGCATAGTGGAAATACAGCACAAAACAAAATGAATAAAAAAATAAAATGAAGACGACAATGCAAACAACGCAGAGTATGAGAGGAGAATGCAAACCTACCCAAGAGCAGCCAATCTGGTCTACTCACGGCGTAGTCGTTCCGAACTACCTACTTCAGTTTGCCTAGTTTCGCCAGCATTTCGGTGGGACCTTGGGTTGGCAGAGTCTCATCCACAGAAAAAATCTCGTCATGTCAGTCAGATTATCAGAAGAGGTTTCTGCATGAGGAGTGGGAGTGTGTACTATGTAAGGTAGTGTAGTAGGTGGTCTATGCAGTATATGCAAGAACAATAAAGAGAGAAAAAAACAATTAAAAAATTAATTTGACAATGACCCAAGAGACAAGGGGGGGTCGGGTTAGTTACATGATTGACGGTCGAACCTTGCAGCTGCAGCGTCCAACCAGGCGCCCGGCTCACGGCTCCTAATACCATACACCCCCCCAAAAGGAAGTTACCTAGGAAGTTACCCAAAAACTTTCCCACGGTTTCCCAAAGACAGCGCAGACCCAATGACATCGGACATCGAACCTTCCTTCCAATGCAAGCATGTGTACATGTAGTACGTGTGGTACGGTACGTACATACATGTATAGAGTCATACATGGTCATATGTAGTCATATGTATGTAGGTTGCGACCCGGCAAAAGAAAGCGCTTTCCGGTGATTGGAAACAGCAACCCAATGCCCGGCAGGTAGGTTCCATAACCTCGAAACCACTTTCCGTATCCATTGGCCTGGGAATGTTACACCACACGGCCCCTCATGGGTCCTTGGTCCTTACCTACTTCCCCTACTTCCCTACTTTTTACCTTTTCTCCTCTTTGCCTACCTAGGGACATCTGGAGCTAGCGAACCCAAGACCCAAGAGAAGCTTAGAAGCTAAGAAGCTAAGAAGCTACGAACGAACATATTATACCCTTACGAAATACCCCTACAACCCATGGATATCCTACATATTGCATATCGGAGCACCTGATTCCAGCCTAGTGGTAACGCTAATAGCTTCCTTCGAGCTTCGCGCACGTACTGACTAAACTATCCACAGCGCTCGAGGTATGGTATTTTGGCAATCAACTCCCTGAAACTCTCTAGTGGTGATAAGGGGCCCCGGCTTAGCACGCGGAGGCTTCGGAAAGAAAAAAACAAGCAAGAAACTTGCTAAATCAATTGTATCCTCTTTTTTTCTTACTCTTTTTGCATGTCATGGGAATGACTCCGCTATCTTTGAGACGACCCAAATCCATTCAACAATTGTTGTACCAGGTACATTAGTAAACGATAAAGTATTGTACATGGCTCATGCCTCGTTGAAACTCCCCACTCCATTCCCTTCTATATAGGTGTGTCTGTGTGTCGTTTTTCTATGCTGGGGAGGCTTCGTGTCTTGCTTAGCAGCTATGCCTTGCTTTGGTTTTCCTTTTATACACGTAGCACCTTTGCGGCGAAGTTCTCAATAAGTCCTTCGGTAGGGAAGCTCATCTGCTCTAGACCCTGGGCGTAGGGCGTGGGAACTTCCGCACCAGTAATTCTTTGCGCCGGGGCATCCAAGTAGTCGAAAGCATACTCCATAGTTACAGCAAGGATCTCCGAACCCATACCAGCGAAGGGGAATCCCGATTCCACGGAAATCAAGCGGTGCGTCTTCTTGACCGACTTGACGATAGTCTCCACATCCAATGGCTTGACTGATCGTAGGTTGATAACCTCGACATCTACGCCATACTTCTTCTTCAGGGCCTCGGCTGCAACCATGCATTGACCAACGGTACGCGAGAGCGAGACCATAGTGAGATCCTTGCCTTGGCGCTCGATCTTGGCCTTACCGAATGGGATAACGAAGTCATCCTTCTGTGCCGCTTCGGACATGGGGAAAGATACACCATACATAAGCTCGTTCTCGAGGACAACAACGGGGTTGGGGTCACGGATAGCAGCTTTCAATAGTCCCTTAGCGTCCTCGGCGGACCAGGGAGAAACGACCTTCAATCCAGGAATCGAACCATACCAGGCACTGTAGTCCTGCGAGTGCTGGGCACCGACACCGGCGGCGAAACCGTTAGGGCCACGGAATGTGATGTTGCAAGGCTGGATACCACCGGACATGTAGAGCGTCTTCGCCGCACTGTTAACAATTTGGTCGATGGCCTGCATGGCGAAGTTGAACGTCATGAATTCGCACTAAATATTATAAGATTGCTGATTAGTCCCTCTTCATTTTCAATTTTCCCATCTGACTTCAGGGGTATATTTGTAGTCCAAAACTTACAATAGGAGCCAAACCACTTAATGCAGAACCAACGGCTAAACCACAGAAACCACTTTCCGTAATCGGTGTGTCGATAACTCTCTTGTCGCCAAAACGATCTAGTAGACCTTTTGTAACCTTGTACGCGCCGTTGTATTGAGCGACCTCTTCACCGAGAATGAAGACCTTAGAGTTTGCCTCCAACTCCTCAGCCATGGCTTCGTTGAGGGCATCACGGACTGTGTATTCCTTAGTTCCCTTTACATCGGCGAATGTTCTTCGTTGAGAGACGGCGAGAGTAGCAGGTGCGAACTGGGGAAGAGCTCGGGGGGCTATCGTGGTGCGGGTAGAGGCAGCTAATCGAGCCGCCGGACGGAGGTAGCGCGACATGGCGATTATTAAGACTGAAGTCAATTGAGGGAGTTTCGTGCGAAATGGAGAATTTGATATTACTCAATTGAGACCAAGCTCTCCCTGGCGACCGGATATCGACGTAGTTGTTATGGTTTTCGTGGGTATCGTCGCTAGTGACGGTGAGTTGATGATGATTACGGAGAAGTCGAAGAGCGATTTTTACCGTCAGCTTTCTTTTTTTTGGGAGTTGCTGCTGCCAAATTTCGCGTTTACACCTCCCAACTTTTTTTTCGGATGGAATAGGAACAGCTTGTTGAGAGTAAGATATCGCTAAGCCGAATTAGGTTTAGTGTGCTATTTTCGGAGCTTTAGAATCTCCTCGTTCCTTATTGGGGGTACTTCTGTACCTGATCCTTCATCCACCAATTGCTAACACCCTCAGATATAATATTCAAGAAATTATTGTAATCGTATTTGACAGTTAATTCTTACTATTTAAAACCGAAATTTCTTTCAATTAACAAGTACACTGCCTGATCAATCATTTTATCTCTTCTAATTTGATACCTGATAAGAGGTATCTAACGCCGTAACGGAAGTTAATTGGGGAATCCCTCCGTTGGGGGTAATCCGTAGCTTATTGCTTCTAGTTCTGAATAAAGTTAGTAAGGATTATTATGTTCTATAAATAGCCAATAGGAATGATAGGAATAGTTACATAATATTCACTATTCAGACCAACCAATTGTAAAGAATATCGGCCTAGATCGGAATAGGTGTCAATGAAGAAGTCTTGATAGGGGATGCGATCGTAAAGCTTTTTCAATTCCTCTATTTTTCCGGGTAATGCCAGTACGTCTAATAAAACGATAAACTTCAATATGCTAGTTAAGTACATTGGTATGCTTCAATGTCATATGTACAATAAATTCAGAAGTCTGAATAATCTTAAACCCTCCTGAATGATGCATTATTAATATTAAGCAAGTATTTTGACGTTGCTTCTTTTCTCATTATTGTGCTTATAAGCACCTCGTCCATCAATCTCCATAGCGCCATACGAACCCGTTCATATAGCTCATTGCTCAGGTTTCTTTCCAACCATCAGGTACATCGGTGTGAAGAGGTGCTTCTCTCCACCAGCGACTAAAGCGTCCGCAGCACGAGCTAAGCTATCGGCTGTCTTCTTGGTACCCCTTGGAGCTAAACCAGTCATCTCCAAAATGCCAGCGAAGTGGTGAGCAGCCGCGCGACCCCACCACGTCATCCGCGCAATGGTAAATGCATCGAATGCCGATTGCATGTACTTCCATCTACCAGCAAGAGGCCAGTACCACGGGATAGGGTCAGGGCGGTCAGCAAGGTCTTCGTGGTGGAGAAGATCAAAGCCTGCGATCTTCATAGCCTCAACACCCTCGGACACTCTAACCATGTTTGAGATACCATCACCCTGCTCGATGTCGAGACGGATTCTGCGATGTTCCAGGTCGTCGTTGTCATAGTCATCAGTCATGAGCCATTCGTACACGCCGAAAACACCACCAGGCTTTAGCACGCGGAAGATCTCGCTGTACACACCAGCAAGCTTAGGCGCGTGTACTGTAGCCTCGATAGCGTAAACAGCGTCGAAGCTGTTATCAGGGAAGTCCATTTGCTGTGAAAGACTAAGTTAGCAAGTTGGATAGGCTAAGTTGGTCTATAATCGCTTATTATGTCATGACTTACCATGAAATCACCCTTCACGAACGCTAATTGTTTCGATAGACCCTCCTTCGCAGCATAGTGTGTAGCACGCTGGATTTGGTAGTCGTTGTTGTTCAACCCTGTGACATGGCAACCAGTGAACTTGGCGATCTCCCGAGCGGGACCACCAACACCACAACCAACATCTAATACGCGCATGCCCTCCTTGATACCAATCTGGTGTGCGAGATAGTGTTCGTGTCGGGAAATGGCTTGGTAGAAGGTCTCGCCAATGGAGTATCGGCAGAAGTGGAAGGACTGGCCCCAACCGTATTCGTAGAGATCTGTCGCGAGGTTATAGTAGCTGAGGTTTGTTAGTGACTAGCAATAGGAAATGGGGGGCGCATTTGTGCTACATACTGTCTGGTCAGTGTAGCATATTCGGCAGTACGCTTCGCGCGGTCTTCTTCAGTCTCATCTTTCGCGTCCTTGTTGTCCCAGTGCTTGAAGTACTCGTCAATAGCGGCCTTTTGCGCGCTAGAGCCCTTTCCCATCATAGCACGAAAACCACCCGTCGCTTGAGCAGACTTTCCGTGCAACACCTGGTTGAAGGCGGCATCGCGCTCCCTGTCCTGCTTCTCAAGTTCGACCTTGGCTGGCGACATTTTCAACGATTCCAAAGGATAAGAATGTAATTGAGTTGAACAATTAATAATGAGCGATACAGAAAAACTCGGGAATAAATGATTGGAATCGTGAAGCCGGCAATAAATAGAATGTTGTTGCGGTTAACGAGAGAAGCGGTGCAGTGAGAAAGGGGTGTACCTGGACGACATTTTATTATTTTTCTGGCCGTTATCGACAATTGATTGTAGGACCCTTTTCCAATTTCTTGGCCAATTTCAATGTAGAAATGGTCCAAGCTTTGTATGGTATTGACCAATCATATTGCTCAGATCCCGCACTAGATGTAAGCAAAAACAGGGGTTCAGCTTCTGGCCCTCCTTCCTCGACCGCAACATGAACATTTTCCCCTTGAATCCGAATACGAACCCGACAAGCCACAAGAAATAACATTAAAATTCGTAGTCAGAAATGTGGCTTGACTTTATGTTGTTTTGCATGTGAATTCACCAATCATAGAGGTCTCGCGATTTCTTACTGCTTACATAGACAGCGCAAATCCGAATACGAATCCTGATTCTAATTCGCATTCTTATACCTTTGCGAAATATCATCCTAGACCACGATGGTTTCAATTATATCCAAGCGACGACTTAACGCTCCTCCAAAATCAAGTCATAACCCACTTTCTTAACGAATTAATAGTCGATCTCTCGAGATTGAACCTCGGGAAAGGATTGAAGCCTCTCTACCTTAGCCTGAGCGAAGGACGATGGGTTTCATAGATAGATACGAGAGATGAACCAGCGTGATACTCATAACAATAAACCTTACGTATGCGTGCAACTTTCCACCCAATGTGTTACTATAAACTCCACGATGATTATCATTCTCCGAGGCAATTCCATCTCAAACATAATAACAATACTCAATTCCTATGGTTATGACATAGAATCCGGTGGTTAGCATGGTTGATGATACTCGGCGAGTTAAACGACTTCGTTAGGAATACAGGACTCTATGAATGTATCGTCTTGGGTAAAACATTTATTGACATAAGAATACTCTCATACAAGAGGATAAGATGAAAAAAAACTGTCAAAAAGTTGGTATAGAAGGAATCTAACCTTCTACTGATGGACTCGCGGGGAATCGAACCCCGGACCACTCCCAAGTTAGACAGACCTCAAGAACAAACATCGGATAGATGATCATCATCGTAGATCACGTGCTAAGGGAGTATTATACCACTAAACCACAAGCCCGCTGTGCGGCAAGATCATTCAACTCCAACCGTTGATGGAGTCAATGATTTGATGACGAATTTGCAAGAAAGTTTAATATATATAGGTACAATTTATATGGGATCGAAGTTTGCCCTAATTAGCCGATTGGCTTGTTCACCGCTTAGATCGATGATCCACATAAATCATGGGCACCGTGCGTGCCAAACCCGAATACTTCCCGAACCTCCTGTTTGTTCAGAGAATTACTTTCAGAAATAGCACTTTACCTCCGAAAGTTAAGACATAAAATTGCCAGGAATGAGAAATCCCCCTTTCTGCGGGTATAACATATTCAATTTTTCTTTCTTAGCAGAGAGCCGTTCTAGATAGTTACTATTAGTTCTTGTACTGTATCCGTCGTACGGTCGTATTTCAAGATTCAAGAAACCCAAGGTCCTATCTACCATGTCCACCTCCATTTCCTTACCAATTCAACTTTCTGGCCATCGGGAGTCTCATCCGTCTTTCCGACAATAATTGGACCATCTCCTTCTTTATCTAACTTCTTATTGCTGATGAAGTACCAAGTACTTTGCGCTATGATTTCTACAGCCACCACTGCGGAAAGCACCAAACAAGCCGTGAAAGCATTCAGGTACAGAGGCGCATCTTGAGTACGGAATACTTGAGATCCAGCGATACCACCAGCATTGGCGCCCATGATGATCATCCTGAATATTGAAGTTAGCGACATGAGAGCGAAATAACCAAAGAGGAAAAACTTACGCCATAGCGATGCTTCGTTGTTGCGGCCGTTGGCAATTCACCGATAACCAACCAACATTAAGAATGTGAATGGTGGAGTTCATAGCCATCGAGAAGACGACCGCTGCATACTTTCTACCCGCGGTCCAACTCGATGCCTCTCGCAGACATGTAAATGCGATTATACTCCATATCGCACCAATCAACATCGACGGCGCCCTCTTTCTCGTGGTGTCGCATACCCAAGCTAGGAGTACTGTCATAATGGCTGCGATGAAAGCACCAACACTCGCCATCGCATTGGCTCGAACGGTGCCGTAACCCAGACTCTTGATAACGCTTGGACCGTACGTGTTGATCGCATTGACGGGAATCGTGCTTGTTAGCGTGATCACGATGTGCACCAGGATCCTTGGGTTCTTGACGGTTTCCCAGACATCGCTACCCGAGATGCGCAGATGGTTGGTGGTCTTGGCCGGGTCGTCGAGGAGTACGCGACGGACTAGGATATACGACTCTCGCCGATTAAAGTACGACCACCGGCCGAAACTTATGAATGGTGAGCCGTTTCCGACCTTTGGTGGCAGAAAGAGGATGAATATGATGCCCACACCGATGGTGATAGCTCCCTCCACTACAAGAAGGTTAGACTATAAGTGCATGACGAAAAGGGGATACGGAATAATTAGGTTTACCTATGAAGAGCCATCTCCATCCAGCCACCCCATACCGGTCTCCCATACTAAGAATACCGGCTCCGATTAATGAGGTGGTGGCTGACGCAATAAGATTCCCTAAAAAGAATATTGAGATGCGCAAGCTGGACTCGGATTTCTTGTACCACGTCGACATCGTGTACAACGAACCAGGAATGAACCCCGCCTCACACTACACCAATATCAGCATTTCGTGTGAAGGTACCAAAACTTCACTCAGCCTACATACCAATCCGAGCAAGAGGCGAGTAGCAAGATATCCGCCATAATTCGTAATGAAATTCTGGAAAGTTGCGACCAGGCCCCATGCTACAATTTGACCCGATAGCCAATTTCGGGGTCCAATCCGCTGCAATAGGATATTGGAGGGGATCTCTAGTAGGACAATACCCGCGGATAGAAGACTGTTTCCAGCATTGATCTGATTGGTATCGACACCAAGGTCTTTTGTGATGGTGCTTGTAAGGGCATTCGAGATATTTCCTCGGTCCATCTGCAGAGCGAAAAATGCTAGACCCAAGATCGGCAAGAGAATGAAATCAAGCCTGGCAGTGGTTAGTATCACACAAAAATGAATATTTGGGAGAATGTCTTACTTTCGTTTCACAGCACGCTCTTCAGCTTCGGTCCAATCCGCGACGGTAGATTCGTCCACGTTGACAGGTGCAGCCTCTTCATCGCCATGGACGGCCTGATCGGCCGTCTCAATCACCTTGCCGAGCACCATCGTTAAGCTCTCAATTACACAATACAGCAAAAACTAACACTAGAAAACAGGTGCATCTCACAAGCATGGTAAGATGGGAACTCTTAAATATCGCGAACCTTTCAGCTCATAGCTGATGCGGCTGGCCAATGAATTGAAAGCGACGCCGATTAGCGATGGCGAGGTCCGGAACCAAAGTACTAGACCTCATTTTAATAACGACATTGTGCTATGGTTGATTGCGCGGTGTTGCGACGATACCCTGCAAGCCAACGGTGACGTGCTCGGGGATAACATTGCGTGATTGCGTACAAGACATTCAGGACCCAATGAGCTAGCCCGAATTAATCTACCGCCGCCGCATAATTCAGAAGGATGATGGAGATATAGTGGGTGTTAACCTGAGACTATTGATAACGTAGCATGAGGTAAAATTCTTTTTCTCTTTATTATAATGATTGGATTTTACGTACGGTGAGATGGTAATCGTTTCGTTGTGGGAACCGAAGTACCCTGCCTTCAAGTCCAGCCATACAAATGAGAATAACGCGACACTTACGACATACAATATTGCGAACGTAATCAATAGTTGGCCTACAGCCCCCGGGTTCTTAGTTACTCCATCTCAGCAAGTCCCCTCGGGGGTTGCCAACGGAGCGCGTATAAGATACCCATCACTTACCTCTATGTACTTTGTCTGGAATACGTATTTAGGGACGATCAAGCGTTACACAAAGACAATTTTATTAAATACATGTTGAAGTTGTACCAACGTAGGTATACAAGCAAGCCTTTTTGGAGATAAGAACGCTACATTCCGTCTAATAGTATTAGATCTCTTCACCGATCATTTTCATAATGACATCGAGCATTGTTCTTGATATTCCCGGGCTTTGAACTTATCAGCATAACCTAAGAAACAGCAAGCAGATGCATTCAAGCCTAGAACCGAAATAATGGACAGACATGTACTCATGAAAAAAGGTAAAATGAATCGCGATAGTATTTCCCAAGCCTCGTCCACTACGCCGCTCCCTTGCGTCGGTACTCATTGTGGCCCCGCACATTACGCTGAAAACGCGCGTAATACAAGCCTCGCCGCTTCGTTCACGGTTCTGCCAAATGCAATCGAATCTACATGATTCATTCTCTTATCGCTACAAATTATTCATATCAATTGCTACCTTAGTTATAACTGCCGACCAAATACCAAAATGGACGTCAACGGCGTGGCTCTAGTTGTCGGCGCCGGTAGTGGCATCGGTCTCGAAACGGCGTTGACCTTCGCGGAAAGAGGCGCCCGAGCGGTAGCCTTCGCAGACTTAGCGCTTGATACGGCCTCGGCAGCGTCGGAGAAGAGTAAATCCATCGCCACAGCTAAAGACTATGAGACTATCGCTATCGCCGTAGATGTCAGAGATCGAGCATCAGTAAAGTCAATGGTCGAAGAAGTCAAGAAGCGATTCGGCAGGTTGGATTATGCGGTCAACAGTGCCGGAGTTAGTGGATGTAATATTACGGGTAACACGCTGCTAACCAATACCTGCTAGCTTCCGCGTCAGACATCGGCCAAAACCCAAGATGTAGATGAAACGGAGTACGATTTGTTACACGATACCAATACAAGGGGGATCTTGCATTGTCTTCAAGAAGAGATTATCGCGATGAAAGATCAGGAGCCGTTGTATGTCGAAGGACGTAGTGGTCGTCGCAGTGTAGGGCCAGGGTCGATCATCAATGTCACTTCGTTGTCTGCTGTCACTGCGACGGCTGAGTCAGTTACTTACGTAGCAAGCAAATTTGCTGCGCGGGGGATAGTTAAGTGCGCAGGTACATCTACACTTAGCTGGATTGTTACACTGCTCCGGAGTTACTGATCTTGATCGTGTTACCAGCCCTAGAGAATCGTCACACAGGTCTTCGGATCAACGAAGTATGTCCGGGATTTACGGACACGCCGATGCTCCGTCGCGGTCTTGATGCGCAACCCGACATTGGGGAAATAATCAATAGGTCGATGCCCCTTGGCCGCATTGCGATGCCGGAAGAAGTTGCGAATGTTATTCACTTTCTAGCAAGTCCGGGGGCCAGCTTTGTCAATGGACATTCTTTGGTGATAGATTCAGGAGTGTGAGTCCTTATTCTTATTTGAATACATATTCCTACTATATTTTCGATCTTTTTGGCTAATTTTCCCTCCTTTATTAGATCCGGTGGTAAGTATTAGGTAGTTGAATTAGAAGAAATCCTACACAGGAAAGATTTAATATGTGGCCCTGTTCGCGCGCATACGCCTACTTCAATTGCTCAAACCTCTCCTTTTCCTCATCCCCCTTCGCAAGATAATTCACCGTCCAATTCCAAAGATCATCCTGCTTCGCCTCATCATAGCTATCTTTGCTAGACTTGATTTCCTTCGGGCCTTCATAGTACCTGCCACTTACACCTTCCATATCCTGACCAATAGCAAGACGCGCAAGTATAACTCCAGCTTGATTCGGTGTGCGAATGTTTGGACTAATTACTATCTTAAGGAGTGGAATGATTCTTGGCATAATATGAATCCATAGGAACCTTGGGAACCAGCCCGCCTCGCGAGCAAGACCGGAGCCGGGCATTAATCCCGGATCATATGCCGTGACTGTGATACCTCGGTCGGGAACGCGCTGCTTTAGGCGTTTATCGAGAGCGTAAGTCCAAAGTATGTTCGCAAGCTTGCTTTCGGTGTAACGCTGGCGTCCTGGGTTCTTGGCGGAGGCAGGAGTTGGATGTGCGAGATCCTCGGCGCTAATGTAATTCGGCTTTGGCATACCGCCTGTAATTTGGTCTGGATCATGGGTGCCGCTTGATAGAACGACGACTCGAGCTTTCGGCGCAAGATAGGGACAGAGTAGATGGAAGAGTAGGGCATGGCCGATGTGGCTGATTGCGAAGGTAGCTTCGATCCCATCGGCGGTCTTGACCAGGGAACCGGGGAATTGCAAAGCGGCATTTTGGACTAGGGCTTGAATCGGTGGATATTTCTTCGCAATGTAGTCTTCGGCGTACGCGCGTACTTTTTGCACGCTTGAAAGATCGAGTGGGATGAATATCGTGTTGGTTTGGCCGAGTGCCTTGTTAATAGCCTCTGCCGCATTCTCCTTGTCGGATCGTGATGAAATAATAACGAGATACTCGGGGTGGGTTTTCGCGATCTCCAAGGCAGTGTAATAGCCTAGGTTCACTGTACCACCTGTGATGATGACTGTTCGTTCGTAAGGCATATTCGAGACTAATAGAAGGGGAAGAAGTTTGATAGAAAGAGTCACGCCTTGCGGAGTATTCTACAGTTAGATATTGATTGGAATCATATTCTTTTCTGCGACGGAATAGCATGTGCAGCTAGCACTAGATTTATACATTCTACGTAGCCCCTAGTAGACAGCAGCCACCCTTTATTGAACAGTATCGGCTTCAATGCCTGACATCGTGAGGTCTCATTTACATTGGCTCTGATTACGTCGACAGTGTTCATCTTGATAGAACGGCGCCGGACGGCACCGAAGGCTTCCAATTCGCTTTTAGACTTCGTCGGAGTTTAGGTAATAGAGAGGTTCTCGCCGGGGGTAAGGGCCATTTTATAGCTTCTTGGCATGGCAATTGTGTTTAGGACGGGGGCCGAGGAGACCCGAAGTGATGGAAGCGAACCCATGCGGTCCACTCGCAATTGATCACATATCACAAATTCAATCGCCCAGAACAGATGTGAGTGAACAGGAACGTATGAACCAACAATCAGGGGTGAGTACTAAGGTATATTTGCATATGTACATAAACATCCCGCCTACGACAGGCACCCTGGTCTCTTAAAGAATAAAAAATAAACCAAAACACGCTATTTTGATGATACGAATAATGCCTGAATCCTCTTAGGCATAGACATGAGGACGATGCATTTTAGTTCAATCGACTTCTAAGCATTGGGTTTCAACTGCTTCATTAGGTGCCTAGGTATTTTACCTTTAAACCTCATCATACGGTATTCGAACCATAGGTGAGCCGTGGTATGCATCTCTCGTCCAGCCATTAGGCGTCGTTTCACTCAGGTTCCACTGTTGCATTAATTTCCCCGGTCCCTTTGGAAGTAACTTCTCGCCCGTCTCGTCCTCATTTCTCCATAGCATGCAACTTATTCTGGTCTGCTTTTGGAACGACTCTCTGGTACGTGCCTTAAGTATGTCTTGATGCTCTCGTATCATAGTAATCGGCAGGATGGCCCCAGAAGTAGTTCCTACCCATGTGCTGCCTTCGGCCAGCGACTGTAAAATGCTTGGTGTTGCTAACCAATCTTGCGTCTTGTTTGGACTTATTGGCGATGGTACCCTTGCTAACCACCCATCAAGACGGAAGCCGCCGATATTAGTCGCAGGAATTGGAAAACTAGTATTGGTCATAAAATCGCGACGCACCCAGGCCGCCCAGGAATTTGGACAGCTCGGATCTCGCGACTCCACGTCAATGATCCAAAACCTCTCAATATTAGCGGAGTTAACACGAGCGAAGTCCTTAAGAACGGGGACGACTGGTGGAAGCGCAGAAGGTAGTTGAGATGCTGGCGGGATAGGGAGAATTTGTGTGGTGTCTTCATTGCATGGAATCGCCCACGCGCCTGAATATGAGCTGGGGCCTGGTGGGCGCATGGAAAAGTCGATAATGCAGGTTTTAAGCATTGGCGTGCGGACGACTTGACGGGGTGCATTCTGACTAGGCTGCCCTGAAGAGAATATTGCAGAGCAAAGGCGCGGAAGATGCAGGCGTAGATGCTGTAATTGAGGTAGGATAGTACGGATAGTGTCACATAGGTGCACATCGGTTCGCGGATCTGCAGTAAAACCCGGGATCACGCCGCCATGTCTCACATCGGACACATGGACTTCCAAGCTTGTACAGCAAGTAGGCAAGTGGTCTAGGATGGAAGAGACCTCTCGCGAGGCAGTAAGCGGAGTTGCAAAGTCGATTGAAATGGATAAAGCTTTCGGCCTCATCCTCGGAATCCGTAAACCGAGCAGTATCAACACTTTGAGCCTGGACTCGACTATTTGCTTAGCTTCGGATGGATTGGAGGGGTCAACGAGAATAGGATCTAGTCGTATTGTGAGCGAACGGACCTCATGGCCTGGAGAGTTCCCTGCGAATTTTGCGATATTATTATTGGTCAGAACGACGTCGCTATACAGGACAGGCGTAACCAGAGACTGCCACTTTCTACAGCATAAAACAGAGGGGACGAGGGTTGCACTGCGATCTCGAGATAGCCATTCGAAGATTTCTAGTAGAATCTCTGGCCCTAACTTGGCGATCGGAGAGTCCATGATATGTCTATGCGATCACAAAATAAATAATGAGGACGTGATAAGTAGAGAAGCAGAACATTTGCTGTTGGTTGAAAAAATAGGACTTGTAGCGTGACCAGTGCCAACAGCGTTCTTCCAATTGAATGCGAGCTATTTCGGGTACCTACATGTGCTTTACCTTCCAAAAGAAACTCCTTTTATTACCTACCAAAAAGCCGGACGCCGAGCCGGTGGACTCGGAATGAAAGAGAGAATGAAGATGAGAAGGACGAAGAGTGCCTGGCCTAGTGCGACGGCCGTATAAGCCTTGAGTTATAGGGGCCGGCGCTCGTGGCGTCGCTGCCTGCCTAGGTACTTTGATGACGTCAAATTAACAAGGGGATGATGAAGTTCTACGATAACACAACATAATAAATAAAAATAAAAATAAGAATAAACTATTCTCAATTCATTCTAACTCATTTCACAATTAATCGCATCCAAGGAAATCTAGCAGCTCACCACCGCCTACCCAAGATAAATGCACTACCGCAATGGCACCTAAGCTCACACCTACTCCATTAACCTCCCTTCGAGTTTCTCGCCATTCTATCCCGGCGCACAATCTCATTCCCAACACCAGCATTCAGAATAAGCCTCTGTTACACTACCACGGGGTGTTCCCTTCACCAACGCTCACCGCATCGGGCATAGAGTCACATCTCACGACAGTTGGCGTCGTGGAACCCCAATGGCGTTTCACTATGTATAGTACAACACATTTTCACTCAACCGCCCACGAGGTATTGTGCATCAGCCGAGGCAGAGCGAAACTTTGCTTTGGTGGCGAAAACAACCCTGGGAAGGTGGAAAAGGAGGTTGAGCAAGGCGATGTGTTAATCTTACCTGCTGGTGTTGGACACCGCCTTCTGGAAGACCTGTCGGAAGGTTTCGAAATGGTTGGGTCATATCCTAAGGGCTATAATTGGGATATGTGTTACGGGAAGAAGGGTGAAGAGGCCAAGGTGAAAAATATCGGAAAATTGCCGTGGTTTGAAAAAGATCCGATCTATGGGGACCGAGGTCCTGTACTTGAGAATTGATCGACGAGGACGGACCTCCGAACAGACCTGTTTTGTCGGGTTTCCTCTTCTTTTCCTTTGTCGCCTGTCGGTATCGTGTGTATGTTGCGAAATGACTGATATAAAGGGATACTTGCTATGTCGCAACCCTTTGTTGGCAGAAGCGATATAAATTCTCGTGAGTGCGATACCCGATTTTCGGACTAGAGGTTATTGATGGGTGTCGTGCTACCATGATGCTGCACTCATCGGGCGCAAACGGTGGTATGTTTCAGTAGTAAGTTGTCGCCTTGACACTTACTCACGAGGAGCGAGCAAATTAATGCCAATGGTCTGCCACGAAGCGTTTCTTGGCGATCATAGTCTGCACAGATCTCGTGCGACTTCCGATATGACGAGACGAATAGGACGAAAGTTATCAGACTATGCAGATACCCATCTTCCAAGATCCGATCCGATCATCTTTCACGAACAGTGCATTCACCCTATTGCTGCGACGAAAAAAGATCTATCACTTTTCCGGCCACCCCGAGTAATATTAAGGTGTTAATACTGTCTATGACTGACAGTGTAACAAGCCCTAGCTCGAATGTGGCTTATACTAGCGAAATGAAATCCTTCCACCAGGTTGAAATAAAAACTTTATTACACGGTATACTATATATATGGATTGGTCTGGGAACACCGTGAGTTGTCTTTTTATAGAGGAAAAAATAAGATACGTGGGTACATTGACTCTATGATCTTTTTTTGTCACTATAAAACGTCCTCCCAACATCCAACTTCGGAGCCAACCACTTCGATCAACTGCGACCCCACGATTAACCGATCATAAACTACTCGCAAGTATACTGAGTAACCAACAAGATGTGCAAGATTATCATCGTTTATAAATGCGGTTGTAAACCGTACGAGAATTCTGTCCCCTGCGCGAGGAAGAAGAGCTGCAAGGTGCTGAAGCAACTCATCGAGGAACCAATTTGCGCGGCTTGCGAGAAGCAAAATTTGGAGCTGGAACTAGCTTTAAAGGGGCTATAAAGCCTCATACTATCGTACTTGGGCTGATGATAATATGGGGGCAAGTTTCGGAGTTGGGAAAGGGAAACTATTCAGGTAAGTGTGATTGATACTCCCTCGGAAAAGGAGGTGGCTAACGGAAATAAGGCTGGCTGTTGGTTCATTCAATCTATCGGCGCCTTTTCCAGCCTCACCAGTAGGGCGCATGTCTATTTCGTGACCAGGACGAAATGGCTCGTTGGCTTGGGATGGAAATATTGCGCCCTAGATAAAGGTAAACTCAATACACAGACTTATGAGTCTCTGCTCACGGATGCCTACTTGCCGATGGCGTGCATGGTTCGGCTATGGCGGGGGTCTACTTTCTATCTGTAACGTTAAATTTGATTTGCATCTGTTATGCACGGGTCTGCGCGGATTCTCGATCCGGCGATGCCCGTGTAACGCGGCGAAGGGTGGAGTCAGGCGCATTGGATGCTAGGACCGAATAAAAAGTTTATGGAGTCAGGTTTGATACTCGTACGATTGATGGGGGCAAATAAAGCTCTTTAATTATACTTCCTATTTGTCCTGAGATATTAACGACCTGGTTTGATTAGCTTGTGCGATGACGGAGTTTCGCAAATGGCTTATAGGGCTGCATGAACCACCCCTCGGGACCCTGCCGAAAACCGAAAATACACTCGGGGCCTTTAAAGATGGTAGTATTTCCAAACGATGGCTGTGTTAATATAACGTTAATATAATCTGTAAGGGTTTCAGTACGGCACGGCAGTCCCTTGCGGCACAGAGCTGACCACCGCAGGGTACCCAAATACCTGGTAACTAGGCTGCACCGAAGCTGATTGTAGAAATATATATGCAAACAGGGAGCAACATCCAGGTTATAACGTAAAACCAACCTATATATAGGTCTGAATGGCTTCAGGAAGTTTGCAGCAGTTTCCACTTCGCCCCTAGAAATGGCATTTGGGATGAATTGGTTATTTCGACGAGCAGGCAACTCCATATCCCGCAATCACAAACACAATCAATTTTAAGACAATGGGGTCCCTATGTGTTGGTGACTACTCCAGAATAGGATGTCGTTGGGAGTACCGACTTTTGCTCCCTGATTCGTTCAACATTACTGGCGACCTGACAACCTGATTGGTCACGTTTGTGATGTGCAAGTCCGCCTCTGTCGGGTCTGTCACGCCTGTGGAGATCTTTCATCGTCACATCACATGCGTATCTACCAACTAGCCCTGTCAATGTGGTAGCGAGGATACTTGGATAGGGCACATCTTCCATTTAGCATATAAACATGTTTCCTCCGCCTGTGAAATCGATCAACTTACCTTCACCAGCACCGCGATCTTGTGCGAAAAAGCATTGAGCTTCATATTCAACACGCTGCCGAGACTTTGACGCAAGAAAATGCTTCGCGCAACAATCCTCTTACCGGCGCTGCTCACCACATTAGCAGCAGCAGCCCCATCGTGGCTCGCGCAACGAGCAGACTCTTGCGCCGGCGATAAGTCCGTCGCGGGGTACTGCACACCGATATCATACACAGACGTAACCACATCCTCCTCTTCCTCAGCGCCATCCTCATCAGACTGCCAACAGACATGCCAAAGCATCCTCACAGATGCAGGTGACTGGGGTGTCGACTTCACGGGCCAACCGGCCGGTTATCGCGACGAGATGTACCTAGGAAAATGTGGTTTCGGCATCGCGCGTGAAACAGATAGCGATACGTCGCAATTCTCGTTCTCGGTGAATAATCAGGATATTGTGGATGTTGTTGGTGAATCCATCAACCGGTTTGCCGGCCAGCATGGTGGGAAGGTGAAGGCCGAGGGTACGATGAATTGTTCGGGACATGTTGTTAGGTGGTTTGTTGGTTGAGTGGATTGAAGGGGGAAGACAAGTGGCATCAATTCATTTGCGATGAAACTGCTTTTATGGAAGAGGCGTGGCCGCTAGGCCTGGTGGCGTTTTACGGGGTATCATTGGGGATGCGGACGGCGGCCTCTGCGATGCCTTTTTCGGGCACATTTTACGATTGGGAGGCCTGTCTCGTCCCTGAGATGGAATGCTACTGAAATGCGATTTGAATTGAATAATATGAATAATCTGTTGACTTCAATATGGGTGCTTTGGTGTGGATGCTGCTAACGAACTACATGTACCTAGGTAGATCCTATCTACACATGAGCTTCTAACAACGTAATTTAGTACCGCACTCGCTGGTTTTGGAAATCGCGGGCAGACAAGGACTACTCATAGAGCCACGTATGGTTTACTCAACAGATAGCTAGTCATGACCTTGAGGATATTCAGAGAATTCAGGTGTGCGTAGGTACCGTGCGTTCGAAATCATACCCCTGTAATCAACCCCAATAGTTCCCCTACCCATATCAATATAGCTCGGAATATAGGGTACACAGGGCGGTTAAGCTGGAAGCATCGTACGATCCAATTGGTTAGAAGATCTACATCTCATGCATGACGAACGCCCACTGCAGGGGGAATGTGGGGGGTGAGAGGGGAAAGGATAAGAGGTGTGTATTTCCCATCACCATGAGGGAACGGATTTCTCAATTATTGGTCATCTCTTTTGACCCGGGAAATGGTGTCTCTTGGGAACTGACGAAAGGGCAGTAATCACACATAAAGCTCCATAATGATAGATCGGCGACTTGGAGTCGTCACGTTGAATGGAATCTGAGTGTTCCTATTAGTGGACCTCTTCTCACGGCACTAACAAGGGACACGCACAATTTACCGCTATTTCGGAAAATGTGATTGAGAGGGGGTTGCCTACGAATGAATCTGCGAACCTTGAATTGTTGGGCATACGGCAATGAATAAATTTGCCTACTCACAAGTACTCCATCCCGATGAAATCCGAATCTTGACTCTACACCCAGGCGCAGGGTCGGAGAAGCTAGAAGGGTCGATCAGGCACATCCGACTCCCTCCGGACATTTCACTAACTTTGTCGTTTTCGTCGGATCGGGGACAGCCACAGGTAAAATTTCTACGCAATACAAGAAGGATCCTCGATATATTCGAAGCGCAATCGGGAGGACACAATCAATCTATAAAATCTGCGGATGCCGGTGGTGATATTTGGGAGTGGAGACTTTTTGAGTCGAGAAAGGAGTCAGTGAGAAGGTCGTTCCATGGGAGGTTAGTATCGCCTCCGCTGTAACGTAGAATTCTTTCGGGCTAACAGGGGAGTAGAGAGTTTTATATAGAGAACCCTGTTCTAGGCTTTGATTGCAATCGTATTGAATACACCCAAGAGTCGTATGACGCTTTATCGTATACATGGGGTGATCTCCAGAAGACCAATGAGATTACCGTTGACGGTAAATCTCTTGGTATTACGAAGAATTTAGATGTTGCCTTGACGAGATTGAGGTCGCCGACTGAACTGCGACGGTTATGGATCGACGCAATCTGTATCGACCAAGAGAATATCCAAGAGAGGAATCATCAAGTACATATGATGAAACGGATATTTTCTTCGGCATCCTCTGTCGTGGTATGGCTTGGTGAAGCTACTGGCAGCGTATTTTCCACACTAGAGATGATCCTCAGGTGCAATTGGAGTCGGGGAAAGAAGAATCTCTTCAACTATCCCGAAGAATCGCTGCGGGGATTATGCGAATTGTTCGCACGGCCTTGGTGGAAACGGATATGGATAGTACAGGAAGTTGTCGCTGCACGAGAACTTGTGGTTCTACTAGGTACCACTATCTTCCCCTGGGTAATGCTAGAGAACCTCTGTCGGGCTATTCAACTAGCTGAATTTCTCATTCACCCCTTAGCATCTATGGTCCGGGATTGTGGGTATCAAAAATTCACAGTGTTAGAACATTTTAGACGAAATAGGAGCATGCCACTTGTTCGTTTGGTACAATGCACCCAAGATTATCAAGCGACCGACTCGCGCGACAAGTTATATGCTCTTCTCGGTATGGCTTCAGATATATCGCCTGACGAGATCATCCCCGACTATACGAAGCCCGTCCAAGAAGTGTTTCTTGATCTAGTTGAGTTCATGGCAACTAATCATCGCAATTTGGATATTATCTCATCGGGTCGGTTATCTATTTCGGGTTCTTCCGTACCAAGCTGGTTACCGGATTGGCGGGGTTTGAACACCCTCCGTCCACTGAACAGTGAGGAAGTTGGCGGCCACTTTCATAGGGCTTCAGGCAGAACGGATGCTGTGGTGGATCTGGCTGAGTATCCTTCAATTTTAACAGCCGAAGGATGGGTAGTTGATACGATCGACTTCTTTGATGATGCCGTTGCGCAGACTCATATCGACATATCAACGATACAACGCTGGGAGAGGCTTGCGGCCGAGCGCGTTGATCGCATAACCATGAGTTTATTTTGGAAGATCATTATAATGGATAAGGACCATACGGGTAACTTGGCTATGGCATCATTTGGTAGAGCATTCGATCCCTTTATTAAGGGCCCGGGGAAGGCTCGGTCTAAATTTGTGCAGCACTATTCCGACGCCGTCACTAGAGCAGTTACCGGCCGGAGATTCTTTATCACCAGAAGGGGTCGAATGGGACTTGGACCTCCAGAAATCCAGGAAAACGACCAGGTTACCATCTTCAAGGGTTGCCATGTCCCTCTGATATTGCGCGAAATGGAAGATCATATGGTCGTAGTCGGCGAGGCATATGTTTCCGCCATGATGAATGGAGAACTCGGTTCTGACTTATCGGAAGGTCGATATAATCTTAGGAGCATTAAGCTTAGATGAAATGAAGTAAAAGTTCGTAATCTGCGCGCCGCAATCTTCATGCTTATAATAAATAAGATTTTAAAGTAAACAATATATTACATAATAACATGCTGACGTCATGCCCATATATATTATTCTAGTCTGTGCTTTGAACGCGAAAATCTTAGAATGACCAACTTTTTTTCCTTTCCCCAAAATATATCGCGCCGTCTTTCAATACAATATCCGTTCATACGGTCGACTTTATTTTCACATGCTAAAAGAGCGAGAAAACTTTGAAGATAAAATATCTAACTCAATGCCGTCGGACGGATAGCGGAACGCGTTAGCGTTTGGGGTACCAGTCAACTCCCCAATCTGTGCTGTAAACCTGGTACAGTTTAGAAGGGTAGGTACATACAGTGATGTCATATCTGGAGTTGCGACGCCCAATCAACGAAAGTTGTACCCGTAACTTCTCAACTCCAGGATAGATGAATTACCGTATTAGGGACGCCCTTGACGTAGCTCGCGATACTCGACATGCACTAGGAGTTACGATCAAGGGTGGATCATGAGACAGTGTTAGCACTTACCCCCACATCGAGTTGGGAGATAGGTATTGGATTCTCGATGAATTCTAGATCTATTCTTTAAACAGCTTCTTTTTCTCACTTATATAGCTTGAGACCGAGGTTGAGACTAGTGGCTAACAGCATCCTTCAACTTTGACGGCGGTTGTATGCTTTCTCAACTATGCTAACTTTTCTTTAATCCCCCTATACTTTTATCAAATAGTATTTCTTTATTCCATTTCATTCATTATACATAACTCCTTGCGGAGCCAATCGTTGTGGTTTGGCTAGGTATCATCGCCAAAGCAGCCGTCAGCGACGATGCCGAATCCACCACCCGAACCCGGCGCCGATGAGACGGAGACACCGAAACCATGGGTATCACAGAAGACCGCTATCGTCGTCTTCTCCAGCCTGGCTATCGCTCTATACGGGTACGATCAAGGCATGATGTCCATGGTCAACACCAACTACTCTTATCTTAGTACCATGGGCATAGAGGATACATCTATTTTACTTGGTGTCATCGTCGCTATATATTACATCGGATGCACATTTGGCGCCATCGTCGCTTCGCATTTTGCCGACAGCCGCGGGCGTAAATGGGCTGTAGTTATGTGCCTTTTCGCCAGCATATTCGGAAATCTCCTCATGTTCATTCCTGGTATTTATCCGATTAAGGAGGACGATACCTGGAAAGGATGGTCTTTGCGTCTTATGCTCATTGGACGCTTCGTGTTGGGACTGGGTGTTGGGGGGATTGACGCCGTCATACCTGTCTACAGCTCCGAGCTCTCTAAGGATGGCGCTCGTGGAAGTGCCTGTGAGTGCATTTCATACAGTCGAAAGATAGGTAATTAGGTACTGATTCTAGATTTCTTATAGTGGCAAAAGAATTCCAAGCGAATATTTTCGGATTATTGCTAGCATTCGCGCTCAACCTATTTCTCACTATCGGACTCGGGAAAAACAACCAATGGGCCTGGAGAATCCCAATCATCTTTATGCAAATCTTCCCTTGGTTGCTGCTATCCATAGTTAGGAGCTTACCGGAATCGCCGCGATGGTTGATCAGCCACGAGAGGTTAGATGGTGCACTAGATGCTCTTACTGGCCTCCACGGTCAAGATCAGGCCGAAGAAATGTTTGAACAACTCCACAGAGCCAACGAAGAAGAGGAACAAGACAAGCTAGGGTACTACGAAATGTTTTTCGGGAGCCAATCTCATCCGACCGCGATCACTGTGATGGGTCAGATTAACCAGGCTTTGACGGGTTATGGGGCCGTCTCTGTATACGGACCTCAGATATTCGAGCTTTTAGGCCTAAAAGTGCGCATTGCGGAATACGCGACACTCGGAAATTACATATTTTACACCGGCATGATGACCGTTGCTTGGAAAACCATCGATGTTGTGGGCCGAAGGAAACTGATGCTATGGGGCTCACTGGGGTTGGCGGTCTGTTTTGGCCTGTTAACAATTTTGGGCGGTATCTCGGTAGACATCTTTCGCAAGCCTCAATTGCCCGTGGAAATCATCGGTTCGATTATACTCTGCGTGTCGACAGCTATTTTCGGCGTGAGCTGGCTGACGACTGTCTGGTTGATCCCGACAGAGATTTATCCCAACAGTGCGCGCGCGCAAGGTAGCTCAATCAGTGTTATCATATGGGGCCTGGCCAACTTCGCCATTACGTTCCTCACCCCAATTGGCTTCAATAATCTGAAATACTGGTTGTTCTTGGTGTTTGCTGTTACCAATACGATTGCGGGGCTACTAACCTGGCGATACTCGCCCGAAACCGGGGGCAGGAGCTTCGAAGAAAACCAACAATTCTTTATATCTGCTCGAGAGAAGGGAAGGTTCGCTGTCAAAAATGTTGACGGTGGAAAATACTTACGTATGCCTCAAAGGGAAGATACTCCCCAGAATCTCGAAGAGGGCGACCAAGATGAGGGCGAGGACGCTGAGGGTGAAAATGCTAAGGGCGAAAACACCAGAAGCGCACTCAATGAAAGGACTCCTCTATTATTGAGTTGGTGGTAGAGGTCCCGAAAATGTGGTTTTATTGAGGGGATTTTATTAGCGGTAAGGACTATGGATGATGACCTGATGATTTCATGATATAAACATTAGGGGATAGCGACCTGTATCGTTATCAACAGCGGGATTTTAATGACAATCGTTCCTTTTACCTTCGGAGACTTTGGTGCGACGCTGATTGTCAGTTCTGTGTAGCATCCCTTGCTTCACACAGCGTGGCATCCAAAATCTAATTATATCGATCTATGAACTTGATAACTTTTCTTCCAGTGGTACTTCTTTCGAAATCGTCGAGATTTTTAACAAGAACGATATGGAATCTATGTTCATTCGCAGAATAAACATGGAAGAACGCTCTTATTCGATCAATAAGAACGTACTCGTATATCAACAGACTCTCATTCTCCCTTGGGGAACAAAGCAAACGGATTTCTAGCGATGACTCCAGAGAGGGCTGCATCTTATCCAGGACAACCTGCCACTGTAGAACCCCACACTCAGGGCTCTCAATCAAAAATGTCAGCTCCTCGAATTCAACATAATCCCCATCCCACTCGAAGCTGAATCGGCGATCGCGACCTGCGAGCCGCAGAACACGCAAATATGGCCAATCTTCCTTGGGGATCATGGAACGAGTATCATCGGGTAGGGGATGAAGCGAGCCAATATCACCAGTGAGATAGCGCACTAAGGGATTTCGAAGACGAGTGAGAGACGTTTGTGCGATGATGCCTAACCTTCCATCGGGCACGGAGTTAGGATTAGGATCATCTTGCAGAACACTCGCAGAAAGGGTCTCAATCAAGGTAGCGCGTGTATCGAAAATGAAGTTCGCATGGCTTGCGGTGATGTCGTTTTCAATCAAGTCGGGGTTGCTGATTGCCCATGGACCCGCTTCTGCACTGCCTAGCATAGAGCAGATTTTGACAGGACCAAGAATGGCATATATGTGCCCCCTCTGGGCTCGAGTGAGAGTTTCCGATGTATAAATGATCTTGTCAAGCTTGATCTGGGCTCTCTTCTCGTCGGGAAGGGTGGAAATGTGGTGTACCACATGTACCACTTGGCTGCTAGCACCGCTTAACACATTGACGTGGTAGTCTGCTAGAAGTGTACACACTTCGGCGGGCGACATGTGATTCCCGGCGCTCAGCACCGAGGCCCCGGCGTTTTCGAGTATCTCTAGTGTGAGATCTAGGGATCTGATAATCTAAATGTTAACAGGTAATTTCGGCCTGCTTGCATAGGGAGGGGCAGTTACCGGTAGAGTTCACCAGCGGCGTGGACCGACAGAACCCAATCTCCAGGCTTGACGACTCCGGTCATATGAAGGAACCGGCCGAAATAGGCCCGGTGCCTTCGGTTCTCATGAACATCTGTTGCGAAGAATAGTGGCTTCGACTCAGAAGCTCCACCACTTATGCTGGCATAGATGCCTTGGCGAAACGTATTCAGAGGGCTTGTATCATCTATGAGCCTCCTGATAGTGGTATAACTGAATAATATCAGATCTGGGAATTGAGAACTTTGCTGACTGGCCTACTTACAGACTCTTCTTCCGGAGCAATGGCTGCAGTTTCAGGTCTTCCTCTGTCACTTGCTTCAGGGCCCGTTTCCTCGCGATTTGGATGATGTGCGTGTTAGGAGGGTACTTAACATCAAAGACGTAAAAGGGGTGGATATTAGCAACAGCTAGTATATCCGCCAATGAGTAGAATTCTGGCTCCATCTCATCAAACTCTATGTACCTACTTATCGGAGTAGCAGGAGTATAGAGCTAGAAATCCTAAGTCGAAGTGGAAGGTAATAGGATTATCGAATAAGGTGCCTTCTGTTTTTTTTTTAGGCCTAGCTCGAGCGGATCGAATCAGTTACCGATGCAATACCTAGCCCTTACAGTATAACATCACTTGTCACCGAGATTGAGCCCCTGCGATGGAGTTTCATCTGTCTCATCGACTCCGTTCAGGTCGCCACGCGATAATATCGGAGAGTGACCAAATCCCGATATCCCTGATTAACCCCACTGCATGGGTAGGTCATATAGTCTGGAACTGGCGTATGGTTCTTCACACTACTGTAAGTCACCCGCCCCGGGGGATGATATGTGATAGCTTACCAGAAACCTGGGTGAATTTAATCGCCTTAGAAGCCCGAGACATGACCTCCTTACAGGTACGCTAGTGAGCAATAGTGACCTTAGGCGCGATAATCTCGGAACGGACCGCTATGCGCTAACCACTTCGCGTAACGGCGGTGAGCATTGCTGTATGCAATTTAATATGTATTTTTCGTTATACGACGTTTTTAGAATACGTAATCGCTCCGTGGTGGCTAGCTGAAAATTGTAAGGGAGTCAGATCGGAGCCTACGGCAGCTGTGACGATAGTGTAAGTTGCACGGGGGACAGATGGTAAAAATCGGCGATATTGCAATAAGAGGCTGTATCTCGCCTTTAGATTTATATTAAGTATCCAGGTACGTATTCTGATTTCATCAAATTATAACCAAGTCCCGTTGTATCTAGGATAATCCCACTCCCATCGCGATCAGAGTTGACACAACTTAGCCCTAATTCGAAGCGCCTTAGAACGGGACTGCACTGCAACAATGAAAGTCAGCGATTGCTTATTTGGGAGCTCGGGGACCTCATATGTGTCTCGGATCACTGCACATTCGATATGGGGAAACCATGCTTCGTTAAGACACATGGATGGATGGATGGGGGAAACACGGCATAACTTACTTCCACCTTACCCGACGAAGGTGGCGCGCGGGATCCTTAACATTAGTTCTAGCGTGAAGCCATCGGCGATTATCGACAAGAATAATGGACCTTTCCGGCAAGTCATCTGAAGAGAGGTTGATGGTCAAGTGAGATTCGTCGCCGGCATTTTGTAACACCTTTCTGAGCTCTTTTAGCGCCCGAGACGCCCTTTCGCTGACTGGAGTCAATATGTCATCTCTGAACCGAAGTCTTCTAGGTATGCCTTCCCCATCAACTGTGAGTAAACTACCGATGATATGACGCTTCGCAGAAGACTTGATAAACTCAGGGGGTGTGGTAATCTGGTATTCCGGGCGCATAAGGTCGGCCGAAGTCTCCAGAGAAAGAAAAGCACTCAGTCGTTCAACATTCATGATCGACAGAGTCCCGCCACCATGTCGGTCGTGCTGCAGCACCTGGAGGGCAAAATATTTGGGAGGTGGATCCTCATAGCTGCAATCCGTATGCCAGGGAAACTGATTCATCGTTTCCGACCGGGCTTGGCAATTTGTAGTTTGGAAATTTGTGCTGCTTGGGCGGACATCCCAGAACCAGCCACGCGTCGCGCTGTGTGTAATGGGTAGTTGATGACCGTGATGCTGATGGAGAGTAACGAGTAATTGCTCGAGATATTGGCTATTATGATCCGAGAATCCGAGCTTCACTTTGAGGATACCGCTTCTCTCCAAGTGTTCGGAAACGCTGCGGACATGATGGGGCTCCTTGGCGGAGTTCAGATCCGGGGCGTCTAAATGAGGCACGATGTTGAGAGCCTCCGTAGCGAGGGAACGAGTTCCACGGTGGGTTCTGTCCAAAAGCCGAAATAGGTTCAGCATAGGGCCCCCCTTACGGGTAGAGGTGGATACTTGGGGGAGATTCCAAGCATAGCGCGTAAGTCGGTGAATGGAAACAGATGCCATATTGGTAAAGGATAAAGTTGTCGATCTAAGTCAAGTTCTGGATGCGTCTCACAAGTTCTCGGGGCCACGAGGGCTACGGAAATATATACCCGATCCTTGGTAAATGTTCGAATGTTGTCTCACAACACCAACGGATTGCGTAATGCATCATCGGATATGCTAAAACATCCTCCGTTGAAGCAGAACTTACTTCCGGGGCTCTCTCGCACATGGCTTGCTAGACATCTGCTGAAAGGAACATGCGTATGTGTGGATGCGAGGTGCGGTATGGCGGAATGTATGCCGAAGTGTCTAGGTAGGTTTACGGCGTAAGTTGATAATCCATATAGTTCCTAAGATGTCGGGCAAACCATTAGAATGGCCCTTCACTCAAACTAGCCTTCATTCCTAGAGGATATCTTTCCAATGAAAGGTCCAATTTCTTCCCACTTACAACAGATCCATCTAGAAGCCGGGTCCAAGAGTTATAGGCCCATAGCACATCATCAGGCAAATGAGACCACCTATGCGCAGGAACATAATGAGCTTCAAGCCAACCTCCTGTCGATATGCTCTGCATACTTATGGCCCAGAGGGTCTTATCGCGCCGCCTGCCCTCGGCCGATACTCATCCATGCGCGCCATCAACAACAACTAGAAGAGTTGCATGAAGCATTCAATACAGCGATCACCGATATCATTGATCGATGGTGGTCTGACCCTGAAGCCAGATTTCCTGAGCGCATGCCCCTCGAGAAGGGAGAAGAAAACCTATTAGAGGTTCGTCTGTTACCCTACTTCCGTCGCCTGACCATTCACTAAAATGTGTAATAGTGGCTAGAGGAACAAGTTTCGCGTGGAAAACTCGCAAAGTACTCGGCGTGCCAAGGTTCTTGGAGGCCGGACTTTCTTGTAGAGGGGGACAGCACCAATCCAGACGCCGTAAATGCAGAAAAGTTTCGAATCACTGAAATTAATGCTCGCTTCTCTTTTAATGGATTTATGCATGAGGCATATGGGCAACAAGCCGTAGATAAGATGGATCTAGGAGCTTACGGATTGAACAGCGCGACGGATGCAAGCAAGGTAATGCGCAAGCCGCTCTTTTATTCCCGAATATAGCTTTTGGTGCTAACAGCAAAAGATTATAGACGGCTTGTTCAGTCTATTCAACCCGGCCCTTCCGCTACACCTTCTTAAGGGCGAAGAACAAGGAATAGACATCCACATGTTCATAGATGCCGTTCGGCGTCGGTTCGGTGTCACCCCAAGGATCATAAGCCCTTCGGACCTCAGATTAGTGCCGAACCCTCGAAACAAGGGAGCCAATATGCTCTGTTGCGTCGCTAGGACTGACAGCGATTTTCGCTTTCTCCCCGAAACTCCTACTATGATAAGTAGTGGCGGGGAAATTGTGGAAGAGATCCACCAAATAGGACTAGAACTCCACCAACACGAGTTGCTCGCATTACAACAGGAAATCCTGCGCCAAGTCAGTCTGCGTTGCTTCAACGACATGCGGTCAATCTTTCTCATACATGATAAGCGTATGCTTGGAGTTGTGAAGCAAGAAATACCATCGCTGGTGATGCGCGGCGTGTTATCGCCAGCTCAGGCACATATCCTCGATGAGGGTATTGTGGACACAGTACTTCCGGGTTCAACTGAAATGGATCGACTTCTCCAGGCTTCAAGTTGCTCCTCTAAACTCAAAGACCAATACATTTTAAAGCCAGCACGAGGTGGAAAGGGCGCCGGAATCGTATTCGGCGAAGATCTAAGTCCCGACGAGTGGGTATCTTCTCTGAAGGGCTTACAATCCCCGGAATTGACCACGGGGACTACCTTCGTCGTACAAGCACGAATCAAACCACGTTTATACGACGTGATATTGAAAGCGTCTGGAGAGAGGCTGCAGTATCCACTTGTAGGTACGTATCATGTTGTCAATGGTGAACTTCTTGGGTTGGGAACTTGGCGTTCTAGCGGGAATCGGATTTGCGCGGTTAGCTGTGGAGGCTCATGGATCTGTTCAGTAATACGCCAAGGATAACCAACACAATTGTACTTGGTTTCAAGTTCAATCCGATTAATTTCTTTTTTTTTCCTGTCAGCGACTCTATATACCGTAGATTCTATTTCGTGCGCATTCGTTACTTAGGTGGATTGATTCCTTTTAACGGACAACGCCCTCTCCCTTAGGTACCAACCAAGAATAAAAGCAGCCCCTGGACCCACGAGAGCGGTGACAACGGGGAGTAGCGCGACGTAATAGAACCAGTTTCGGCCTAACAAACCAACGCTACCAAGGTCAAAGAAGGAGTATACAAGCCATAAAAGGGAGCTGCCCAAAACGCCTATGTAATCAGCTTGGAATGCCTTTCGACAGTGTGTGATGAATTCCGACTGTGGCCCCACTGCTGGAATAAGAAGAGTTGATAGAGAATAAGGCGAAAATAGTAGTGTGTAACCCCAAACGCCAGCCGAGAACAATCCCAGGACCGCCGTTAAAATTTTCGGGGGCGCGATCATGTTGGTCTTGGGCAGGAATGGCGCAACTATTGTACTAAGGAATAAATTGCCAACTCCGATCCATATAGGGGTGAGTTGCCAGGCCCAAGTCCAATAATGCCGAATCTCAAAATCGGGAGCAAGAAACATAGCGAAAACCTCAGCCGTATGAAACAGAAATACGACCAGAAGTAAAACGCCACCATTTCCACGCCAAACGGTCCGATCGCGAACTGGCGACGCGGCCATGCCTGAAGCTGTTGGACCAAAAATAAAGTACAAACAATAGAAAACAGGAGCTACAGGCCCCAAGCCAAGCATTTGGCCCGCGAATGTGAATATTGTAGGACTAGGATAAACATGTCAGCCTTTCAGCTATTTTTCTTCCCTTTGGTAACTCACAAGTACATCGGCGTATAGGCGATGCCAGTACGGTACGACTCCAAAATCCATACTGTATACACGGGACCAAGGTCGACAAGAAAAGCAAATAGCTGCCACCAGGAAACAGCATCGTATCCAAACGTTGCAGGTGAGAAAGTTGCCGTTCCACCGAAAAACAGTTTATTAAAAATGTCTACTTTGTAGAAGCCTTCAGTTATCGAGATCTTCCCGCCATCCCACTCAATTACGCCGGATTCTTCGAATGGTTGTTGGTTGGCAGCGATTTTCTGAAGATCCATTTCACGGGCGCACCAGACCGCTATGAAAAGAAATGGCGCTGCCGCGATAGTGCGTATAGCTCTGACACTCCATGATGCCATGATAGGGGAGAAACTAAGTTATTACCTGATTTAGGGGTCAAATGAAGAGCAAAATGTATGCGGTACAAACGTGGGAAAACTAAAACTGCATGATAGGATTTTATTAAATACTGCTCCGGCTACGCCGACTGGGCCTATTTTCGGAGACCACGGCGTTCGTAGGGCGGACTGTGCCGTATGTTGGAACTACCTGGCCCTGCAGATGCCACCCAGTGATCTGTCAGTTATGAACAGCGCACAGTATCCGTGAATAAATACTAAACACTTGCTTGAATAGGCTTAGCGTCTATTACCATAGGAACCTTGGAATATCACTGAATTCAACTCCGAGACAGCATTGATGATCTTAGGACTTACTTTCAACAGGAGACATATATTCTTAGCCCCTATATTGCGTATATAGGATATGAACATTCTGTTCCTGTATAGAACTTAGAGTTTGAATTTACAGAGCAGGCGGAAGGGCGTCAGTCCAAGTGCCGACCGTGCGATCAGTATGAGATTTACTGTCCAAATAAGACTATATGATTGGCTCAGGAATATTCTTAACACAGTGGAATACAGTCTGTATATCACGGTCGGCTCTTGGGCTGACGCCCTTCTGGCAGGTAAGTAACCTTGGAACTTTACCTGAGTAGTTTTTGTGTTGGTTGTTAAGAATAGTACCTAGCAGCCTAGGTACCTACTAGGTAATATGCATGTCTAATTGAGACACTAGCAATTTTGGGCTCCAGTGACATTCAGGGAACGTCGAATTAGGCTAAGTCACTTTAAATGTGCCGAGTACTAGGTTCTTCCCCCAGGAAGTTACTTTTCTTGCCAAGTGAAAGACCAATCAAAATCGAGGTCAAAACCATTTGAGGAAAACGCACCAAGCTATTTACATTAGTGTCTAATCTGTGATTGGTCAATCGTCGTAGGTGGGACCAGCTTAAAAAATATCTGGAGTACCTAGGTACTGGTACTTTCAAGTCCCCCAATAACCCCGCACCCAGAGGATATATCAATTCATTCCCTTCTCTCGATAAACAATCCATATTATTTTTTCTGTCATTCAACGACAATATTTCTACTCTTTGACTACAACCATATTCCTGCACCGTTACTAGAATTGCATGCAACAACAGGCGCGCCCGCCGCGCGACATATCTACTAACACCATAGGAACGCATTCGACTCTTATTCCAGACACTTCGTAATCCGACATGACATCCTGAATATGGTCGACTTATTTTTCTATGTCAGCGACTCGAAGGTCATATCTTCACACTTTCCATCTTTAGGTAGTTCACCCGACAAATTTGAATATCGTTAGTCTCCAAGCCACTGCGAAGGCTGACTTTGAATTTATCAAAACTGTGCAAGGAGAAAATAAACCTCAACATCAACGATGCGGAGGATCTAACAATGATTAGTCATCAAGAAGGATGCACACTGGGTGTAATCTACCTAGGTACGTAGGCTGCATTCCATTAGTACGTGACGGATTCAGATACAGAGATAAGTTTCCCGTGCCTATAGAAAATACATTCTAACATTTAAACCCTCACTGGGTTTCTCAGGTGAAGTTCCATTATAATAGCTCATCCTTAAGTCCAGTACACACCCGCAGACAGAGACACAACTCGATATTCGAGAACCTGACAGTCCAAGGCATCCTTACCTATCCAGGAATATCATCTGGAAAACTTACGAGCGTATATGAAACTAGCTCACTTCATGTACTCCCGATTAACTAGTTAGTGTAGTTAGTCTAATCACCCTGGCACCTGCGCAGTACGCATACAACGAATACCCCACCCCACCCCACCCCGCAGAACATACCTAGGTATGTATCCCCTTAGTACAGGTATATCTAGGTACCTACAGGGTAACTGCGATGCTTCTTTCCCGCAACATCTCGCCACGCGGCGCAGCACACCACACCACTGGCTGACAACCCCATCATCGACGACGTGTAGTGTGTACATAGGCGCCTCATAACTATATCATTCTCAATTCACGATCTACCTACCTAGGTACCCAGTAGGTTGATCTAGTGCGCTTGTTTTCAAAAAGAACGTCGCATCACACATAGTAGATGTCGGGTCCGTGTTTAAATTCATGTTCCAGTTCAGCTCCCATGAGAGCATATCAGTTGCCCTCTAACATATAATCTTCTAATGTAGGTACCCCGCGGGTCTATATCTACCAAAGTACTTACTAAATCTAGTACATACCTACATATGTAGGCACGCCTTGTTTACCTAGGTAGGCAAAGAGGCGCTTCTAAGGTTACATACGCCCTCTAGAATGCCAGAGGAGGATTGTTCATACCCTACCAAACAGATGCGCCTCATCGACATGCCTGGAACACACCGATATACACATGCATGGAATTGCACGTAGATTGGGCGTCAACCAACCCAGCCTCAAAATTAGGTGGACGAGGGCCCGGAAATAGCTGTATATAAACTATCTGATTGCCCCGTAAATGTCTTGATTTCGAATTCTGTTTTAGGTGGGCATATAATATATACTCCTATTCCGTAATAGCAAAATATGTTGGACGCCGTAGGTCTCACCGGGACAGTTGTCGGCATAGCGTCACTTAGCCTCCAGATATACAGCGGTCTCAAAAGCTATCTTGAGGACTTTAGGGGCTGCGATGAATACGTCAACAAAACCGTATCGTACCTTGATCACTTACAGGACCTAGCCCTGTCGATCAAAGCCATTGTCCCAGAGCTCCAAAATGAGCATAACGCCCCATGTCAGAAGGTATTATCCTGTGTGGAAATCTGTGAGGCTGAGCTCAAGTCTTTCAATCTTGCGATTCAGAAATACAACCCTACTATTACTAATAACACGAAGGGGAAACTCAAAAATATCAAAAGAAGGAATATCAAAAAGAAGGCAAAATTTCCTTTTGCTCGTCCCGAGCTCGAGAAAATAGCCTCCCGTACCGACCGAGTCAACAACCTGTTATCAAATGCACTTCACAACCTTACTCTGTAAATTATTCCTTACTCCCCCCAGGGATGCACAGGTTTTAATTAATACTATGACAAGATATGTTCAGTCTACCGGGCGCGAAAAGCTGATAGGAATTGGCGACTCGACCAATACAATAGTAACCGAGTTGAAAGCCACTAACATAAAGCTAGATGCGATTGACTCCAGAGGGATTACTCTTGAAACGAGCCTTCAAAACAATCAAACAGCCATTGCTGACATATTGCGATATGTACGCGAGATCCAATCATCCCAAAGCAGTCAAGATTCTGCGGGAGAAATATTCTTCCAAAGGTTGATGTCAAGACCTGACTACCTCAGGGGACTCCTTAACGCACAATCCGACTCTCCCAGCCAGCCGATGGAACAGGAACCACGAACTTCCCCCCGACTGCATCGTTGGAGGCACACAATCACTAGCTGCGACTGCCGCTACCGTCAGCAGCTAACTCGAGAATTCGCTAGGTGGACCGTCTTCACACGCTTCGACGAATCGATTGATGATTTCCTGCATGAGCGTGGTTGTCATAGGTATAGCGACGATCCGGTAAACCAACAACACACGATCGTAGTCGTATGCACTGCCTTACGTCGCTTACTCAACATTGCGGTTGGGGTTAGTCTCATGTGGAAAACCGGCGCTGGTGGGGCAAGCATTAGTTCAGGGATCGGATATTACGCCGTGGTGGATAAGAACCGCTCTCCGGCATTCCGCATCACTCAGATAATGGGGAAGGCCAATTGGGCCTTTTCCTCACGTCAAGATACCGACGCGTCATATTCAGAAGCACAAGCGAATTGCCGCCAGATTATACGCGCTGGAACAAAGAAGATACAACAAATTTTCGCCAATAAGGCTTCCTCTCCCACAGATGTGTGTGACGATGGTACATCATTAATTGAAGGATATATTCAAAACTCCATAAGTCAATTGGCACGAACCTTTAAACAAATTAATAATCTCGTATAAGTATTACCACCATGGTGCACTAGATTTGGGTAGACGGACAGTCATGATCGACCATGCCCTCCTATCAACTTTACTTCAAGCTAAGTGGACGCGCTACGTCGGTGGCCCGACGATGTGTTCGACCAGGTAAAGTGCAGTTCTCAAATGAAACGTCCAAAACCGCTGACATAGCAGAACTGCTTTGGCTCTATGTATAAGCTCTATGGATTCTCAGTTAAACAACACGCATGACATAGATTCCGTCATGACATTCGTCGAGAAACAGCCAGAAAACCACATTTGCCCAACCAATTGGATGTTTATGTTAGATCTTCGTGCTCGAAGATTACTCTTTGAAAGAGAAAACGTTGCAGGGGGTAATACAACAGGGCTACCTCTTTATATACGGTAATTTATACTAACAATCTTTGGTAGCATTCGGCCTTGATAATGCCCTCTTCACGGCTCTGCTGAGAAGGAACGAATCGATGCTGAAGCGTATACTACCAAAACTGTCAAATTCGCCCGATTCCTTCGTGTCTAACGGAATATCGGCGGCCCACATTGCTGTTTTCTGGCCGGAGGGTTTGAAGACTCTCACTGAGGCTCAATCGAATATTGACATGAATGGAGAATGCTGTCAACATATATCAATACATCTCTCGCCAATCGAATTAGCGCTAGGAGCAAGCCAGGAAATTTGCAATGCACGCAATACTCTACGCCAAGACTGCCCCTGCGCTGAATCGGTAGAGATCTTGTTGAATGCCGGGTGCCAGCTAGTCAAGAGCTATTGGGCTGGTCTTAACAACCAATTTCCACCGTCCAAGAGGGCTATCTACGTTTTATTGAACCATATCAAATTATGGCGGGAGAAGCTGAAGAATATAGCCGAGCGGGAACTAACCGAGGAGGAAAGACATCAGCTTGGTATCCACAGTTCCATCGTCTTAGACAATACCGCGCCAAAAGTAATCAGAAAACTCCAGGCCAAAGGCATCTGCCCTTCCGGTGAGTTTCAACTCGACCCACATGATTATCGCCTTTCCCCTCAACCCAACAAGCCTGGGCTGGATCCAATTTATCATCAAATGCGGCTATGTTTATCAGCTCAGGTAGCATTTGACCTCGGATTTAGAGACGTCGATGCATTCTATGAGCGTAAGACGCCAATAATGATCTACACTCGATACCTTCAATACGGCAAGTGGCTATTAGACCATGGAGCGAGTGCTAATAATCTTGTTCCTTGGGATGATGACCCTTGTCTGGCTCAAATTGAGCTCCCTCGATGGACAGTCGCTCATCGCCTAATGGGCGACTATTCACGTCTTGCGGTCAATAGTTGGCGGAACATCGATGATTTCGCCGAATGCGCTCATGTGATTGGCCAACTGAGTGAGATACAAATTGGCGATGGCTGTGAGTGTAGTTGCTCTGACCGAGAGGACGGATGTAGTCCCTTTTCACTGTTCCTAGGTTCAGCACATACATACCAGAAAACGAAACAACCGAAAGTGGAGATGATTTGTGGCGTTTTTGATATGCTCAATAAGGACGACATATCCTCGATTGCTTTTTTTGCAAACGCAGTGATACGAGCAGTCACATTCGAAGCCTTGGGGATAAGACATACATGTTGTGCGACAATGCCTTACTGGATGAATCCTCGCGACCTGATGTCATATGGTGAGGACTTTCCTAACGTTAGAGACGAGGACGAACCTCTGCTAGAAGAACTAGAAGAGCTTGTTGCTGAACATAAGGATCGGTTTCATTCCCGAGGGCAATCTCTTCCCGATTTCCTGAGGGGCTATTGGAAAGAACGTATGGATCAAATCAACGAAGAAAAAAAGGCTAGACGCTTAACTCAAGAGGAGAGACGGGCTGTTGAAGAGCTGGGTGTGAACCTTAGCGTCGGGTCGGAAGACATCCGCGGACGTAAAAAGAACGGTGGAATATTGGGTCAGTCAGATGGACGAAATTTGGCCATAGGAAGTATTGAAGTACCTAGTTACCTACTTCCAAGTTGGCAAACCACAATGCGAGTATTGCACCTCTAGGTACTTCTAACTTTTTCTGGGGCAATTCTGAAAATAATGATGGGAACACCCGGTATTCAATCTCCGCGTTCGGCGATAAATAGTGGGATTCGCTTTTCTTCGCTTTCGTTCGGGTAGAAAAAAGACATTAACGGCCATAAATGACGGAGAAGACATCGGAATAGGTATTCGGTTTATTTTATCGACCCATTGGCTTCGGCGTAACCCCCATACACACACAAGGAACCCATTGGCGATCAATTATATCAAAATGATGATGGAGTACATAGCCGACCCACAACCGGACACCTGCTAAACACACCTACCCCTCATCTTGAGCGGTTTATAAAGAGGTATTCTTGTCCTTTCGAACACCTTCAGCACTTTTCTTTTCACATTAGTTTCGTTAGGTTAACTCGAGCTTGAAATATCACCACATCAACATAGTATCCCATTGGTATGGTCAAAAAGGAGCAACCTGCCATCATGGAGCTATCTCAGTATCAAGGTAACGTTGGTTAAACGCATGGCGGGTGCTCGATGCTCTTGATCCCATTACGACCGACCCTCGACCCCAAAGTTGAGACGAGGTCTAATGGGTGAGAGGCATCAGGGCTGAGATTACACCGTTCAAACTTGATCTGGATAATTCCAGCGAAAGGACATGCTGCTTCCCCTCCCCCTTGTTTCCCCGAACAGCTAAAGTATTGACTGTCGCAGTTCAACTTGACCTATCATGTCTACCGACAAGATTACCTTCTTGACCAACTGGCAAGCATGGAGTCATCTATAGTTAGATGAGCATTTACTAACTCTAGCAGGCATGCGACGCCGTACCACGCCCCCCTTTACCTGGCCCAAGCCAAAGGTTACTTCAAGGATGAAGGCATCAAGGTTGCTCTTCTTGAGCCCAATGACCCAAGTGTATGCTTTACGGTCGATGCATTGCCCATAGATACAGTACTTACACAAATGTAGGATGTCACCGAAATCATTGGTACCGGAAAGGTCGACCTCGGATTCAAGGCCATGATCCACACCCTTGCGGTAAGACATTCGAGGGTGTCCAAATGGATAAAGGCTAAACAGGATTGGATCTAGGCCAAAGCGCGCAACTTCCCTGTGCTTTCTATCGGGTCGCTGCTGGACGAGCCTTTCACTGGCGTCGTCTACCTCAAAGACAGCGGCATTACCCCTGACTTTACGACCCTCAAGGGCAAGCGAATTGGCTATGTCGGCGAATTCGGAAAGGTATGCTGCCACAATTGCATCTGAAAATGCACTTTGCTAAACTCTCCTAGATCCAAATTGACGAGCTCACCTCGCACTATGGCATGACCCCAGCTGACTACACCGCAGTCCGCTGCGGCATGAACGTCTCCAAGGCCATCATCAAGGGCGAAATCGATGCCGGCATCGGTCTAGAGAACGTCCAAATGGTTGAGCTCGAGGAATGGCTCGCTTCTCAGGGTCGTCCCAAGAGCGACGTGCAGATGCTGCGCATTGACGAACTCGCCGAACTAGGTTGCTGCTGCTTCTGCACCATCCTATACATCGGCAACGAGAAGTTCCTCTCCGAGAACCCGGAGAAGGTCCATGCGTTCATGCGCGCAGTCAAGCTCGCTACTGACTTTGTCATCGCGGAGCCGGCGAAGGCGTACGCTGAGTACGTCGAGTTCAAGCCGATTATGGGTACCGAGCTCAACCGCAAGATTTTTGAGCGCTCATTCGCGTACTTCTCCAAAGATCTGAAGAACGTCCGTCGTGACTGGGAGAAGGTTACTAAGTATGGAAAGCGTCTTGGTGTGCTCGATCAGAGCTTCCAGTCTAACTACACCAACTCCTTCTTGTCCTGGACTCTCGAGGGTGAATCTTCCGACCCGACCGGAGACCAGAAGCGCATGGCGGAACTCCAGAAGGGCGTTGCTTCTGCGGGTGGTTTCCACCGTCTAGAGATTAAGGCCGGTGAAACTGCTATCCAGGCTTAAATGTCTTACTTGAGCGGTCGACTTAGGACCACTATTGGATATCGATTGCTTGGCGAAATTAATTCCCGCATGAATTTGTTCATTGTTGAATTTGTACCTGGGTAGCCAACGCTCCTTTCACAGTGCGAGTCAAATAGCTTCTCTTACATAGTAACACAAGTTCGAGTAGCTTCATAATATTGTGTCTCGTTTGCGCTGTGACCAAGTAGCAGACCGTGTGACATACGGGTGGGCGAAATTCACGAAGTTTCAAGCGCGAGAGAGGGCATCTTGTCACATTATTGCTGACAAGTTTAATCGATCGAATCATCCTCAATAATTTGCCATTTTTTGTTATTCAGCGACGTGCGCCATGCCCTTATCGTAGAGAATATGTGGGCTTTTAAATAGTGCCATCACATTCCTCAGGGGTAAATTTTCATTGGCCCTTTAGCACACCCACATCATCGTCATAGACAGCTCGGTCCAGCAATTTATCGCCAAGTTCGCTGCAGCTATGCCAACTCAACCCCCACATCTCGGTACATGTGCGTACAGTGTGTATAATATACTGAAGCTCGCTGCAGAGCTTGCCTGTTTGCACTAACCCCGTTCCGGCCAAGCCGAGCAACAACGTCACCATCATACATCCACATCTATCAACATCTTGAGTGTTTTCGGCCCTCAAGCTCTTTTACTCTCAATTGACGGATGAGCCCTGAATATGGCCGACTGCGGACTTCCTTTCCCCGTCGTCTGCATCCAATGTGGTCGAGACGTCGGTCTCTGCGGCATCAAGATCGTCGGTATGTTCTGTGGATTTCATATGGGTCTAATGAGTGTCATGTCGACAAGCACTGATTTCGTGTCATTAGGACCCACGATCGGATTCTGTGTCGCTGTTCTAGCTGCAGTCATATGCTGGCCTATCGCACTCTTGTTTTGTTGCTTCACAGAGACGGGAAAGAAGTAAGCTCGTCCTATACAACAATCATATACCAACCTACACTTGTTCCATTGCTTGATTCTAACATACATGCAGGTGGTTTTGGAAACCTTGCGATATAAATGCTCAGGTGTCGGATTTATTTCCAATCTGACAAGAGAAGAATTTGGTGATCTCAGTATTTGAAGGTCTTGTGTCCGATTAGAGTCAGGTCGCGAGTGGAACTTCGACTATCGAAAACCACATCCAGCGCTCGATCTCGATAACTAAAAAGCACGACTCATGGTATTTGGGGATTTAATGATATAATGGCCCTAAAATATAATATTTTAATAGTGGACTAATAACAATAGAACGAACGCGAGAATTTTATCACTTTGTGAAACCTGCTTTCCAGCGCTACTTTGAAATCCACGGTCGATGTCCTCGAGGCTACGAGCACTTGCGATGACGGCCTGGTTCGGTCGTGATGGATGGACCTCTAAGTGCACGCCAACGCTCGACACGGGAGGGCCGCTCGTCGGCATTGGTTTAGGGGGCGTCCGGGGCAGTTCGAAGCAAGCTCGCACCACTAATCAAGATAGACGGCGGCGGCAACGATATTATTACCTACCTAGGTACATATGGGCGGGAAACTACAGAAGCTCTGCGGGGTACCCTTCCATCTATTTAGGTACCTAGGATCTGAAGTGGCTTGCAACTTGCCGTCCTGCCGTCTTACATTCATATGATTTGGTGACTTTTAATAGTGCATTTGCTTTTCAGCGCCTCGTTGAGACTATTGACATCCTTCAAGCCCTCATTGCCTGATTAGGTGCCCGAGTCCCGGGCCTACATTTCACAAGCAGCTACTCAGCATTCTGACACTAAATACTAAGGATTCTACGGTTGTTATGGTGTGAGTGAGAATACCAATACTCGCATCCTCGACTGTTTTCCCACAGATATTGAGAACATCTGTCATCTAGTCCAAGGATCCTGCGATGTGGCTTTAATACCGTAAATTACTAGGCACCCGTCTAAGTAGGCACACAGCCAGCACGACCATCAATCCAGGCAGCGACCTATAACTAATGCCGGCTACCAGCCTACATTTTACTAGGTAGGTGTTAAGGCACCAGGGACTTTCCATGAGATTCTACTTATTCCCCGGACTTGCGAACAATTCCAACAATGCCACGTTTTAAGGAGTGCTCGTCTACCTATTTTAGGACGCTTTGAAATTTTAAACGAGCGACTATAACCCAGCCGTATGGATAATAAAGTCATTACCGCAGTATCCTTGAAGTGCATGAGTCATATCAGAATACTCTATCAGTCATACTCTGCCTTCCAAGGCTAGACCCAGCCTCGATCCCGATCTTCTTTTCAACTACGTGTTGTTTTTACGCATTTGCGCGATATTCGAGCCACCCTACGTATCCAGCACTTAATGGTGGTGTGATTTGCATAATTGACAGCTGTCTGAAACAAGGACAATTGCTTCCATATGCATGGCTTGTAGGCGATTATCCTAGGCACATAACTAGGCGCTTTAGGTAGATTGCCATGCGCTGAATTCCGCCGTTCGGAGTGCCTAAATCTCAGGCTATAGAGGTGGTCAGCAGCACTATCTGCATCACCCTGCAGATGGCTTGTAGCAGATTAGCCCGCATCCCCGAAAAAAAAAGGCTGCAGGCTTCCGGCGCAGTGCATCACGTAATTCTCAAGAACGCTCGCTGAAAGATCGGAGATGTGGAGTACGCTACCGTGAACTATCCGTCCTGTCGGCCAGTATTAACGAGGGAATCGATCTCTTGTCAAGATTAACTTTGCGCCCCTGCGCCGGACAGTGGTCGGACTACACCGGCTCCAGGAACCTGTCAGTCGTGGCAGGATGAACGATGTTGGTAGACTCCTCCCAGCCCTAAAGGACCCCTATTGATACAAGGAACTCTACACAAGTTATATTCGAACAACATGCCACAATGAAGAGTTTCCAATTCTATATGCTATGTGATTCTTAATATATCATAGCTACCTAGGTAGGTTTTCTTTCTTTCTTCTAAGGTTCTTTCGCGATAGCTTAGTATCTATAAGATATTCAAGTCCACGAAGAGTACCTACCCAGGTATGGGGGCCCTACGGACCTTACTGTTCACCTAGGTAGTAATCAACCAGCTTAAGTGTTTCCGATCTGTCGTTTCAAGCATCCCCGGAGTACGGCCGTGGCTTGTGGTTATGACCGTGTTGGATACCCCGACTACGCTTGACTCGTAAGAGGCCCCACGAGGGCTGGTAGTGCCGAGCCGCCGGGACACGACAAGGGGAATAGAACGGTCTTTTGCCATGGATCAGCTTGACTCGACATGCGCCCGCGGGGATGACATTGGTGCACATATCCCCCGTACCCCACACGGTATTGAGCCGCCGTCCATCTTGCCAAACCGCGGACCGTCACTAGCCACAGCCACAAGACATGCCAACGTCGTGGAAAAGCGGACTTCACGATTCAATCAACGCGGCGTATTATGCCGAGATACTGCTTTTCCGGCAGTCATTATGCGTCATCTCATAGGGAGGCGACTTGTCGCAGAAGTGGGTAAGGCCAAGGCCGCCCAGATGGGAAATATATAAGATGACTCGAGCCGTCCTTAGTCGTCCTGATTCCTTTCATCCAACAACCACATTCATTATTCTCTATACTCCAATCTTTTTTTCAAGCTAGCAGGTCATTCTTTACCTGCTGCCCTTCATTGCCACGACAAGGCGCCCCATATTCACTCTCTCCGACGTATTCGAAAGCGGAGACATACGATCATTCATCGACTCGAGCTGTCGTTATTGTTATAACTTCCTCGGGATTATATATATTGAACTGAGAACCACGTGTTGAATTGAAATTATTTTTCTTCGGGACACTCTCTTTAATATTATCCAAAGCTCAACTTTGTACCCAACGACTATCATACCGATATATAACTCTACCTACCTAGGTACTATTACTACTACACTCCTTATATCTACCATCCAACTATCAGCCAATATGTTGTCTCTTACCTCAATCATCGTTGCCCTTTCCGTTGCTCTCAGCCACGCCGCTCCCCTGGATCCCAGACAAACCGGCACTCAAACCTATAACGGAGACATCACATACTACGAGCCGGGTCTAGGATCCTGCGGCGAGACCAGCACAGACTCAGACGCCGTGGTAGCCCTATCACCATCAGAGTTCAGCCAAATCCCGCAGGCCTGCGGCAAGTCGATTAAGATCACAGGCCCTGATAACAAGACCGTGGACGCCAAGGTAGTCGACAAGTGCCCGGCCTGCGCCTCCGGATCCATCGACGTCTCGTCTACCGTATTCCAGCAATTAGCCCCGTTGAGCGACGGTCGTATCAAGATCTCATGGACCTTTTCCTCATAAAAGTGTATCAGCACCCACCTCACACGAACACGAGGAGGAACGCGGGGGAATTGCTAGACAATCCCAACCCCACTACCAAAAAAACAAACTACAGTTATAGAATGGGAACAACACAAAAAAACATAAAAAAAGGACGGAAACCAAATAGACAAGACAAGACAAGACAAGACAAGACGAACAATTTACTATATACCTAGGTATGTATGTATTATTGGATGCCATCAAGACTACCGCGGGACGTGTGTCTGCCACCAGTGCTGGGCATAGGCGAACATGATTTCACGTGGGTACGACAAACGAACAAACATGAGACTTCCTTGATGGATAGATATGAATAAAGGAGGAATGGAATAGGGGAGGATATATCCACATTTGGGAGGTTGAGTGAATACCTAGAGCATTAGCTCTGCAAGACTGTTGTAGAGAATAAATGAAAACACAACATAAAACCAAGGTCCTTCGTCTCTTATTCGCTTTTCGTGTACCTTGATGCTCCTGAAAATGTCTTGAGTATCTAGATACTTCGATACCAGGTAGGTAGGTGCTTGTGACCCGACTCGCCGAGTGAAACCAATGTCTCACCCAGTCAGACATGCGTCGTTTGCCTAGAAACAGCGAGTCAACCAAGCTACCCAGATACATATGGCTGAGAGGTACTTGGGTAGGAAGACTTTCAGATTCGTCCTGTTGGAGCACCTAAATGAATACTTAGTTAGCCATACATCTGCAGCTTACCTCCTTTCTATAGCATCGTTATAGATATACTACATTTATCACGGGCCACAATGCAATTCGAAGACGATAAAGGCGAAAGTAGAAACTCTCAAATTCATAACACATAGTACTTAGTGATGGTACAAAGCCCAGCTTCCATGTGAAAAACCCACAGCCACCATGCAACCGCTCCTTATGACGCCTGCCTGTCCTGTGTCCACCCAAGTACCATATTTTTATCCGAAACTCCTTTAGGGAGAAAGCCTTATTTGCTTTCCACCGCCCAGTTCCGTCATGTCTCTTTCCCCTTTTGATGTCACCGATAATACAAAGTTCTGAGATGATATTGGTTGGCTTTCTGTCTGTTGTTCTGGGACGTTTGATGATGATCCGAGTCGGGATCCTGCCGAGGAGGCTGTAGTCGCCTCACTCGGTCCTACTAGTAATAATTTCCGTTCTTCGACAGTGATTGCCCACAGTAATGTGAGCAATACCTCTCGCGACGGTAAGCTGGTGCCGTCTGGCCACATTCGCGGTCCACGGCTCTGGTCGCCCTTGATACCCAGGAAACCAAAATCCAGCTCTTCGACTCGGACATCGCGTCCCTTCTCAGACACCAACCGCAATAACTCCATCGTCGCATCCTTGAGTGGACGCGCCAAGATGGGGCTGCTGGTTAAGAGTTTCCGAAGGGATTTGATTCTCAGAGTCGAAGAGGCCAAAATTTGGTTCCGGGTGGTCTTGGGAGATAGAGTCGCTTCCCGCGGTCGCGCCTGGAGCAGCGCCGCTGACGTCGTCGGTACTGAGGAATTGTTCGAAGTCGAAGTCGGGGAATTGGGGGGTCGAGTTACTAGCCAGATTATTGTACTCAAAATTGAGGGGGTCGGATGAAGGGCTAAATTGGCCTTCAGAGCTCCACGAATCAACGTCAAAGGGTGTCGTAAGGCTGAAAGCATCACCGAAGAGGCTGTCAGAAGCGTTTGAAGCTGTAGGAAGAGTGACAGCGCCGGAGGCGACGGTTGTTGCGAGGCTACCCACGACTGCGGAACCTCCACCGACGGACACTGCAGGCCGCACAACACCGCTGCTGGATGTTGTGTCTCGTCGGAGGAAATAGCCGCGGAAGTGGAAGCTGTCGCAACCTCTTCAGCAGATGACTTAGGGAAAATGTCATCGGGGACAGGGGTCATCTCGGGGGATAGGGAAGCAGGATCGACGGTGCCGTCCTGTTCGGACATAAGGATAAAGTCATTCATCATGCCAGGCTTATCTTGCGCCGCACTATCTTGCGATACGCGGAAGAGCGGTTGTGATAGAGTCAGGGGAGGAGAGGGTTGAAGGCCGTCAAGTGGAGACGAGCCGCGACTGGTACCGGAAGCTCCTCGAAGCTTGTTCAATTCATCCATCAACAATTCATTTGTCTTCTGTTGGTTTTGTAGTTGTTCTTCCAATTGCCTATTTCGTAGTTCCAAAGCTTCCACCTCTTGACGTTTCCTTTCCCGGGAAGATTGTGCGGCACGACGGTTTCGGAGAACTCGCTCGACTCGTCGTTGCTCTTTCTCATCCTCGGTCTTGGCTCGTTTTCTGTTGCGAATTAGATGGGATTGGCCCCGATATATTAATGCATAATAGCTTACCTTGGAGGTAGGTTGGTCTTGGGTTCCGGAAGAACTTGGCCCCATGATTTCCGCTTCTTCACCGGCTTCTTTTCTGAGTTCTCAGGTGCCGGGGAAGGCGTGCTCTGGGTAGTTTGGGCATCGAGTCTATCTTCGCTGTCACACGATTGAGGAGTCATGACACTTTCTAGGGGGTTCAATGTGGATGTGTCGAAGAGAGAGGTGTATGAGTCGCCGGGTGCTGACATAAGAGACTCGGTGGGGGATGCCTCGAACTTGACTTGAGGAGTCGAGTCGGTAATTTGTTGACTTTCCCAAGTAGCCATTTTGACGATTGTTTGTTGTGGTATGTGTTGCTAGGAGGACTTGAGGTTTCTTCATCCGAATAGCTTTAAGGCTAACAATTGCAAATAGATCAAACTAATTAGGTAGTATTCTTTCAAATACAGCTAATAGCTTGCTTGGTGGTGAAGATAGTAAGAGAGTTGCAACTAGAAGAGATAATAAATGGAGCTGAAAAGTAAAGAGGTGCCGTCCTAATTCCTCAATACAAATAACAGCAATAGGATTCACCTATGCCAACGCATGATCTAGCTTGGACAGGGATTATGGGGTGAGTCAAACCTCGTGAAAGTCGAGTCAGAGGTTAATTAGTGGGCAGTGATAATAATGGTAGTATGTATGTAATGATAGTAGTGGTAATAGTGACAAACAGTAGGCAGTAACGAATGTACAATAAAAAGGACAACGTGGCCTCTTTGAATATTATTTAATCTTATGTTCCCTTAAACTTTGATCATCTAAATTTGATTGGTGGGCTGATGGTTGGCTTTGGTGTCTGCCTGGAACTGGCGTTAAACTTCGGATGGCGAAAAAAGGACAGGAGACGAAAGCCTCTCTTTATGTTCAACGTGTCCTGTTAGAAAGGAGGTAAGGTTTTGGCCTTATCATGCCTGAGGCAACCATATTTCCCACCACCCCTGTAACTTTCAATTCTTAGGTTGTGTCAGCTATCCGGTGGGGCCAAGAATACGTACCACATGTACTACCACACCCCTGGCCAGGTCGTGCGACAGGGATGGGATGGTAAAGGGTGGATATTCTCGGGGGCAAGAGCAGAGGAATGTCAGGGGTTGATAGATCTCAATAGGGAAAGTGGATCTTGTGGTACTAAGCCACCGAGACGAATGAGAGTTCTTGGTACGGTACCTAGGTAACACTTCCCTCTTCACCGGCCGGCCGGCTCTATTGATCCCCGTGCCTTTATGCCCTTTCCCTTTCTTTCTGCGTCCATCCCTAGACTTCTACTCCTTCTACTCCCTATTCCATCTAATACTAATAAATCACACAAATCACATCCGGCCCGGATCTATAACGACAAACAACCGAACAATTGTTTTCCATATAGCATGTAACCGGAGAAGTTATGTTACATTATTATTATCAAATACTTCAAATCCGTCCGTCCAATTAATCAATTTTACTTAGGTGGTTGTGGTTCTATCTCCATACGACAAATGACCTTCATCTTGCCTTTCTCTTCTAAGCAATATTAGACAATTTTGGTGAATTGTCGCGGCCAACGTACTACGAATGGGGATTACAGCGTAGTCGGTCAGTACTAACTCGACATTTTAGTGGCTAAATCCCCCTGAAGTGATCCTCTCAGCCTTTCTTTTTACGATACGATCTACGCAGTTAGAAGCCTATTCGCTAAAAATGTTCAATGGCATTTAGTGGTTATTATTAGTAGCAACCTGCGCTGGCGAACTGGAGAATCCATGTCAGCCTGCCACTAACATGCATACCTTAGGTGTCTCTATTAAGAGAAATCGCATTTACACCCTCAAAAATTTGATAGAAGGATTTATAACATACAATCATGACATAACTTCATCACTCAAGATTAGATTAAGCTCCAGGATTGAAGAGGAATATCCCATATTCACTCGCATTGACTTCTATGACGTTGTGATTCAAATGCTCCTAAGTTTGGGTTTACTTAATTTCCTATCCAAAATATCAAGAGACAATCAATACTCAAACGCACATATTATTAGCGAGGGTGAGTTTGACAAATATTCTAATTAGTTAATCATCCCTTCGGCCTGTCAAGGCAAGACAGGGCTAGACCAACCAACCTCCGGAAGGGAAGAAATTTTACATGGCAAAGAAAACCAATCTATTCACAATTAATCGACACCCTGGGGTATTAGCCTGTAATGCTATGCCGAGCCAGAGAGGCCGGCCAGCCGCGGCGGAACGACTACCGAACCCGTCCGCATTACCAAGAACACAACAATAGTAGGAATCTGGGGAAGACCTAGAACTTCGAAAGATTTGGAAATCGTTAGTAAATCGGCAATCACCCCTTACGTGACGTCTCTTTCTTTATGGATCGTCATTTGTTATCACTGCAAGATACGGCACATGCGGCGCTTCGGGGCGTGTTGAAGGAATTGTCTTTCCGATCGTCGACAAGGTTTCAGGATCATCAAATCCAATTCGACGCTTTCAATTCCACTTCAAACCGGTTGTGTTTTGTTGGAATTGCGTAGTTGTACAAACCTAACCCGAATATGAGGTAGTGTTTCTATTCATTTCAACATCTCATAATCCTTTGATGTAACTCGCTTCTCAAAATGAATGCCGGGCCTCTTTCTCGATTCCTAATGGATTTTCCGTATGGTAACTATCACAATTGGTGGCAACAATTGAATTCTGATATGGCTTGTTACAACATGGAGCCGGCATGGTTTCGTAGATACCCGTTACTATACACCCGGACGGACTCGGTAGAATTGATCTACAGAGACATGTCGATGCATACCTAGACGGGGAGGACAATATTTTAGCACCTATCTTGTCGTCTTGCCTATTCTATACCTACCATACCTACCACATACAGGGGGTATCCTGATGGTCAAGTTCCGGGTAGAGCCGCAAACATAATAGCTTCTAATATGGGAAGTTAGAAGATCATAACCATGAAGAACTCCACTCATGGCATTTTGTTTGATCGAACATTATCTTTGTCGATCTACAAATCTTCAATCCCATTTCTATTTTGATGCATGTCACCACTCCACGATTAATTAATCCATTCTAGGCATTAAGAGTCAAGCCGCTAAAGCACCTAAATCAGTTACACTACCCAGGCACATAGGAGTCAGCCCTTATTCGTGCGATAGTGTGTTCGCCTATAAATGGCTACTAGGGCTTGTTCAATGACTTCAGCGCCGCTACAAAATGAGCAAAATTGTGTTGGTTGGTGCGCCTTGTTATTCAGCCCTTCCAACAATTGCTCATCCATATCACATTATGACAAACAGTCTTGGTGTAATGATGCGATGTTGGTTTCAATCCAGAATTATCCGCTGAATATGAGGCTTTTTGTGTAATAGCAGATACTATGTTGGTGTAGTAAAGCTGAGAATAGACGAATACCAAAATTCACCGAGCTAATACAATCCAGCCATCATTCGCGCGGAGTTGATCCGGCACTTTGTTAGACAATGAAACATTGTTTAAGAAGATCTAACCTCCCCAGGCCTTCCGTCCGTGACTCTCCAATTCCACGGTTTCAAAACACCTTCCGCTTCAAATTAAGCAGCCGAAGTTCCGCCTATGTAGGTACACTGCCAGACTGCACACAGACAGAAAAGGCCCCCAGTCCTTCCAAGCCGAACACAGTGGATCTCGGGTCATCCGAACGTTGCATTCGAAATTCGCAATCTTCCCCGCAAACCCGATTTAATACTTCGATAGATCTGGACGAAAGCGCAGCATCTTTCTGTATTTTATAGTGCTATATCTCTATCGGGTTAAGGTGAATAAGGAATCATATAACTTCTATATAGTCTGACAGTTAGTTATGTTAGTTCAAAGCACACCATATTTCGTATGGTAGGTGTTATACAATTCAATAAGGAGGCACATGCTCACTCAGCACCCAAAACTGAATAGCGTATGTGAATGAAAATCAGCCAACCCCTTATTCTCCTATCTTCTATAACCCTACTTAATTCCTAGCCACTGTTGATTTTACCTAACTAAGGAAAACTTGCGCATTCAAGGTGGCTCATGTGCGTACTACGCACGAATCATTCCAATGACCAACCCGCTAAGAATCATAAAGAATCACTCCCAAAAAGTCAAGGCGGCAGGGCGGAGAGCGCTGAACGATGGGTCTTACGCGACGCCTGTTTCAGGTAATAGTGGACGGACCCAAATGTTCTAGCCCCCCTTTTTGAAGGGAAAACTCCGAGCGCCAATAAGGGAATTGTCCGTCCGTCCCCCTTTTTCCCTTCTTTCCCTCCTGTTTCTCAACAAGGGGAGAGCTCGGACATCCAAACCACCCAAACGATGTACCCCATAATTGAACACGAGGGCCTCCATTATTACGTACCTTAGCACACGAATACGCCTGTAGATACGATACTTAGTTCGCCACTATATCGAATGAGTACAGTCTGGTGTAATGAAGTTGGAGTGATACAGCGTATCCCGTTTTGCGACGATTAATCAAACGATTCCATCTGACGATGCTGAGGGCGTTTTACTGTACTGCATCGCAAAAGGATGATAATGCGTACGACTAATTTACTCATTTCGATCCTTATATGCATGCGACTATTATACTGCGTATTGGTTTGTTGCCTCATGTCATGTCAGGTTTTAGGGCTGACTACCCTCGAAATTTTACGAGGAACCAATCGTATTCGAGTATGAAGCGACGCTCTAAGCATTTCTAGGCGTTTCCTCAACTAAGCTAGGTGCTAACATGCGTGTACCGTAACAAACATAGACTATTTATCACGAATCTAGAAAAAATTAGAGAATATCAATTATCTCACATCATGAATTTCAATGCAGATGCTGATCCCATTGCTGATGCAAAATCAGTATAACTAGGATTTGGAGTGAGTATTGCGAAAATTACTGTATTTGTATACCACCGCATCTTAGAAACTACCTCCTACCTATCTAGGATCCGAATCTTTGCAGTACTAATGCACAAGTCAGGAGGCTTCCTCTGCAATTCTGACACTAACTAGGTACTCAGATATGCATGTATTATGTCGAGTAATCCATCCTTCACTGCACAAGGTTAGTAAGTTAAATATTCATCTGCTTTCTATAATACCTACCCAAAGAAGTATTAAGCACGTATATATCAAACGTTACTCAGGCGTTTGCTATAGTGGAGGTGATAGTGGAGGCCCCTATTTCAACAAATGATAAGGGGTATTTCTTCGTTACTCATAATCTAGTTGCTGTTACATCTAAACCAAGTGCTCTGTGACATCTCCAAAGCTCGGTTTGCTTTTTGAATAACGTGACTAAGTGGTTTAGATGAAAGATAGGTACAAACACTCAGATGCTTTGACAGTGAAGTCTCGTGACAAGGAATTGAGCTTGTTACGAATTTTGGAGATTTAACATTTTCATAGCAGTCATTATCGATAAAGATGTGGCTTACAACTCAGAGAATGTGTGGCTAGTGAATTAATATGTCCCTATTTAATCCACTAAAGTGCGTCATTCGTCAACTTTGCCCCCACCAAAGAAATAGCCGCGCCGATAGGACTGGACTGGGCTAGACCGTGAACCATCTTCTATCTATCTTCTATCTATCTTCACCATTCTACAACCTTATCGACGATATCCCGTTAAACCCTCAAGATATTTTGATATCCAGAAAGTAAACCAACTTGTCATCCGACCGAGCCAATCCTTTTTACAATCCACATCTCTCCAGTCATTACCTTCAATCCACGATCTGCGACCGTCATAATCAGCCAACATGTCGAACCGACAACTCGCCCGCGACATGCAAGTCGAATTCCAGGCTCGCGTACGCCTATCTTCCACCGCCATCCTCTAACTACATAGTCGCTAACATCATATCAACAGTTCCAAGCGAAGCAAGCACGTCGCGAAGCCACGAAAGCAGCGAAGCAAGACCCCCTCCTCAAGAAACAAATCCAAGAACTTCTAAAGAAAGGCGACACCACGAAGGCATACCAGAAAGCCAAGGTTCTGCTCTCTAAGCAAGCACTTGCCCAGCAAATGGACCAGATGGCCGACATGGCCGAACTCAGCGTCGCCCAGATCCAAGCCAACAACGCTATGAACCGAATGACGAACATGATGGGTCAATCTTCGCGCACCATGTCCGCTGCGCAACGGAACATGAACCCCGAGCGGGTACGTTCACTTCCACCCCAACCCAAATCCATCATTTCACATATATAAAATTCATACAATACTAATAAAATGACTAGACAATGATGACGCTTGAACAATTCAAACAACAAAACGAAGAATACGCCGTCAACAACGGCATCTACCAAGACGCCATCTCACAGACGACCTCGCAACAAGTCTCCGAAGAAGCCGTCCATGAACTCCTAGGCAAACTCGCCGACGACGCGGGTGTGGCCCTGAATTCACAACTTAACGCCGCGCAGCCGAGTACCGCCGAACCCGCCGCGCCGCAGACCGCGGAACCGACTGCGGAGGAGGAGGATGCGCTTCAGCAGCGTCTGCGCGCTCTTAGGGCTTAGGAGGCTGGCGGGGATGCGGATGGTGCTGGTGGGAGTGGAAGTGGAGATGGAGATGAAGGGGAGCGTGTTCCGCAAATGAGTACGGGGTGAGGAAGATGCAGACATTGATGAATTGGAATTGGGGCAAACTGGACATTGGCTTTTGCTTACGCACGGCACACTTTGACAGCATTACGAACGATATAAGGGATCAATCAGTCTGGCGTTCCGGTTATCTCCTTTAAGGCGTGGATATCATATTTATTATTAGCAGTGAATAAACTTCTAGAACTCACGCGTAGATGCACGAGTTCTGGTGTGATTATGTATTGCCGAGCCTTGAACCTTTGATTTAGGTGTTGATTGGATTGTACAGGTGTGCAACAACACCCATTCCAATCGCTCCTGGCGCTTACAAGGTGCATCCTCAACTGAAAGGTCGAGGACTGTTCGCGCAGTTTCGTACTGACTAATGCTAAAAGCAGCTCGTACGTCGTACTAGTTAACCACGAGTTCGTCTCCATATCTTACAATGGTAATCGTGCCCCTTAATACCCTCACCACGACCATTCATCGTGCTCCTTACGTCGTTGCTAGAGCCTCAACCCAACACCCCAGGATTGAGCATCCCTTTTCGCGCGCCAGCGTAACATGCCCTGTTGGGTAGACAAGAGCTCCTTAACGAGAGAGGAGGAAACGTAGTACTACGTGTCGTATCTTAATATAGGTCGTATATTGTCTTTTCGGTATTTCAGTCTCGTTTCACCCAGGCTTGCAATCTCCTCGTCAGGATATTGGTATCGACAAATTGTTTCAACACCTTGTTCGCATTGGCCTTTGTCATCGCGTCTGCCGGTGTTATCCTCCCCTTGTATCCATCGAACGTCTTGTATCTCCCTCTTTTCGTAGGCCCATACCGAGATGCGCCTGTCTCATCGCCAAAAGAAAAGAAAAAGAATTCATTGATACGGCTAAATATATAATCATTAAGAGTTCGGGTGTTTTGGGACCACTGATAATCGAGATGGTTTTTTGTCCCATAACGGAGTAAATTGTTGTGGCTTTCTACTCGTTCATGTACAGTTGTTGATTTCCGGTCGTATAGAGGTATTTCTTGATTCGAACAACGAACCCTTCGAAAACAGACCTCATCTCTCGGCGAGGTAGTCGTAATAATATTGTTATGTCTATGAAGAGAACTCCAAAAGTGGAAGACTCGTAGTAATAGGGGTCGATCCCTATGATTTATGTACCGTAACTACGTATGATATTATTCAACGGGCCCCAAACACTTCTCTCTCCCGTATTTGTTGTAGTAGTAGCCCGCATGCCGTTTAGAAGGAAACATAATTATATACGTTAGACTAGCGCTCGGTGTCAGCTTCAGTATATTCCGTCTTTGACATTCGAGTCGAGATTTGAATCATAAATCCTAACCGGCCCCGCCTGTTTTGGGCTGGGCCGCTTCTGAAGTTAAGCTTCTATTACGGCGAAAGCGCATCGTGTTTGATCTGCGCGGTCGACCGAGGACCCAGCGGCAGCGAACATACGGATAGACCCACATGCGCTCAAGGGCGCGTTATCATCATCCGAGTCAGATTGGGTTCTCCTGGAAAAGCCGCGGAGCCTGCCACGAGCTAATAACCGAGTTCATACGACCCTTTGAAGGACAAGATCCCCAAATCCCCTCCTTGTCTCGAATTGTCGGACCACGATCAGTTTCCGCCTCTTCCAACGCGTGGTCATGCTCTTGCACTTTTGGTCAACTTCGCTCCTACACGATCGATCCGGCTTGGACTTGTAGGAAAGTCTCGTCGCACCACAGCTATTTTCTTGGGGTGGCCGCGATATTTTTCAAAGGAAAAAAAAAACGAAAGATTGTTGGTAGTCGGTTTATATAGATGTTTCGATGTAGAGCGATCTGTGAATAGGAGAGTAGCTAGTATCAGCCCTTCTGTGCTCTAACTTTATATATTGTTATAATGTTGAGTGTACAATGCTTGGGCTTTGCCACGTGGATATTTACTTAACATGAGGATGCCTTCTATTTGGATATATCTATGGTTTTGATGAGTCAAATGATACCTAGATCTCACTGCGTTGAATTGTGTTGAAATAGCAATCTACGACGGGAAAGGGGGTCAAGTGTCATCCATGTAGAAACTTCGTCATGACAACCTCAAAGCGATAACGTCAAGTAAAACATGGGGCATTCTTGCTAAACTTTAGTCACTGCAAATATCAGAAAGTAAGACGCAACTAGCGAGTTTGATTTCATTATAAAGTTGTCATACCATTTGATCATGTCATAATCATAATCATACCCTTCCCCTTCCAGCTATGTTTTTCCATGCTTTTCAAATGCAACGCGCCCAACCATGCAGCTAAATGAGTCATTTCAACCTTTCAAACCTCCAAATCTTCCATCAGCGCCTGCCTGAATGACATGAGAATTACATGTACAAGCTAGCAACAGCAGTGATATCCCTCTTGATCATTTCCTGCGCGGTCTGCATCTTCTGGTATAATTCCGGATCACCGATAATGCGAGCTGCGTTCTTCACCTCGCGACATGTCTCGTCTAGCCTCGTGATAGTGCGCACAATAGTGCCTTCAAGTACATCCGTTAGATCCGTGATGTTCTTGAAACTCATACCTCGCGCCCACTCATACACAACTTCCATAAGTCCAAAGCGAGGGCGTGATACGAAGTCATTGCTGTCTTCTGCACTTTGGATAACTTGGTGTTCTGTCTGAACGTTGTTGACCTTCTCACTGATCTCGATGATCGTCTTCATACCACGCTCGAGGGTACCAGTGAGGTTGGGTATTGACTCCGTCTTTTCTTGGAATACGAATGCTGATAGCAAGGCAGCAATTTCAGCTGGTTCGTATTCTGCAAGCACGTTGTCGAGAATGAGCTCAGTTAGGACGAGCTCATCAGCTGAATGAATCTCGCAAGCTACTTTGCCTTTAAGTTGAATACGGGTATCCGCATCGATAAATGATAGGTCTTTCAAAACTTGGATACGCTGCTCGTAGTCAGGCAGCAATTGGAGGTTTTGATCCGCGAGGGCGGAACGAAGCGATGAAATGTGCTCTTTAATAAGCCATTGATCATGACACATAGCATACTAGAATTTTGTTAGCATTGATAACATAAAACCCATAGTGAGGATGACTTACATGTTTCAAAAAGTGTCGACAATACACAGTAGCGGTAGCTTTAATAATCGCTTCCTCCTGCCTGCGCTTCTCGATGATCTCTTGCAACGGCAAACTCTTGATTTTGGCGAAACTAGCCTCATCCCATAGGTGGGAATCCCAAGTATCGCAGATAGCCGACATTCGCTCTTTCGCTCTTCGACGCGACTCTCCATGGTCGAAAAATTCAGGTACAATCCCAGTAGTGAGTTTTCCTGTGAGGCATTCGATGTCGCTAAGCGGTACGTGAACAACCCTAGAAAGAATAGATTTCCCTCGGCGCGGAAGAGGCGTGAGTAGGGGTCGGAATTGGCCGATGAAAGGTAGGATATCGGTCGAATCGCGGGTTTCACGCTCTGTTCTTATTTCAAACACCTGAATAGTTGGTTGCCCATCGGAGGTCTTCGTGCTGACACCGTGTGACAAGAGAATTCCTGGGGTTCGGACACCGTCCTTATTCCATACAATAAGTCGAGATTGTGTAAACATCTTCTTGCCAATCGGTATAGTCAAAAGGCCTTTATAAAGTTCCTGCGTAAGCTGTTTGTAATTCATCGCCGCCTGGTGGCATTTCTCTAGGGATTCATCGCAAATCTGGCATGGCTCTCGTTTCACTTTGGCCAAGTCTGCTTCTGAGAGTTTAACAGCTTTCTCGTGTTCTGGGAGCAATTGCTGAGTGGCATGCTCCGAGAAACTGCGCTTAATCATTTCCTCGATCTTCAACGCCTCCACTCGTAGCAGATTGAGGATCATATTGTACGTCAGTCTGAACTGAGACCTCAGCTTACTAGGCGGGTCAAGTATCATCTTCTGGAGGTCGGTAACGGGTGGCGCCTCATCCATACTTCCGGGCGGAACAATGATAACAGAACCAACGGGGTCAAGTCCACGACGACCAGCTCTGCCGGCCATTTGAGTGTATTCGCCTGGAAGAAGGTTTCGGAATGAGTGCCCATCATGTTTTCGGTAACCAGAAAACACGACAGTCCTTGTAGGCAGATTCAGACCCATAGCAAATGTCTCGGTCGCGAAGAGAACCTTCACTAGAGTCTGCGCAAATAGAATCTCCACAATTTCCTTGACAATTGGCAAAAGACCACCATGGTGCACGGCAATACCACGACTCAGTAGTTCGCGCAGACGAATAATCTGCGGCAGGACTCGGTCTTCGGGTCGTAATCGAGCAATCGATTTCTGGATAATCATGTGGATATGGCTCTTCTCTTGTGCGGTACAGAAGTCTCGGTTGCTTAATGCGTCTGCATTCTCCTCGCACCTCTTCTTGGAGAAGACAAATATGCAAGCTGGCAATAGAGTGTTCTGTTTCAAATACTGCACAAGGTGAACCCATAAGTTCTTGTCTTGGTTAAGCGATGAGAAGCCCCCTCCTCGACCACCACGACCCATATGGCCAGGTGCATGGCTGGCTCGCGGAGGACCTCCTCTGCCTCTTTGCTGGGCACCACCTCGTTGACCACCGCGTTGTTGTTGACTGCCTCGCTGAGGACCACCCCGTTGATTTCCTCGTTGGTTGCCACCGCCACGTGCAGCAGGTGCAGGCAGAACCTTGTCTTTTCCACGCATCGCTTGGTCTGCTTCTTTCCATCCTCGTTCGATGAATTTCTTATCGCTATCCACGATTTTGTGAATATTTTTACCAGCCCATAAATAATGCTCGAGAGGAACAGGTCGCTTCGGTGTTGAAATGACGTATATATCCTTCTTTTTGGTCCTACCAACCCAGGAGGCAAATTCGTACGTATTCGGAACAGTAGCAGAGAGCAGGATAAGTGAAACATGCTCTGGCAGCATAATAATGACTTCTTCCCAAACAACACCTCGCTCAAAATCGTTGACATAATGAACTTCGTCAAAGATGACGAATTCTACGTCTCGGATCAAGTCGGCGCCTCTATATAGCATACTCCTTAGAATTTCGGTGGTCATGATCAAACAACTTGCTTCGGGATTGATCTGAACATCTCCTGTCAAAATACCAACCTCGTCAAAGGTTTGTCGGAAATCTCGGAATTTTTGATTACTGAGAGCTTTGATAGGTGAGGTATAGATGGCTTTGGTCATATGCCTAGCGGCAAGGGCGATTGCGTATTCGGCTACAACCGTCTTGCCGGCTGATGTATGCGCGGCGACGAAAACGGAATCACCACCCTCGAGATGGTATATAGCTTCCTTCTGGAAAGTGTCGAGTTCGAATGGCCATTCCCTAGCCATATCGGGAACCAACTCTCGGAAATTGGTAATATCGCGATTAATATCCACCATGTGAGCCCATTCTCGACCGGCCTTCCTAGCGCTGGATGCCGCAAGATTGCTGTGCGGCTCTAGAGCTGGGAACTCGACTGGCAATAAGGTATCGATATCTTCGGAATCCTCCTCATCGAGTTCTTCTTCGACGCCGTTGGTGCCCGCATGTCCGTTCACTTCTTCAGCCTCAGGACCTTGTTCCGGCTCTTGGTCTAGTTCCGCTTCGATTGCTTTTGCTTCTTTCTCATTGACCTTGGATTTCTTCTTGCTAAAATCAATACCCCTCTCCATACCAGGAGCTACCTCAAGAAGTCCACCTTCAGCGCCGAGCTTGATAACACGCTCTAGTTTATTCTGAGTGCCAGTACCATTAGAACGTATCATCTGATCCTCCACGGCAGCAGTCGCTTCAACACCCTCTAAACCACCAGGAGCAAAAGGAAAGAAACCAGCCGCGCCGCGAACGAAGTCGGCTCGACTACCAGGCTTTCGCGTGAGGGAAGTAGAGTTCTTGGCGGTCGCGCTGTTTGCAGGTATAGTAACATTCTTGTATCCCGTTACCCTCCCCTCGAGCCCTTGTCGCTGGAACCGTGTGACAGTGCGAGTCTGCGTCGGCGCAATACGGAATAATTCGGTCAAATCTGTAGGGCAATCCCATCGTTGCTGCAGGCGGTTGAGCCATTCGGTAGAAAACGTATTGGACGGTGTTAGGAACTTTTGTTCGAGTTCGGCTTTGAGCGCCGTCAGATCTTGTTTCAATCGCTTACGGGGACCTTGTTGAAAGAGGATATCGTCGATTGAAATATCGTCTTTGACGTGGAGCTTTTGCATGGCCTCCACGAGATCTGGAGACGCCATGGTTCCTTGAAACGCCGTTTTCGACGTAGAGGAAAGCTTTAGACGTCTACCGGAAGCTGAGGAAGTAATTGTTGAATGACGTTTGCTAAACAACAAAGTGGGTTGGTGGGTTGGTACCCTGGAAATTGAGGTGGGCACCTAAATTCTTATCGATAAGTAGGTATAAAGCTCCTATGGTTGCGTACACAAGTTCCTTGGCGAAGGTACGAAGGACTTTCGACAATCTTAAAAATTCAATATTGAATAAAAATGGCTCTTTTTATGACTGATTTGTTTTTTTTACAATTATCGGTGGTATTAGAGCATGTTGGGTACGAATGAGAAGCTTTGTTCGTAGGTGGTGGGTGACCTGGGGCCTGTAAAACAGTGGATGGGATTAGTACTATCAACTGAAAACGTGCTGTGCGCCGTTTCTAAAACCTACCTAGGTACCTATCCTATAGCATATTATCCCCTAAAATGGAGGAGTTAATGCGGTAAAGCTGAGCGATTATAGCAGGCTCAGAGCGGAAAACACCCCTATCCCAATCTCATTACAAGTCATTATAATTCATAATTCCTACTATATCCTCACCATAAACCATCCATTTCGGCCATTACCTCCTCTTCATCTGCATCGGCTGTATTCTGAAGTTTGTCTGTTTCTCCGTTTGGTTTGGAACTTGTGGACTGTTTTGATTGCGCTTCGTTTTCTGCTTCCGCCATCAATGCGTCTAAGTCATCTCCCTCATCATCGTTTGGCGCGGTCTGCGCTGGCTTCGATGGTGGATCGGGATTGCGTTTTGGTGGTCCCGCCTCAGCTTCAGCTTCTGCCATTAATGCATCTAAGTCGTCTTCATCCGGTTCATCTCGCGGTCGCCTAGCTATTGCCTCCCCATTACCAAAGAGAGATTTCGGTTTTGTGCGTTGCGCTTCCTCCTCGGCCATGAGCGCATCCAAATCGTCTTCATCAGGCTCGCCACCATTTCCGAACAGTGATGTGCTTGCCCCTCCACCTCCGAATAATGATGTACTTGTAGGTTGTGCTGTCTTCTGTGCTCGCGGTGTCGCATCGTATATATCTTCGTCGTCGGGGGGTATGTCATCCCGAGGAGGCGTTTGTGCTTTCTCCCCCCCTTGGTTCTGGAATATCGGTGCAACTCTGGCAGGGAATATGGCGGGGTCACGCTCCTCGGGCTGATCATTAGACTCGCCGAAAAGGTCATCGTCATCTCCTTCAATGGCCGCTGACTTGGGCTTCCCTTCGTCAATCCATTCTAATCGCTTCATCCGTATGTACTTTTTGTGACCAGCTTTCTCTGCCATAGCCACGGCGTCTAGGAATTTCGCTTTGGGAAATAAGTCATCGAACCATAATTGGTAGAATGAGAGAAGTCTAGCGGCATCGGAGAACTAGAACACCGTTAGCAAATGCCAATTCGTATCATTAGCATGGCATTCTTACCTCATGTCCTTTGCCCTTGAATTTCAGGTCCCGAGCTTTTCGTCGTAATCGCGGAATACCTTTTTCAGATAACAATCTTCCCTCGTCAAGCTTGACCATAGGTACTCTAGCCTTCTTCTGTACGGCTACGGCCTCATCAATACCCAGGCCGCTCTGGTCTTTCCTCTTCTTCGACTGTGTATCATTCTTGGGGGCTTCATCCCCAGATGAGGCAAAGGGGTCGTCGTCGACATCGTAATTGTCTATATCGGTATTGACCGGCCGATTCGGCGCTACAGAAGATCGCGAGGCCATTTTTGTTGTGTCGACTTTATACCAAAATAGGTATTTGTTGAATGCTGGAAGCAAATAGGTATAGGAGGGACGCGTCTTAAGATTGGAAGACGCGATTCGACGTGGGGCACTTCAACTTTCTAAATTGAATTGAATCGATGACTAAGCTAGTACCGGTTGCCGTAGACTTACATAAGCTACTCTAAGTATAACCGAAGTAAAGCCGCCTACATCATCGGACCTATGGGAACTTTCGAAGCTTCAACATTGATCTCAATCGAATCTACGAAGGATCTCTATATCACAACAACGAAGCTATTGGGGATCCCAATTCGACTTTGCGACCATGGCGACCCCTACGCAACAAACATATATCCCCAGCAAAGTCGTCAAGTCCGAATTTCCCGTATGTATTACTTTTCAATTGGGTTATAAGCCAATCGCTAATATCAGACGTAATGTAGCTCATCGATAATGACCCGTACGTACCGATCTCGAAACCCCGCGAAATACCCCGATATAGCTTATGACTAATAGTGAATTGATATGCAGACATTTCAAGAGGGTGGTAGGATATGCTAGGCCATCAGACTACATACACGGCACCGTCGCCGCCGCCGCAGGCCCGGGTCTGCTGTGGTTGATGGAAAGATTCGCACCCTCACACGCCGGCCGAGGAGGTTTCGCAAGGGCTATGCGACTTACAGGTGTTCTCGGAGTTTGCGGTGGTTTCATATACTTCTACCAACGATCATGTTGTGCGTATTTCCTCGACCCGGACAAAAACCCCGAATCAGCTTTCCACGAAATCATCTCAAGATTGATGAAATACCCATACTAATAATAATTTGGCAGTACGATTCTACGGCATGTCCGAAAACGCCCGCGAAGTAGAACTGGACATGCGAGAAATGGTCGACAAAGTCAAAGCCGGCGAGCCTCTATACGGCGAAAGCCGATTGACACCCCACATGCAAGGTGTCGCAGCCCGACAATCACGATACGCATCCCTCTTCCTTGCCGTCATGCCCTGGTTTAACTTCGTCAACCACAACCAACACGGTGTCGATACGGCCAAGTACTACCGCCGCGCTGAGCAGGAACTTGAGGCTGAGCGATTGGGTAAGAGTAGTTCGTGAAATAAAATTGGGAAAAAAATGAATATTTAGGCGATTGGGTTGATGGGGGGGAGGGAGAGAAGATAAAGATGCAGTTAATCTGTACATATACCGATACTTCTCGGCTAGTAGATACATAGCCGAAGTTCACACAAGGACTCCGACGGACGACATGGAATGCGAATTCTAAAACTTCATTTGTTACGACGGTATCTGTCGATAGATGCAAGAAGGATTATCCAAAAGCTGAGTCATGAGTCCTTATTCATCATAACATTTGAGAGGAGATCCCAGCCATTTTCTCCTCATATATACGTTTATCTAGGTACCATTACGCCGTTGCGAATGAATCCTAGAGCACCTACGCGCAGACGTACTAAAAAGCCAAGTTATCTTCATCTATACAATTCACGACGGCCAACCCGAGGTATTAATACTCGATAGATCCTCCTCCAGTAACCCCAACATATAATTATTCCCCGAGAACCAATCACCAAGTTGCGCCGTCTGCGCCATAGATCTCGCTTGGTCGTTGAGAGGACCCCCACCGGCACTACTATCAACGTCGAAATTCGCCATGTTTTCATCTATAGGCATAAAACCTAGTTGATTGAGATACATGTTAAATTCATTGCCGATAGGAACCATGTCCCGGTCGAGTGGTTGCTGGGCCTTGGCTTCGATGTAGAGTTGTGCGATGTTGTATAGTACTTGACATAGTTGGTATAATTTGCTGATTGAGTGGGACACGTCGCAGGATGCTTCTAGTGATGTGACGAATTCGGCTAGGCATCGTAAATCATCTGCACTTGATGTCTCGATGACTAGACAGAATATTACGATAAAGGGTATGAATGGGGCGTAAAGTATTGTCCTATATCGCAATTGGAGTTAGTGGCAGTCGTGTATGGAAGCATATGGTAATTCTCACCAGTGGATATATAAAATCTTCAGCGACTGATTATCCATCATCCCCATCGCTTCCTGATGGCACTTCATTGTCGACCGTGCCAAGTCAATACACTCATCCGAAAAAGTACGAGAGCGGGCTCCGGTCGGCGCCGGTGGCAGTGCGCGATACGTCAATACCAACGACGAGAGATACGAGACCTCGTCCGATTTGAGCATAATGGCGAACATCTGACCTTCAGCTGACGCCGATGCCTCAAACTCGGCGAACAATTTCATGCTCTCCGTCCTTAGGTGTTTTAATTCCGATGTTAAGATGCCGACTTGCTCGACACGGTATGTATTGGGTTGCCGCAAGGCGCCGGGGCTATATAGACGTTCGTATATGCGCCCCTGGATTTGAGCGTGTTTGATCCATAAAGTCATGACCTCGGTACCTGGATATGCGGCGTGGGCCTCGGGGGCGATGTGCGGCAATGAGATATCGTAGTCTTGTAGGACGGAGGCTCGACCTAGCCGCAACGACAGCCCCTTGTCGAGCATATATGTACACCAGAATAGTAGTGACTTTTCTGATTTCTTCTGTGGACTGTCATCTTTCATAGAGTGGACTTGATGTAAACCGAGTGCTCGGCACATGTGAGCGGCTCGCGTCGATAAGAGCCATGCTAATGAAGGTTTGGAAGTGTCGACTGCGAAGCTAGCCTATTGTTGTCCGTTAGTGAGCAGTTCCTTTTAATTGAACATGAAATCCCTTCCACGTATTGCCCTGTACTTACCGCCATGAGTAAAGCCTCGATATTTTCTAATGTAGCCGGCATAAGGAAATTTAATTGCGCTAATACGGTGTCTAGGTTTTTCTGACACATATTGTAATAGGTATCGTACCGAGCCTTATCTTCGGCCGTCTTTGCACTAAGCCCTGCCTCAAAGAATAGGTACGCCAGACCGGAGTTCACGAGGATGACCGTCGCATCTGTGGTTTCACCCGCGTTGAAGTAGAGCCGCCGACATTGGTCGGTAAAATGCTCAATATCAATAAAACAGTAAAGGACGGCAAGCATCATAGGAACCGGGCCGTCTAGAAGTATGGAATTAGATTAGTAAACCCCTTTGCATGCTCGAGTGTCCTCATCATGTGTAGTGGGGGGAGAAAAGGGGTAAGTTGAGTATAGGGACGTACGTTTCATCTCCCTTAATTTCTCTGCTACGAATTCCATAGGCGGCAGCGGTAGATCTCGTAAGGTAGTCTTAGATGACTGTTTCTGGCCAGGCAAGCGAAATTCGTGGAAGGATGATACTGCTCGCCGGCTTTCCTGCATATGTACAATGCGCCGTAGAGATGATAGGGCGGCGTCAATCTTAGGACTGCCGCCCTGCTGTTGTAAAGAGGTGCCTTGTACAGCATGTTCAAGGAATTCACTAGCGAACGCCGTATGTGCAGCTAGCGATGAGTTGCCTTCAAAATCGCCGGCATCCTCCGGATCGAACACGGTGCTAGATGTATCATCCCGACTAGTCATAGACAGCGGTGTTAGCTTGTCAGATGGCTGCCGTGTGGGGGCCTCCGTGTTGGATGGGGATGCCGATATTGGCGCGAGGTTCCGTAATAGCGTCTCGATCCCACCAAGCCGCTCCTCGATTAAATCAATCTTGCGCTCACTAGTTTGAGTCGGTGTCAATAATGACCCTGGCCGTATGACGGAATCCGTATCATGCTTACTATTGGCTGGATATGAGTACTCGCTGCCGAGGCTCCTTCGGCTTCTGGCCGGCACCTGTAGAACTACATGAACGCTTGGCACTCCGACAGTTGGAGCACGGCGACTCCTTGTCGCAACGGATCTACCAATGGGGATATTAACGTTAACAAGCTTGGCAATGTTTCCAATTGTGAGGATGACTAAGGGTTTAGATAGGCGAGGGATGTGGGGTTGTTAGGTAGGGCAGACTTCTTACCTTTCGAAGTCTGCATTGGTCACACTGCAATTGTATTTTGTTTAGCCAAATAGGTCCTGATCTAACGATAGTTGCATCGTAAGGCTAGCCATCGGTATGACGGGGCCCACGGATGCCGGAGTCTTACTTACAGCTCGCCGAGGCCCAGGAGACCCAGGACCGCTAGCTTCGGGGGCCTCGGCATCCTCCATTGCGGCGTGAACAGACAATCAACCAACCAACTGTACTATAAAGATCTTGGCCGGTAAACGGGGTCTATGCAGTTACAACAACACAACGACGAAAAGAGCAATCAAGAAACGGGCCGCGATTAAAGATCTCGGAGTTTAAGTTGAGCTTGTACTCTCTCCAGAGCGGTCTACATGAATCTCGGTGTCCGCGGAGCCCGAAGAGATGTTTTAGTCTGGATATCATTAGCTGAAAATATCGAAACACATTCATGCCTATGGTGTGTTACCAATCAGATCAATCGTTACATTTATAAGATATCCCCTTCACCCAAGTTACGTATGCATCGTTGTAGCCTTCTAATAGGACCGAGGACCAAATGGTAGATAATGCTTTGATCGGAAAGATTTAAAGTCCTACATAGTCGTATAGGGAAACTAAACCTTCCGAACTGATACCCAGCAAAAGCATCAACATACCATAGTAAGATAGGCTCAGATACGTTAATAAAGGTATGAGATTTTACCGGTCGACGAATAATGTACGCAGTGATGTTGCTCTATGTAAGTGAGAAGAGATATTCTGCATTCTGTATTCTGACGTAAGCGAGTGACTTAGATAAGCAACCATCGGCTAAGAGCCGACGGACTGGAACTTCAACTTTGATTATATAGTTGGATTAGATAATCTTAATGCCAAGCCGCTTAGCTTCCGAAGCTCAGCAACTCACGGAACTATCCGATACCCCCGACTTTCCCATTAACACAATGCGATTCATCCCGCCGAGGCCAATCCCCGATTATCCTTATCGGCTTCTTGTACTAGCACCAAGCTCGATCTCCTCGACCGCGACATCATTACCCTCCGATATCTATACTCAAAGAAGGTTTAGAGGAAGACCATAAAGGGTCTCAGGATGACTTGTAAGCGGAAGCGATCCGAAACAGATCTCGCGTCTAGATCAACAGCATCGAAACGATCCCGCCACACCGAATCCCACGATCTACTATCGCCCTTATCTGACGAGCTACTCATACGCATACTCACATTTCTACCTCTTCCCGACCTCCTAAATACTGCCCCGGTGTCGCGCCGATTCTACGATCTATCCGGCGATTCGCAAATATGGAAACATCTATATTATTCACGATTTGTCCTTCCCCGCGCCTTGCGCATTCCGGGATTCCGCGATGGGTCAACTAGAGAAGGGAAATTACATTACTCATCGCGTAAGGCAATATGGGTAGATGGTAGAAGAGGAGGCTGGGTGGATATGCACGTTGGCGATCTAGACGACCGATCAAGGAATTGGAAGCAACAGTATAAACTCCGACACAACTGGTCGAAGGGGAAGTGCGCCGTCGAAGAGCTGTCGCTTGGAAAGGAGGGGTCATTATCTGAGACAAGTCCATCATATAAGATGCTTGTGAAAGTTTCCGAAGGTGTCGCAGTAACAGCCGATGTCGCTACTGGACTACGAGCTTGGAATCTTAAGACGAAACAGCTTCTGGCGCAAATTACTTTAGGCGAAACCGAATCGGACGTCGCACCAAGTTGCATGGCAGTAGACGATCAAAGACTTGGGGACCAAATACTCGAAATTGCGATAGGATTTACCGATGGTAGCTTTGGTGTTTGGAGATTGGGTATTCGAGAAGCAGGAATATTACGAAGGTATCGTCACGAAAAGTCTAGCAATGGAGAACTGGTCGGAATCGCTTTTTGTTACCCATATCTCCTAACCGCAACCAAATCCGTGCTTTTATCCTTATATACCTTCGATATTCCGCCCAAAACAAATCGCCCGATAACGCCGGAATCCGACGTCGAATCCGTATTGGATTCTAAGAATGAGCGTATACGAAATCAGAAAGATTGGCCTATCTTCAAGGACCCAAAACCAAGGAAACAAGATAATACTAATCATATATCACTTCGCTCACCATACCTCCTCACTTCACTTAAATCACATACATCGAAAGCACCATTGGCGTTGTCCATTCGAAAAATGGCCGGGGGCATTGTTGCATCGATTGCCTACACCTTTTCTACCATGCGAGGGTGGTGCGTGGGTATTCAGGATCTACACATACACTCTCCTACCCCCGAATCGAAATCCGCACCAGACATAACAGCCACTCGTCTAGCATACACCCGACCAATTAGGACACCTTATATCTCTTCGTCTTTCAATAATCTCGACCCCCTATCGGAATTTCGCGGTGATAACATGGATGGACCAATTAGCCTATCTTATACTCATCCATATCTCCTAGTAACCTTACCAGATAATACGTTAATATTGTACCTGTGCACATCAAACGCAACATCTCTTTCTATATCATCCGGTACCCGGCTCTTCGGACACACATCCGGAATAAGCGACGCCGAAATAACGGCGCGGGGCAAAGCAGTTAGTGTCAGCCGATACGGAGAGGAGATTAGAGTCTGGGAATTAGAAGGCCGGGCCCATGGAGAGAGCATTGAAGTCCGGCCTACTATGAAGCCCTCTCTAAGCGAGGGAGGCCCGGAGACTTTCGCTCATAACTATCTAGGCGCCGTCTTACGGGATGATAGCCGGAATTGGGTTGGATTCGATGACGAAATGGTCATTGTTTTAAAGGGCTTGCAAGGCAGGGAGAGCCTAATGGTTTACGACTTCACGTAATCAACAATCGAGTGGGATCTAGACTTACAATGAGTATAAATATTTTGAGAAATACTCCTTCTCTTGAGTATCGGACCTCTTCCAAAGAGGATAATAGTAACTCTAGGGGTTGAAAAACGGACCGGCGTTTATCTGACCCCTTTTTACATCCGTCGAGATCGCTAACTTCTATTCGGCGAGCTGATTATCTCACTCGTATAGCAGGAAACGCGATGAGAGGGAGGCGTTGCGTTGTGCTGACTAATTTTGTCTCGGAACTTTTCCGATGACAATTGCTGATAAATGAGCATATAAGCTAACAGTCCATCGTAGCAATGTACTCAAACTGCTTCAGCCCTCGTTAAGGCTCACGATCGACGCCTTCCCGAATACTGCAACGTCGGATGAAAGGTGCTAAGAATAGTATGCAACCTCTAAGTGCCCACCGGCCTATGATTTGGAATCACTGGCCCATCCACATCCAGGTGGTCTTTGAACCGCCTAGCTGAGTAAATTAAACCCGCTCGTGATAGCTGCATGCTTGTTCACTAGCGACAGGAGACATGAAATGGGTTATACACATTCTTGGACGCTCAAGCTTGAAGAGGTCTAAACAGGTCAGTTTGCCTCTCTTGCCTTGAATAAAATATTATCCAATCATTCTCCTCTTGGCAACAACAGAGGAAGAGTATGCATGATATCCGAACCCTAGTCCATCCCGATATATCCCTGCTAAATTCTTCTCGCTAGAACAGGGGAAGCACGGGATCACGGATTTATCCTATATAGCCTGAAGTTGTTCTATTAACCTTATATGAACGATGACCACATTGTGCACCAATAACGCCGACCCTTGTGTAGAACACAAGAGGATTTCCCAATTTGAAATCCTAATGTGACCTTCCCCGGACCCAGGTATGCCGATATATTGAAACTTGTGGGGAACACAACCGCCGCCTAGCAAAGTTGTTGACTTCTATTCCAATCGGTTGCCTCTGGAGCCACCACCTGATGGAGTTTCGTGAATATCGTCTAGGATAGAACTTGGATTCGACCGAGGAAGTTTCGAAGGTGTTCTACACGCTATCATCGTTATGGTCACAAGTTGATCGAGCGCCGAACGTGGTTTCGCCGAATCCTCGCGTCGGTCCGCCTGGCCGGGTCTTAGTTTTCCAACTCGTGCTCATTCAACTATGCGGAAATAGTCGGCAGCGTCTCTCGGCTTAAAGTCTTCGACATAATTTGCTCAAACCAATATCGAACTTCGTGTGGGTGCTCTATGATAGGAGCAACCCTAGCAACCGAGCATGGGCAAATGCCGCTACCCACCGGGGATGGTCATGAACCCCTAATGATATGCTGGTGGTCTAGATTAACCTAGATTCAGGAGATATAATGTTGCGCTGCCCCTATCCCAGCTTAGCTCTAATCCGGGTGCCTCTCCCAGCACGATCAGCATAAATACTACCGTGTCTCGCTGATTGCCAAGGCTTTTCGATTGTCCGCTCCCTTTTTTCTTCTTCTTTTTCTCTAATAGTAAACTCTACTTACCATTAGAGTTCAAGATGCTGTTCTCCCTTCCCCTATTCCTCGCCCCTGCCCTGGTCGCCGCCCACGGCGCGGTGACTAGCTACGAGATCGGCGGTAAGACGTACGATGGTTACCAGGGTTTCTCCCCGGTGGCCGGTGCTCAGGTCATCCAGCGACAATGGCCGGACTACAACCCCATCATGACGGTCACCGACCCCAAGATGACCTGCAACGGTGGCACATCGGCCCCGATCTCCGCTGAAGTCCCAGCTGGCACCAACGTCACGGCTTTCTGGAAACAGTGGACGCACCAACAGGGTCCCGTTATGGTGTGGCTGTACTCTTGCGACGGCGAGTTCACCGCCTGTGACGGCAAGGGCAAGAAGTGGTTCAAGATCGACGAGATGGGTCTATGGGGTGACGTCCTCAACAGCAACAACTGGGGTACCGCCCTAGTCTTCAAGGACCTCAAGTGGTCAAGCCAAATTCCTAAGAACCTCAAGCCTGGCAACTACCTCATTCGCCACGAGCTTCTCGCTCTTCACCAAGCCAACACCCCCCAGTTCTACCCCGAGTGCGCTCAGATCAAGGTTACCGGCTCCGGTACCGCTGTCCCCAGCGGAAGCTTCTTGACTTCCATCCCCGCGTACGCTGCGCAATCCGACCCCGGTATCATGGTAAGTTATTGATATTTCTCTGCGTTATTTACTTGAAAGCTTATAGAAAATAGGTCGACATCTACCAAGGTGGTGGCACCAGCTACAAGACCCCCGGCCCCGCCGTCTGGACCGGTTAAACGGTAGTAGGATATGAGCTGGATGATTAACGCATGGCCGGAAGGGAATCCTGGATATTTCAGAGAGCGATTAATGATTGAAATTCTTTGGAATACACACATTTATATTCACTTTCACATACAGCGGTGATGTTTATGCACGGAGTGAGCCGATATGAACTTACTGAATATCTAAATCCCTCGAGTTTCAACCATTTGTGTTACTTGCATATTGTAGATTTCTTAATTGTCGCGTTTTATTTCAGAGCACATCCGAAAAACTTCATAAAAACAACGATTGACAACTTGGTCAAACGTGTCGACCGCTCTACCAAGTAAGTCCGACCACTTATGGACGATATATTTCGTATACAGCCCACTATTAGCCGCCGATTCCGATCTTAGATTATCTCTGGAAGGCTTCCTGAGTATCATATTCCATCATTTTCGCTTTCACCTTGCTCCTTTATTACTTGATATTCATAGTCACGCAATCAATTTCATCCAAAAAACAGCATATTCGTGTGGTAATTGCCACTAGAGGTGTTTATTATTAAAGAGAGACAGATACTCTTATACAGAGGGAATTTGTTCTGTTATAAACGAGTGATTCCACCAAGGCCAATCGTCCTACGCAAGGTGAAAGAATAATGAGCGTAATCCCAAGTCCCGCGTTTCTCCCCGTATCCAAACGTCATCCGATTTATACCTTACTGTGCCATATCCATTCTGCTAAACTATCAATCCGTGGGAGGCCGTTCAATCTGCGTCTCATCACCATGACCGTCTCCAAGATACTCAACAGCAGCCATATTCTCATGAATAATCGCATACCGGAACGTATCCCCCGGTCGGAGCGGCGCATGTCCATCGGGCTGCGGATCCGCTCTATAATTAGCGAACTGTTGTCCCATCAAGCTACCAGCTCTACGGTTATCACCAGCTTCGATGTAGGTAACGACTGCCCCTGTTCCGCCTTCGCGTGCGATCGCGGGTGGATACTCGTCGCGGTCGAGTTGACCTACCCCGGAACCTCCGGCGAGCTCGGTGGTGGTGAGCTGGAGGAGCTCCCTTTGCGATTGGTACTGCCCGGTAGATTGTGATCGACGAGCGTGTGCGCCGCTGGGGTCGTATGTGAGACGCCAAGGTTGATTCGCTTCTTCAACTGCGTAACGCGCGTTTTCAACTACTACTAGGGTACCTTCTTCGTATAGGTAGATTAACCAGTTTCCATCGTCGTCGCGTCGGGGCACATCCGCAGGTAAGACCGGTGGGCCAGGCAAAGACGGCGCAGGCGGGTCAGCAGGGCGTTGGTGACGCAGGGAGTATCCATATGGAGGGCCCGGAAGAGTAGGCGGTGGTGTTGTCGTCGCTACCAAGTTGTTGGCGATAAGTTGAAGACTAGCCAGGATAGCCGGGACATTAGCTCTTCCGCAGAGCTACCCACTCTCGGGGTTGTGGGTAAGTACATCACCCTCGTCCCACGTACCGACTACGTAGCTATGGCTCTGGCTAACCATCTTCGGTTCGGCGCTTTGGTTATCTGCTTGGTCGACTACCTGGATATTTGTCACGTAGGCCTATGTCATGCCGCCGGAAGTCTTCATTCCTTTCACTTCTACGCCTACCCAAAGTCTAGATTGGCAAGGTCTCCGGGGGCGTTCCAATAATCCGAACCGTCGTTATGATGGTTAGGCGTGATGATATAGGTCGTGCCAGTAGTTGAGCTGTATGAAGCGATACATCTTGGGAAGCATCGGTAGAACCCCTTATCGCCGATACAAAGACAAAGGAGCTTATGGAACAAAAAGGCTACTTGTGTATGTATACGATAGCTTCCGTAGCAGTTACTTGCGATCTCCTCGCGTAACAACAGAGTCATTAACCCCCTTATATGGTTGGTGTCATGACACCATGGCTTACGAGCTGGGGATCGAAGGTATCCAAATTATGTCGCTAGTAGATACCCCCCAAGAAGACACAAAATTTCGACTCCTCCACCAAGAAGCTATTTCATGGAAGGGCGGAAAGGCACATTCGGCTTCGCCTACCGAAGCCCTGTTATGACTACTTCAGGCTCTGAAAACACACCGGCATACGTTGCACAGAGCCCGGCCGGTCTGCTAGGATGGTTATGGATAGTGGAAGTGATCATGGCACTTTGTGTGAACTGCAAGAGACTAAATCTGCAATGGGGGGGGGGGGGGGGGGGGGGGGGGGGGGGGGGGGGGGGGGGGGGGGCGGGGGGGCTG